TCCGGTCCAAGGAATGGTGGTAGTGGATGGTTCTGGAGTTTCGATGACAACCAATGGTGGTTCACCTGAGACAAATGTAGTGTAAGTACTAGTAAAAGTACCAGTCCAAGGAATAGTAGTAGTCGAAGGCTCAGGAGTTTCGATAACGACCAATGGTGGAGCACCAGAAGCAGTAGTAGTAGTGTAGGTACTAGTGAAGGTACCAGTCCAAGGAATAGTAGTAGTGGATGGACCTGGGGTTTCAATAACAACTAATGGTGGTTCCCCTGAAACACTTGTAGTATAAGTTGTGGTGAAAGTACCAGTCCATGAAGTAGTGGTAGTAGATGGTGGAATTTCAATAATAACCGACTCAGTTTCGCCACTTGCTGGAGTGATAGTGTAGGTGGTTGTGTAAGATTCAGTCCAATAAGATGTGGTAGTAACGGTTGCGGAAACACAGTGTTGTACAACGTCAGGAGGAGCATAAGCAAACTCTGGGGTATTACTAGTGGTACCATCGGGATAAGTTACCATCAATTCAACAGCGGCACCCCATGGTGCTTGATTATAGTAAACCATGTCAAAAGGATAATATCTTCCCCCTTCTAAGGTAGCAGAGTTGTTGGCACCATTTTCACCCAAAACAGTTCCATGAGTATATAACAGGAAGTCACCAACACTATTGGAAGGAGTTTCACAACAACCGAAGGCAGCAGAACCCAAAGAAAGTAAGGCAACATCGTCAACGTTCAGAATACTAAAATCATAAACCCCACTTTGAGGAGCATAAAAGTAACCAGTATATTTGAAACCGAAATGGTGGTAGTTGGTGGTTCTTCCATACAATGGACGATTGTCTGGAGATGTTAAAGAAATATCTTCCACCTGGAAATTTATATCAGTAACCCCATAGACAGTATCAGAAGGAGTCATAGCAGAAATTTCTTTAAGGTAATCTAAGAAGACTTGAGACCCATCAGGAGTACCACTTACAACGATATTAGCTTGAACATTATCATAATAATCGACTTTTAAACCAGCTTCAACATTGGTAGGCTCACACCCAGTACCAGCATCAAAGTCACCTTTTACAATTGAAGCCAAGAGGGCTAATCCAAGGATTGGAAGTTTCATTTTGACGATAACTAATTGACGCTACTTTCTGTTTATATAATAACTTGAAATACTGCTGCCTCAAGGGAAATTCCTGAACAATTACTTAAAAGGGAAGACATTCATCCCAAAAAGATTAGCCCTGCATAGGTCCTGACAAAACTTTGAAAATTTCCAAGTTTGGTATTACCTCATTTGGTTTCATTATTAAGATAATGATCTTCAATGCTTGCAATTTCACCTGTAATTGATGACGATTACCTTCTTTAACCTGGAATTGACAATTTTGAGTAATATCTATATTTTTATGACGTTTTAAGACGATCTTAAGTCTTATTTTTATGACCTAATGTATCGATCTGCATCACCATCCATCGATAAATTTCCATGCGTGGGCGATTCCAATACATTTTCATCGTTAAAAATTTCCTATTCGATGCTTATTGTACCTCTTTTGGGCTTCCACCAGAATAGGATTATTTTCTGACAATTCAGCCAAGGAACCCTTTGTTTTAATGGTTTACGTGTCGAGGTTTCGTAATGTAAACTCGTGTATCATGCGATTGTTGTAAGCACTCACAACCATTCTTTTCGGTAAACTTTGATTCTTCGTCTGATAATTCAAACGTTGCATTTCAGGTAATTTTTTTTTCATCAGATTGACCTCAAAGGTATGGTAATGCTGGGAATCGAAGAACTGTAGTTGAAAAAATTATTTAATTAAAGAACTAGTTTATTAAAGATCTACCCGAGGCAGTACGAGGCCTTACGAAGATTTTCCCGTTTAGGAGAAACACTCCAAAGATAATGCAACATTAAACGGAATCAAATGCACGAAGTGCTTTGCAGATGACCTATTTACCGTTTTCGATTATGTTTTACCCTATAATTTTGATTATATCACACTATTGTTATTATTATATTGTTTTCTATTGTGCATGTTTTCGGAATATCTATTTGAAGTTTCCGCATTCCATTCTTCATCAGATCCAAAAGATGCACTTCGGTACCGAGAAATGGATGTTTTGGACTCAATGCACGATATTGTTCGAGTTATCAGAACATTGGTGCAAAGTTCAACAATTGACCAGGTTTTTTGAGTAATTTTGTTGGATATTTTTTAACGTTGAAGAGGTGAGGTTTCGAGTTATCTATAAAAACCAAAAAAATGACCCTATTTGCTGCGTAGTAATTGACCGAAGTACCTATTTCGATAGTATAAATCTCCAGGGGGGAAGGTTGAAGTAGTGCATTCACTTGATGTATCCTGTACACAATCTGACAAGCCAACAAATTCCTCAGGATATTTTTCAAGCAAATCCAAGTGCCATGAACCACTACAGTTGTTTTCCGAATTCCATCCTGATTGTTTATTTCGGCTCTTATTTCTGCACCTCTTGTCCTTCATATAATCCAAGATTTACAACAAATACTTAGGTCATCGAGATTGTCCACAACCAGTAAGTATTTGTCCGTAATCAGTAAAGGTTTGTTCGTAACCAAAAAAAGTTATTGTTCACAACCAATGAGTGATTGTCTATGAATAGTACGCTATTATCCACAAACAGTATACGATTGTTCAATAACTTGTTCTGAATTAATATGAGACTTGACACGACCTTCACGGAAAAGTGTTAGAGTATATTTTCCTCCTGCTTATTTTGTGGAAACCTTTATTTTGTAGAAACCACAAAATAAAAAATGGCAAAATTGTTATAAAAATAAACGTCATCTAAATATCCTGGAAAAGACCGCCGTTCGATGTTTGAAAATATTTCAATTATTATGACATAGTATCCAAACCATACAAAATATTTACCACAGTAGTGTGGAAACCCGAGATCTGAGACACATCTGACACAATCGCACGATTATCTGAAACAAATGATTTCCCCATGTCATTGGTAGAATTTGAATAATTACGCAAGTACAACAAAAATGTATAAGGATTTTCGACAAAAGAACAAAAAAGAACAAAAAAGTACGTAAAAGATCAGAAAATGCTTGAGAGTCAACCATATTAAAAGGGTATTATAGGAAAACTCAAGAACAAATAATCAGTATACCCTAAAAGAAAGGATAAAACTTGAGACTGAACTTGTTAGTGGAGAAACGATACCGCCTGAAAAGACCGTAGCTGTATGAATTGAAGTTACGGCAGTGGAAGAAGAAGCAGGTGAATCAGGTGCAGGAGTTTTGAGTGAGGATTCGAATGCTGCTGTATATGGGGGCTTAGGGCTCATGGTTGCTTTTTGGGTTTGAATCACTGTCTGGGTCTCACGTTCTTCTCCTTTACAAGAAGTGGAAACAAGCGGAATGTAGTTAACGTATGACGTGGTGTTAAAAACGATGGTTGTTAATCTTTTCAATATGGGGATTGTGCTACAAACTTGGTCTGAACACGAAATTATGGTGACAACAGTTTGGAAATGCCAACAGGAGTGAAGTGGTTTTCCTCTTTAACAAGCGGTGAATTTTGTGTGGTCGTCTCGAGTTTTAGTTCGGGTAGTTGAAGATTCATCTTTGTTCATGGTGATGACTATTTATGCTTTACCGGTAATAATAGCTCCATAGGATTCAGCTACTGTGAAACCTGTGGTATAATCAGTTTATCGAGGTGATTTCTGTCTGGTAGAACTGGTAAGTGACCTGCAACTTGAAGGTGGATTATGGTAGAAAAGTTGTTAGTGGATTTCAGTTTCGAAAATCCGTAGGTGTATTTATAGATTTTCCGTGAATTGAAGGAATGGAGCCGTGGCTACTTGAGGTTCCAAAACCAGAATTAGAAGTTTACCGGGTGCGAGTTGAAGGTAAGTGAATGAATAATCGTTGGAGATGAAGCTATTGTGGGTTGAAGACTTAGTACTTCTAGTGCTGGTGGGCCCAGAATAAGTACTGGTTGGCCCAACATGGGTCAACTTAAAGGTGCTAGTATTATGATTAGTACTGGTTTTTGAATCTGTACTGGTAGCTGGACAAGTATGAGCCGAAGACTCGGTTGTGGTGATCGAACAAGTATCAGTTAATACTTCACAAAAAATGGGCGAATAAGAGCTAGAGTGGGAAACTCTACTAGCACATGTGCATGTACCAGTAGTTGAACCAGTGTAATTCAAGTTTTCAGTACTAGTGGTGGAGTCCGTTTGTAAAGTTCCACTATGGGAAATAGAATTTGTGGAAGTACCGACTTTGTTAACAATAAAGTCAGACGATACACAAGGTACAGACATTTGACCATAAATATTTGGCTCTATTTGTCCTTGGTATCAACAAAGAGCTCTAACCTTTCGAAACCATAAATTCTATCCCAAGCCTCTTTTTCATTCTAGAAGTTTCCCATTCTCTGTGTTAGAACTCGAATTCTTGGAAGAACTAAAAATGAGCTAACTAAAACGCGGCGCTCATAACCATTACAGATAAAAGTTGACGGAGATCCCGAAAGTTCGAGACGGTACAAACTTGAAATCGACAGTACGTAATGGACAGTATCGGTAGGATATCAGAGGGTCTACTGACACAAGCTGGCCGGGAACAAAGGATACTCAAGAATGGCGTAGATGGGGTGGATGAAGTACATTGAAGAGGCATATGGAGTGATAGAAGAACAAGAACAGAATCAAACCCAAGTACAAATTTATTGATTTAGTCCCCTGAGATCTAACAATTGGAAAATGGGTATGGAGCATGATCCAAGAGAACATCCGGACTGAGTTTACATATTTATCACAGGTTTTTTGGGGGACTCAAGAAAATAACCACACCTTAATTGTCTTTATGTTTCCCGTGTATATCCAGGGAACACACACAATAACATACAGCATTGAAATAACCACCGATAATACAAAAGTAAGAAAGCCATCAGCTTAAACATTTCATCGCTTTTGAGAGTCAATCGCGCTCGGTTACAATTTCCTTGAAGATATATACATTAATGATTTCTATCAGCAGTTCTTGGTTTAGCCTTTAAGATATTATCAACTCTTAATAACACTTCAGCAGCTTCAGCAGCTGATGAAACAACTGCTCTTTTCAATTTATAACTTTCTACTATACCTAAATCTCTCATATCAGCCACTTTACCATTATTTAAATCCAAACCACTAGTCATCATACCATTATAAATAGCTGATCTTAACTTAGTGACTAATTCACTGGAGTCAAAACCGGCATTATCAGCTAAAATGGTAGGTAATTGTCTTAAAGCTTTAGCAAAAGCTTCAACAGCTAAAGCTTTTTTACCAGTTTCATTAGCAGCAATTTGATCAACAGCTTTTGACATAATCATTTCTGAAGAACCTCCTCCAAGACAAGTTTTTGGTTCTCTGGTAGTTTGACTTAATACTGATAAAGCATCATGTAAAGATCTTTCAGCTTCATCTAATCCTTGTTCAGTAGCTCCCCTCAAAATGATAGTACAAGCTTCATTAGCTTTACAACCAGAAAATTTCAACATTGGTGTTTCTCCAATTAAAACTTCTTCAATAGATTTACAATAACCTAATTTGATATCTTCAGTTTTATCAAAAGTTGAAACAACTTCACCACCTGTGACTAAAGCTAATCTTTCAATCCCATCAAAATCAGCATGTTCAATGGAATTTATTTTGGAATCAGTGAATAACTGTTCAGGGTAATCATAAATTAATTGTCTGTTAATGAAACAATTTATGTTGAATTTCTTAATCTTTTCAATCTTATTCTTCATTTTCAATTTTTCTGATTTTTCTAATTCAGCCAATTTTGACGTTGAATCAACCTTGAATTTAGCACCAAAGATTTTAACTTTATCAGTATCTAATGAAGTATTAGCGATTAAAATATTAACATCTTCAATCTTTTTAGGTTGATTAATACCGAATTTTTTCTCTAAAATGAACCCTTCATCCAAATAAGAATCACCTAACTTCCCACCAGGAATTTTGATGATTTTGATATTACTTAAATTGGTTGATCCGTTTAATCTTAATACAGCATCAACGGCTAAAGTGGCGAAATGTTCCTTTTCTTGAGATAAAATCTTTGAAGATAATGTAGTTTTGGCAATATTGATCAAATCTTTTCTGAATAAATCGGGATTTTTACCGTTATCTATAGCAATCTTAGTAAGAGCTTCAATAGCAGAATTTCTAGCAATTCTATACCCTTCAATAATAGTTTGAGGATGAATTTTCTTATTAATAAGGGTTTCAGCTTCTCTTAATAATTCAGCTGCTAAGACGGTTACTGAAGTAGTACCATCACCAACTTCATCATCTTGAACTTTTGAAATATTGACTAAAACTTTAGCTGCTGGATTATCTAATGGAATAGACTTCAAGATAGTAGCTCCATCATTGGTAATTAATGATTTATTTATATCACTACCACTTTGAAGTAATTTATCCATACCTTTAGGACCTAAAGTTGATTTAACCAAATCTCCTACAGCAATGGCCCCGACAAATGATGATAATCTGGCATTTTCGCCTCTCTCTTCACTTGCTTGATCTCCTAAAATTTGTACTGACATGAGGTTTCTTTCCTAGACTTTTCCTTGTGTAACTAATACAGTAATTTATTCTAGTCCTTAGATATTCTACCAATAGGTCTGTGTACTATTATTCACCTTTGTGGATGTTAAAAACTAAACTTCAATTGAATCGTTCTAAACACTTCTGGCGATTGAAAATTTTTTGCGCGCTTTCGTGTAGCAAATAGTTTTGAAGATATAGTTGATTAGTCAAACAATTGTTTAAAAAACTGAACAACAATACCATAGAACATAGATTTCATTCATATTATCATAAAATTCATAAGGTATATTCCAAACTGGGTTTTTTTTTCTGCATTTTCTTCGAGCATTTTTCATCATCCATTGACATTTAGTGTATAATGAACACCAACAATAACGATAATTCCGTCCTCAAAACCCTAGACAAGCAATCTGAATCATCTCAAGAGATTATTCAAGCCATTGTTAATGATTCAAAAGATTATAAGAAACTTTTTCAGCAAATTGATACCCACAAATCTGGAGAAATCAGTTTAGATGAGTTTGAAACTGCTTTGAAAAGCTATGATCATCCAATAAAAGAGAATCCTGAATTGATAAGAAGAATATTCAATAGTTTTGATATCAATCATGACAAAAAAATCGATTATAATGACTTTAAAAATTACTTGAAATCCACCGATGAACAAATTTTAAGAGGGTTCAAAAATATTGATATAGATAATGATGGTAAAATCACTAAGAAGGATTTAATCAACTACTTGAAAGAATCACTTGGCTTGAAACCTTCAAAAGATGATATTGATGTGGTGTTTCATCAAATAGATACGGAGAATTTAGGGTACATTACATTTAATGAGTTCAGAAATTACCTTTTATTGGTGCCTAGACTTCATGGATCGAGAATTAAAACAGCTTTCCAGTATATTGTTGAGGAATTGGATTTAACTTCAGATGGGGATGTTACTTTAATCAACCAGTTCTTATATGGATTTGGTTATTTCTTAGCTGGAGGTATTTCAGGAGTGGTTTCAAGAACTTGTACGGCACCTTTTGATAGAATTAAAGTGTTCTTGATTGCAAGAACGGATTTATCTTCAACTGTTCTTCATTCTAGAAAAGAAATAGCTAAACATATCACCAGTAGTGGTAAACACACGATTTTGGAAACTATCGAAACTATGGATTTACCAATTCAAAAAACCATCAGATCGCCAATAATTCAAGCTGCAAGAACTATTTGGAAACAAGGAGGGTTTAAAGGGTTTTATGTGGGTAATGGTTTAAATATTCTTAAAGTTTTCCCTGAAAGTGCTATGAAATTCGGTTCATTTGAAGCAGCCAAAAGGTTTTTCGCAAGCATAGAAGGTATTGAAGATACTACCAACTTATCTAAGACATCGACTTATTTAGCTGGTGGTTTAGGTGGGGTTGTTGCTCAATTCACGGTATATCCTATAGATACTTTAAAATTCAGAGTTCAATGTTCAAATATTGATTCAGGAATCCATGGTAATCAACTTTTGGTTAACACTGCCAAAGAAATGTTCCAACAAGGTGGTTTAAGAACTTTCTATAGAGGTATAATAGCAGGAGTAGGAGGTATTTTCCCTTATGCAGCTTTGGATTTAGGGACTTTCACAACCATGAAGAAATGGTTAGTAAGAAGAGAAATGGTTAAACATAATATTGCTAACGAACAAGATGTTAAGTTGCCTAATTATATGGTATTGACCTTAGGGGCGTTATCAGGATCTTTCGGAGCAACTATGGTGTATCCTATTAATCTTTTAAGAACAAGATTACAAGCTCAAGGAACTTATGCCCATCCAAATACTTATGATGGATTTTTTGATGTGTTACAGAAGACCATCAAAAATGAAGGATACCCAGGATTGTTCAAAGGGTTAGTACCCAACTTAGCCAAAGTAGCCCCTGCGGTGTCGATAAGTTACTTTATGTATGAAAATTTAAAAACCTTATTTGACTTGGAGGTCAATAAGTAATCATTGTAGATAGTTGTAATATATAGAATCGAATACTTCTTGAGTTGTCCGATGTGAGTTGGTTAAAGCCTAGTTGAATCGATGGGTGGAGTTAAAGTTCATCACTCCTAAATTAACATCATCTAAAACCTCTACTTTATGACAATCAATCGATGGAGAATCACTATAATCAATGGCATTTGTATGGAGGAGAAGTTTGAATGTGGTATCTTCTCTGGTCCTGACTGACTTAAGGTAATTGACATGATTGTAGATGAAAGTATTCAACTCTCTATACACTTTATCATCAGGAATATCGATTTGGCTATCACCTTTGGCGGCTAAATGAACAATGTCCGTAAATTCCACAGTATAGATGTCATAGACCGTGGAATCCACCATTAGCACAATCTTGAACTCCATCAATTGTTGTTTTACAAGGAGTTTGGTGACGTCGTCTATGAAACTGTTCAAATGATCGTTCAATTTGGGGGATTTGGAGAAGTAATTGATTTGATTGAATGTTCTTCGTTGTTCGAACACAAACGAAGGATATACCTGGTGATGATATAACACTGAATGGATGTAGTTAAGACATACTTCTTTGAATAGTTGAAGAAATTGATTAACTATCATAGACCGCGAAGAATCTGGGGCATCAACTCTTGAGGTACGCGCTTCTAATGAAACAGTTACACGCTAATGATATACATCGTATAACGTCAGGACAAGTCATTGTCGACCTCCAATCCATTGTTAAGGAAGTGTTGGAGAATAGTCTTGATGCTGGTGCCAGTAAAGTGGAAATTCTATTCAAAGAACATTCATTTGAAGGATTTGAAATCCTAGATAATGGTTATGGGATCAAGCAACAAGACTTTGAAGGTATTTGTAGGAAACATTATACTTCTAAGTTACTGGATTTTGAAGGCTTGAATGAAATCGAAACCTTAGGTTTCAGAGGAGAAGCATTGAGTTCTATTTGTTCCATTTGTGATATTAAAATCATTACCACAACTAAGGAAGACCTTCCTTATAGTTACGAATTACAATTCAATAGAGTCGGGGAATTGATTGATACACAGAAAAAGCTCAACCTTTTACAGGAACCTGGTACGAAAGTGGTGGTGTCAGATATTTTCAAAAACTTACCTGTAAGATTGAAAAACTTCAAGAAGAATTTGAAACTGGAGTTCAATAAGATGATGATGTTTTTATACAACTACGTCATCATTAAACCAGAAGTTAAATATAATATCAATAATATTGTCAATGGTACAAAGAAGAACTTGATCATCACCACAGGGAAGAGTCTGATGTTGGATAATTTCTCATCTATTTTTGGTTATAAATCAATTCTTGGGTTGAAACCGGTATCAGTTAATACTGAAGATGTTGAAATTCAAGGATATGTGTCAGATAATTCTCTGAGAACAGTGAAAGACCGGCAATTTTTGTTTTTGAACCAGAGACCAATCTACAATAAACCATTTATGAAAGTGGTTAATGAAGTATATCAAGTATATAATACTAATTTCCCCGTGTTTATATTAAATTTAACCATTGAGGGAACCAACATAGATATTAATGTTACTCCAGATAAAATGACAGTTAACTTAAATATAGATTTAGAAGTAATACGGGAAAAATTGAACGAAGTATTTGAATCATGGAATAATCTTCAAACATTGAGAATAGAGAAACCTAAGCCTAATTATAAGCCTACTGTGGTAAAACCTCAAGCTCCTAAAAAGGTAATCAAACCGGAAAGAATCTCGAAAAAAGAATCTATCCATAATTATGTTCGAATGCTTAATGTACCCAATGTTAAATCTTCTTTACCTAGATTTCCAGAGGTCAAATCAGTGGTACAGGACGATATGGACATTGATACAGAAATGGATGAAATAATAATTAATAAAGTGAATTTCCAAGAAATGAAAATTGTGGGACAATTCAATCTTGGATTTATTATTACCAAATTTAACGGCAATTTGTTTATTGTTGATCAACATGCATCGGATGAGAAATTCAATTACGAGCAACTCCTCAACAATTATAAAATCAAATCTCAACGTTTAATAACCCCTATATCAGTAGATCTTAATTTAATTGAAAAGTATAAATTAGACAATGAAACTATGGAAATGAACGGATTCAAATTGAATGATAAGAATCAACTCATCAATTTACCAATTTACAAAAACAATCTTTTCAATACAGAAGATTTCATTGAGTTCTTGAATTTTGGCAGAATCTCCAAAAAGGAAAAAATTCTTGCGTCTAAAGCCTGTAGAAAATCCATAATGATCGGACAACATTTAACTAGACCGACAATGAAACGAGTGGTACAGAACTTAAGCAATTTAGATAAACCATGGAATTGTCCTCATGGTAGACCTACAGTAAGATTTTTGAATAATAAATGGAGTGAATTTTCCAAAGATTATGATCTTTAACTTTAGTGACCCCTAAATATATCCTGTAAAAACCACTGCATACCTTTAAAATCTATGGGAATATTAATTTTACTGGTTCGGTATTGATTTTGAATGGAAATTTCAGTCGATATTGATATTAACACCATTTGCATATGGTGCCATAAGTAAGCTTTTAACTTAATCTCAAAATCGAAGAACATCCCACCCCAAAAGGGGAGTAATTACGAGGAATTCTAAAATTAGATAGAGTGGAACAAAATTTCATGATTGTTCCTGTGTTTAAATGGGGTTATGCATAACGTCTTAAATATATTTTACACATTAACTATATTGGGATGGCGATCGTCTATATAAGAACTCCGCGACAATGTCCCTATTGTTCGACGAAAACCTTTTTGCGACACCGCTCAGGTCGAGCGACATTCAAATGTATTTGAATTCGCACAGATTCTAAAATTTTATTTATCTTCTTTTTATAGCTTTGGAACAATTTTTTTATTTTGGATAAACTGTAGTGTTGTTCATTCATATCCATTGATTTGAAAAGAAAAATAAGAAAGGATTTCTGAGGAATTTTTTCAGCAATTCCAAAAACTCCCTTAAATCATAATTTTCAAGGTTTAAATATAGACCGCCACGGCATCGTGATAGATTACAGTTTTTTGGCACTTCTAACTAATAAGTAATCAGTGCTTTATAGAAACCCCATTCAGTTGATATAAGAATCTCAAACGGTGAAGTTAAACTTGAAACCCAAAATTAAAAATGAATACTGTGAAAGAAAGGAAAAGTAGAAGAACTCACAAGAATTCCCGTGATGGGTGTCCCAATTGTAAAGCCAAGCGGATTAAGTGCTCAGAAGAGTTACCTCAATGTTTCAATTGTATCAAAAAGAACTATCGTTGCGGATATTTAGATTTCCCTAAAGATAAATTAAATCACATAAGGAACAAGAACGAAGATAAGAGGAAAGAAGAATTATTCAAGAAGTTGAATAGAGATCAAGAGATCTTTAACTTACCAAATTCTATCAGTGATCTTAATGATTCTATAAAGTATCATAATTCACGTGACTCGGATTCTTCATTGAATTCTAGAAACAATTCATTAAATTCTAAGAAGAACTCATATAGTTCAAGTTTGGGGACGTCGATGAATTCCATGAATTCCAAACAAGTTTTGATCAATGAAACATTCAATAACATTCATAGCGAGTTTGCTACCAATCTTTTGAAATTGGAAACAGACTTTAATGGATCAGTCCAAGGTTCAGTGCAAGGTTCTGTGCATGGGAATTCTATGGATGCGAACATGAACGATATGAATATGAATAGTACTGCTATGGAGAGTGGTGGTAGTGGCAACAGTATTCATACCACCCAATCTAGTCTTCATGGTAATGTTCATGATAATCTCGGATCTAATGTTCCAATACCCATGAACCCTAACAATATGGGCATGAATAACATCAATATCATGAACATGAATGATATGAGTCTTCTTAATAATGGTATAAGCGGACTTAATGGACTTAACTCCATGAATGTCCCTATGAATCTGTATGATTATGATATGTTTGATTTCGAATCATCGGCCAATCAGTTTGTTAACTTTGACAATTCTAATATCAATATCTTGAAAGTATATGATTATAACCAACCAACAGAAGGGCAAAACTTGAACGCACCACCATTAGCCATGGCGCCACCAGTTGCTCAAACATCTCCATATGGACTCCCCAATGCTATGAATCAACCAACGGTGTTCAAGAGGATCCAGAGATCTAAGCCAAGGTATCACAAACAATATTTCTTCCTCCCGGTGTACAATAAGAAGTTTTATACCAGACTTTGGCACCAATTATTCAACCAATCTGTTGATAATGGAGTATTCCAAAGTTTCATCCTTGATAAGTCCTTAGGTATTCTTCTTTCAAACTTGAATATCGTTTTGACCAGTGATTACCTTAAGAACTTCCATAACACTTACCATACTCTTGATGAAATGAACTTTAAAGAGGATTTCTTCTTCAACGATAAGATCCTTCATAAGTTGATAGCTAAGAGTTATAACTATTACTCCAATCTCATCAAAGACATCCGTGATAATTTGAACAATTACCATATTGAGTACACCATCAAGATAAGTCTTTTATCATCATATTCGTCGTATTTCTTACTCAACTCCAGTATTGATACGTTAAATACTTTGAACTCCGGAGCTTCTTCGTTGTTACACAAATTTACTCATGAGATCAATGATTTCAGTCAATTGACTATCAACGTCAAATACATCATTGATTTGATTTTCAATCATATTCAGATTTGTAGGGTACCTAACTTACAGTTTGGATTGATTGAAATCATCTTTGAGCAATTCAAAGTGTTTAAGAAGTTCCTTATCAATTCAACCAGTTTATACCAGTCATTACAAAATAGTCAAAGTATTCGTGATTTCTTACCTAAACATGATTGTATAGAGTTTGAGAATTTCCTCACTTACTTGCTTTATAACTTCCTTCCAAAGATAAAGGCCATGAACCAATCTCACAATCCTGACTGGTTTGAAGGTTGTAGGGATTATAGGGTGTTATCGTATAATTTGATCTTTGAATTGATCAACAAATGGTTTAAGATGTACCCGTCTATTGTCAATACCGTGGCATCTCATTTAAATGTGTTGCAAAGAGTATTCTACTTATTTTTCATCTGTGCTGGGAAAGTCTTGAATCAAATTTTCTCCCCTATCAGATCAATAATGAATATTGATTGTGTCAATGTGTTGTTCCCTGTAGTTGATTTTGATTTTGAATCTTTCAGAATCGATCAAAAGGAAGACAAATTGAGTAATGAACAATTCCAATATTTGAATAGAATCAACAAGGATTTGTTAAGAATGATAAGTTTCTGTAATTATCGTACATTATTCTATGGTCATTATCTTAGCACAGAATCAGTGTTGGATGAAGAATTCATCAGTAAAATTGACGGAGAAAACGATTATATTCGAGTAATACCTACCGTAGTTGATGTTCAAGAACAACCGTTAAATGTCAATTCAGAATTACAATTTGATATCAAATATGAGAACTTCCCTCAATTCCAACAATTCAATAACATTGCCGGTAGTAAGACCAATCCACCAGTCGATGAAACTCACAAATATGACGACAGTAACTTTAATTTTGAGACGGGATTATTCAGATCCGATTTCGATCCGACTTCCTTAGTTAATGAATTTTTAAAGATCCAAAGAGTTAACTGGGAATTGAACGGTGTGAAATTACCTACCATCAAATTAAGAACTAAGAATTTGAATAGTTCAAGAAAATTAATCAACAAGAGTGTTAATAGTTTCAAGACTACTCTTGATTAAGGGCAAGCACCCCCTACTAATAGAAAGATGAGATATCGAGCGACATTCCCAACGAATAATGACCCTTCTTGGGATACTTGTCATCACATCTATTCAATTCATTCCAAACAATCGATATTGTAATGTCGAATCTTCTTCAATAGTGTAATATATTTAGCTAACCTGTAAAAAAACTGTCTCATCAGGGCTCAAATGTTATTGTCTTCTGGTAGTGCGCGTGTAAGACAATTGTGATTAGCCAGACACTTCTCTGTCCGGGCACACAACGCAATGACAAATTGATCATTCTATTTCCTTGTTTTTGACGACATTAAATCGGCCGAAAGTCATGCTCGGTTTAGGGTTTAAGAATTTGGTGGGGGATAGATTATCGAGCACGCGGAAATGTTAACCCTTTGAGATTAGGATGTCGCTAGAATTTAGTTAAGATTAGTGTGATTAGTGTGGTTTCCAAGTTAATTTGACATGATGCCGTCTCCGGGAGACTCCAATGATATTGTGAAAATGATGTGGAGTTAAAGAATTTAGTGAATAAAAAGAAGAAGTGATGCAAATCTTGTGATCTCATGAAGTTTATGGTGAAAAAAGCATTTTCTGTTTCTTTTCTCCTATTGATGAATGTTTAGCGAACGGGGGATTCAACCACAAGCACTACATAACCTCGAAGGACGAATTTTGGGTGACATTCTACATTTTATCATGCAGCATTTTTCTATTCGACTTTCTTGAGGAGTCTTTACCTGCTGAATCGGGACGGGGGTATCACGCATTTACATCATCCGCCTCTTTTCCAACTCACTTCCTACAAATTCAATAGGCTACACATTGTCTGATGTATGTGAGATTATTAGATAACCTATGAGAGAATCTCTCGATCCAGGTCGGTGAATCGTTCCTAACCATATATATATATATTTAACATACTAACTCGTATTCTGATTCAATGGATGAGGTCTGAAACAAAATCTCTGAATCCAACTCCTAAAGTTGAAATTTGGCGTAAACCAAAGAGGTAGAGATTGGAAAGAAATTTGATCCAATGCTCTTCTTGTAAATCAACTGGTGAATTAAGACCATTGGCAACTTGGAACACTTTCAATACATCGTCACTAGATGTTGTAGAACTTAAAATATCATACAACGACTTATCTTGCTTTTTGGAGGCTCCTTTGGAGTTTTCTAATAACTCAGCAATATCCTTTATCATATCAGAGCTGGAAACCACTTCGGTTGATTCGTGTTGACCATTGTAAACGAATTTGTAATACAACAACACTATGTCCCCATGGAAACATCTTTTTGCAGCCTCATTTGCAAGTGAAGCTATTGCCTTTAAGTAGTTGAATGATGAATATGTCCATATACCAACATCCTCCTCAGGGAACCCATAGTCTGCTAGACCATATCCTGTAGTATTAAACCATACTTCCCCTTCACTATTGTCATTAGGGTTTACTTGATTGTGAACGATGGCTTTTATTGAGTCGGCATAGTCCAAGGAACAAGAACACAAAACAGCCAAGAAAAAGATACAGAAGAGGTCCATTATTCCTTGGATTGTTCTGATGTGGCCCTATTTAGTGAGGATCGTTTTGTATTTGACATGAATCCGGGTAAGGTGGGATCTCAGATTTCGCACCAGATTCTTATCGGTGGTTATTCGAACTCAATAAGGTTGTAAAGGTGATGGCCAGTGTTGATGGAGTACTTCATGTGGTCAGAAAGAGGTTTTATTACGGTTTTCAGGTCCATGAATGCTTTGTTTGAGCTCACTATGAAAGGTGCATCGTTTCATGAAATGATGCCAAATGTTGAATCTGAAGAGACGGTTTTTACGTGCGATAGTTCACTTCTTCATTCTTCCGAGTTGTTCACTTCGTAAGTCTTTGACTTATTCATTTTGTAATTTACTTTCTTATTCTTTGAATTACCAAGTTTGTAATTCACTTCGTAATCCATATCTTTCTCATGTCTATCTGAATGTTCAAGTCAGAGTTCCATAGAATTACCATTGACCATCAAATACGGCCTATTTTGATACATAATTCACTCCCATCTCTTGAAATCGTGTAATTTTAAAACCCAAACCTCCGATTCAACAAAGAAACTATGAGGGCGTTGTCCGTCTGAACCAACCATGCCCAATCATCCAAACATCCTCCTCTACATCCCATATCCTAACTCTCACTCCAATCTTTCCACAAAGTCATATAATCAAAGGTACTCTTCAAACCAAGTCTCGGACTTTAAAGGTAGCTTATCAGCAAAAGCTTAAACTGGAAAAATGCCAAATGGCGGCACTGGCTCAAAGCAGAAATCGCGACATAGATAGGGACTAAAAAATTTTTTTACTACCGCTACGATCGCCCTAGGGACTTTGGTGCCATTTAACGACGCAAAAAATACCCCAGAGGATGAAATTCCAGTGCGGTGAAATTACTATGATATGAAAAAGATAGTCACCTTCAAACTACACAAACGTCAACATAATCTACGAGAATGGAAGATTTTTCATTCCTTAGAAATCATTGAATTGAAACTTTTCAATCAACTTGTCATCCTGAACACTTCGGATTTAAATCTCGTCATATCTACGTTGTTGGCATTATCCATCTATTACATAAGATCAACATGTCTAAAATGGTTTAAAATACCTAAAAACGAAATGATTTCTTTAAGAAATAATCTACTTAAATATGGATCTTTCTATTACGATCAAGCTATCAAACTACTAAGAATTTCTTTAGAAAACCCCCCAATTTAATGTTGAATTATCCATTATAGTATCGGAATTACTTAACAAAATGAGTATTTATGAGTTTAAAAACTTAAATAATAGTGCTATTTTCAAACAAGGAGTTATATCGATCTTTTCCCGATTAATCAAATATAATATCCTATCAAAAGATGTCACTATATTCCTTGGATTTCTTGATTTTGCATCGAAAACCATTCATTTCCCTCGGTATAATTATCGTGTTCTTTATGAATTAAGACAAATGGTTTATCTTGTATCACCGTTCGTCAATCAGGAGAATATCTATCATTTAAACCATTTGCGGAGTTACATTGAAAACGTCATAGATTTATTCCACAATAACAGTAAGTTTGGTGACGTAATAATGTATGAACTCCTACGGAATTGGTTGATAAACTTACCTTCTAAGATTCAAGTAATGCATCATATTAATGATCCTATAGATTTGATCATTCTAAGACTTTACAATACCAGTAGCTTGATATTGAATAACCTTTTCCCATTTGTCAATTATTCATTCTTAACAAATTTCCAAGGTAACTTCAAATTATATCATAACCCAGATTATTCCGTAAGACAGGTCCATTGGCACAATGAGATATTAAAGATCATCGACAACTATTGTATAAGAGTTTCTACGTTTTTTTTGAAACGGATGAATTTGTTGGGGATATTTATCGGTAGTCTGAATTTTGAAAAATTATCATTACATGACATTTTGAATAATATCAATGAAGTTATGATCGATAGGTTCAACAATACCCACATAAAGTTCTATAACTACATACATTTACCCCATGAAGTCAACAATGTTAGATGGTTCCATGGGAATTATCATTATAACAAATATCATGCAAAGCTGTTTAGTTATGATCCCGTACTTTCATACCATTTAACCCAATTACATAACCCACAAATCACCACTACTCATGCCACAAATGATAAGAAGGAACAGTATAAGAAACTAAGATATCGAGAATTTGTAAATGATCCTAATTGCGATGAAATAGGAGCTATTTTATCCTATGATTATTCCGTCCATAATTCCAGCTTGGGTAAAGAGGCTTTGAACTTTACTATTGATTATTCTAAAGGTTTGGACGTTAACGACAGAGATGTCAAAGGTTTAGTTAAAAACCCTCTTAACCCCTTCAATAACTTAATTCATTATAATATCGGGAACTTTAATATCAATAACTTTCATATCAATTTCGAAAGTATCCAAGTTGAAGAACAGGATGATGGTCATAAATTCTATGATGACATTAATAGATTCTATGTAAATAGTCATTGATTATCGGGTAAATAGTCCGTCCCCCGTTAAACAATGTAAACTGTAAAAAAAAATAATTTACAAATCCGCCACGCTCAATACCTCTCATATCGAAAAAGGTTTTTTTCCCGATAACACCGATTTTGCATTACCTCATTTGTGACTAATACATGATCCTCGCTACGAAATATGTCAGTTAGAAATAATAACGCCAATCTAGAAATTATTTGACTCTGTCCTAAGCCTTATGTTGATTTTACCTGATCAAAACTATTGTTTTAATTTTACTATTTGTACGCCCCCTTTCACAATTCCGAATAGTGAATGATTTTTAATCCCCGATGGCTTATTTTTCTAGCCGTGCTGTTACCGATAATATGGAGATTTCTCACATTTCTCACTAACCTGTAAAACCGTTCACGACTTTTTTTTTTATATATTACCTATAATTCTCATCTTCTTTTAATAATATACTTTCAATTATGAATGAAACTAAGAAGAGAAGGAAGCATAAGAATAGTAAATTCGGGTGTCCAAATTGTAAGAAACGTCGAGTGAAATGTTCTGAAGATTTACCCCAATGTTTAAATTGTATCAAACATAAGGTTAAATGTGGGTACCTTGATTTTTCACCTGAAAGGATTGAAGAGATGAAACTTGCTAAGTTACAAGAGAAAGATGAAGAAGAAGGAAGGACAAGGTCGAATTCATTGAACCCTATTTTGTCCAATGGTAGTGGTCATAAATCTTCACTAACTTCAATTTCTGGATCTTTAAAGAGTTCATTATCAGGCCCAGCTACTTCAATGGCCCCATCTTTGTCAGGTACAAATAATTCCCTCCAAGGGTCATTTTCAGGTCCAACTTCAGCTCCAGGCTCATATTCGGGTCCAACTTCAGCTCCAAGTTCAATGCCTGCTTTATCTTCAGGTCCTTCAACGATAAACCCTTTGAAAACTTTCAATTCTCATGATTTAGATGATGAAATAGAGAACCTTTCCATCGGTTTACGTCCAACTACTCATTATTATAACAATTTCAACAATATCTTGAACCATCCCAACAATACCATCAGCCAAAATTTCGATAATTTACTTACCGCAACCCCAGATAAAGAAGGAATTATTTATCCTGTTTATTCCATTGTAGGAAATCAAGGGATAAGTCCTTTTGATATTAATAACTTTGGCTTCACAGGATTGTCATCTACTGGAATATCTTCGACGGGAATGTCTTCTGCTGCTGCCACTCCTAATATTGATAATTATTATAATAACTATGAAGATGATTCCCTACAACAGAATCTTATTGAAAGTCTTATGAATTCCTCCAGTGTACCTCAAGATTACCTCATAAATATCGCATCACCACCACAAATAGCATCATCTAAGATCCTTCCCAATGGGATCAAACAACAATTCAAATTTAAGAAGTTAAAGAAGGTTGAAGTTAACTACAGAGCTGTGTTAATTGATACCGTCATTCAATTGGGTCCTATGATATCTCAAGGTACTGCCAGTTTAATTCAAATCAGAGGGTTATACACTGTATGGCTCAATTCCTTCTTATATAAGAGTTATGAATCAGATCTAATGTTCAGTTGTTTGATCAATTTAACTACCAATTTCTTGATTTCCAATATCTTCAATAACTTCAACTTGATCAATAATAACACCAATAACTTCATCAACATCACCAATACCAAGAATATCTTGTTAATCATCACCATTAAATATTATGCTATTGTTATCAAAGGAATCAGAATCTACCTTAATAAGAATTTTGATCCAGAATTATGTTCATTTGTTAGTTATATCTTGAGTCTTATGAGTATTTATGATCCCGAAGTTTCTTTAAATTCCGTCAATTGTTTCACTGACGGACTATTCAGTGTATTGAAATTCAATTTGAATCAATCCATAAAGAAAGGTATAACCCCACCAATTTTGATCCCTGTTCATTTGAAATTAATGGAAAACATCCAAAAATCTATCTATTTCCCCGGTTATGATCCTGATTTCTTACATGAATACAGAGATATGTTATCAACATTCGGTGCTATCTTATCAAAATTAAAATTACCCACTGAACTTGAACAATACTTGAACAAACATTATTCTAATCTTTGGGATTTCACTAATTCTTCCTTAGATGAATATTTACCCTTGCTCATTGAAAATCAAGATAATAATCAAATTCAACAGGAAGTTCTTTTCAAAATGACAAGTACTTGGGTAAGATTATTCCCTTCCAAATTACTTATGATCAACAAAAACAGTCATTTAATGGAGAAAGTTCTTTATATTTTCTTCAAATTATTCAAAAAATCCCTTTTTGCCATTGTTCCCCAGGTTAAATATTATTTCTTACGAGATTTCGATTCTCCCTTGATGCTCGATGTATTCAATTTCTTAAACGATAATGAGATCTTCTTTGACGACAATTTGAACCAGGATTATGTCGTCAAGTATAAAGATGAATTAAAAGTGTTGATAAGTTACTGTGTAAGAGCTGCCAATTATTTCTTAAAAAGATTACAATTCATGTATAAAACCGTTGTTTATGAATCCACCACAAAAAACTTATTTCCTGTTCCTCAAGAAAGAAAGAGTTTCATTATAGACATACCGAAATTTAGGAAACTTTTCTATGAGACGTTGAATATCAAAGAAACTCATATCAAAAGTTTTAACACCACTTTGATCAAACCCTATCATTTCCCTCATACTGAAGATATAGAACAAGGGGAAGATGGGATTGATCATGTGGATTATTTAACAATGAAGGAATATGGGTTTTTAGCTGGTGATGTAATTTCTTAGTCATGTAGTAGTAATGTAAAATATGAATATTAGTGAAAATTTGAACATCTGTGTGTTGGTAAAACCCTTTCTATAATGGTGATGTATCGCAGCGCGGATTTATGGAATCTGAAGCTATCACCTCAGCATTATCTGATCTATATAATTTCCACAAATACCAATATGATCAATTGATCAAACCTCGTAACATCAAATACAACAGTCTTACTGATGATGATAAAAAGTTACTACCTTGGTACGTCGAACATACTGAGATCATGAAGAAATGTATAGATCATAATCGTGAGTGTCTTCAAAGCATTGCATATACTGTGGGGGCGAATTGGGGGTTTCCTGATCCCTCGATATGGGACCCTCCCACTACCACAGGTTTTGATAGGGTGAGGTCATTGTTACTACAATTGACTCGAGAATGGAGTGATGAAGGTATAGATGAAAGACAAGTATTAGAAAGGATATATGGTGATTTAGGATCTCAACAATTAGATATTCTTATACCCGGATGCGGAACTGGAAGGATAATTTACGATCTAGCTGCAAGAGGTCACGATGTTCATGGTATTGAATTCGGTTACCATGTGATGATCCTAAACCAATTCATGTTAAATTTCTATCAGAGAGAATTCATTATCTACCCCTATTTACATAAGCTTAGTAATGTGGTCTCCAGAGATCGTCAAACCAGAAATGTGACTATACATAAAGAAGTGCTGGACATCAAAGGTAGTATGGCCATGTCAGGGGGATCATTCATTGATATCTATGGTCCAAATGATCTTCAAATAAGTGAGTTTTACCTGGAAGAAAACCATGAATGTAGAGCTGACCCTACCAAATTTGATACTTTAATAACTTGTTTCTTCATTGATACGGCACCCAATATCATTGATTATCTCAGAACCATTCACCATAGATTACATCCTCATGGTAAGTGGATTAATATAGGTCCTCTTCAATGGCATTTCGAAGATGACCATAATATCACCACCACTATAACTAACGGCATTACTGTCCCAAGCATTAATAAAGGACTAGAACTTTCCAGTGAAGATTTATTTCATCTAATCAACCAATTTTTCAAAATCACTCGAAATGATCAAATTCCCACCACTTATGCCACCGATCAAACCCTCATGGCTAAAAACTTATACCACTGTCTTTACTGGATAGCTTCACCCTTACCCCTTAAATAGATAATCCATCAAATTTCTATCAGATAGATCTCTATCAAATACATCTAAACGAAAGTCGTGTCTCGACCATCTTGAGATAAAAATGAGGCACAATTCTCAAGGATCATTAAAATTATAAATGAGTTTCCCAAACCCACCCAAAGCCATCAAATTAGTGTTATTAGGAGAAGCAGCTGTCGGGAAAAGTTCCTTGGTATTAAGATTTGTCTCCAATGACTTCCAAGAGAACAAAGAACCAACAATTGGTGCAGCATTCTTAACTCAAAAATGTACAATAGGAGATAAAACCATCAAATATGAAATATGGGATACTGCTGGACAAGAAAGGTTTGCATCATTAGCACCAATGTATTATAGAAATGCCCAAGCTGCATTGGTTGTTTATGATATCACCAAGCCTGCATCGTTTTTAAAAGCTAGACACTGGGTTAAAGAATTACATGAACAAGCATCAAAGGATATAATAATTGCATTGGTTGGGAATAAATATGATTTAGTTGAAGATTCTAATGATGAATTAAGAAAAGTATCTGTTGAAGAAGGGAAGAAGTTGGCCGAAGAAGAAGATTTATTATTTTTTGAAACTTCAGCAAAGACTTCGTTTAATGTTAACGAAGTATTTATTGGTATTGGATCAAAGATTCCAGATAATTCTCCTGTGACTGAAACTAGACCAGAAAATGGTGCTAGAATTGATTTATCAAGTCAACCAGCACAAAAATCAAACAGTTCATGTTGTTAATAGGGATTAGGTGTTAATGTATTTTAAAGGTTGATAGGGTCAGTTGATCGCAGTAATTTGACATCTTTTGGCGGTAAGCCACCTCTCTAGCCAGTTCGCATTACAACGGTTTTCTAGTGAGATTTTCTCCCCCCAACAAAGTGCGATTCTTCCAATGTCTTTAAGAGTAGGTTATATTCCAGAACACTTCTCCACTCCTTTGTTTTTAGCTAAAACTTACGGCTATTATACCGAAGCCGGTTTAGATGTCACTTTCATTCCTGTCATTGAAGGAAGTGGTAGATTAATCAAGTTATTAAACGAAAACGAAATTGATTTGGCTATCGGATTAACCGAAGCTTTCATCAGTGATATTGCCAAAGGTAATGAAGCTTATAAATTGATTGGATCATATGTTAAATCACCTTTATGTTGGGCAGTTAGTACTGGTGCTGGAAGAGATGAATTGAAGAGTTTGGCCGATTTACAAAGTAAGAAAATCGGGATTTCCAGAATGGGTTCCGGTTCATATATCATGAGTTTCGTTGTTGGATTAGATCAAAAGTTTACTCAACCATTTTTTGGAGGTCATCCAATCTTACACAACTTCAAGAACTTAAGAGAATCTGTTAACTTAAAAGCCGGTGAAGGTTTAGAAAACAGTGATGCTTTCATGTGGGAACATTTCACCCTGAAAAAATACTATGACAATGGAGAATTGAAAAAAATCGGGGAAATTTATACTCCTTGGCCATCTTGGGTTATCAATTGTAACACCCAATTCTTAGAAACCAAGAAAGATGATGTTAAAAAGTTCTTAAACTGTATCAATAAAGGGGTTGAATACTTCTGGGCTAATCAAGATGAATCTACCACATATATCGGTGATAATTTGGATTACTCTAAAGCCGATGCCGAACAATGGATCAAGACCGTTCAATTTAACGATAAATTGGCCCAAGAACCTTTGGATTATGACAAAATCGTCGTCACCACCGCCAAAGTATTAAAAACCGCCGGTGTTTTAACTGATTCCGATGATGTCATCAATCAAAGATTGGAAAAAGGTGTTGTCAAAGTTTTATAAACAATAGAACATTCCGATGTCTTCTCTCATCTCCTTTGTAATCATTGACGTCTAATCACCATTTTTAACCCCGTCTAATCGGTCTCTGCTTTTGCCTTGCTCATCTGACAGTAAATCGAGATGCGAAATCTATCATGTTTCCTAGACCCTTCTGGATGAAAATTCCCAATACCACCATAGAGGATGCGTTCAACAAGGTCACTAGAACGGAGATAGATAGAATCCGTGCAGGAGATACTTGGACTCATTCAGTGGCGGCTAAACCTCAGAACAAGTTAAGAAATAGGTATACTGATGTGTTCCCCTGGGATAAGAATCGAGTCAAATTACCTTCAAAACATAATGATTATATTAATGCTTCTCATATTGACTTACCAGACTCCAGGTATATTGCTAGTCAAGGTCCTTTAAGACAAACCATCCACCATTTCTGGTCAATGTGCTATAATGAGTCTCAAAGAAGAGGCGAGGATGATATTATCATCGTGATGATTACTCCGTTGGTGGAGAATAACAGGAAAAAATGTGAAAAGTATTGGCCTGACGAATCTTGGGACTTATCCAGTCTCCTCAAAGAAGATCAAATCGATTTACCCTCAATGAATATCACAAATGATCGTCTGACATCTTTCTCGAAATTTACCTTGACGGAATTATCATTGACTGTGGGCGATGACGTCAAGAAGGTATGGCATTACTATTATCATGATTGGGCAGACACTAGAACTCCATCAGATGGTTTATCACTCATTGAATTACTGAATCAAGTACATAAGTTGAAATCTACCAAGAAAGTTCAAGTTCCAATCATACATTGTTCTGCTGGAGTTGGAAGAACAGGAACTTTCATAGCATTGGATTATTTCAACATTCACGATGAGTTATTGGTAGATGCAGAAAATTCAGACCCAATCTATGAACTTTTCCAATTATTAAGGAATGATAGATTATTAATGATCCAAACCCTTGAACAATACGAATTTCTTTATGAATTTTTCCTGAAAGTCGTCTTAAAGGACTTTCCTTTCGAGAAGAAATAGAGATCAAATTCCCCTTTTTTTTTTTTGCAACCTTAATAAATGTCGTAGTTATCTGTAATAAATGTCGCGTGTCGTATTCATCTATTTGTAGCCTGGCGTCTCTTTTTGCAACCTTTTGCAATAACCATGAACTATCAGTCGATGATTCCTCGTGTATTACCATCTATTCCTTCTATTAGTGAGCTAGGTGTCATTATGGAAGATACAGAGATGGTTAGTGAAACATTCTTAAAGAATGAACATATTTATAACTGTTTTAACGTCTATGATGAATTAAAGGTGATTGTAGATAAAAGCTATTCCCATCAATCATTCTTAGATCGTTTAACTCACGATATCTATGAGTTATCCTTGATTTTATCTACTACGGTGATCACACAGACTTTGAGTGAGTTAAGCAGTGTTAAATCTGTAATCATTACAGATGAAGTTACAGGTGGTTGTTTTATTGATTGTACTAGGAAAACCTTTGGGAACTGGCGTATAACCATCAAAGGAAGTAACGAAGAGATACTTTTCCTTGGTCACATGTTCATGATCAATCAATTGGATCAATCAGATTACATTACCATCGAAGTTACTAAATCTAAGTATGTCAAACTATGTGAGATGAAGATTTTACGATGGGAAGACATCACGTTGATTCCAACAGGGTATATAGGGTATTTAGTTAATGTGTTGATCACTAAGGAGAATATTTATAGCCTTATCAGAGAAATTATGATTATAAATAGTGATTTGAAGGTATATAAACCTCAAAGGACAACTATATTACAATCGATTGATGATCTTAACCTACCAAGAACTAACCCTTTGAAACTTATTCAACCTGAAGTCAGTATTACAAAGTTAATCACTCTAACTAAGGCACAAGTAGGATATCTAATAGGTAAACAGGGAGAGAGAATCAATTCCATAAGATATAAAACTGGATGTAAAGTAACAGTTTTACCAGTATCAAGTGATAATCTACTAACAGGAAATAGGAGAACACCCCAAGTAATCAAATTATTTGGAACCAGTGATAAAGTTGATAATGCTTATAAGTTAATAATGGGGAATCTTCAGGTCTATAAAGATAATGGATCAATTTATTCATAAAAGAAATTTGTTGAGACAAAGAAATTCATAGCCTTTATACAACATCTCATCCACAAGTCTCATCCCTTCGCTCCCCCATCCTTCCCACGACAGTCCCATCACCATATCTCTCATCTTTCCCCTACTTTTCCGGGTAACCTCAAAATTGAAAATTTTTCTAACCCATCAAGAAAAAAATTTTTCACAATTTTCATTTTAAGTTAAAAACTTTTATTAACAAATATTAGAAATATGGCTGACGGTGTTTTCCAAGGTGCTATTGGTATCGATTTAGGTACTACTTATTCATGTGTTGCTACTTATGATTCAGCTGTTGAAATCATTGCTAATGAACAAGGTAACAGAGTTACTCCATCATTCGTTGCTTTTAACGATGAAGAAAGATTAATTGGTGATGCCGCTAAAAATCAAGCTGCTTTAAACCCAAAGAACACTGTTTTCGATGCTAAAAGATTAATCGGTAGAGCTTTTGAAGATGAATCTGTTCAAAAAGATATCAAATCATGGCCATTCACCGTTGTTAACTCCAACGGTAACCCATTAATTGAAGTTTCATACTTAGGTGAAAACAAAACTTTCTCCCCACAAGAAATTTCATCAATGGTTTTAACTAAAATGAAAGAAATTGCTGAAGCTAAAATTGGTAAAAAAGTTGAAAAAGCTGTTATTACTGTCCCAGCTTATTTCAATGATGCTCAAAGACAAGCTACCAAAGATGCTGGTTCAATTTCCGGTTTAAACGTTTTAAGAATCATTAACGAACCAACCGCTGCTGCTATTGCTTACGGTTTAGGTGCCGGTAAATCTGAAAAAGAAAGACATGTTTTAATTTTCGATTTAGGTGGTGGTACTTTCGATGTTTCATTATTAAACATTACTGGAGGTGTTTTCACTGTTAAAGCTACTGCTGGTGATACTCATTTAGGTGGTCAAGATTTCGATACCAACTTATTAGAACACTTCAAAAAAGAATTCCAAAAGAAAACTGGTTTAGATATTTCCGGTGATTCAAGAGCTTTAAGAAGATTAAGAACTGCTTGTGAAAGAGCTAAGAGAACTTTATCTTCAGTTACTCAAACTACCGTTGAAGTTGATTCATTATTCGATGGTGAAGATTTCTCCGCTAACATTACCAGAGCTAGATTCGAAGATATTAACTCAGCTTTATTCAAATCTACTTTATCTCCAGTTGAACAAGTCTTAAAAGATGCTGCTATTGACAAATCTAAAGTTGATGAAGTTGTCTTAGTCGGTGGTTCTACCAGAATTCCAAAAGTTCAAAAATTATTATCAGATTTCTTTGATGGTAAACAATTAGAAAAATCTATTAACCCTGATGAAGCTGTTGCTTACGGTGCTGCTGTTCAAGGTGCTATCTTAACCGGTCAATCAACCAACGAAGATACCAAAGATTTATTATTATTAGATGTTATCCCATTATCTTTAGGGGTTGCTATGCAAGGTAATGTTTTCGCTCCAGTTGTTCCAAGAAACACCACTGTTCCAACTATTAAAAGAAGAACTTTCACCACTGTTGCTGATCACCAAACCACCGTTCAATTCCCAGTTTACCAAGGTGAACGTGTTAACTGTTCAGAAAACACTTTATTAGGTGAATTCGATTTAAAGAACATCCCACCAATGCAAGCTGGTGAACCAGTCTTAGAAGCTATCTTTGAAGTTGATGCTAATGGTATCTTAAAAGTTACTGCTGTTGAAAAATCAACCGGTAGATCTGCTAACATTACCATTTCTAACTCTATTGGTAGATTATCATCCGATGAAATCGAAAAAATGATTGAAGATGCTGAAAAATTCAAATCTTCCGATGATGCTTTCGCCAAGAGACACGAACAAAAACAAAAATTAGAAGCTTACGTTGCTTCTGTTGAATCAACCATCACTGATCCAGTCTTATCATCTAAATTAAAGAAATCTGCTAAAGATAAGATCGAAACCGCTTTATCAGAAGCTTTAGCTGCTTTAGAAGTTGAAGATTCATCCGCTGATGATTTCAGAAAAGCTGAATTATCCTTAAAGAGAGCTGTCACTAAAGGTATGTCAACTCGTTAAATAAGTAGGGGTTTACAAAATAAAATATCTAATCTATTTATCACGTTTATTCAAGTATGTAATTTCCTAATTTGTCTATCTTAAGGTTTTGAGTACCAGAAGATAATGCCTGGATGATTTTTTCATTTTCTTCGGCGTTAGATTCCGAATTGAGATCGAGTTCTGGTTCTTCTTCTGATTCTTCTGAATATTCATCTTCTGAATAATCTTCCTCTATTTCTTCTGATTCATCTTCTTCCTCTTCTTCTTCTTCTTCTGCCTGTTCGTCTTCAACTTCTTCACCACCTTCATGATCTCTCATGGCTCTAACAGCAGCCTCCAAATCACGACTTTCCTTCCTCTTATCTTTCTTATATCCTGAGGCCTGTACTTCAACATCGAGATCTTTCTCTCTCTTCACATCCCTATAAAAATCTGGATATGCGTATCTGTAACCTTCACCAAAACCTTCAGTATCTAACATCACGTCATCATCTTCAGGAACATATCTGAACTTCTTCTCAAAGAAATCCCTGATTCCGTCGACATCTCTCTTGAAGTACATTTCAGCATCAACATGTTGAGTCGATACACATTGGGGAAAATCAATCACCACAAAATCATATTCATATTTCTTATCTTCATTATTCCTTATGATGATATTGAACTCATTGAAATCACAATGGATCAATCCGTGATTAGCTAACTTAACTATGAAATTCATCAAATCTGAATACAATTTCTTGAAGTTGGCATGATTTCTCAAGTGTTTCATAGTCACACCGTCTATCCATTCCATTAACACACAGTGTCTGGAATTATCAAAGGGTTCAGGGATAATAAACCCATTATCGTATAAAACTCTCATAAATTCGTACTCTTTTTGGGCTGCTAAACGAGATAAATACATCCAGTTAGACGTTTGTTTGTTTTTTAAGTAATCTCTATTATTCTTGACGGTTTTGAAGGATGTTCTACCCAATCTGTGGATTTTTAACACTCTTTGTTGGCCCTTCCCATCACTAACGGAGTAAATATCTGATTCCTTTCCTACACCGATAGTGGTACCCAACGAATAAAGGGTATCTCTGTTTAACATGGACTTCAATGCAAGATAATCATACCCAGTGTAAGTAATTCTGAACCCATCATATTTGGCATTTCTTAATCTAGCTAATAACTTTAACTTGGCTAAATCTCCTATAGCTCTATTGGTGGCAGTTGGACTTTTCAATCCTCCGATGGAATGGATCATTTGCGTAGGAACTAACTCATGGTTTCTGGATCCTAACTCTACAGCTTGAAGGACTCTGAAGTCATCTGAGGTCAAATACCTCATATGAGAAGTATCAAGCTTCATGGCGATGAGATGGGATTTTCGCGAAACCTATTAGTTGATGTACCGTAAACGATGGAAACGACGTAATCCCTGGGTCAATTGGAAGAAGAACTCAGCCAGAGGAGCTAGAGCCAAAGATAATGGTACAAAGACGGCTCCTGTGGTTCAGAACATTCGAAAAATTGGCGTGAATGATGGATCTTTCACAGATTCCGCGTCTGAGACTTATTATCAATGGGAGTCAACTCATCCATTATATGAGGCCAAAGGAAGGTCTGCTGGATTCAAGAAACGAGGTGTGCCATCTTTGAAATTTATATCCAGTAACGTGATTGCAGAAAATGCTGGCGATTTGAACAGTCACGTTTTATCTTCATTATCTGCACCTTGTTTAAAGATCCTTTGGAATAACGTTTTAGCCTGTAATAACGACAGTTTTTCCATATTCAATTCCTTTGCTGCAGTTATGTTTGGAAATGGGTCCTTCAGATGTCATTTACCTTCGATGGAATCCAAAGTACCTCAAATCGACATACGACAGAATTATTTACGAGAATGTTTGATACCTAATAATCTAACTCATCGGATTGAGAATCTTTTCAATAACATCAGATACCACGATTTTACCTATTATCTCAATCATCTTACCTATGATAACGAGGTGGTGTTAAATGTCTCCCAACTATCATTATCAAGAGAAGATCTATTGATGCTTTTCAAAATCAGAAATCTTGTAGGTCTCGATTTATCCAATCAGAACCTTGACGATAGCATTTTACATTACCTCACAATATCTATACGGGATGGGATGCTACCACGGTTAAAAATACTCAATTTGACTAATTGTAAGAACTTATCTAAAGCAGCCATTGATGAAATGATTTTGGCTGCGAAAAATAGTTCTCTTTCGGTGATAATCGCCGATGATTTATGGAGACCTCAATTCCATGAATCGTTACATTCTCTGGCCCTTACCGGGTATCAGATCCAGGGAACTAATTGGATATCATATAATGATTTGTGGGAACACAAGAAGCCCATTTTGAAGTTTTCAATGGCCCTAGCTTTGTACTATATCTCCAAGAACCTTGACGTCCTGACATCCTCCCCAAGAATTCTTATAGATATAATGATCCACAATCACAAATTCGAACCCAATTTGGCCAATCATCTTTTGGACCAAGTCCACCTAAACAGAGTTAATGATCGCTTCCAGCTTCCCTTGAATGCTACTGTGCTTATGGTTGATAAATCACGAGATTTCAAACCTTTGATAGATCAACCGAAATCCACCCAACCTGACGCCATTTTCACACGGAAAGTCACCAAGAAGAAACCAGTCCAAAAAAGGACTACGATAAAGAGAAAGAAGATGACTATAAATGATATTATGTAATATACATGCAATTAACTATTACTTGGTCTCTTAAGTAAACTTAATAAATCATTAGCAGCGTTAGAAGGTGATGATTGAGGAGTTTCTTTAGGTTTGTTAAGAAGCCCCAATAATGCTGCAGATGCATTAGAATTTCTAGGTGCTTGAGGAACTGGAGGTGAATTTAAAGTTGGTTGATGAGGGGACCCATAAATGGCATTCAATGAATCTGATGGTGACTGGAGTGGTTGCGGAGTTGCAGTTTTATTTCTAGGTTGAAGTAACAGTAAAAGATCATTTCCATGACCATCTTTCAATGATTCACCGGGCTTTAAAATCCGCACGTTTCCTTTTGAAGGCTCTGGAGTATATTGTTGAGGATAGGTTCCATTATGGTAAGGAATTGAGTCATAAGAACTTGTTGTTGGGTAAGGATTGGTGTTATATTCATAATTTGTTTGTGGAGTCACTTGTTCGGGTTGAGGTTCAGGTTCTGGGGTGTAGAAGTCATGAGTAGTGGCATGGATTTCATCATTCAAAGCATCAAAATCTTCGAAATCTTCGAAATCCTCAAATTCATCGGTTTCTGCTGCTGGTGCAGGAGCAGGGGCAGGTTCAGCTATGGGTTGTGTGACTTTAGGTGTAGATTCTGAAGGGTTTCTGTGGAGTAATCCTAACAAATCAGCTCCAATAGGTTTAGTTGGTTCTGGCGTTTGAGAAGGTTCTGGAACTGTAACACCTTCTGGTGCTTTAGGTTCTGTAATAGCCTCTGGCACTGTAGCTTCGGGTACTTTAACTTCTGGTGCTTTATCCTCTGGTACTTTAGGTTTCAATAATCCCAATAAATCTTTCGAGGCTGAAGAGCCTCCAGAAGCCTTCAGCTCTTTGGGGGATTTCAATAAATCCATTAACTCATTGGCAGCCTTTGGCTTATCTCTATGTAACATTCCCAAAAGTTCATTTCTAGAATCAACTTTTGGACTCTCAATTGGAGTTTCTTTCGGAGGCTTTGGACTCTCCCTTGGGCTAGGTCTTCTCAATAATCCTAATAAATCATTAGCAGCAGGACTAGGAGTTCTTTCAGGAGTTGATTTCCTCAACATATCAAGTAACGGGTTGTCTGATTTTTTCAAAAGAGTAACTTTACCTGGTTTTAATTCTTCTCCATCAGTCTTTTCAGTCTCAGTATCAGTGGAAAGGTCAGTCGCACTAGAATCTGTTCTTTTGAACAATTTCATCAATTCATTGGCTTTGGCTTTATTCCTTAAAGAATCTTCCTTCTTCCTAGCTTCATCCTCCAAACTTAATTCTTTGGAATGTTTACTTTTACTGGTCAATACTGATAATAACTCTTTGGAGTTTATCAAAGTACCAGGTTTCTCAAAAGAATTTGGATGTGGAGTAATCATTTGACCTGGTTGAGGTAAATTTGAAGGTTGTGCAGGATGGGATGATTGAAGGGGGAAAGTGGCAGGAGGTTGACGAGGTTGAATGTTAAACATTGGATTCATTTCAAGTTGTTGAGGTAAATTATTGGACATTAAATGAGCATAAGGAGCTGCCATTGATTGAGGAATACTTACAGTTTTAATTTCTTTTTCAACTTCTTCCTCTTCAGTTTCAACATCTTTATCATCTTCAGTGGTTGAAATCCCTTGTAAGATATCAAGAAGTTCTCTTCCTGCATCATTATCAACGGTTTGGGTAGTTATTGGTTCAATAACTTTTCCAACACCCAATAAATTCTTCAATCTGACTTCAGCTTCCTTCATTAATTCAATTTCATTCAATCCCTTAGTTTGTTGGATCCATTTCATCATTGGTTTAATCACTGCTGGAATAATAAAGAAATTATTTTGATTAAATTTCACCTTCTTCTGTAATGACTTAACATCAAACCATTCTAACTTTTCAATCTCATTCCTTACATGAGGTACAAAGTTGAAATCTTCAGGAACTCCCTTAACAAGGTAAATTTTATAATTCTTACCATGGATAGTTCTCTCAATATAATCATCTTCATTGATTAAATCTCTGGCATTAAACCCAGTTTCTTCTTCAACTTCTCTTACAGCACAATCAAGATCTTCTTCATCTTTAGATATCTTCCCTCTTGGGAAAGACCAATGATTTGATTCATACCCTTTAACTAAAAGAATTTTACTCACATCACTATTGAATAAGGCAATACCTCTAACTGGAATAGAAGATTTATATTTCCCAAAGATCGATACTGCTTCTGAAGGGTTTCCCCATTTCCAAATCAATGGACATTTCTCCAACATTTTAGCTGAAAAAGATTTCATCTTTAATCCTGGTAATCCTGGATATTGTTGTTTTAAAAAATCAGTATAAAACCATTGAGCTTCTTCTACTTGAAATAACACTCTTTCCACTGACAGTAAATCTTCATTGGGTACATTGACTACAAACCGAACCAATAAATCTTCTAGTATATGGTCCAACGACTTGTTGGCCAAACCGTCTCTTAATTGAAGTGACATAAAGTTCGTTGATTTTGTCCCAAGTGCGAAACTTTGGTTACTATCAAATAGGTGAAAGTTCATTTTGTCCACGTTAAGGAAGCAGAAATGTCGGGGAATCCATCAGTTAAACTTCCTGGGTTCTTGAAAACGTTAACAGAAGCTTCAAAGGCTCCATTAAAAGCATCATTGACCATTTCAAGACCAATTGGTTTACCTGAACCTAAAGTATTTGGCAGCCAATTTTCCATAACTAAGTATTTCAGTCCTGAAGCCAGAGATCAAAGAAGACAACAGATTAATTATGATTTGAAACATTCCCAAGTCTATGAGTATAAATCTTACACCAATACCAACGGGAAGATTTTTAGATCTCCGGTATCATTTTTCAAAGGTGAAAAATCATTATATTTCCCTAATTTTATAGAAAAGAACATCAATGGGGAGAGAATTGAGTTTTTCAAAGCATTAGCTGGTAAGGTTAATGTCATAAGAGTGTTCCAATCCGTTGCTGGTGCCAATGCCACAGAAACTTACTTCAAATCTGGGGAATTGGATTATTTGACCAAAAACTATAAAGATTTCGTACAGAAGTTCCCAAAGGTTCAACTTATAGATTTGAACATCCCTCTGGATAGTTTGAAGAACACTATTCTTAACATGAGTAAGTCAAATATCAAGAAATCTGTTCCTGAAGAGAGACAACTGGGTTATTTCATTTTACCTCATAGCGTATTTAACCATGAAGTCAGAGAGAATCTTCTCTGTGATAACAGTTATGGTGGATATATCTACGTTGTAGATGAACAGGGACGAATCAGATGGTGTACTAGTGGGAACTCAGATGAAGCTGATGTTAAATTGTTCCATAAGGTGTTAATGGGATTATCTAAAGAGATATCGGTATAATGTATATAGTAAATGATAAGGCAGAGGTTTAACCCTTTTGTTTCTCGACTCTTTCCATTACTCATATCCAGACTATCCTTCCACTCTAGCTACCGTGCTACTTTTCTACCCATTCTACCTTGACGACCCTGATGTCTTCAACATTTCTACCCAATCTACCCTAATACCATCTTCTATATCTCACGTGACGTCGTGACTGCTTTTTCTCATCGCACAATTTTCGCGCGCCACGACTCTTTTGAGAATATATCATCAGTGAAAAAAAACTAAATTTTTCACTTAAACATGTCTGCTCCAATCAACAAAGAAAAAGTTCAAGAACAAGAACAAGAAATCCACAAAATCAGAATCACTTTAACTTCTACCAAAGTTAAACAATTAGAAAAAGTTTCTGCTAACATCATCAGAAATGCTGATCAATCTGATATTGTTAAAAAAGGTCCTGTTAGAATGCCAACTAAAGTTTTAAAAATCACCACCAGAAAAACTCCAAATGGTGAAGGTTCCAAAACTTGGGATACTTATGAAATGAGAATTCACAAAAGAGTTATCGATTTACAAGCTCCAGCTTCAATCGTTAAAAGAATTACTCAAATCACCATCGAACCAGGTGTCGATGTTGAAGTTACCATTGCTGCTTAAATTTAATCATTTATGATTATCATTGAATTATGGATGATTTATTGAGGTGAAGTATTTGGATATGAAATTTTTTCGTCAATGATGTGCTCTAGGTTATCTGATTTATTTTGAACTTTTTCTTATAATAAATTAGTTTTATAGCTATCAGGACTAATTGATTAGACTCAATAATAATTCATAATTGTATAGTAATAGATTAATTCAAGTATACTTTCTCTTCAAGACAAAAAAAAACACTTTTCAGTTAAAGGGTCCTATAAATAAAGTTCTCGCTAATTTAGGTCCATAGTGAGGGTAAATTCTTTACGCCATTTACTGCCAGCGAAACATAAACATGCGCTCACTTGCTCACGAAATCTGAAAATTATCCCTAACCCATGGTTTACGTTCTTTCAGTTAAACCTAGAGTTCTTTATGTAGCTAGGCTGATGCAGAACAGGAGATTTTTATCTTCTACCTCGGCCAAACTACTTAAGAACACTCCGGTAGCAAATAACTCTGCCACAGCAAAACCCAGAGTTAAAGCCAATAAACACTTAAAGAAAAGAAATGCTGCCATTATGTCGGGATTTATTATCGTAGGTTCATTTATAGTATTCAATCAGTCCAATTACTATAATTTGGATACCATGCCACCTTCAGGAACTCCTCCACCAGGTTTCAATGCCAAATTGTTCCCTCGTGGTGCTAATCTTCTAGGTGGAACTATTACCAGTTCACCAGCAGAAACTTCACCTACTCCTGGTGCTACCAATCCTGAAAATGATGACAGATTATTCACATGTTCCCAAAGTTCCATCAGTCATAACTTTAGTGCTGGAAACCAACAAAATAAACCAGGTGTTTTCACCTTGAATGAAGAGCAAGTAAGCAAAAAGTTAAGACAATTTGAAGAAAGTTATTATGTTAACAGAGGTAAAGGTGTAACCCGTTATGATGTTTGTCAATTACCTTCCAATTCTCCCATTGAAGATGACAGGTCGGAAGAAATTGTTCAAGTACCGATTTTACAAGATAATAACGTCAAAACTTCTACTGATTGGATGTTCTTTGGAGTCTATGATGGCCATGGAGGTTATAATACCAGTAGTAAATTAAGAGATCAATTGATAAGTCACGTGATTGCAGAATTTTCAACTATTTTCAAACCTGCTAATGAAGATAATTTAAGATTTGTTCCAAATAGTGCAACCATTGATCAAGCTATAAAGAATGGATTCTTGAAATTGGATCACGAGATCGTTAATAAGAACATGGAGACATTATTGAATGAAAATAATAAAGTCAAAGCGGCGGAATTATTAATGCCGGCATTATCAGGGTCGTGTGCTTTATTATCTTTCTATGATACTAATTCCCAAATTTTGAAAGTTGCAGTTACTGGAGATTCTAGAGCTTTATTAGGATCTTTCAAAGATAACCATTGGACTGTCAGACAATTAAGTATTGATCAAACAGGTTCAAATCCTACTGAAGTTGCTAGAATCATTAGTGAACATCCTGATGAAAATAATGTTGTTAGAAACGGTAGAGTTTTAGGTTCATTAGAACCAACAAGAGCTTTTGGTGATTGCAGATATAAATTGCCTGCTTCCATTCAACAAAGAATTTATAAACAATTCTTTGGAAGATCGTTACCTAACAATTTGAAATCTCCCCCTTATGTTACTGCTGAACCTGTGATTACTACCACTAAAATTAACCCTGATCAAAATGATTTCTTAGTTATGGCATCTGATGGATTATATGAAATGTTATCCAATGAAGAGATTATCGGATTGGTTGTTAAATGGATGGAAAGAGAGAAAATGTTCAAACCTCAAAAATCATTCTGGAGTTATTTTGGTTCTAATGATAATAAATTGCCGGAAGTTCAAGATATTACCAACGATAAGACATCAAAGAAACCATTCAGAAGAAACAAGATTGGTGGTAGTAACTACTTATTGGACGATAAAAACGTATCCACTCATTTAATCAGAAATGCTTTATCTAATGGAGGTTCAAGAGATCAAACTTCCATGTTGATCTCAATACCATATCCTACTTCCAGAAGATATAGAGATGATTTAACTGTGACTGTTGTATTCTTTGGTAAAGACGCTAAAGGAGTCAATGAACATGGAAAATTGGAATTAAATCATGAAGCTACCACTGGAGGTATTGATGCCTCCAAGCCTAAATTATAAAAGTATATAGTCTTATTCATTACCATTATGGATTTTTCTTCGATGACTCTTCCGACGATTCTTCTGGCCTTTCTTCTAGCCTTTCTCACTACTACAAGCTCCTCCATGCTTTACGTCCTCATCCTTTTCTCCCTCAACCTCTCCTACCTCTTCCTCTCATACCTCAACCTCTTGAGTCCATATTGGGAAGTCGCATTTTTGAACCCATCACTATGACAGAGTGGTATACCAAAGAATTGTTGGAACCCAACCAGGAATTGACCTGGGAGTTACTAGACATGTTCAACACCCATAAATCAGATGAGCTGAGTGGGTTTGTGGATAATCTATTTAATTCTCCTGAAGTTATTGGTCGTACAACTTTTAGATTCAAAAGATCAGGTATTGAAGGAACTATTGATAATTATAAAGAAGAAGTCAAGATAAGTGAAATAGATAACGCCACATCAAGTAATTCATTACTGATAACGAGAAAGTTCAACAACAAGTCGGATGCCCTTAAAGGAAAGACCAGTTATTTACCTTTCCAGCCAGGTGGATTAGTTGACTCCAACAGAATCAATCAACAGAAAGATGAAACTGCCTTTTTACACAAAGATGAACATGGTCTTTTTGATATTCCTCAAGGTTTCACCCGAGGCTTGCAACTTGAAGCTTTAATTGACGATGAAGTGATGGATAGTGTAGAAGTTGAAGAAGAATCTAAAGACCAAGAGATATCTCCAGAAACGGTAACGAAACCAAAGATAGATTTGACCAACCTTGATTCTAACACGGGAAGTTCTAATTTGCCGTTTGATGTCAATGAAATCGACGGAATCGTTCCTATTGATTATTCTTCAATCCGTAAAGAAATGGCAGCAGAAAAAGAGTTCAAGAAAGATTGGGCACATGTGGTTGATTTGGATCATAAGATAGAGAATTTCGAAGAAATAGTACCCAATATGGCAAGAAAATGGCCCTTTGAGTTGGATACTTTCCAACAAGAAGCAGTGTATCATTTAGAACAAGGGGATTCAGTGTTTGTGGCTGCTCATACATCTGCTGGTAAAACTGTAGTAGCTGAATATGCCATTGCTATGGCCAATAGAAATATGACTAAAGCCATTTATACTTCACCTATTAAGGCTTTATCGAATCAAAAATTCAGAGATTTCAAGGAAACTTTCAAAGAAATCGATGTAGGGTTGATTACAGGTGATGTTCAGATCAACCCTGAAGCTAATTGTTTGATCATGACTACAGAGATCTTAAGATCGATGTTATATCGAGGAGCTGATTTGATCCGTGATGTTGAATTTGTAATTTTCGATGAAGTTCATTATGTTAATGATATTGATAGAGGTGTGGTATGGGAAGAAGTTATTATCATGTTACCTGATCATATTAAGTATATTTTATTATCAGCCACTGTGCCCAACACTTTTGAGTTCGCTAATTGGGTGGGTAGAACCAAACAAAAGGATATATATGTTATCTCAACCCCCAAAAGACCCGTTCCTTTGGAAATTAACATCTGGGCTAAGAATGATTTGTTCAAAGTCATTGATGCTACGAGAAAGTTCCTGGAAATTGAATTCAGAAAACATAAAGATGCATTAGAAGCAGGTAAAAAGGATCCTCCCAAAGTAACTATGGGTTATGGATCAAGAGGTGGAAGGGGTGGAAGTGCTAGAGGTGGAAATCGTGGAGGTGCGGTTACTAGAGGTGGTGCAGGTGGTGGAAGAGGTGGAAGAGGTGGTTCTAATTTTAATAAGAATTTCATCAGTAGAGACGGACCAAATAAGAATACCTGGTCTCAATTAGTTCAATACCTTAAAAATCATACTCTTTTACCAGCAGTTATTTTCGTGTTCTCCAAGAAGAAATGTGAAGAATATGCTGATACCTTAAGAGGAGTGGATTTCTGTACTGCTAAGGAAAAATCTGAAATCCATATGTTCATCGATCGAGCTGTTTCCAGATTAAAGAAGGAAGATAGAGAATTACCCCAGATTTTGAAGATCAGAGAAATGTTAAGTAGAGGTATTGCTGTTCATCATGGAGGTCTTTTACCTATTGTCAAAGAATGTATTGAAATTCTTTTTGCTAGAACTTTAGTTAAAGTGCTTTTCGCTACTGAAACATTTGCTATGGGATTGAATTTACCTACTAGAACCGTTGTGTTCAATAATGTCAGGAAACATGATGGACAAAAATTTAGAAATTTGTTACCGGGAGAATTCACTCAAATGGCTGGAAGAGCTGGTAGAAGAGGTTTGGATTCTACCGGTACAGTTATAGTTATGAGTTATAATGAACCTTTACAACAAGGAGATTTCAAAGAAGTTACTTTGGGAACCCCCACCAAATTGATTTCCCAATTCAGACTTACCTATAATATGATTTTGAACTTACTCAGAATTGAAGCTTTGAGAGTGGAAGAAATGATCAAACATTCTTTCAGTGAAAACAGTACTCAAACCTTATTACCTGAACATCAGAAAACTGTCGAAGCTTTGACTGAACAACTTTCAGAATGCACTATAGATGATTGTGATCATTGTGAGTATCGGGATATTTCTTCCTTATACGACCAAATCATGGAATATGAGGAATTAGGAGGTCAAATAGTTGAAGAGATTCAAGCATCACCTTTATTAAGAAACACTTACCTTAAAATTGGGAAATTGATATGTTACAAAGATGAACAAGATTCTACCAGATGTGGTTTCATCATACGTTCAGATTTTGCTACCAATTCCTTATTGGTGATGACTTTCAATCATGGCTCTGAATTCACTGCCGATGCTCAACAATCTAAATTACCATACATTCCTTCTAGAAGTTATTTGAAGAAGTTCTTCAAGAAGATTAAGTACCAAGGAGATCTTGAGGTCACTTCTGTACCTTTCCCCAAAGTCACGTTTTTATCTAGATACGGATTGAAGAGTAGAATGAAAGATATTCTCCAAAACCAACCTGATGCCATTCAAGACACTAATGAGCAAATCAAGGTTGTTACACAATTTTTCAGTAAATGGGAACAAGTTCCACTTTCTCAAGTCACCCAATTGACCTTACATGAGAAGTTAGACCGTCAAAAACAACTCTTGGAAATCATCCAGAGCAACAAATGTTTATTATGTGATCACTTCAAAACCCATTTCCTTCAATTACATCAAAGAAATACCATTGAAATCAAAATCGATGCATTACAAAAACTTATCTCTGATGAAAATCTTGAATTATTACCAGATTATGAACAGAGACTTACTATACTTGAGAATTTGGGATTCATTGATGCCAAACATAATGTGATGTTGAAGGGAAGAGTGGCTTGTGAAATTAACTCCGGATGGGAATTAATCATTACTGAATTAGTTTTGGACAATTTCTTAGGAGATTTCGAACCAGAAGAAATCGTTGCCTTGTTATCAAGTTTCGTCTATGAAGGTAGAACCAATGAAGAAGAAGACTTACCGTTAACTCCAAGATTAGAGAGAGGGAAGAAGAAAATCCTTGAAATTACTGATGAATTAACCAAAGTATTTATCTCCCACAAGATCTTGTTAACATCGGAAGAAGAAGAATTCACCACTAGAAAGAGGTTCGCTTTGATGAACGTGGTTTATGAATGGGCTAGAGGTATGTCGTTCAATGAGATTATGGAAATCAGTCTGGAAGCTGAAGGTACCATTGTTAGAGTCATAACCAGATTGGATGAGATCTGTAGAGAAGTTAAGAATGCTGCATTGATTATAGGTGACTCCACATTACATTCGAAAATGAGTCAAGCTCAAGAAAGAATCAAAAGAGATATTGTTTTCTGTGGTTCTTTATATTTATAATCATTATCGTTACTATATACATGTCATTACGTAACATTACGTTTGTTGATTCTATTCATTATGAGCTCTATGATACCATTTCTACCGTCTAAGATTTTAGGCACGATGAAGTTCTCCACAACATTTTCCTGTCCATATTTGATAACGAGAATACCTAGGAGGAGGTGGAAACTGTCAATAGCTGTTTTTTCTCTCATCTTTATTGCCAATTGTTGTTGTTCGTTATCTTTACTGACTCTAAATACTCCCCTGACGGGGATAAGTGATTTATACATGGAATTATTCTTCATGAAAGTTAGGATGATGGATGGATGGTTCATCTGTGTTAAGTATCCCATAATATCATCCCATGGAGTGGCTAGGAACTGAACATCACCAAAAAGGATCATAGCATCTCTAGTCTTTTGGAAAACAGATTGACCCATTAATCTTAATTTGTATGAATCTAGGTAGATTGATTTCAAGTTCTCCATTGACCTTATAGATGATACGGGAGTTAAAGGTATCTTGGAGTCTGTTGATCCACATAGTACTGCTATGGCCTCCTTATTCAGAATCTTAAATTCTTCACCTACGAAATCATGAATACATTTGGTTCTATCACCAAGTTTCTCTTCATAGTGCACCAAAGTTTCATCATCCAATATCCTGCTGAGCTGGGAATTCTTAGACTCAAATATGTTTCTTCGTGGTCGTTCAAGTATGGATTTATCGTAGAAAGATTTCAGTTGATATTCAGGTTGAAGAATCTCTTGTGCTAATGCATATAAGTCCTTTGATGATAGCCAGCCGTTCTTACTCAAAGATCTGTGACTTATTTTGTACCCTCTGCTAGCCATATGTCTCGGTATAATACCATTCATTGGCCTCCATCGACTAAGCATCAGCCTTAGAGTGTGATGGTATAGCATAAAATGAGAAGACTTAAGTTTCGCGAATTCTTACAAGATGAGCTCCAAGTCTAAGAAGAAGTCAACAGGTGCCAGTGATGCCCCTGTAGAACCTAAGAAGATCAAGCTCCCCAAATCATATATTGTACGGCCAACTCCTAATGCTGGTGTTAAGTCTATCCTCAAAGTTTATTTGAACCCTGAGATATTCACTTCTTTAGAATTAAGTAACAATGATCTTATGATGATAACTAAGGAAAGTGGTGGTTTTGGAGTCATTGCTGGGATTTATAGCGATGATACGATAGAAAATAATGTTATAGGAATGAGTCAGAATCTAAGAAAACTCGGAGGTATCTTATTGGGTGATAGAGTGACCTTTAGTAAATATAAACCTTTGGTAGAAGCAGATTCCATATCCATTCATATCAAAGGAGATGCAGATAAACAGAAGAAAATAGAGAAGACAATGGATGAGTTCTCGTTGGTATCACCAGGTCTCAAGTTTACTGTGGATGATACTGAAGTTATTGTAACAGATGTTAATTCCATAACGTCATCAATGGATAACTTATCACTTAATGAAGTAATCTGTGACACTGTGACACCCACATATTTGTTCAACCGTGGTAAGACTGTGGTACAGACTGTTGATTCAGATACCATAAATTGTAAGAAATATCCTAATCTTCCTCAAACCATGAGTTTCCTGAAAATAGGAGGGCTTTCTAAACAAATCGATTTACTTCAATCTACCATCGACGTTCCCTTAAACAACCCACAATTATTTTCAGATTTCGGATTATCTCCTCCAAGAGGGATTTTACTCCATGGACCTCCAGGGACAGGTAAGTCCATGTTACTTAATAGTATTGCCTATAATACTGATGCTCATATACTTTCCATCAATGGGCCTTCCATAGTACTGAAGTATTTGGGAGAAACAGAAACTAAGATCAGAGAAATATTCATGGAAGCCAGAAAGTATCAACCATCAATTATACTTATGGATGAGATCGATTCCATGGCACCTAATAGAAATTCCGATGATAGTGGAGAAACTGAATCTAGAGTGGTGGCTACTATCCTTACTATGATGGATAGCATAAGCATGAATGATAATTCGAAGATAGTTATAATAGGAGCCACCAACAGGGTTAATTCTATTGACAGTGCTTTGAGAAGACCCGGTAGATTTGATCAAGAAATTGAAATCGGGATTCCTGACGTCGATGACAGATTTGATATCCTTAAAAGACTTATTTCAAAGATGAACAACGACAAATATGATTTGAATGAAGAAGAAATTCGAGACATTTCATCTAAGACCCATGGTTATGTGGGAGCAGATTTAGTAGCATTAATCAGAGAATCAGTGATGAAAGCTATATCCAGAGGCTTACTAACGTCTTCGACATCCATCACACTTACCACCAAGGATATCAATGACTCTCTTCCGGATATAAGGCCATCAGCTATGAGGGAAATTTTCTTGGAAATGCCCAAAGTTCATTGGTCAGATATTGGAGGGCAACATGATTTGAAACAGAAACTTATAGAGGTCATCGAGCTTCCTTTAGAAGCCAATGAAACTTTTGTCAAACTAGGAATCTCAGCTCCCAAAGGGGTGTTATTATATGGACCTCCAGGATGTTCTAAAACCCTCACAGCTAAAGCCTTAGCTACGGAATCAGGATTAAATTTCCTAGCTGTTAAAGGACCAGAAATCTTCAATAAGTATGTGGGAGAAAGTGAAAGAGCTATACGAGAGATTTTCCGTAAGGCACGTTCAGCCGCACCCTCAATCATCTTCTTTGATGAAATTGATGCCATCAGTGGTGATAGAGAAAATGCTTCTACATCAGCAGCTCAACAAGTTTTGACGTCATTATTGAATGAAATCGATGGGGTTGAAGAATTGAAAGGTGTAGTGATCATTGGAGCTACCAATAGACCTACCGAAATCGATCCGGCATTATTGAGACCTGGTCGTCTTGATAGACATATTTATGTTGCTCCTCCTGATTATGAAGGAAGATTAGAGATCTTAAGTAAGTGTTGTAAGAAGTTCAATCTTTCTCAAGACATCAAATTAGAAGATCTTGCAAAAATCACCGACGGATGTTCAGGAGCGGAAGTTACATTATTATGTCAAGAAGCTGGATTAGCAGCCATCATGGAAGATAAGAATGCTACATCAGTTCAACAGAAACATTTCGATCATGCTTTGAAAGGCATAAGTAGAGGTATCACCGAAGAAATGTTAGATTATTATAAAGAATTTGCTAAGAAATCAGGATTATCTATTTAAAATATATATCATTGTTGCTGACAACCTTCTTCTAAATCTTTTTCGAAATCTTTAGGTAAATCTTTATCAGAGAATCCCAAATCTCCAAACGGATTACTGCCACTACCTCCAAAACCTGGGAATTGTGAAGAATCTCCTACTAATTCTGTTGGTGGTTGACCTAATTCTTGTAATGATTCTAGAAGGGAGTTAACATGATCTCTTTGTTGTTTATCATCATCATTAAAATCTGGACTTTCAAAGATTTCCACTATCTGGACAGTAATTTCATATTGTTTATTATAATTTTGATATTCTTCATCAGGAATTTTACCTTTCTTATCTTTCAAATATTCAGGGAATTTGGTATTTAAATCCTTAATAGGTTCATAAAGGACTTCTTTAGAACTCAATTGTTCTAACATATCCACCAATAACTTACTCATATCCAAATCCTTATCACCACCTCCTAATCCTGATAACAATTGAGTTAACATATCTTCAGGATTAACATTAGCTTGATCATTCTTTATTTGTTCATCAATATTCTTACCAGAAGTTTTCAATCTTTCCATAGTATCTTTCATGACAGAATCAAAATTCTTTGGATCTTTTGATTCATCTTCAAAATCTTTAATTAATTTTTCAAATTGATCTTTAGTTTCAGGATCTTGAATATTTAAATCTTTAATCAAATCTTGCAAATTTATCTCCTCCTTTTTATCTTCGATTTTTGTATCTTCACTTTTAGCAGACCCTGGAGGTTTACTTAATACTTCACCGGCAAAGTCATCTAATAAATCATCTAAATCATCCAAATCATCATCATCTCTAGGATCTTCTTTAGTTAAGTCTTTACTCATAGTTGGGAGAATTAATGTGCGACTTTGCTGAAACTGGGGAATTATATGTTATAATTTCGCACATGCCTCAGTAAATCGTCGACCCAGCTTAGTGCCATTTCCTCGGTAAGTTTAATGATGTTTTCTTTTGATAGATAGCGCGCGGATTTCAAAAAATTTTCAATGTCCTTAGCTAAAACAAGATTGCAAGAAGAGAGGAAACTCTGGAGAAAAGATCATCCTTTTGGATTTTTTGCTAAACCAGAGAAATCAGCCGATGGATCTTTGGATTTGACCAATTGGAGGGCAGGAATACCCGGTAGAAAAGATACTATATGGGAAGAAGGAATTTATCCTATAACCATAAATTTCCCTAATGATTATCCATCTAAACCACCAAAAGTCAAATTCCCGGAGAATTTCTATCATCCTAATGTTTATCCCAGTGGAACAGTTTGTTTATCAATTTTAAATGAAGAACAAGATTGGAGACCTGCTATTACGATAAAAGATATTGTTTTAGGAGTTCAAGAATTATTAAGTGACCCAAATCCTGATTCTCCAGCACAAGAACCTGCTTGGAAAGCTTTTGCTAAAGACAAAGAATTATATACGAGAAAAGTTAAAGAACAAGCCAAAAGATATCAAAATTATAACGCTTAAATCCTTTAGAGGTATCAGATAATAGAATGTACAATAATGTAATACATGAATTAATTAAATCCCTATTTGCCGTCACTTGAACCCTTCAATAAATCTCTACTTTTAGAAGTTATGTTATCAAACTCCCCTAATTGTGAAGTCCCCTTTTCTTTATATGTAGACACAGCAGGAATATCAGCTTTAATTCGTGATACAATAGTTGAATAAGCTCTTGGTTCTAATTTGATCAATGTATGTAAAGGTATTGACATCCAAGGACTTTCTTCTTGAGGAACATTCATGAAATAAGCATAAATACATCTCAATACTGCTTGATGAGTGATAATTAAGATATTTTCTTGTCTTTCTAATTCCATGATGATTGGTTCTAATCTTATAACTATATCTCTATAAGATTCACCTCCACGATACCTATACTCATATTTGTTGTCATCTCTTGCTTTAAAATCTTCAGGAAATTGCTTTTCAATTTCTTCATATGTCATTCCATCACATTCTCCAGCATCTAATTCGTCTAAAGCTTTCCATTGTAATTTATTCTTATAAGGTAAAAATGATGCAGTTTGTTGAGTTCTATTCAATGTAGATGTCCAAACAGTTAAATCAGTATTGATATTTTCTTCACCTAAAGATTTCAATACTAATTCAGGTAATTTTTTGGCATATTTCCACCCTCTTTCACTTAAATCTGCATCACCTCCGATTTTCCCGGTTAAATTGTATAATGATTCTCCATGTCTTGATAAATAAATAGCTCGAGGTTTAATATGTAAGTTCATCACATAATAAACAATTCTTGATTCCAAATAACTTTCAATTCTGTTCAAGATAATTTGAGTATTAACATTAACTAACTTAATAAAACTTAAGTTGGAATCGATATCTTGATTTAAGGTTTGATAATTGGTTTCATAGAACTTTATCCGTTTCATAAAATCACTCAATGCAAATTCACTATCTTTATTGATATAATCAGGTGATGTCGTTTTGACATCTAAGATATTTTGTTTGATCAAATCTTCATCATTACACCAACTTTCTAAGAATAATGGTTCAATGTAATTCTCTCTACATAATTTCAAGATTTTTGATCTTCTATCTCTAGTAGAATTAGTTGCATCCAAAATTCCAACCACTCCATTTTCATCTAAAAACCATGACATCATATCTTTGATAGCTTGATTAACAGCTTCTTGTCTGAATTTCAATCCTTCTTCATTATTAGGAGAGAAAAATGTAGCATCAGCATCAGCTCCTGTAACTCCAGCAATCTTTCTTCTGTAACTACCAACATTAAAACATTTGGATTTAATAGATAACCATGATAAGTACCTTACGATCTTTTGGGCAATCAAAGATTTACCTCTGGCAGGTAATCCTACCATTACCACACATACTCTAACGTTCTCTACATGAGATATTGAATAAACCGGCATGATTGAGAATCGGCTAAATACTTCCTACTGATGAGTTTTGATGAAAATTTTCTCTTTTTTCAAATTTGAACAGATTCTGACTAACTGTGACGGTCTAATTAACTTGATAATGAGCTAATAAACCTATAAAGATACTTTAAATCTAAAAAACTTTGAATAAACGCAATTAAATCCTTTTGATCACTTGACTTTTTCCTCACTTATTGGAATTGTGGGGAAATTAATGGCCAAAATTTTTTTCTTGACAATAATTTCAGAATGATTCAATCAATGTCTGTTAATCTATTTAATCAGATCAATACAACTCCCTTTAAATGAAATTAAGTAAAGTTATCGATAAAAGGAACCCTTTCAACAAAAAATGAAAATAGTGCGAAAAGTTTCCCCCGCGACATCTATAAGTGTCGTGGAGGTGAGACATCTCGGAGACATTTGTAGTGAGGCATTTTGGAATTTTTGGAAATCATCGATTAAACCATGTCAATGAAGAAGTTCTTAAATCGTCATAAAAAGGACGATGAAGAAAATGCCAGTGTCAGTTCTGCCAATAACAGGAAGAGTGTGAGCTCTGTAGGATCAAATAGTTCCATTAAAGAAATCGAAATGTTTGGAGATATCAATCAGAATGATGCTAACTTGAATCTTAATCCTTCAATTCTGAATCAAAATGCTCCTTCAGTTTTCACTAAAGATTCTGCCACCATCAATAAATCTATCTTCTCCAGTAGTAAGACCATGTCTACTAAACAATCATCATATTTTTCCAAGAGATCAATGGATAAATCAACTAAAAAACAACCTGAATATGGTCAAAGATTACAAATTTTAGATATTCAAGAAGAGTTGTCTAACAAAAGTCCTCAAGATACTATGAGAGATAAGATTTTACAATTGAGTAACGATTTATCTTTCATTATGAATCAATATAATAATTCCAATGTAAATTTAACTTCGGCTGTAATCAATACTTTCGAATGTTTAAAGAAGTTTAATACTTTTGTTGATGATTTAAAAGATGTTAATTCCGATTCCGATGATTTTTGGTCTTTTGATACCTATAATAATGCATCTTTAAGAAAAATCATGAAAATTTATTTGAATTTTTACGATAATTTGTTACAAGATGATGTTTATATCAAATTGAAATTGTTATTAGTAAGAAATTTCAACGATTTTGCTAAAACTTTGGATTCCAATAATTCAAAAAGGTTTAGTGTAACTAATCCTACTAATATCATCAAACCTCAAAATTTCGCTATTGGATGTAATGATAGAAAATCTTTACCTAACGAAGATGTTCTCATTAATATTATGAACAAAATGGCTTCATCTTCAATTAAAATCAAAGAACAAAATGGTTCTTTTATTGCTCCTATTGTTAGAGGGATTTCCAAGAATTTAAATATCTTATGTCTTTATTTCGGTTATCCTAATCCTACCGATTATCATTTGAAACTTACCCAAACTTTACACGATTTATATGATGATATTCATGTAGTGGTGGTGAAAAATCATATTGATTTGGCTGCGGCTCAAGTTCAACAAAATATGAATACAACTTTGAATAATCCAACTCCTCCAATTAGTGGTATTCAAAAATTCAAATTACCTTTCAGAGTTCCTACTGATGTCACCAAACCTCCAATGGCATTATCAATTTCCATTGAAAATGCTTCCAGAACCTCAGGAACAATGGGTGGATATATCTATCCTATGATCGATACGGAAAAACAACCACACTTGGAATCTTATGCTAGTTCAAAATTCGCTATTAGTTGTGGACATGTTTGTCTTAATAATACTGATGATCAAACAGAATATCCTCATGTTTCTTCTCCTTCATCAGTATTAATCTCCTTGTATAAGAAAGCTTTAACTCAACAGTATGAGAAATTATCTCAACTGAATCAAACTCCTATGATGGAAGCTAAAGTGGCTTATGGTTCAGTTTTAAATCAAGTTGACAAAATGTTCCCTTTGAAGAAGGTCAAATTATCTGGTAAAGATAAAGAACATCATGAAATTAGAAATTTACCCGTTCATAGATTTGGTCAAATCATTTGGGGTGAAAGAACCTTAATGTCCATTGAAAATTCAAGTGAAAAGAAACTTTCTGATTTAGCCATTATTAAAGTCAATAAAAACTTAAATTGTGAACAAAACTTCTTAGGTGATGATATAGCTTTCAATGAGTTTGATCCTGCTTTGATGTTTGACAATCTATACGTAAGAAAAGTTATTGATTTAAGAAGAGAAAATGAATTGGATACTGACATCGATGAAGATTTATCTGATACTAATAAATTAGGAGGGTTACCCGTATTCAAATACGGTTCAACCACCAAATTCACCCAAGGTAATTTAAATGGTATCAAATTAGTTTATTGGCTTGATGGAGCTATTCACTCATCTGAATTCATTATCAATTCTATTGATAACAATACTGCTTTCGCTGCTGGCGGTGATAGTGGATCATGGATTTTATCCAAATTAGAAGATTGTAATAGTGTAGCTGAAAATAAAGGTTTGGGTGTTTTAGGTATGTTGCATTCATATGACGGAGAATTTAGACAATTTGGTTTATTCACACCAATGTGTGAAATCTTAGAGAGATTAGAACAAGTAACAAAAATCAAATGGGGTGTTGTAGGTGTTGCTGAAAAGGATGACAGTAAATTACCTAATGAAGTAGATTCTGATCATTATGACTCAGAAATCGAAAGCGTTTCCAGTTTAAGTGACGAGAGTGTGTTAGAGAATCCTCCTGTTGAATAGATATTGAGTATAGATTTTGAAAAGGTTTATATATTTAAAACAATGCTCTAAAGGGCTTTTTAGCCTATGATATGATGATGCTTTGAAGGCTTTTAGCCTATGATGTGGTAATGCTCGATGATGTTGTAAGCTTGATGCTTGATGCTAGATGATGATCTTGGTTTTAACTCCATCGATGATTTATCCAACGATAGAGATTTGTTGGACTTTTAATCTCAATGATGAACAATCATCAGGAACTGAAAAGTCATTTTCAAATTTCATTAAAGCATATTCGTTCTTTGAGTATTGGTATGGGTCATTGATGTTTTTACAAGCTGCCCAACCTTGAGTGTTACCATTTTGACCTAAGTAACCTTCAATGATTTCAATTTTATCGGCCCCTAAAGCAATTGATGCTTGAACAAAATTGTTTTCAGCAACACTGAAAGCATAATCATATTCATCAAATGATTGATAAACGGTTTGGTTGACAAAATTATAAGATAAGTCAGCACCTTGTTGGGAAAGGAAAACTCCATTAATACCAGCACCTTCGTGTTTGCTGTAAAGACCGAAATTATCAATGTCTTTATTGGCAGATTCAACGGCAACAACAATACTACCGTAGTCAGCGGTAGGAGCTGGAGTTGGAGCAGCATTGGCAACTAATAAGGAAGTAGCAGTAGCGAAAACAGTTGAGAATTTCATATTTGTAAAGTAGTTAAGTGTATTGAATTATAGACCAAAACTCATCTCCTTATATAGTTTTTCAAATTAGACTGTTTTTAAATGACGTAATTGATGAGATGATTATAATTAGTATTTCGGTCTCAGGTTATTGTACCTGATCAGCGGTCTATTTTTTGATGTTCCCCAGACAATAGGGTAAATATTTTTGCGAATTCTATTTTTAGAGTGATTATTTGCGCTCCATCATTTCCATACATATCACTCAAGGGTCACTTAATTCCTGTGATTGCATCAGATAAGGTCAGGTCCTGAACCAATTGGTTGAGATTAGAGGAGTAATTTCAGGATTTAGTGAGATTTTGTATGTGCGGCGTTACCTTTTATGTATTTTGAGTTTTACATGATTTACATGAGGTGTCGTGAAGACATGGCTTTGTATAGGCTAGTTAATTTAATGAAACATATCTTTTCCTCGGATTCAATCTCTCAGAGTTCTTCTTCCCAAAAGATATTTATTAGGAGTCCAGTGGTGAAACTGGTAAAACAGAACAGAAAAGGCACTAGAGCTACAATAGAGAAACTGGTAAAACAAAACTTTCATTGAAACACAAAAACTAAAACAAACTATGGTTTACACATCAATGTAAACATGCAACATGAGATACAAGATCTATTTTTGGTGAACTTTTAATCTAAGTAATGAACAATCATCTGGGATGGCTTTATCGTCAGGATATTTCATTAATGCATATTCGTTCTTGGAATAATGGTACATATCATTGGAGTCAACGATATTTTTACATGCGGCCCAACCTTCAGCACTGTTGTTAACACCTAAGTATCCATCAACAAGATCAAACTTACCTGGTGCATAAGAAATAGCAGCCAAAACAAAGTTATCTGGGCCAATGCTTAAACCATAGTATTCACCGTTAATAACTTGATAAATTTGAGACTTGGTTGGATCAAGTTTGAAATCAACTCCTTGTTGATCGAAAAAAACTCCGTTAAAACCAGCACCTTCATGCTTTGAGGTAAGTCCAAAATGGTTGATATCTCTATTGAGAGTTTCAACTTCAAGACCAATATCGGTTTGAGCACCTTGAGGAGCAGCAGGAGCAGCATTAGCAACTAATAAGGAAGCAGCAGTAGTAAAAACAGTTGAGAATTTCATTTTCTTTGTATTTGTATTGGTATGTGTATTTGTGTTATTGTTAAACATAAAGGGATTGGAGGCTTCTTATATAGTTGAAGCATGAGTATGCATGTTTACTTTTTGACATGCTTTATGTCATAATTACATAGCTATTTTTAGTAAAAAATCTGTCTAGTTACTTATTCGTACCTGATATTGCTTTACGTCCGGCTCTATTTTTATCTGGCTGCAAAAAAAAATAGATGCGCTCTGTGAAAGTTTTCATGCATGGAAACTGTGACTGGAGCAAACCAAGGCTCATAATATGTTACAGTGATACCATTTTTCCGAATGTTTGATGACCTGAAATCAAAACACATTGCTAAGCCGGCATGGGGAAGTATACAAAATCTTATTTTCTGCCGTAATTCGATTTTTGTTGAACCTCGAGTTTTGTCGTAACAGAGTAATGAGATCGAGAGCCCTTCAAATATATGACGAAATTTTAACAATAGAGATTTCGATGTAGTATTTTTGTTTTATGAATTTCACAATGTAATTTTACGTTTATTATTAGAAATATTATGAACTATGATCTTTCTTTCCTCTTATAATCAATAAACCTACCCAAATTATTCCACGTTTCCTCACCTCTGATCTTCAAATCACCATATTTGTTTTTATCAATCTTTTTATAAATATCTTTGAATGCAGCATTGAAAGTTTGTAACCTCTCATTATAATTTTTAGTGACGTAAATATCAAAATCATAAGGGAAAGAAGCATCTCCGAAAATATCGAAAATGATATTTATGGTTTCGATCAAAACATCGATAATCTTAGGATTTTGTTGGTGATTGGATAAAAGAAGTTCGATAGTTTTCATTAAAAATTCCGATATTTCAAAAGTTATTTCGGTATTATTAATTATAATGGCAATATTACCAGTGAACCCAATTAAGGAGGTCAATGTTTCAATATGATATTCGTCAATGTTCTTATCATTGATTTCTTTCAAGTATTCATCTCCTTGATGTATCAATTGTTGAATCATTTCAATATTGATCTTGGAGATTATTTCTGGTCCTAAACTCTTCACTATGGCCCATAATAAGTTAAGACAATCTTTCTTGTTGGTATCATTAGAAACTGAAATAGTTAAATCCCAGATCTTAAGACTAGCATCGTACCATTCAACAGGTATTTCTTCAAGAGAATTGATTAACCATGCTAAATTGTTTAAACAAACTATCAATTTATCAGTTAACAATAAGATATTATTGTTTTGTGTATCAAATTCCATCAATTCAACAATTGCTGGTAAAATGGTTTTGAATATCAATTGTAATACTTCAGGTTTCAAGCTAGTAGGTTCATTGAAATTTTCGTTGATGGCAAGGAATTCCCAAACACTGGTGGTGATATCAATAACAACTTCTAATGTTTGTAAATTCATTTGAGCCTTTTGTTTATCTTCACTGATACCTGTGACTTGATCGTTAAGTTGTTCGTTCTTATCTCCATTACTAATAGGATCATTGGCATTATCGATAACTAAAGCTTTCTTGATCTGTTGTAAATCTACCCCACCTAAGTTTTCGAATAATGAAGTCAATATTTGTAAACTAATATCGTTCTTGTCATTGTTAAGATCCAAAACTTCATTCACATTGAATTTGATACCTTGTAAATAACTCTTACCTAAAATATTGGCTGAAGGGTTCAAGTAGTTATATAATTGATCAAGATTCAAATTGAAGTCTGCTAACTTCTTGATGAATTCATTGGATTCATTGGAGAATTCATAAATGAAGTCTAATAACGCATTGAATAATTTATCAGATAACATACCGGTTTCGATATTGAAATTGATCAAATTGACAATAAATTTCAATACAGGGTCAATTTTTTCGAACACTGAATCATATAAATCATTCGATCCACTGGCAATCACCACAATCAATGAAATCACATGTTCAGTGAAATCGAATAATAATTGTTGTTTGGACTTTTCATCTTCTCTTTTCTTCTTACTGACTTCTTTAGGGGTAGGATTTTTCTGTATGAATTCAAAGGACTTTTCTATTTTAGCTAAGGCTGAGTTGATTGAAGTCCAAATATTAGATCTCCAATAATATTTAACGATATCATATCCCTCATCGATACCAATATTTCTCAATAACCCATAAGCTTCAACTATGATTTCATCATTATTATCATTTAAACATTGTTCCATCACTACAGGTACTAACTTCTCCTTGAGCATTAATTGTCTCATTCTGTCATCTTCTGCAAGTACAGTAATGGCACCTAAAGCCATAGATCTATCATTAGGACTCGATGAGGTCAACTTTTCAATTAATGGTACAATCTTGGATTTTCTTAAGTTAGAATCTTTATCTTGTTGCTTTGAATCATTCCCATCCTTTGAAACAGGATTATGTCTAGCTGTCTTATTTCTTCTGTTCCTTTTTAACTTCCCCATTATCTACAGTGAAAAATTTCTCGATGCGAAGAGATTGAGATTTGAGACTATGTACATTAAACCATACCAATTGTACTGATTTGACTTCGCCGTCGAGTTTCGACCTTGCCGTTGAAATTTGACCTATCAGCTGTGTGAGTTCTCGATGGACCTTTCAAACTCACGGTTTTTGAGCGTTTATTCATCTTTAGAATTCTTCAATTGTTCACCTCTTGCTTTTGCCTCAATGATATCTTTCTGTATCTTGGAGTTAGGATCAGATAATTGAGGATGCAAGAATGTTCTTACACTCTCTTTGACATCATCCCAGGTTTCAGGCACGTTCAGTGGCTCAGGAACTTCAATATCATCCCTCAAATGACCATCCTTCTTCAATTGTTCGCTGTCTGTTAGTAACTTATACAAGCTTTTACATCAGTTTTCAACAAGATTTATTTACATACATGATAAGTGGTTGCCAGAATTTCATTCCAGCATACCAACTCAACGACCCAACAGCAAGAAGCGTTAATGCTTTAATACCACTTCTGGACATAATTATTCGCACTGATTATGGACTTACATAAGTTACTATCACCACCATTAATTTGTGGGTTTAGAAGGTAGAGAGAGGTCGAATACGGTCATAGACCAATGATTGAGATGTCTTGATGCCATATGACCTTTACCTTAGTTTCTATTTTTTCAAAATATTTTTCATCTTACAAAATGTGTATTTATCTTAAAAGCTGCAAAAATTATATGAAAAATTGAATCACTAAAAAATTCAAATCTCCACTCTGCTGGAGCTATACACACAATACTCACATCAGTGCATTCGACATATCATCTCCACTATAATTCCATCAGATCCCCATAAAAATGAATTTTTATCAATATCACCATTATCCGGGTAACATAACTCTCACTATAAAAACTACTCATCAACAAAAAATTTTCTTCTTCAATCAAAAAGTAACAGGGAATATTTTGCCACGACGAAATAACGTAAACAATCAAGTTATTATCGTTGCCATATTACTATAATATTTCATTCCCGAGAAAAATTCATCCCATTAAGGAAGTTTGATTTCCGTTGAGTCTTTTAGGTGAGGCGATGGATTTCGAATGTCGACAATACATGGGATATATTACTCTTTCTCTTGGTCTGTAATTGACGATTTAGGTGCGTTTGTGGGCGCTGAAGAATCTTTGGACCCACAACCTTGATAGTTATGTGATGTACGCGTAGTTAGTGTAAGCTGACGGTGGAACACGAAAATGAAGGGAAGTGAATGGGGAGAAGAGATAAGATGATGATGGATGATGAGAGAAAATGACTCTAGATGATGACCTAAGAAGTTAACTAAACAAGATGAAGTGGGTTCAATGGATGTCACTCAAATCATACCTGACTATTGTCAAATATATTTTAAGTGTATGAGTATCACCCTTGTAGATACAAGTACTTCGTAGAGTTCGACCAGTAATACTGAAACTTGTATTAATAAGTATTCTTAATTAATTATACACAGTAATGTAGTTCTTTTCTTTCATAATTAAATGCAAATCATTTAATAAATAACCTAACGGAATTTGTTGAAACCAATGTCAGAGGCTCTTTCTCTGAAACATTGACGACAGATGTTTAAACCGTATTTTCTGATTAAACCTGAGTGAGATGAACAAACTCTACATTGTCTTGAACCTTTACCAAAGTTTCTTGGGTGGGAAAACCAAACGGATTCGTGAGCCATCTAAAATTTGTTAGTATAAAGTTTAAGTGGAATTGATGTGGATTTGGACTTGAAGGATCCTTTAATATTTATAGATGTGATTTTATGATTATGGTTGACATATGGTTGACTGTCTGGTGATATTCTTGCTATTTTTGATACAAATCTTGAGGTGACTTTTTTCATTTCTACTGGGATGAAGGGTGATAAAAACACGGTTGAAAAATCTTGGTCTTTCTCTTGATATGATTAACTTCTATCTTCTATGATCATGATACTCTTCAATAACGCCCACATCTTCTTTAAATCATTAAAACATACATTTACTTAATTAATTTATTATAAGTTAGATGAAAATTTCTATTAGAACTCAAATTGAGAAAAATGAAAAAAAATCCTCAGAATTTTCTACCTGATTACATAAGAAAACCAGTCACAGAGCGAAAAATTGACAAGCCCTAAAAGAATGCACGTGATATTCGCGATGGGTCTCACCTAAGAGGAAAAGAATTTGTGAGATGAGATAGAAGATCATAATGGGGAAAACTTCACATAGAGGGACATTAAAGAAGGAGAAAAAACCTTTTAAAAGTAAGCATTCCACCAAAGGTCAATTGAAAAATGTCAATAAAGGTAAAGTAGAAAAAACTTCAGGAAATGGGATCAAATTAAAGCAATTATCCAAGATTGATAGAAAGAATCAAGCTAGACAATTAAAAGATAATAAAATCTTAGAAACCAAATTGATTAGAAAGATCTTCGAAGGTTCAAACGGTGTTGAGAAAATCATCACCATCATCCCATTAACTGACGATTTATCAGCATCAGAAATCATAAAGAAGTTATTATATTCAATTGAAGAACCAAATGTTCCTGATTTCCAAATACCTTCAATTACCAACATCAAGGTAAATAGATTCAGATCAAACTTGAAAGTTATAATTCCAGATCCAACTAATTTGTTATCTATCTTAGATGCCACAAAAGTATCAGATTTTACCATTTTTGGTATCTCAGCTACTAGTGAAGTTGATCCAGAATATGGTGAAACAATTTTAAGAGCTTTAATTGCTCAAGGTATTGGTTCAGTAATCGGGGTATTACCTAATTTAGTCACCAGTTATCCTAAAAGAAATTTACAATTGGATATAAGACAATCCTTAACATCATTTTTCAAACATTTCTTCCCTGCTGAAGAGAAATTATTTGCATTAGAAATTGAAAACGAATGTTCTAATTGTATCCGTACCATTTGCCAGAAATTCCCCAAATCAGTCAATTGGAGAGATAATAGAGGTTATATGATAGCTGATAATGTCACTTATGAAGAGAATTTGTTAGTAGTTGAAGGATCAGTTCGTGGGATTGGTTTTAACACTAACAATTTAGTACATTTACCAGGTCATGGTGATTTCCAAATAAGTCATATTGAAAAGTTAGCTAGAAAACAAGATGATGAAATGAATGATATAATCGAACCTAATGAAAATCAAGAAACTTTGGAAGAATTAAATCCTGAAGAATTGGAAATGGACGAAGATTATTTCGAATATAATGATGAAGATGTGGGTATTAGAATGGATGGAAAGAACTATTTCAATGATGGTCCTCAACAACCTCAAAGAAGATTCAAATTACCTAAAGGAACCTCAGAATATCAAAGTAAATGGTTATTAGACGATGTTTTAGAAGGTGTTAGTGATACTGAAAGTATTGGTGACGAAGATGAAGAACAAGATATGGAAATTTTGGATGAAATGAGAGATGACATCGAAGAAGGCGATGAACAAGATGATAACGAAGAAGAAGATGGTGATATGTTTGTAGATTTAACTCCAGAAGAAGAACAAAGACAATTGGAAAGTTATAGATCACAAATCAAAGATGATTTAGAATTTCCGGATGAAATTGAATTGAAACCAACCGACTCCGCTAAAGAAGTCATGAAGAAATATAGAGGTATTAAATCATTAGCTAATTGTGATTGGGAAGTCGATGAAGCTGACGAAGAAGCTCCTGAAGAATGGAATAGATTATTAAGAATCTCCAATTATAAATCAACCAAGAATAAAGTCGTTAAAGATACCATTAAGAACTGTCAAGTTAATATGGGTAACAAGGTAAGAATGTTCATTAAAGCTCCAACCCTTAATATAGATACTAGTAAACCATTTATCGTTTACGGATTATTAGAACATGAACATAAATTAGGAGTCATTAACTTTTCATTTCAAAATTGGGAAGGTTTTGAAGAATCCATACCTTCAAATGAACCTATTATTGCTCAATATGGACCTAGAAGACAAATTATCAACCCATTATTCAATCAAGCAACAAACAATCCAAACAATGTCCACAAACTTGAGAAGTTCCACCATCAAGGTAATGTTTCTGTTGCTACTTGTATTGGACCTATATTATTCAATAATGCCCCAACTATCTTTTTCAAACAATTAGAAGATGGATCATTAAAATTAATAGGTCAAGGAACCTTCTTGAATTGTGATCATTCAAGAATTGTGGTAGAAAGATCTATCTTAACAGGTCATCCAGTTAAAATTCATAAAAATGTTGTTACAGTTCGTTATATGTTCTTTAATCCTAATGATATCAATTGGTTTAAAGCCGTTCCATTATACACAGGATCAGGTAGATCAGGGTTTATTAAAGAAAGTTTGGGTACTCATGGATATTTCAAAGCTAATTTTGATGGTAAGTTATCAGCTCAAGATGTGGTGGCTATGAACTTATATAAAAGAACATGGCCTCAGCGTTCAGTTATGTTTAACCAGTAGCATATTTAGCATAGTCATTGTATAATAGAAGTTTCTTTTTACTCTCCTACGGATTTAATCCTCAAATAAGCCTCCAGTTTGAGTAACCTCATCGTCATAATGTGTCAAACTCACTCAAATTGGCATAAAAGCGATGAGCCGCATGCTTTTTTGGGACAGAATTACTAATAGTGAAAGTCGCACCGAAAAAGATAAAACCCCATCACTTTGGCTTTTAAATCATTATCATGAACACCGGATTACACGTTTCTGTTCCAAGTACTACATTCACATGTAATACATGTGGTATTAAATTCATTGCAGCTGATTTGCAAAGAGAACATATGAAGACCAGCTGGCATAGATATAATTTGAAGAGAAGAGTTACAGGTTTGCCATCAGTGACTTCTGATGTCTTTGCTCATAAAGTATTACATCAACAAAAATTAGCCAGTTTAAAGAACGAGGTTGATGAATTCGGTTTTGAACTTCCTAAGAGTAAAGCCAAAAATGTCAAGAAACTGGGACAAAGAGGTAGATTACCAATAATTGACAAACTTTCAAATGAAGATATAGATGTTAGTGATAGAGAAAGAAGTGTCAGTCCTGCTAAATCAGAAGCTTCAGAATTTTCCCAATTCTCTTTGGGAGACACAGTTTCATTACCTGAAGATTATGAATCCAATTTTGATACTGGATCGGAATTGAATTATTCTGAACTTGATGACGAAGAAGATATTGAATTAAACTCCGAAGAAGAGAAACTTTTAGAAACCGAAGAAGAAACTGACGATGAATTCATTGAAGTATTACCTATAACGTTTTGTTTCTATTGTAAAGAACAACATAATGATATTGAAAGTAATTTGAAACATATGTTCAATAAGCACGGATTATATATACCTGAAAGAACATACTTGATAGACTTAGAAGGTTTATTGACATTTTTGAGTGAAATCATTTACATTGATAACGAATGTTTCGTTTGTGGATTTGAAGGTAGAAATTTAGAAAGTATTAGACAACATATGACATCTAAAGGACATTGTAAGATTCCTTTTGAAACTTTCGAAGAAAGAGAAACCATTGAAGAATTTTATGATTTCAATGTTGAAGAAACACCTAAGGATGACACTACCAAGAAACCATCAACCAAATCAAATAAATTAGTAGCATTTAACGAGAATCTCATTTCAGCACCAAAGAACGTTAAACTTGAAAATGACCGTAAAGTATTATCCACCGGGTTGGAAATCGGTCATAAAGATGATATGAAATATCACCATAAACCAGCATCATCAATTTTGAAACATAACGATAGTCAAAAATCAGTTATCCTCTCCGACAGAAGATTAGCACCGGGATTAACTATGAGAACTGTCACCAAGCAAGAGAAATTAGTTAGACGTTTCGAACATAAGCAAAGATCCAAGAAGTTGAATCACCATAATGTTGGTAGAGAAAACCATAAAGAACATTTCTTTGATCCTAACACTTTTGGATATTCCAATTAATTCCGCTACCGATGTTACATTTTCCGTATTTTCTGTGACATTTCCCCATATGGTTACGGGAATTGTCCCCATGATAATTTTTTGTCCTATTACCATATTGAATGGATATCTGTCCGCTTTGGTATCACCACACGAGGACACGTCATATACGGGCCAGCCACTAATTCAATCGATACATTTTAGACATATACGAGGAAGATCTTTTTAATATTATTGGACTCTGGACACGACTCTTCAAAATTTATCTCTGGCCCCTGTTCCGCGCACTCATTGGTCTTTATCCGATAAGAGGGAGATAGACGGTCTGGTTTGAAAAATCTATCTTAACATATATTTCCAGTGCTTAGATTAGTCAATTGATATAATGCCAGGAATCCCACACGAAGAGCCTGAAATGCTCGATGTTTCAAGCGGCCAACCAGGAATGGTAGTCAATGATATAATTAATGAAGAACACTCTTTACTACATGGAACCGAAAATTATCAATCAACTGCTGGAGAAGATGAAGATGATGAATTATTAAAGGCTCAAAAGTTAAATAATGGTTATGCTGTACCACCATCAAGATTGAAAGTTATTTTAGTAGGGATGTATATGGCATCTTTCTTAAGTGCTTTGGATATGACTGTGGTATCTACATTATTAACAACCATTGCTTCAGATTTAGATGCTATTCCAAATATGAGTTGGATAGCTACAGCCTATTTATTATCATCAGCAGCTTTCCAACCTTTATATGGGAAATTATCCGATATCTTTGGTAGAAAAACTATTTTGATAATGTGTGATATATTCTTCGCTGTTGGATGTATTATCTGTTCATTTAAATCCTTCCCTGCTTTGGTCATTGGTAGATTTGTTACCGGTATGGGAGGTTCAGGTTTTAATACTGTTTGTACTGTTTCAGTATCAGATATTGTTCCTTTAAGAGACAGGGGTGTTTTCCAAGGTATTGCCAATATTGCCTTCCTGATTGGTGCTGCTTCAGGTGGTATTCTTGGAGGTGTTATTCATGATTTACTTGGATGGAGATGGATCTTTATTTTACAAGTTCCTTTTACGATGTTGATTGGTTTAGCTTTCTATTTCTTCTTTAATTTACCTCATGGATCTCCAGGACTTGGATCTCCCGGTCACGTGAAAGAAAAATTGAAAAGAGTTGATTTCTTAGGTTCCATTAGTTTGGTTTCTGCTTTAATGTGTATTTTATTAGCTGCTTCTTTAGGTAACCAATACTTTAGTTATACTTCATTCACCTTTATTGGATTGATTATTGGTGCCATGATTGCTTTATCATTGTTCGTTTACATCGAATTAAATGTTGCCCCAGAACCTATTTTACCAATTACTTTGATGGCCAATAGAACAGTGTTATCATCATCATTATGTAATTGGTTCTTCACTATGGCTACTTTTACCATTATTTTCTATTACCCAATTTACCTTAATGCTGTGATTGAATTACCTCCAAGTAAAGTTGGTTTGAGAGTCATTGGTAATTTCGTAGGGGTAGCTATTGGATCTTTAAGTGCTGGTATTTATATGAAGAAGACAGGGAGATATTATAAATTGACAATCTTTTCTGCCTTAGTTACATGGTGTGGGATTTTTGCTTTCAATTTCTTAACACCTCATACTTCACCAAGAATTCAAATGATAATGATGACGGCTCCAGGTTTTGGTTATGCTATTATGTTAACTGTTACATTACTCGCATTAATTTCAGCCGCACCTGTCAAATTCCAAGCTGGAACTACTTCAATCCAATACACTTTTAGATCAACTGGTTCCACCATTGGTGTCTCAATTGCGTCAGCAATCTTCCTGAATGTTTTAGTTAAAACCTTAAATGCTAAAATTCCGGAAATTGTTGAAGATCCAAAATTAGCTAAGTCTATTATTGAAAGAGCTTTGAAAAATACAGATTTCGCCAGAGATCAACCCAAATTAATCAACGAAGTGTTAAGATCTTGTTATGATACTGCTTGTAAGTCATCATTCCATTTCGCCACAGTTATTGTTAGTTTCGGTGTTGTAGCTGGATTATTTATGAGAGAAAACAAATTACATGCAAGTGTTGATAGAGATTAATAAATGTTTACTCCAAATTTTTTCTGTTACACAAAACTTTTCTCTGAAACCGGGGACCCTTCCCCAACGTCTGTCACCCCCCCTTTATACTCTTTCACCTACAGTTCATTCTCTATCACCTCTCACTGTTGCAGCCACCAACCCGCGATAAGAAATTGCTGCAAAAGAATTCGGTAGAAACTCAAAGAAAAAAATCTCCTTCCATACAGTACGCGATCATAGAATAAATTCTCACCCATCTGCTAACCAAATCAGCTAATCAAACTGTAGATATATATTCAAATTAACTAGGGATGGTATTGGAAACACATTATTATGATATGTTATCAGTATCACCTCTGGCAACTACCGAGGAGATATCCAAAGCGTATAAAAAAACTGCATTGAAATGCCATCCTGATAAGACTAATCATGATCCCAAACTAACAGAACAATTTAAACAATTAACTCAAATATATGAAGTTTTAAGGGATGATGGTTCGAGGAAAATCTATGACAAGTATGGGAAAGCTGGTCTTGATGGACAATTAAATTCTCAACCAACAACTACCAGACCAAATAATTTCCAATTCAGAAGTGCTAGAGACGTATTCTCTCAAGTATTCAGTGAATTTAACACTATGAATCAACAATTTGATGACTTTAATGGGTTCCCGTTTGGAAACATGGGCTTTAATTCAATGCCGTTCGGAAATATGAACAATATGAATATGAATGGTGAAATGAAGAGAACTGTTAGACCAGCTCCTGGTCAAAGATCAGATAAACTCTTTAGAGGAAAGAATATCTTCCATACATGTAAACTAACTTTGGATGAATTAGCTCATGGGAAGACCGTGAAGTTGCAATTACCAAGGAGAACAAAATGTGATGTTTGTAATGGAGATGGAGGATTCGACAAAACTCTGTGTAGAGTATGTCAAGGGAATGGACGAGTGGTTATTACTATGTCCAACCAATTTTCCAAATTTCAAGAAATTGGTAGTTGTAAGGATTGTTCAGGAACAGGAAGTGTTGTTAGTTCAGTATGTAACAACTGTGAAGATGGTTACCATATTGTTGATAAAATCCTTGAATTGACAGTTTTACCCGGAACTAAATGTGGGGAAGAAATCATCATTAAACAAGCAGGTGATGAAGGTAGAAACATTATACCTGGAGATGTCATCATAAAGATCAAGCAAAGACCCCATGATTATTTGGTGAGAAAACTGAATGATTTATACACCGAAGCCAATATCGATTTAAAAACGGCTTTATTGGGAGGATATATAACTCTTAGAGATTTCCTCAAACAAGGTGAAGATTTAAGAATATTCATCAACGTTCATGGTAAACCTGAACTTAACGAACATGAATCTATTCAACATGGGGAAATCTTAGGTACTATAAATCCAGGGAGTCCTAAGATTGTTAGTGGATTTGGTATGCCCATCAATAACAATGCCATAGACGGTATTTATTATCAAAGTCCTGACTCGAAAATTCACACCATAGACAATTATAAGAGAGGAGATCTCTTCATCAAGCTCAATGTTCAATTACCGAACGTTGAAGATTTCAAGAATGGATTTGATGATTTGAGTGTATTAACTAGAATCTTACCCGATAAGGAAGAACCTTCAGAAGATCAAAGAACAATTGTTGATTCCCATTTAAGCAACCTCCCATTCACCTCAGCATTCAATAAAAAGGAAGGAAGTTTCTCCTCCACATCATCCAATGAACAAGATTCCAAAAGACCTAGATTTTCATGAAATCGTTGATTTCAAGAGTTTCTTTACTATAGAACATTTATGGATAACGGCCCAATGGCCTCATTGACATTGACCCTGGCCTTAGCCTCAGTCTGGTACTGTGTATATTTATTGTATATTAAAAACGCGAACCTACTCTCGACTATCATGGAGGACCAGAAAGTATTGGATGCTTCCATTATTAAAGATCTCTCCAATCATATCTATGAAAAGAGAAAGGCCACTGCTTTCCAAATTGAGAGTTTAACGAAATCAGCATTGGCAAGAAATGATAGTCAGACAATTTACAATATAGTTAAAGAATTAGGTGATTTGACTGTTGGTGATACCAATTCCGCTAGAATGGGGGCCATAACTGCTTTAGGAAGTGTTTCTGTAGCCTTGGGATCATTCCCAATTGCATACTTTCTAGATGATATCATCAAACCAATCTTCGCTACATTCAGAGATACTGATGCTAGAGTTAGATATTATGCTTGTGAATCATTATATAATATTGCTAAGATAGCTAGAGGTGAAATCTTAGTATACTTTAATGAAGTGTTTGACATCTTGTGTATCTTGATCACTGACTCGGAATCTTCCGTCAAAAATGCTGCCGATATTTTAGACAGGTTGATTAAAGATATTGTTAGTGCCAAAGCTACTAATTATGTGTCTATTTTACAACAAGAACAACAACAGCAACAACAAGAAGATGATTTTACAGGTATAAAGACCCATACCATCAATGATGAAGGAGTTGCTTTGCAAATGAATGAAATTCAAGATGCTCAAAAGGCTTTCTCATTACCTAAATTCATCCCCACGTTATTGGAAAGAATGTATACAATTGATCCATTTGCAAAGAAATTTTTAATCAGTTGGTTAGAACTTTTTGATGACATCCCATCTTTGGAATTAATCACATTTTTACCTAACTTTTTAGATCCTTTGATCAAATTCTTGAAGAACAATGCCCCTTCAGACATTAGAATTGAGACCCAGAATTTACTTAATGTGTTTTTGAAAGAGATTAAGTCCATAACTAAAGTGAAGCACGATGTTAGAAGAAGACAAATCATTCAAGAGAAGAACAAATCAAATAAAACTGACGAAGTTAATGATAAATTGAAAGATATAGATATTAAAGACGAAGTCAATGAAGAAGAATCAATAAAATCAGAAGAAATCAAAGATGAACCCCCTGAATTGGAAAAACAAGAACATTCTGAATCTCAGCCAGCTTTACAAGAGGAAGAAGAAGAGGAAGAATTCTTAGAGGGACAAGATATTTTCATTGATTACCAGAAAATCATCAATATTTTATTATCTTTTATTAAGGAAAAGGATGCTCAACCTAACGACTTAACTGTTGATGGACATGAAATCACTTTAGAGATCCAATTCATTGTTTTAAGATGGCTAAATGAAATTATTCAAATCTCACCTTTAAGTTTCACTAATTTCTTCCCTGATTGTGTTACTTTAACTATGCAAAACATAGCTTTATCAGACAATAATAAAGATTTCGATTTAAGGAATAATTTCTTAAAGTTTAATTTGAGCTTACAGTCATTTTTCATCAAATTAAACGAGGCAGGTGTTGAAAAAGAAGAACAAGAAGAAGACATTGATGAACAAGAAGAAATCAATGAAGATTTGGTTTTAGGGTTGAATAAAGAAATTTATGAAGATTTCATTGAATTCCAATTACTCAAAACTTTACATACTGTAATGAGAGAATGTCTTACATCGGCTAATGAATTAGCTAGAATAACTTCATTGGATTGGTTGATTTTCCTTTATTCCAGAGAACCTTCAAGTTTCGTTGACTTACAAGGAGAAAACAATACTATTGATTTAACAGCATTATTACAATCAGCCACTGATTCTAGTAATGAAGTAATATCCAAAGTTTTACAATTATTATCAAAAATTTCTGAAACAAATCAAGATTTCTTTAAAGATTTCATGAACAAATTGATTAACTTTTTCGAAAATGAAATCGATGAACAAATCATTGGAGGTTCGAATCTTACCAGAAACAAGATTGATTTCATTATTAGAAAATTATGTGTTACCTTGGATAGTGAGAAGATCTTTAAGACGATATCTGAAGTTTTAGGTAATATCAAGGATGTTAACTTAGAATTCTTAAACATGATCATTGTTACTTTGAATAATATCTTATTGACATCACCAGAATTAGCTAAATTCAGAAAGAAATTAAAGAACCTTGATGTTTATAAAGCTGAAGATTGGTCGTTATTTTCAACTTTATTCACCAGTTGGTGCCATAACTCTGCTAGTGCTATTTCCTTATGTTTATTGACATCCAATTATGACTTATCTTTCCTAATCATCAAATCTATAAGTGAACTGGAAGTCACTTTCCAATTATTAACTCAATTGGATATTTTAGTTCAATTACTTGAAAGTCCAATATTTTTAAAGCTTAGATTACAATTACTAGAACCAGAAAAGAATCCTTACCTTTTCAAGACGTTATATGGGTTGTTAATGATCTTACCTCAATCTTCTACTTATACCATTTTACATAATAGATTATCATCAATTTCAACCGTTATAAACTTGAACGGAACATCATCTTCAAGTATCTTGGGTACAACATCAAACATATCAACCCCAGTAACCACCCCTAATCCTTCCACCAATCCAGCTAATTCCATTACTCAACAATTATCCATAAAGAGGAAAAGAGTATATGAAATGTTAGAAAAATTCAATAGAGTTCAAGAAAGTCATGAAAATAATCAACTCGATAAGAAACTTCGAGAAAGTGCTACTTCATCATTATACAATGAAGATATCTTTAGAAAAACTATAGATTCTAAATCAGATCGAATTCTAAGTTATACCAGTGAAAAGACTGAAGATAAAAAGGGTAAACGATTAGGTAGTGGAAGATTCGGATTAAGATAATAATAAATATTTCTCATACATTCCTGTCTCTTACCAATGTCTCCTTATAATTCCCCCATACTGGTACCTCCTCATCTCTCACATGACCCACCGCCTAGATGGTCTTATTTTCTTATCACCATGTTAAGCGCGACATTGTCCTGGAGAAAAACAATCAAACGCATTACGTTTTTATTCACAATACATAGTTTTAACCCATTCAAGTTGTACCATTCTACTAATCAGAGTAATAGACCTTACCCCCGAACCATCAAATATTCCCCCAATTATCTCGCGTTCTTACACATAAATCAATGGTACTTGAATCAGATAAAGACATGGAGTTTTCAACTTATGGTGATAAGTTGAAAGGTTCAAAGTATAAAAGGTGGACTCCTGAAATGGATAAACTATTAATCAAACTTTTACATGATATCGTTCATTCTTTTGCTAAAGATGATCATCCACAAATGACTAAGAGGAGTTGGCATTATATTTCCAATGAACTTCGAGCTGCTAACCCTCAAACTGTTTATTCAACTTTCACTAAATATTCGTGTCAACAGCATTTATATAACGTTATACATGCCAGGTATAGGATGTGGTGTGTTTTGTTGATGTTTAGTAAGAAGAATCGTAATGATAGTAATGGTTATTCATATAAATGGAACCCTAATCTGGGAAATTTCCAAATCATCGATGAAACGAGAGATCAAGTGATTGTTGATACTACCATAATCAAATCCATTATGTATTCTAATCGATTGTCTTTACCAAATTTATCTCAATTTCATAAGGGGAACATTGTAGTGAATGATTTCTTCCTTTCTGATACTTTTAGTTTCATCTCAGAATATCATAATGAAATATTACCCATGATGATTAAACTTGATCCTCGATATTCTATAGGATTAGAGAATGTTTATAATGATATTCCAAGATTCGATTATGATGGTTTTAAGAAACCTTATATGGTACCTTTACATCCGAAAAATGCTAAACCTAAAGCCCTTAGAAAATCAAAACCAGCTGATCATGTTTTAGTAAAACTACCTGAAGAATCCAATTCTTCTAATATCCTTATCCAATCACCTCAACAATCACCCGATCAATCAATGGCTCCTCAAACTCATCAAAATCTTCAAATAAGTCAAAGTCATAATAGTCCAACTCAAGCATCTCAAATCCATTCCAACCCTCCTCAACAAACAACTCCAGCAATACCTCAATTAGTTCATATCCCTCGAAACTCAATCGATACTCATAATCCTGAAACTCCGGTCCATCAAAGAATGGGCGATGAAATGTATTATAATCCTAATGTTAATCGAATTCCTGTTAATAATCTTACTCAACAACAATTATCCCAGTTTTATCAACAACAGTATATGCTTCAGCAATTGACTCATCAACAAATCCAATATAATCAAATGCATCAAGATGAAGATAAAAGAAGAGATATCGAATATGAAAATGATTTGAACTATCAAGTTCAACCACTTCAACAACCTTCAATCCCTCAAGCTACAGCTGAAAATTATGCTAAGGATAGGAAATGGTTTACCAAATTGATCTTTCTTCAAGAGAAAAATTTGTTATCAATCAATGAAGTTTTGACAATCTGTGAAGGTGTAAGAGATGGTAAAATTCCTTTGGCAATGTTGAATATCCTTGATCCTGGGTATAATCGTGAAGAACAAGCAGAATCAGAATTAAAAGATGAAGAGATGTCAAGAAGAGTTAGAGATTATATGCTTCCCATGACTTATATGAGGCTGTAATAAATTATCTCCTGTAAATGTATGTATATTACAAAATGTATTTAATAAAAGTATGGCTTAGCTATCGATGTAGTTGATATACTATCATCTCTAACAAGGACATTTTCTGGTGGTGAAGACTCTGATTCATTTATAGCTTCGAGATTTTTATTCACTGGTTTATAATATGATTGATGAGATGTTTCGGAAATAGATCCTTGCATTGATTTGATGTCAGGGTGGTACACTGGTTTGATGGTCTTCTTGGCTATTAATTTCTCTGCATTGAGTTTCTCAAGAGAAGATGATGATAATTTGACAGTTTCTAAGACGTTCTGATTAGATAAGTTAATGTCCATAGGCTGTTGGAATAATGGATCATCTTCAGTGATAATATTTTTATGGACAAATTTGGGTTCTTTAGGGTCTCTTATAAATGTTGATAATTGACTTGATAAATCTTCAAGATCTTGAAGAATCGAAGTACCACTAGTGGAATGAGATTGACGATGAGTTTTATCGAAATCAATTGATCCTGAACCACTGGTAGCATTACTGTTTCTCTTGTTTTCTGTGTGAACCCCCAATGCAAGTAAGTTAATACTTGAAGATGACCCTACGGTGGCTGAACGTTTATGATTCAATAAGGTAGAAGTGTTGGATTTTAACGATTGGTTTCTACTCAAATTAGATCTCAATGAATGATTTCTGCTCAATTCCAAAGGTGGAGTTCTTGAAAGTCTCTCAGATCCTGAAGACGATGAAAATGTCTCCACGGATCTATTGATAGGTTTCAACTCGAAACTGGTGTACTGTTGGAGCATTGCTAATTCATCATCCCGTTTTTGATGTTTATCATCTCTCCTGAACCCCCTACCTGGAGATGAAGGAAACACGGGCTCAGCAGGTGTTCTAGGAGTAACATGTTTGACTAAATTCAATAAATCATTGGTGGAAGCAGTTCTTCTGGATTTATTCTCACTCTTGAAATATCTTGAATCTAAATCACCCCCTTCACTTTCTTTGAAAAATTCCGGTTTAAACTCGAAATCCCCAAACATATCTGATTTATAACTGATTTGAGGTGATGGTAATAACCCTGAGAATAATGAAGCATTTTGTTGCATCAAATCATCAGTATTAATTGAATCATTATCATTTTCACTATCAGAATCAGTATTAACCAATTCAGGTATATGGCTATGTCTGATATCGGGGTTCCCACTACTATCAGAACTGCTGGACGAGCTGTCATCTTCCTTATCTCTATTAGTTCTTTTCCCTGTGTATCCGTTCTGTTTCAACCTGTAATCGATCTTTGCAGCCAAAGTTCGTCTTAACAAGATTTCAAACAAAAGCTTCTTATTGAAATTATCAATATCAAAAGGTGAAACCAAATCACTATCGAGTTCATCTGGGAAATAGTCAGTGAACTTCAATGGGATCTTCAAATTTGAAGAAAAGGCTTTTTGTCTATATCTATTGTAAATTGAATCAAGTAAATTGAACTCCTTTCTATCATTTTGAGGGAAAGGATTATATCCATTCTTTGTTAAAGTGTCTATGAATGGTCCAGATATGGTCTTCTTTTCTATAGTTGGGTTGATGATTTGGAAATTGTTATTGTCATTGATTTGGAATACTCGTGAGGTTTTCTTTAATAAAGGTTTCCTAGTGATGATATTGGAATAGTCGTATAACTTCATCGTGGGAGGTATTAATTCTTTCATGATCTTTTCGGCATTAGACATCACGAGGAACTCTTGAAGTTCATCTTCAGTTTTAAACTTCAGTCGTCTTTCTCGTGCTTCTCTTAATAATCTATATGCTGGGTTCTTTTTCAATGAAGTCTTCCTCTTAACAGGGAACAAGAATCGAAGTTTAGGGTATTTGTACTTATCTTTGTGATCTGGTTGTGCTTTGGATCCATAGGTTGATCCGTAATTTGACCCAAAATTTGATTCGGTGTCAAAACTAGGTGAATGAATATCTAAGGATTTCTTATTGACCATTTTATTCCTTTGAATCAATTTATATCTATTCCTCAATGATGCAGTTCTTGATATCACTGACCCTGATCTACTGACACCTTCTTGGTCTATTCTGGTAACTGTGGGAGGTAAATCACTCACTACTCTATTATCTTTATTATACAAATTATGAGGTGTTGAAGGAGTAAATGGTACATGGGGATTGAATGGGATAGTTGGGGTTTTGAATGAAATACCTGAAAATCTTTTTGTATCAGCAGTATTATTACTTAATCTCTTTTTATCAGGACTATTGTAAATAACATCAAAAGGATTGGATACTACTCTTTTATGCTGAAAGATTGGTTTTAGTTCTTTCTCTCCTTCAAGGAGATCTAAATTTGATTTGGAATGTAAAAGTAATTCATTGCTCTTCAGAGGAGCAAGTGAATGTGAAGAATAGGATAAATTCAAAGCTGCAGTCTCAAAAGACCCCAGTGATGTTCGAATATCCATTTGATTTGAAATGAAATGCTAAATGAAAATAGGTATTATAATGATAATCGAAATTCGATAATTGAAAATCAGGGGTTTTTACCTCTTAAGATCTTCCATTAGACGAGATCCAGGAATGGCTGGATTCATTACCTTTTAGAGGTTTTACAATATCGCTGGCTGCGATTTCCTATTTGAAAGGGGAGTTATCAACGGCTCCTGATAACGCGATATTATCCTGTTATTCAAATTGTACATGTGAATCGCACGTGATTATCCTTTTTTTGTTGTACACCTTTGCCAACAGGATTCGTCTAAAATTTTTTTTTGTAAACACAACTGGGAGAAAATTGAGAAATTAACTGACCTAACAAAATGGATAAATTGAAAGAAGTATGTATAAAATGAAGGGATTTATAGGATAAATCGATGATCTGAACAGCCATGGGGAAGAATTGATTGATGGGATGGTTTTGGGTCGCCATTGAGGATGAATTGGCTGGTAAAAGATTTCGTGGCGTTTATTGACACGTTAAGAGGGAAGTTGGATCAAATATGCATACCCTACATCATAAGCATTTTCCACGTTGACACGAGGTTCACCGATTGATTGATTGACCATCGAATTGATGGTGAAACAGAATCCACGAAAGGTTATCCAGATCATTGGAATTTTCAGATCATTGAATTTACCCATTTGTGGCTATGAATTGAACAATTGTTCTTTAAAAAAACTTTTGATACTAACAAATATAGAGAATTAACAACTTGAAATTGGATGCTGAAAAATGGCAAGAAAAATCAGATGAATTAGGTGACAAAGTTAAAGAATTAGAACAAGAATCTTTAGATAAAGATCACCAAATTCAAGCATTAACCAGAAAAAACCAAGTATTAGAAGAACAAGTTGAAAAATTAGAAGGTGATTTAGATACCACTAAACAAACAGCTGATGAATCAACTAACTTGAAATCAACTAATGAAAACTATTCTAAGAAAAATCAACAATTAGAAGAAGAATTAGAAGAAGCCGATAAAAACTTGAAATTGACAACTGAAAAATTAAGAGAAACTGACATAAAAGCTGAACAATTAGAAAGAAAAGTTGCTTCATTAGAATCTGAAAAGGAAGAAATGGAAAGAAAATTCGAAGAATTAACTGAAAAATACAATGCTGCTAAATCTGAATTAGATGAAATTAATTCTCAATTAGATCATATCTAAGCAATTACCTTAGTTAAAAGGATCTAAAGTATTTAGTTAATGGTGATATCCTATAATTTCATTAGAAACCTCTGGGGCACCCCCGTAATTTCTCGCACTGTTGAAAATTTTTAGTTAAGGGATTTAATAAAGGTACAGGTATCTCAACATAGTTGTATTTTAAAATCGAATCTTTAATGGTTATAATCGAATCATTACGTAAGAGGTTCAGTCATCGATTAGAATCTCATCAAATCGATGAAGATTATAGTCCTCGAACTTCCAGAATGCATAGTACTACAAATTCCATCGCTAATGATATTTATGAAAATGAAGATGTACCATCATATGAAGTTTCTCAGTTATTACACGAACAATCATTATCCTCAATGAACCTCAATGGTATGAATACTAATAATCCATCTACTCCCATACGACATTTTTCATCAAATCATTTAAATCAATTAACTGTGGAACACATAACATCATTAACAAGTTCTTCAAATATTTCAAGACAGAATTCTGTTGTTGCAGGTTCAACTTCAGAAACTTCTAGTTCAATAGTTATTAATACCAATTCAAATAATACCCAAACCTCCACCAAATCCTTGAAAAATATAGGTCTACAATTCCTCAATGCTAGGCAACATTTTGCCTTGTCATGTTGTAGAGATTTATCATTATTACCATGCATTTTTGGACTTATTAAATCATGGAAAATGGTTTTCATTGATAATGACATGAGTACTACCATAACGAGTGCCAAATTACCAGAACATTTTCTTACTGGTGTTTGGTGTATTGTCGCAGGATATCTATCATATTCCGTCTTAGATGGTTTAATGATCAGATGGATTGTTACTTACTCAACAGGTGCAGCTATTTTGAGAATGTTATCCATGTCAACTATGATCCTTACAATCGAACAATATCTAGTTGCTACATTTTCTGCAAACGGCTATAGATATGGTTTACATATATGGATTCTAATAAGTTGTTGCTTAACTTTTGTATATATTGTTCAGAATTTCGTTACTTCCAATATCGATTTAAAGGGGAAAAGGAGAGCCAGATTCTTTGATTTCTATAATATCGTGGTTTTTGCTGTAGTTCCTGTTGGATTAGCCAGTTTCATTACTATGATAGGTCTTTTAAGATCATTGTTAATAGTTAGGTTGGATATTGAGAAGGAACGTATTCAAGGTAGGTGGTAATATATTTAATCGACGTCTCATCCTCTCAACTTCTACATTCATCCTTAGGGCCCTTAGTCAAAGTCTTTGTTCATCTCCATCTCCATCTCTACCTCAATCCTCGATCCTCATTTTTCATTTTCAAACCTCAAAAATCTCATCAAATTTTTCATGGTTGTTCACATTTATGGTAAAGCCATGAAGGCTAATGCCTTGGTCAAAGTATGTATCTCCTTAACACCTCCCTATCCAAACAATCAACTAACAAATTCTAGATCGGTTTATCCCAGAGAATATTCGGTGTTGGTCCCCAAGTAGCTGAAAAATTATGTTCCAAAGTTGGAATCTATCCTCAAATGAGAATGAGTGAATTAACTGAATCCCAAATCTTATCTATAAATAAAGAATTAAATAACTTGACTATTGAAGGACAGTTGAAACAGAAAATCAATGAAAATATCCAATTAAAGAGATCTATTGGTACTATAGCTGGTATGAGACATGCTTCAGGATTACCAGTTAGAGGTCAAAAGACCCAAAATAATAGTTCTACCGCCAGAAAATTGAATCATTTGAACAGACATGTATAGAACTACTTGTATATATTAACGACTATTTACATCTTTGTATCCAGCTTCTATCAATCTCTGGAATTTCTTATTTGTATCTTTTTGCTTGATTTCCCTTTCAAATTTTGGATTTCTGAATCTCTACTTCTCTTCTTTGGATTCTTGTTCTTTCAAAGCTCTCATTCTCTCCTTAACTTCGGGTTTTAACTCTAAAGTCATGGTATCTAATGATTTCATCTTCAAAGGAATATTCTCTCTTTTTCTTCTTTCAATCTCTTCTTTTGAATGAGGAGTAAATTTAACGAATTCAAAATCTTTCCCGAAATCATAAGCAACATAAGCTCCAATAAACGTCGCTAAAGTAGCGACTATTATTCTGCCCACAAGTGGTGGCTCTGGTGGTAATTTGGCCATTGTGCGAATATTAGATTTTGAGACTTTGCAGCTGAATCACTTTAGCAATCTAGTTCATACTTCACCAACTTAACCATTTAGTTGATAGTATTTCCCATTGACATCGTTATAAATCCTTGGAACACAGATCATTGGGGGTATAAGAGCTTTTGCCCGGTGATAATTTTGCATTATGTCAATTGTTCAATTTGTATACATATACCTAATAGGAGGGGTGACATTCTTACCTTTCTTGATCATAGGTTTCATTTACTTGCATCCCAAGATTGACCTTGATGTGGGTGATGAATTAGAAGAACCTTTGAAGGCAGGGGAGATCGAAGAAGAGAAAAAATCAGGTATAAAGGCTTATAAATCAGGTTGGATAACAGTAACTCAGGATTACATTGAATCTACTGACGATATTACCGCCAATACCTCATCTATCAATGATAGCCATGATAACAAATCCGCCTATTCCACGTTATATAAGTTGGTTAAAAATTCAGAACCTGATGTGGAAATAGAGAGAGATCCAGATCAAATGAATCATCAAACACAACCCAATAATGAACAAATCAAGACCAACCAGAAGAAGCATCGATTCTATGGAGTTCTTAAACATGGCAATCTTTTCCTTTACAAGAATCAAACACTCAAAGATGTCAAGCACGTGATTGTTTTATCCAATGAGTTTGTTACTCTATGGCCACGAGATGTTCAAGAGGGCCAATTATTCACTAAAAGAACAGCTATTTGTCTCATGAAGAAAGATTGGTCTAGAACAAGGAGATTGTCAGAGAACTTCAATAAGGATAAATTGACTATTGATGATATTTTAGATCCTATAAACAACTTGAACCCTCCCAAATCGTCGTTTTTCATACATTGTGATACTAACATTGATAAGGAGGATTGGTATTTCTCATTGATTAGAGCTTCTAAGGTTGATGAAGATGCTTCTAAATTATCGTCCAAGATATATGCATCCACTCTACATTTTGAAACCAATGAAATGATTGATCTTATTCAATCTTTGTACAGTTCAGAAGGACAATTACAAACCAAATGGTTCAATGCTTTGATAGGGAGGATTTTCTTATCATTGAAAAGAACCGAAGTTTTGCAAAACTTCTTAACCACTAGAATCACCAAAAAACTAAACAAAATCAAAACCCCTGGATTCTTGGATAAGTTCAAATTGGGTGAGGTTGATCCGGGTAATTCTATTCCATTCTTCACCTATCCCGACTTGAAAGAAATCAATCCAAATGGAACATTGATTTTCACATCTTATGTTCACTATCATGGTAACTTATCATGTAACATATCCACTAAAGTCAATTTGAACTTCGGTGGAGCCAGATTTGCTCAAACACAAGTTGATGTTGTACTCAAAGTAACCTTACAAAAACTCGAAGGTCCAATAATCTTCAAAATTAAACCTCCTCCTAGTGAAAGATTATGGTATAGTTTTGAGATTGAACCTTTAATGTCCATCAAGATCGAACCAATCATCAGTTCAAGACAAATGACCTACAATATCATCACTTCAGCTATTGAGAAGAAATTCAAAGATGCTATCAAGGAAAGTTTAGTATTACCTCATTGGGACGATATTGTATTCTACGACACTGAAGGAGAATTATTTAGAGGAGGTATTTGGGATAAATCCACTCGTCCTCATGAACATCACCATCAAAAAACTGAATCCACAAGTGATTCTGAATCACTTTTTGACCCAAGTGTTAAGACCAGAACTTCATCTTTTAGTGATCTCAAAGAGACCAGGTCAGAGATTTCAGATTCATCGACCAAACTTAAACTTACCAACACATTAAGTGATTTATCAAAGAAAATGAAAAAATCTAAATCTACCCATACCGTGGGTATCAATGGTGATAATTGGTTATCTGACGGGTCGTTGATTGAAGATACTAATTCTCAAACTTCCAATCCCAATTTGAACAATGCCAAGGCTCAAATTGGTAAGACCTGGAAGAAAATAGGAGATTGGTACAGTAACACACAAAACCATGAAGACAAAGAGAAGGATTATCAAAAACCTGAAATGATTCTGAACAGGAGAAGACCAAGAGTTCAAAGTAATGAGCACAGGGGACAGATTCCTCCCTCACCTTCAAATTCTATCCCTTCTTATGAGATGTTTTCTAAATCAACTGATTTAGGACTTGTCAGTCACTCCCGAACTAATTCAAAGGTGGATCAAAGCCCATTGTTAGATACTGGGAGTGTTCAAGATCCTTTCAAAGATGTCAAGGAAGATGAAGAGATAAAAGAAGACTTAGAACCTATCAAGCAGCATGTAGAATCAACTAATGAAGATGATATGGAACCAAACAAGGAATTCCTCGAGGAAAGTCCCTTCATCGAAGGATTTATCCCTGCAAAATCACTTTCTGCTTCGTCTACTTCCTTATCCAATGATACTGAATTCACACCTCAATCCATTAGTCCTCAATTGAAATCATCTGCTTTTGCTACTGAAGAGTCGATTAATGCTGTCCCGGTGACAAGCAATGATCATATAGAGAGATCAAATAGTAAACTTCATAGGAAAGCTCCACCTCCATTATAAATTATGAATATGTACACGACTTGTTTTTTTTTCTCTATAATTTCTTATATATAAGGAGACCAACCTCCATACATCTGACAAAGATTATCATTAGAAGTAGCTTGTTGAATTAAAATATCAACTTGACCATGAATATTCATAGCCACTCCTTCATTTTCTTCTAATAATCCCCTAATCTTTCTTCTTACTTTCCTCAAATGGTGTTGAGGGTTACCATGATCTTTCCAATCCAACAATGGATCATAGATCAATGTTTCCAAGATATTCATTAATGATGTTTCATTCTCTCTCAAAATATTTAAACTAACCTCACAAGATTTCCTGAAAGTTCCTTCATACTTGTTCATCCCCATAGCATCAACCATATTTTCAGTCAATCTGAAAGGTACGATTTCTGGAGTTGGAAGACTCAATCCTTTTTCAAACAAACAATCGAAATCAATGTGTAATACACTACCTGACTTCTTGAAGAAAAGGATATTCTCACAATGTCGATCACCGAGTCCGATTATGAACCCTACTATAGACATTACTGCAGCTGACCTCGTATAAGCATTTCTACCGATATACCACGACATGGGGTCACTAAATTGATTTATAAACCATTTGTATAATACTGGAGGGTTTTCTTCCAATATACCTTCGAAAAGTTTAACAAGATCTTGTTTAGCTGAATCTAGATTGTTGTCGGTTTTTGTTTTACATATCTTCTGAGCTGCAGCTAACTTGGCAAATATCTTCAGATCTTCAATTGCTCTACCTGAACGTCTCCTTTCATCGTTGACAATAGATTTCATTGTTACAACATCAGTAACAAATTCAATGATACCTAAATTTTCCGCCAAAGGTACCACAGAATAATTAGGAATGGTTAAGTTCCTCTTTCTTGATTCATTACTCAAAGTCAACAATCTATTGACCATGGTGGTGAATTCAACAACTTTAGCATCTTTTCTGGTATCATCTTTCTTTATCATCAATCTATATGGTTTCCCATCTGAACCTCTGACTGTGATTTGTTTAGGCATCTGTAAAGAATGAAATACATTAACTTTATCGTCAACACCATTGAATGTGATAAGAGAGGTTTTGGGGAAAGCACTGGATTCACGCTTTAAATGATTATGAGCTGGGATTCTGATTTCGAGATTTGACCTTACAGGAATGACTAACTCATCAAAGGCATCGTTCAATTTAGTGATCTTTAAATCCCTACTCAAATAAGCCCTTTTGGTACCTTTCTTCAAGGGAAACTGTGCTATATCAATAAGGATATTGAATAATTCTTCGGCATTAGATAACATTGGTTGATCAATTTTTTTCAAGATCTCTCCAACTCTTTGTTTTCTAACAGTGTCTTTTGAATTCGTATGAGACAACACAAACCATAAAGCATGCTTTGGATATAACTGTAATAATTTCAAAATGATCTTACACAATAACTTATATGAAGGGATATGTTTATGGTTTATACGAGATAACATCTGGGTGATGGAAGTATACCAAACATAAGCAGGAATATGTTTTGATTCTTGATCGATCAACTTGATAATGGCTTCAAGATTCTGGTTGGCATCACGACTATGATTAGATATCAAAGCGAAATCCAACCAAATGGTGATAAGTTTAGGCAAAATCTCATAGATATAACTGGCACCTAATGCTAAAGATTTCAAGAATAATTTGATGGTATTCTTTTCATAAATCCCATCATTCAATTCTTTGGATTGCCTTAACTTATCATAATATTTCCCTAACGAATAATATGGTTTGTCCCAGTTATTCACAAGGTCAAGAGATTTGGTATATTCCTCCACAATTGTTTTCGAGGAACTATGATTAGATTCATCTAACCATTCAGCATACTTCAATTGGATCTTACCTTTAGTTGAATCATCAACAGTTACTGCCGAATTCAAAAGTTCATATTTGATCAATTCTAACTTCTTGATAGCATCAGTTTGTTTACCTTGAGCCCATAATAATTGAGCGTATTCGAATTCAGCATTATCTGAACCAATCAATAACGATTTCAATATACTTGAAATGGCTATATCAAACTTTTCATTCTCTCTGGCTAATTGGGAACATTCTAATAATGTTTCAGCAATTTTTCTCTGCCAATTGAACTGAATGTTGAATACATTGTGCATTGAAAGAACTTTCCATCGAGATTCAAAACTCTGATCGGTATTTGTAAGTCTTAACTTAACAATGTTGAACCCGTTATCCTTAGAATCAGTATAAACTTCATATAATTTGGATAAATCGAAAACTGAATGTAACTGTAACATTAATTTGGCATTTCTTGATGATAAGGAAGATGAACTTGATAAAGAATTCCCTATAATCCTATAGACATCTTCAAATACCTCTTCCAACCTACCTTCATCATTGATGATTTCGTTTCTTATACCTTCGGCTATTTTCAAAGATATGATATTAAACACATCCTGAGGTGTACCAATAGATTTGGTGATGAAAAGCCATTTATCTAATTCTTGAAGATTGGATAACAAAGAAGCTTGTAATCCTGCCATAGACCATTCCAAAGGAATTTTCTGACCTCCATTAGAGATTTCATTACCTAGATTGTTTAAAACTTGATCATATGAAGCATGATCATTTAAGAAATTCAATAATTTGGTCTTATAATTGGTTCTCTCCACAGAATTGAATTCACTCAATACCTGGAAAGTTTCCTGAGCTAAAACCCAATTCGAATCATATTGGAAACTTTTCAACTTTATGAAAGGGTCACTATTCAGAATGGGAAATTTCTTTAAAACCCCATCCAAGGCATCAAGATCATTTATATTGGCATAAATGGAATGTAAACTTGTCCCTGAACCCAAATCTTTGATCAAATCCTGATTATCAATCAAATTATTGTCCTGTCTATACCATTGTTCGAAGTAAAAGATCGTTCTCTCGAAACTATTACACTGACTGGATTTAACGGCCACTAATTCCAACGGTATGGAATCAATGAACTTCTTGATTATATGAAGATTTTTTCTTATTTGAACTCTTGCTTGTTTGGAAAGATGTTCCGATTTATAAATGAGATAATCAGTAGTTGAAGAATGCCATTGGTTAAAGTAATCTAACACCTCGAACACGGTTTGGTAACATGATTTCAAACTTTCTATCCCATCGGTCGATACCATGGAATTGATATCGGTATTCAAGATAGTTTTGAATTCCAATAAAATATCATTATATGCATAATCCTGGTTCGAATCCTTGGAATAATCATTCAAAATATGGAATAAAGCTAAATGTTTGAGTAGATGATGACAGATTTCATTGTCTCTGTATCTCACCAATGCTACGAAAGCATCGAATAGATTCTTTAAATTTGAATCAGCATCAATAGGACGTTTGATCAAATCTGCTGTTAATTCATATAACCACAGGTCGAAATTCTGACCATCCTTGTAGATAGGATAATTTATAGCTACATAATTAGCAGACTTGGCATAGAACTTGGAATGGAAAAATGGTGTTAATGTTGATTTAGCAATATCACTGAAATTGTTCCATACTTTGTAATACTCATTGGATTCACTAGCTTGTAAGATCTTTGAATCCAACTTCAACACTTTAAGGAATTGTTGCATGGAATAACTATAATACATCTGTTTCACAGGATCATTGGAAGCCCAGAAACTTGTGATCAAGATATTTTCAAGAAAATCCGTCAAGAATATAGAATTCTCATTGTAATCATTGAAATAATGGATCAAAGTGATTTGATTCTTAATGGTCTTTAAGTTAAATTTGTTAGGGTCTAAAGCTCCAATTATGGATAATGCTTTGGAACAATTCTTGGGAATATCATTATCCTCCTCCCTATTATGATCACCACGAAACTTATTGGCTGTATCCAAAAGAGTATTGACAAGATTGGAAATAGAACTTATTGATTCCATTGATAAAGATTCTTTAGCGAAGTCTTGTTGGATAGTCACCTGATAAGATAAGGTGAAATTGATCAAATCATTCAATGCCTGTTTAACAACATATTTATTCAAAGTTTTCAATCTTCTGGTAAACTCCGGGAAGTAACTGATTTTGGAGTTGACTTTCAAATTCTTAAAATTGGCTTCAAGCTTATAATCATTGATCAATGTTGGTAAATAAGGAATGGAGAAATAATATAAGATATAGTTATTATCGAGACTTTTAATTTCAACAAACAACTTCTTTATGATTTCTACAGCCAAGTTTCTTGACCGAAGTTCCAATTGATTGAATTTTTGAAAAATCAAGGAGATAATTATATCAAAAAGGGAGATCAAACTTGAAGGTTCTAAGTTTTTGACCAATAAATTCAAACAATTCATAGCAATAAATTCGAATTCTGAATTTTCAATCAATGATTGTAAACAACTGGAGATTTGTCCTAGAACTGAACTGGTAGCTTTGATATTATACCTTATCAAGAACTCTATAGATTTCAAACTCAAGACTTTCTCATAGTATGGAGTAGTGATCTGATTAATACATTCAGATATCTTCTGAATAATCTCTAAGATATGTTCTTCAATAAGATATTCGATATAATTCAATTGATGGAAGTTTCTGATCTGTTTACGAGAAATCTTACTCCCATTCAAATTCATGGATTTCTTACCAGTGAATTCCAAACTATTGAATATTTGACCTTGGTTCTTGATATTCCCTTCACCATCATAAGTGATTTGTAACAATATATTCCATGTTATGTCCCCGAAATTATTATCGAACAAATCATCGAATTTGAAATTCTTCCTATAATCACCATTTTTGAGTATGGTGGTGATATACTTTTCATCGATTTTGGGCTTGTCATTCTTGACCAACAAAATAGCTAGGGTACGAGGCAAACAATCTTCGATAAGTTTTTCCTTCGGTTTTCCACATGCTTGAGATATATCTTGAATGTAATCATATTTATAGTAATCCAATAAATGAGGAATAGTATAATCTTTAGTTCTGTTCAAAAGATACTGACGGTTGACCCCTAATAATTTGACGATTTTGTCTAAAATTTGATTCAGCTTAATCAATCTTACAGCCACGATAGGTAAAAATGGAATTAGAAGTTTATATGGAGTGATTGACTTGGTTTTAGCAATATTTAAAATACTACTGTAAACCAAATTTACATGATGTTCGTTAGTTTCCCCTAACAAATCAATGAATTTCAATACCAATACGTTCAACCAATCACCTTGACAGATTATAGCCAATTCCATCAATGATGAGATAGTTGACTCTGCAAGGTATAATTTATGAGAAAGGTCAAACTGTATACTATTCAATCTGGAGAAGATCTTTGAAAATGTAGCTTCTAAAACCTGATCCTTCTCTGATATCAAATATAACGGTAAGATTCTTGAAACTAACATTCTAACATCTCTACTGGAATTGGTGGATATTATATCAAGAAGATTATCAAGAAACTTATCTTCCTTCAGTTTCAATGGTGGTCTATAGGATGCAAATAACTTGTACACTGCAAGAAGATAATTACACAATAAAAGGGTATTGGAAGTTTTGAATGGCACTACTAATTCATAATAATATTTTCTGATCAATGGATCACCATCAAAAAATGGACGTGTTGAGGAAATAAGTTGATAATGATTATTCACATTGGGATATGATCCACATCTAGTACAATCTTTAACTTCTTTATTGAAATCACCACTTTGTTTGCAAGGAAAATTCCCCAATGCTGACCAGATAGTGTGAAGGGTGTCGTCATCTGCTGTTGAAAGAGATATTATTTTATCTAACCATTGATCATGATCTTCAAATTTGGAAATTGGGAAGTCAAGGAAATCTAGTGAATCATCATGATCATTCAAAATCTTTGTGATATCCTCTATGAAACAATCAAATTCGGGATTATTGTACGGAGGAAGACTGAAAAGAAATGATTCATTTCTAAGCTGATCATCAACCAATTTGAAATTTTTCAATGATTGAAGGATTATGGGAGGTAATTCTTGATTCAAATGATAATCCAAATTCAAAAGATTCAAAAGGTTAATTAGAATTTCATTCTCTAAAGAAAATTTCAAAATCTTCAATAAGGACTTTGTGATGGAGTTTGTCAATAAATTGGAAGTATCAGCATTAAACTGTGACAAACATGATATTATCCAATCAACTAGTAACGTTATAGAAGAAAAATTGGTGGATTTATGAATAATAATATTATCAGTTAAATTGAGAATCATCAATGATTTCAAATTATTCAAGATGATCCCATCGATGGAGCTTCCACTACTCAATAAGAACCAGCCTCTTTTGAGTAAAACTTCCAACTCAAATGCGTTAAAGGTTAATTTACTCGATATTTCACCATCATTAAGTATAGCCAAATAATTTATAGTTATTATCAATTGATCCTTATTTATAGTGGACAAGTTGGATAAAAGTTGATTTATCATAAACTTTAAAGTCGTCTGAAGTTTTTGGATGATTCTATTCTTATAATTCAAATCATTTAAACAACTTATGGATATATTTATCAATGATATAATGAATTTCTTAAGTGAAAAATTATCAAAATTCTTCAAATTATGCAAACAATTGAATATCAAATATTCTCCTAAATCACCTTCCATATAATAACTTTGGATCTTAGTCTTGAAATCATCAGTCAATTCGAGATTTAGAAGGAATCGTTTCTTATTGATCACTAACTCTATACAATCAAGTAACTGGTATAAAAGTTTTTCTTCACCGGCTGAAATCTTGAAATTTAAAACATAAATTAAATATTTGATGACTTTCTCAAAGTCCTGATCATCTCCGTTTATATTATCGTTAATGTCATCAATAAAAACTCGTAGTTCATCATCATTTATATCAATCATATAGAAATTACGCGCACTCTCTTTACTTTATTCATTTACCTACTTAGATGCTAATATTGGGAGATGGTTGTTAAAAAGATGAGACGATGATGGGCCAGATGTCTTACCATGGATTCGAAAACTTCATGGGGTGGTTTAAAATTTCGTTATTATCGTGTGATCGATCTCACCTTTCTCACTTTGATCTCTATTGATTCATAAGTCTACTATAATACACTATTGACTGAAGTTTACTTGTCTTTTAAATAACAAGATATGTGGTTCTGGGGCGTGGGTTTCATAATGGACCCATCCTAACGATTGAGTTATACCTAAACCTCTCCATTCTTCTTCTAATAAGATTCTCAATGTTCCTGTCTCAGGATTAAAATAATCTTGTGGTATAGCTTTTAACATATTTTTGGGCAACATTACATGTCTGTATTCATGGGTATCGTCACTATATCTTGGAGAATAATGAATCATATCTTGGAATTCCAAGATTTTGGCTCTTTCTGAATCTGTTAAGTACCTGGGTTTATTCATCACTTGGAGTTTCTTAGAAAATTTTTCACGCGTTGATTGGATTGTGATATGTATTATCACAGTATCTGGGGAAATGTTGAAACTATTACAATCTCGTGATGGTGACGTGTTACAGGTAATAACTGTGGATTATATTGATGATTTCGACGTGACAGTGGCTGATTTGGCTGTAGATAAGTCTTATGGCTTCATCATGTCTTTGGATCTAATAGCTGCAAAAATATCGGTATTCAAGTCTAATTGGTCAATTATCTTACCTTTGATGGATATACCATTGAATTTGAAATATAGTGGTATCAAGGTATGGTTCACCGTGGATGATTCATATTATAGTGAGTTCATGGCTCGAAAATTGATTATGGAAATGCCCTTGAATTTGATAATCTTAAACTTGAATCCTATTTTACAAGTATTACTCTTGAATACAAATGATGTCATCACTGACCTTGATCTCGGACCTTTGGAACGTCAATTGAGGGATCTTTATCGATTTCATCAATATATCACCGAACCATTGAATCCTTCAGTCGAGAATCTAGACTTGATCGTATATGAAACTTTTGAAAAGGATAAATTCAAGTATGACCAATATGAAGAGGCGATAAGTTTAGCTATTACTGACTTAAAAACCACAATCAAAGAACCTAAGATACTCGTCGTTGGGGCGGGCAAAGGTGGTTTGGTACATAGAGCCTTTAAGCATTGTCATGATATTACCATAGTAGAAAAGAATCTCAAGGTTACTCCTCATTTATACGACCAGAATCAGACCCATTGGCAAGGCAAGGTCAAAATACATGTAGGAGATGTCAGAAACTTCGATTGCAAACCTTATGATCTCGTTATATCTGAAATGATAGGCTCATTTGGTTGTAACGAGATGTTCCCTGAGATAATACGATTGCATAATAAGATTGTCATTCCATCACAGGTTCAGTCCATGATCTCTTTGATTAATAACGCCTTGGAATATGATAAACCTTATTTGAACAATATAAAGATGTATTATGCTGTGGCTGAAAGTGCAAAACTTTGGGAGTTCAATTATCCTGGTGATAACGATACTGACAAACATGTGGAATTGAATATGGAAGTTCAAGTATCTGGAACAGTGAATAGTGTTATGGGTGTTTTTGAGAGTGACCTTTATGGTGGAATATCCATAACCAACGTCAAGTCACGAAACTATTGCAAGTCTTGGTTCCCAATTATATTCCCTATAGAGCCATTTGACGTTAAAAAGGGAGATCATGTTAGAGTTGAATTCTGGAGATTTTCAGGGTTGACTTATAGATGGAAGATAAATGATAAAGAGTACGAGTATAAGGTAAATTAATGTATTAATATTGAATGGGTTTAGGTTTAGTTTCAGACTCTCGAGATCCGTCTTTAGTACTATCACTTCTGCTTCTGTGAGTATCACTTCTACTTCTGTGACTATGGCTTTTGTGACTATCGCTTTTATGACTATCGCTTTTATGACTATCACTTTTATGGCTTCGATCATCATCATGACTTCTGTGGCTTCTATGACTCCTGTGACTATCACTCCTATGAGTAGAGCTCCTATGACTCGACCTATGACTGGAACTCCTGTGACTATGACTACTTTTGTGCACCCTTTCCTTTCTATTCATATCTTTCATGGGATCCATTTCCTTGAATTTCTTCATAGGATCTTGTATATCAACTTTTGTCTCGACTTTTTCAACTTTTACTTCTTTAGGCTTCTCTTTCTGTGCTGGTACATCGTACATCCAATTAAGCTTATTTAACTTCAACTTATCTTGCTTGTTCATATTATCGTTAAACTTGTACTTCAACGCTATTAAATCATTTAATTCTTTCTCCTTTTTCAATTCCTCTTCTCTTTGTTTAATCTTATTGAACTCTTCTAAGGTCTTTTGCTCTTGTTGCCAAATTTTGGCTTGAGTCTTTACCAAAGCTGGATTCCAAGATTTCTTCAAATTCAAATCACCCGGCATGCTATTCTATTTTGGTTCACGTACGTTTGAATATTTCTGTTTTAGGCTTTGAGGTCTTCTCGCGATATGTGAGATAAGAGAAAATGAGATCATGAGAATATTATTCACTATAAAAAAGGGGATTTCTGGAGGTTAAAACTCGCAGGAAATCATAGGGAGGGATTCAAAATCTGAAGATTTTTACCTGAATCTTATGAATGAATAAAAAAACCTCGGAATTACATCTAAAAACCATGGATTTTGATATTCTTTTTAGGTAATTGTAATTGACTGACTAAAAATTCACCAACTTTACCTCTTTGGTCACCTTGTAATTGAATAACTTCACCTAATTCATCATCTTTAACGATGTTACCGTTACAAGCGAAATCTTTCTTGATAACTTTTAAAATTTTTTTTAAGTCATACTCTTCTGGTAATCCTTGGACAGTGGTTAAAGTTTTTCTACCGTTTCTTTGTTGAATTCTAATATGAATATAATTAGTTGGTTGAGCTTCAGAATCACCAGTGTCGGCGAAAGGATCAAATGCGTTTAAGTTTTGGATAGTTGACATACAATAGTACTCTGTCTTTGGATATCAGTAAAAAATTGAGCTGCTCCTTGAAAAATTTTATGCGATTTATATGCGGTAGGGACACGATGATAAGATTGCAGTATTCTATGGATGATTACAGGAGATAGAGAGCTCTGGGAGTTAAGGGACCATGGTGGGGATGATGTAGAAGGTTTAGCTTGAGTTAAAGTTTTTTGAAATTGATGTTTTTGGAGTTTTTTGATGGGGTAAACGTAAGATTGCTCTTGGCCTAAGTATGATCACATGGGGATATGACCGAAAGACTGAAAAGTCTAACTAGTGATACTAATTCTGAGTTCATTGAAAGCCTGTAATTACCCCCATATAGACTAAATCAACATATATCCTATAAGCTTGTTAAATCACATGAGTATTCACGTGAGACAATTTTCACATGCAAATTGTTACCCAAAGATTTTAGTGCGATTACTTCTAAAATTGGTGGGAATGGTTAGTATCAAGTTGCTACCATTTCTCACTATCTTTGATCTCTCCCAAAGTGAGACATTCCCCTATTATGTCCAATTTGCCATCAAGTTTTCAACTGTTTAGAACCATCACCGGATCCAATTTCAAACCATTTGATATCTTCTCTATTCACTTCAACTCTTCTTCGCACCAATTGAATGGAAGCCCGGTGGATTCCACTCCCATCCGTTGCAACTACTCGATGTCAAAGTCTCAAAAAAATGATCCTCTCAAAAGTTTTTCAAATAATCAATACATTGAATCTACAAGATTGTTTTACTTTATTTTTAATTGATTGACTTTGTTTCGATATAATCAATTGTAATTTGTATCATCAACAAGATTAATCCCGGATCATCAATTGTAAATTATTAACATCTTATCAATAATGTCTGAATCAAGCAAAGTTGATAAGCCTAGTGAAAAACCTCAAATCATTGAAGATAAATCTACAAACAAAGATGTGGTAGTAAATGAAAAAGAAAAGAAGAAACAAGCTTTTATCACCAGATCAATCTGGACTTTTGTTATGTTAATTTTCTTTCTTTTAATAATATCTTCAGGCCATTTGACGTTGATTTCATTTGTTTTATTATTTCAAATTTTAACTTTCAAAGAAATCATTCAATTAACTAATGAACCTGCTAGAGATAAAGATTTAAATTTGAACAAATTCATCAATTGGTATTTCCTTTTCACTTCTATTTATTATTTAGATGGTAATACTTTGTTTGAATTCTTCCATGATGAATTATTTAAGAACAAGTTGATGTTACAATTATCAGCCAATCATAAGATCATAAGTTATTTCTTATACGTATTTGGGTTCATTATCTTTATTTTAAATTTGAAAAAAGGATTCTATAAATTTCAATTTTCATCATTATGTATAACTCATATGATTTTATTGATTGTTATTTTCCAAAGTCATTTGATTATAAACAATATCTTGAATGGAATAATTTGGTTTGTTTTACCATGTTCATTAGTTATTGTTAATGACATTTTTGCATATTTATGTGGTATAACATTTGGTAGAACTCCATTAATTTCAATTTCTCCAAAGAAAACTGTTGAAGGATTTATCGGAGCTTGGATTTGTACATTATTTGCTTCAGTTATCGCTTCATCAATTTTATCAAGATCAAATTATTTAATTTGTCCTGCTACTAATATGTCAACTAATTTATATAATTTCCCTCAATGTGAACCAAATTCAATCTTTATTGATCAAATTATTCAATTACCTGAAGACATTTCAAACTTTTTCAATTTAGATTTTATTATTGTTAAACCAATTTACTTCCATGCAACTATTTTAGCTACTTTTGCTTCATTAATCGCACCATTTGGTGGATTTTTCGCATCAGGTTTAAAGAGAACTTTTGGTATTAAAGATTTTGGTGATACAATTCCTGGTCATGGTGGTATTACTGATAGAATTGATTGTCAATTTTTGATGGGTTCTTTCACTTATTTATATTTCCAAACTTTCATTTCATCAAATAATATCAATTTAACTAATATTTTACAATCAATTATTATTAACTTATCTTTTGATGAAATCATTTTATTGGTAAAATCATTATTAAGATTCTTGAACAATTCTAATATTTTATCCGATGAAGATTTAGATTTGATTTTTGGTATCTTGAACAAACATATTTAGAGACTTATCAATGATAATTGTAGTGTAAATTATTAAATCGTAGTTACATCATTAAAATATATAACCAGCCATTCGCACTTCAAAAAACTCTTGTGCCTTATTTCATATGTCAATTATTCCGCCAATGTTCACTTGCATGGCTGAACATCCATTGTTGTTTCAACTTTGTATTCGTCTGTTACTTAACTTCTTAGCCTTGGTGTAATACTACCAGTAAAAATGATACAATCTCAATAGAATTTCAGTTCATTACAAATTTCAACATTTTTAATTTAGCAGCCACCTGGAACTTAACTGGGTAATTAACCCCCATTTAAACCAAGGCAGATGTCATTATTGGGGCAATCTGACCACTTAAATAATATCAGTGTTTAGAGATTTCGCCTCAACTGTAAATTTGAATAAAGTATTAATTATTCTGTTTAAGGTTATAATTTCAACTTACAGTTCCTAAAAAGTAGGTGGAATACCCATGGCGGGACTTAAGCCTAACTCTTAATCTAAATTGGGTCCGTCGTTTCCCTTCTTTATCTTTAGAGCCAGCATTTCAGTAATCGCAAACTTCTTCTATTATAAATCCTGAGCGAATGTGGCTGGCTGCGAAAAAACCTAATATTCAATTTATATATAAATGTTTCCTCATGAAAAATATTCTTTAACGTGTAGTATTATAGTCAGTCGTTCATTAAGAAGTAATTTTACTTAGTCAATCTTTTAACAAACTCAAGTCAATCTTTAATCCAACTTAGTCAGTCTTTACATTCATTTATTTTATTATATACTACTACACTCATTATGTTATTCTTATTATTCCTTATTAATTTAGTTTTATCTGCTCCAGTTAAATACGTTACTAGAGTTCATACTGCCAATCCAGTCACTGTCACCAATACTTATACTACCGGTACTACTACCGTTTATTTACCACCTGTTGAAATTTTCGTCTCAAATGGTGTATCTTACACTTTTACTAAAACGGAAAGTCCTGCTGGTCAGCCAACTACTATAACCAGTGTTTATAACGATCCTGCTTCTGCTGAAACCCAACCTGCTGAAACTACTGAAGCTGCTCCAACCACTGAAGCTGCTCCTACTACTGAAGCTGCTCCTACTACTGAAGCCCCAACTACTGAAGCCCCAACTACTGAAGCCCCAACTACTGAAGCCCCAACTACTGAAGCCCCAACTACTGAAACTCCAACTACCGGAGCTGAAACCACTCAAGCTGAAACTACTCAAACTCAAAATACTCAAATTAAAGCGGTTGATCCAACCACTTTATCCACCTCAACTACATCAACTTCAACTACTCCAGTCCCAACCACTACCTCCACTTCAAGTACTTCATCTTCATCCACCTCAACTTCCTCAACTTCAACCAGTCAATCAGACTCAACTGGCCTTGCTGCTCCTTGGGGTATTGTCTACTCACCATACGCTGATGATGGAAATTGTAAAACCTCCGATGTTATTAATTCCGACTTGGAATTGATTTCCAGTAAAGGAATTAGTCATATCAGAGTCTACTCAACCGATTGTGGTACCTTAACTGCTGTTTTACCAAAATGTGCTAGTTTAGGTATTAAAGTCAATCAAGGTTTATGGATGAGTAGTGCTGGTGTTGATTCTATTGACTCCCAAGTTAGTGATTTGGTTACATATATCAAAAATAACGGTGATGATATCTTTGATTTCATTACTGTAGGTAACGAAGCCATTATTGAAGGTTTCTGTACCGTTGATGATTTATTAAGTAAGATCAAATCTGTCAAATCCACTTTACAAGCCGCTGGTTACAATGGTAAATTCACAACTGCTGAACCTCCAGTCAGTTTTGATAACAATCCATCATTATGTGATTCTGATTCCCCAATTGATTTCGTTTCAATCAATCCTCATTCTTATTTCAATACCGATATTGATGCTTCCCAAGCTGGTTCATTCATCATGGGTCAAAAGCAATTAGTTGAAAACACATGTTCAGGTAAATCTGTTGTTATTACTGAAACTGGTTACCCATCTCAAGGTAACACTAATGGTTTAAATGTACCATCAAAGAAAAATCAAGATATTGCTATCAGATCAATTATATCTGAAACTAATGGTGAAGTTACAATTTTAACTACTTATAATGATTTCTGGAAACAACCAGGTCCTTATGGTATTGAGCAATATTTTGGTTCCATAACTTTATTCAACTAAGTTAATCATATACCCATAATATCATTATCATAAAATCTTTTAAGATAAATTGTAAACTAGATACCATATAGATTTGTATACATATTTTTCAGTTATAAATTACTCTACATAAACCTTTCCCCTAATTTCCCAATAATAAATAGTTCAAAAATCGATAACCTTCTCAGGGAAGTATTCGTCAATCAATTCAAGGTAATATTTCTTTAAATCATCGACATTGTAATTCTCATCGATTTTTGAATATAAGTCATATTTGTTGAAAGCTCTTACGGCTTCCAACATCATTTTATCGTGTTCGTCCATTAAATAAGTATAAGCACCTTCTTGATGCCATGGATAGAATGAGTGATATCTAATCATCGCTAATGCTTCTTGAGGCAATGTTGAATTCAATTTAGCAATATGATACATATACTCGTCATGACCCCAACTTAACATAACTTTATCCAATCCACAATGTTTTTGATAAATCCCATATTTGGTGTTATATAAAGGATTCTTGAGGTCAGGATTTTTCTGGAAACTACCAGGGAAGATGATCTTTGCCAGGTATTTACATCCTACAGGAAAGGTATCCCCAACCACATCCCATTGTCCTTTAGAATCGAAGAAATAAAGTAATTTACCTAAATCATGAATCAACCCCACTAATTGAAACCATCGAGGTTTCCCGTCTCTCCTTATAGCTTCAGCTGTTTGTAATGCATGATCTATTTGTGATAATTCTGTGTCGGGATCACTCTCATCTAAAAGTTTGTTCAATTTCTCCAAACCTTCCCAGATAGTCATTTTAGCTCGTACTCTTGTTTTGAAATTTATACGAGCTTGAATATTATATGCAACAGTTTGTTTTGTGTGCTGTTCTTCATAGAAATCCTTGACTCTATCACATGCTAATTCATACTGTCTGAACGCCTTGGGGTCTATGCCATCGTAAAATCCAGAATCTTTCTTCCAATCATCTTTATCAGTACAATCATCATTTGCTGTTTCTTCCCCATCAGGGAATTCTTCTGTCTCTATTTTAGTGTCAGATTTCTTGACTACTTCTTGTTTCAACTTGTTGATTAACATCACGTCATCGTCGATGTTTTCGAGTAATTTACCCTCCCTTTTGGGTTTAGATACTTTACTCATCAGTTGATTTTTTTGCGATTTTTGCAAGAATTATGGTTCCTCATTTTGTAGGTGTTCACCAACTATCAAGAAAAATATTCATACAGATTTAATAAAGAAAATAAAATAGAGACAAAGAAATAACAATTTTCATATATTGAAAATTTCGAATTAAACGGCATCAGGATCGGTATCGTCTTTTTTAATCGATCCATAATTACTATCATCTGATAATTCTTCAACTACTTCTGGTCTGTCGAATGTTGTGAAAGGTTTACCAGTAATTTTACAATAAACAAAGGATACAGCACCTCTCAAGGCCACTGATATGAGGGCAAGGAGTATACCACCAAAAGGAGCAATGACAAATGCACCAAAAGGACCCCAATCTTCAGAATTATATAACCCATTAGAAACTAATAATAATTTACCACCTTCTTTGGCACTTCCATAATAAATGGTTCCGAAGACAAACACAGCTACTAAAGCACCTAATCCACCTACCATTATATCTAATCCTCTCAAGAACCAGAAAAATCTATCACTTAAACCTAAGAATAAGATGGGGATGATAGCTGAGGAAACCAAATCAGCAATCAAGTAAATTTGTAATACATCATCAGCCACTTTAATAGCTAAAACAATAACAGGAACAATAATTAACACCACTAAACCTCTAATATAGATCATTTTCAACTTATTTCTGAAAATATCATTAGAAATAGTTGATACCATAGCACTTTGTAAGGAATCGAAACTGGCAGTGGAAAGTGAGACAATGAAGATTAAAACAAAAGCTAAAACCCAATTTGGCATTTTAGCAAGAAGGATGAAGAAGGCATTATATCCGTTTTCATCACCAATAGTTAAATCTCCTGACCAGACAGCTAAAAACCCTGGAACTCCAACTAATGTAGTTATAATAAAGATAACCGCAGCCGCACATAAAGTACTATATCTCAAAGTTCTATCAGATTTTGAAGAAAATGTTCTTAACCAGAAAGAATTCAAGAAGAAGGCATTAGTTCCAATGGCCACAAATAATATATAGATTAATTGCCAACCAAGTTTATTTTCTTTTAATAATCCACTTTCGCCAATTTTTGAGGTATCAATTTTGATATTAGAACCCATTCCAGCAGCACAGATGATAATTAAAAGTAATACTAAAGCTCCTTGGAAATTATCCGTAATGAAAGAGATTCTAAAACCTCCAACTGAAGTATATAAAGTTGTAACAACACATTCAACGATAATCATAGGTAATCCATTCAATCCAGTGATAACTTCAAGAGCTGATCTAACTGCAGATAACTCAGCAATCATATAAAGGAACATGGTTAAACCTGTAAATAATGACAAGTATAATGAAGTAACAACTCCAAATCTTTGTCTTACCCATTCACTAAGAATGAAACCATCAGGACATTTTTTTCTAATTATTGGACCTACTACTCCGAAAGCGATTAAAGGAAGAGCTCCACAAATAGTATAAACCAACAATCCGTGTAAACCAGATATATTAGCAATTTGAGCATAAGTGGTCAATATACCACACCCTAAACCTAAAAATAATTAGTATAAAACATCCTCACGCAAGTATTAACTTGATCGAGTTAAACGGTATGATCTCAGCAAAAACCCTCCTGCCAGCAAGATGGTTAAAGCACCCGTAGTTTTAACACCATAATAGTTATACGATTCACCTTGAATACATACCAGAAGCTATAAAATTAAGTGCTAACGGTATAGTACTTTGAGTTCCGTTGGACGATAAAAAGTTATCCTTCCTAGCAAATTTAAAAGCTAAGAACAATCCAGTAGCCAAAAGGAAAGCATAAGATAAATAAATGATAGCATTATTACCTTGTGATGATAACATTCTGTCTTTAATCTTATTTTGTGGGAATTCCTTTGCTTTATAGGTAAATTTTTTACCCTTCTTCTGATGCAATTCTCACTATGCGCTTAGGAGTCTGAGAAATAAAATAGTATTTTACAAGGCTTTAAAACTTCTTGAATTTCTTATCCTTGATGATGGAATTCGACCTCCCATACTTACTGGAGCATATTCTGTTAGACTGACATTTGTTTAAACTAGCAGTTATGAAAAAAATGGAGATAATATTGCAAAAAAAAGATATGTGCCTCAGGGCAGGTTCGAACTGTCGACCTCCAGATAACTCACAAATCAATGACCTATGAGACTGACGCTCTAACCAACTGAGCTACTAAGGCATATCTGCTGTTGAAGAGAGAGCAATGCATCATACGGTATAGATAGGACTCTCCCGATTTTTTACTCTTAAAACACACCATTAGTTGGCTGAATCGAGCTGAAAGTAGTATTGGAAGAAAGCTGGACCATTTATCATTATAATGGACAATTCAGATAAGCTCTGAATTGTGATTAGGGGCAGCTCCATAGCCAAGTCCTCACCTGAGATGAAAAAGAAGTTTTGATCCATGAGTGGTCATCATTACATGGCATTTCATTAGCTATTTACTATAAATCACTAACTAACTAAGGTTCTTTTCTTTTGCATTGAGGAAAGCATTTATATTCTCAATCAATACATCTTTCTTATTTCCCATAGTAATCTTTTGTGATCTGGCGAAGCTTTTCAATTGGCTCACAGTGAAAGAATTCAATTCTCCTGATTTCCAACCTGTCAACACTTGTTCTAGAGTAAGGGAATCATCAACCTTCTGCCTTTTAGCTGGATTGTTATACTCTCGTACGGTATCTAAATTGTCAAATTTGTTCAAGTATTGAGTTATATACTCAGAAATTTCTTGAAGTTCACCTTTTTTAAACGTCTCAAAGATCTTTTCTACTACAGGATAAGTAGAATCATTGTTTTTCAACAATTTGTCATCTTCTTCAAAAGGAATTTGTAATAAGTTATGTTTCAAAATCTTATAATGATAATTGATCACTGGATTAGGGAATGCGTTAGGATTGAAGTGTTCCCATCGATGAGAATCAACCAATTTCTTGTACAAATCGACCAATTCCCTAGGATTTGCATTTTTGTTATCTACAGGGAATTTTCTCATATCATCATTGATTACTGATTCAGGTAATGATCTAATATCTTCTAACCATGGCAATTTCACTAATAAGAACCCATGAGGAAACTCAAAATTTTGGGATTTGGTCGATCTAGGTAAGTTGGTTGGATATAAAGCATATAATGAGGGCAAAGAATTCCTCTTGGTACAACCAAAGACGACAGCATATCTTTTCAATTTGATACATGATTTATAAAGTAGTGACATGGTCTTTAACAGTTCAGTATAACCATAAGTACTATTTTTACCATTGAAATAATCACCAGTGATGAAAGCTGGAGGTGATAAGTTATAGAAAGGTGTGAACTTATCTATATGTCTGAAACCAAGTAGTTTGAGATAAGGAGGAGGAGAAATATCCGTATTAGGTGAATCTGTTTCATCATCGTTATCCTCGTCATCTTCACTGTCCTCTAGATTGTCAGGATTATTATCAAAAGCGTAGTTCTTCAAGAATTCCCATTGTTGAGGACCCAAGTGTAAGATTGTCTTTTCTTCATCATTCAATTCAATCCCACTTTTGATGCCAGCATCATATTTCAATTCTACAGCAGACTTCTTATCATCGGTAGCTAAAGTAATCTCTTCACCTGCTTCATTCTTGATGGTTGATTCAGTTTCCACCAATTTCAATTTATTATCGTGGTAATATAAGTTACGTGTTTTAGTCAATTTTTCCTGATTATATAAGGTGTACCCCTTAATGGAAATTCCAAGATTACCTGATAGTTTCCCATCACTTAAAATCAAATTACATGCGAACTGTATACGTTTGATTTCCTTCAATCTTATAATGGCATTTTTGATTTTTTCCGAAACTATGGTGGAGTTCTTATAATTATTCAAATAGCCGGTACTCGAGAAGATGTCCCTGTACTTGGAGATATCGAAATCATTCAGTTGCTTGTTCAAGAAAATAGGATTAATTTGAATACCTCTATCTTCATAATCTTCAATAATTCGATGTAAAGAATCTCTGACATTCTTAGACTCAAAAGGTTGGTCATTGTTAGTGAACCAAACCAATTTTCTGGTTTTATAATGAGATTTATCGAATTGATCAATGATTTTGGTTAATACTTTAGGTAAATTGTTTTCATTATTATTTCCTACTTTGAATAAATCAGGTAATTTAGCTCTATTTTCAATATCATCAGTCACTAAATCATGAATATATTTCATTTTTGTGGAACTTAAATCATGTAATCCGGAGATTTTCTTCAAATTGTAAGAATTGTCTTCACTTTCACAATTGTACAAGTAAATACCCACTCCAGTATTGGGTAATATAATGATCATATCTTGAAGTAAATCATCAATTGATGAAATAATCTCAAATAATTGATTTTTACCGTTCAATTCCTTCAAAGATTGAAATATGGATTCGTTGATTTCAATAAGAAAGATAATTCCATCACGAATATCGTATTGTTTGAAATCTTCTTCTTCTTCCATGATCTCGTAAATGGTATTTTGGTGCGACTGAAAGTTTCCACTTAGTTAACCTATGTCTATACATTACATATTGATTTTAAACCGACAGGGAAAGACCAGATTGAACAAATGGTTTAACAAGAATCAAACTAGATCCGAACAATTGAAGTCTATTGGAGAAATCCATAGAATTGTATCATCAAGAGATCTGAAATATCAATCAAATTTCATCGAATACCAACAAACCAAGTTGGTTTATAGGCGTTATGCTGGACTTTATTTCATAATGGCTATTGATCTTAATGATAGTGAGTTATCATATTTGGAATCGTTGCATTTTTTTGTGGAAGTTCTTGACACATATTTTGATAATGTGATTGAATTGGATTTGGTGTTCAACTTTTCAAAAATATACAACATAGTGGATGAAATATTCTTAGGTGGAGAAATTAATGAAATTCTGAAACTGAGAGTATTGAGTAGATTAACGTATTTAGATAGTTTGGATGTTAATTAGGATATTTAGGTAAAATATGATATTGGATTATTGGTCAATTTATTATAATCTCCTTGTTCAATGATTTCCCAGATCATTTTTTGTACTTCTTCAATTGATTTGTCATTAACATTAAGGATCTTTACTCCTTCTTGGGGTAAAATCTTTAAAAAATTCGATTTAACGATTTTTTGAAATTCTGTCTTTTCGTATCTTTCTTCTCCAAATTCAGCTCTGGAATTTATCTGATCTAATTCCAACGATAAGAATAATGTCAAGTCTGGCTTGGGTAATCCCTTATCAGGAGAATATAACCAATCTACATCTGACATTTCATTCTTAGTGTTTGATAACTGCAGCTTGGATAATGAATACGATATACCTGAATAAATGTACCTATCCAAAATGATAGTATGTCCGTTGTTCAACTTATCGATCATATCTTGGATGACTTCCCATCTATTAGCACTGAAAAGTAAATGTATTGATTGATCAGGTAACTTAAAATCTTCATTAGTTAAATACTCATTAATGATGCTTCCAATTCGTGTAGACCTATCGGGGAACTTTACGATAAAACTGTCTTTGATGGATTCATGTAGTTTGACCAGTTGAGTAGATTTACCTGATCTATCTAATCCTTCTATAAGAATCAACTGTCCTCTCATGACGCGAAGATTTACCACTTTAAAGGAGAAGATAATGTGGGTAGATGATGTGGGTAAATTACGTAGGTAAATTGAGTAGGTATATTATTCCATTTAAAGAGATATGCTAAATGAGACAAGAGTGATGAGAGAGTTACCAAGAACAGAGTTAAACCCATACACTCGTAAACCAAATCAGATATTAAAGGGATTATGACCGAGAAGTTCATAGTTTAACTCACTAACCGGAGATACACCCTAATGTCAATCTTCAGATTACCTTAGTTTTACAAAGCTTCAACACTGAAGGCCGAAGTAAATTTGTAAGACTTATCAGCTATCAAGTCCAATGAACTGATTATCATAAAACGACGCCGATGTAATCTGTGAAAATTTTTTTACTGCGCGAGAGTGTTTCGCTTAGTACTAAACAACGCGTTAGAGAATATCCTTTGAATTGACCTTTTAAACCCTAAAATCGATCATTTAATTACTTTTTACGTTAACCAGAGGGATAATTAGCATTTAAAACTCTCGCACGTGACCCATCTCACTGAAATTTTTATTTCAACAAAATTGGCGTAGATCTGCAAAGCCTTGAGAAAAAAGTTGAGAATTGTTGATACTGATTTGATCCAACCATTGTTTAGCGAACTAAAGCAATCAATCATGTCAGATATTCAAGTGTTAACATGTATGTAACATTAAGGGTCATCACAACACCAAGATCAGGTGATTGATGGATTCGATCTTATGGGTTTAAAAACTGGAGCTATTTTTAGCACAAATACGAAGAAAACTATACTAACAAATTAGATGGTAATAATGCCAACCTATCGTTTTATGCATGGAGATTACAAGAAACTAAGTCTTGTCAGGTGACAATGGTCAATGAATCCATCGAAAGTGATCATTTAATTTTCAATTCTAATGTATTTGGTAATAATCAAGTTTGTAAAGCAAGTATTGTGCCTTCAATTAAACATTTAAATCCCGATAATAAATTTGATATTGTTATAGTAAGTTGTGATTCCTTACAAGATTTTCAGAATGTAAGTAGCAATTTGGTTAATTATCTTAAATTCAATAGTATAATATTGATTGAAAGTACTGGATATATAAATTTAGAACCATTTTTGAAATTGAATTTCGAAAATTGGAATGATTTGGTTATTTGTTCCATTATGAATGAAACCAACATTAAACATTTACCTTCAAGTAATCAATTTTATCATAAGTTGATTAATAACGATAACAGAATTTATATTGGAAGCTCAATTGAATATAACTTCAATTTAAATAATCATGAGAATTTTATTAAGATTTTGAAGTTATTCCAATTGGTTAGTGAAGATAGTAACAATAAGATTGTATTATTGAAATCAATCTTACCCAAAGAATTCATGACTTATCAATGGAAATTAGCATTACCAAGAATTATATTTAATCCTTTATTAATCATTTTTGAAATATCAAAACCAGAATTATTGAATAATCAAATATTGTGTAAGCCTTTGATTACGGGGATTTTGAATGAATTATTGAAAATCATCAAAAAGATGGATTGTAAGTTAGTTAAAGGTTATGAGAATGAAAGTAATTTATTTCAATATTGGTCAAGTTTATATCCAGTTGTTGATGATCTGAATAATATCAAATACTCAGAAAGTCCAGATTTATTTTATAATTACTATTATCAAAAGAATTTAGAGATTGATTTATTATTATTACAACCTATTTTATTAGGTGATGATAATGGTGTTAGAACTCCATATTTAGAGAATTTATATTCAATGATGTGTCAAATGATTAAGATTAATAGTGATGACACAGTATTCTTCCAAAGAAAAGGACTTCAATCATCCCAAACTCAAGATTTTAGTGATATTAAAGCTGAATTACAAAATTATCAAACTCAATTACAAGGGTCCCAGAAACAATTACAAGGAACTCAAAAACAATTACAAGATATGAATATGGACTTGTCAGCATCACAAGGTAAATTAAATGATATTAATAATCTTATCAGTCAACAAGAAGAATATTTAAATAATTTGAAATTCGAAATTCAAGAGAAATCTTCAATTTTAGATACTTTGAATAGTAATTTGAGTAAACAACAAGATAAATTGAATTATGAACAATCAAATTATAATAATTTGTTAAAAGATTTTAATGATTTGAAGTTGAAACATCAAAATGAATCCAACGGACAAAGACAAGTATCATCACAATCTCATAAAAGTTCACCAGAAAATGGAATCAATGGCCAAAGACAAGTATCTTCTCATTCTCAAAGACTGGCTGACAAAAGAAAGTCAACCAAATCCATGAAGAATTCTTTTAGTAATGATAATTTAGAAGATTTAGCTGATATAGCTATCTATGGTGCTCAATTGAATGGAGAGCCAGTGAAAGACAGAAATTACGAATTACAACAAAAGGAAATGGAATTGAGAAGGAGAGAAGAAGAGTTGATGAGTAGAGAACAAAGTATTAAGTCTCAATCAATGGATGGAAGTCAAACCAATGGATCTCAAATCAACGGATCTCAAAATAACGGAGCTATTCAAGGACCCGTTCAAGGACCCCAAGGACCTCAAGGACAACAACCAATCAAATTAAGCCCCCAAAATATTACATCACCCATGAATATGGGAATGCCTATGAATCAAATGCCAATGAATCAAATGCCTATGAACCAAATGCCTATGAATGGGATGAACAACGGTATGCCTATGAATGGTATGATGAACGGTATGAATAATGGTATGCCAATGAATGGTATGATGAATGGTATGAATATGAACGGTATGCCCATGAATGGAATGCCAATGAATGGTATGAATAATATGAATTATAATCAAATGCAAATGAATCAAATGCAAATGAATAACATGTACAACCAAAGAAATAATCGATATTCACGATCAAGATTAAATTCTTTACAATCCAATAGTTATTTCGATGCTCAAATGGCTAACAATGGTAATGGTATGAACAGTATGAATAGTATGAATACCATGAATATGAATAATATGAATAATATGAATAATATGAATAATATGAACAACATGAACAATATGAACATGAACCCTTCATCCAATCAAAGAAGAAACAGAAGGTCACAATTCCCCATGGAAGGTTTAGATATGGGAGGTAGAGGCGGTATGCCAATGCCAAATGGACCAACTGCAAATAAGAGGAAATCATCTGCAGGAATTCCCATGAATTACGAAGATAACACTCCTCAACTTCAGATACATCCCGACCAACTTCCCAACAATTCTAGACCTAAAGATCAACATTTGAAGTTACCCAATGAATTGTCATCCAACTCATCAAAATCCTCAGATACTCCGGTAACTTCAAAACACTCTCAAGATATTATTTTGAATGTCCCCGTAACAGAACCTGAGGCTAAACCTTTGGGTGTTATCAAACCACCTGAAGAGAAGAAGAAAAAGAAGAAGGGTTTATTTAGATAAATGTACATTATTTTCAGTTCAACCTTATTATATAACCGATATTTAAAGCCTCTTGTGGTTATGTAACCTCGATTGGTTCTAAATTTAATTCGTTTTTGTTTTGACACTATTTCAGGGCTTAAATCGCAATCGATCTTTATGTCCCGCTCTCCCGTAAATATTATTTAAGGGAGGGTGGTTCCACGTAATCACAAATTCCTCATCACACCATGTTAAGCAATCATATTGATAGTGAAGAATTGACTAGAGCAATTGTTTCTAAAATCCATAAAACTCCTATTTCTCATAATGATGTAAATATATCTCAATATGATAGTGAATCATTGATTCCATATTATGATATTCCTAAGAACTCCACCGATGGAAAATTGATTTCAAAGTACTTGAAGGAAGAATTGTCATTAGATGGGAACCCAATCTTGAACTTGGCTTCATTTGTTAATACTCATATCGATAATGTGGCATTGGACTTAGTTAGTGATAACTTGGTGAAAAATTTAGCTGATAATGATGAATACCCCACATTGATTGAATATCAAGAAAGATGTATCACAATGTTAGGAAACTTATGGCATGCTCCTAAGAAGTACAATAATTTAAAAAAAAGACAATTGCCTACATCTTTAGGATGTCCTACTACTGGTTCTTCTGAGGCTATCATGTTAGCAGGTTTGGCCATGAAACGTAATTGGAGTAGTAAAAGGAAAGCTCAGGGTAAATCTTGTGATAACCCAAATATCTTAATGGCTACTTGTGCTCAAGTTGCCTTAGAAAAGTTTGCTAATTACTTTGAAGTAGAAAATAGACTAATTGAGATTACCAGTGAAAGTGGTCATTTGATTGATTTAACTAAGATCAAAGAAAACATCGATGAGAATACTATTGGGATTTTTGTTATTATGGGTTCGACATTTACTGGATCTTTTGAACCTGTTGAAAAGATTAATCATCTTTTAGACGATATTGAGAAAGAAACTGGTCATGACATTAAAATCCACGTGGATGGGGCCAGTGGAGGCTTTGTGGCCCCTTTCTTGTATCCAAATTTGAAATGGGACTTCAGAAATGATCGTGTGGTCTCCATAAACACTTCAGGTCATAAATTCGGTTTAACAACTGCTGGTTTAGGTTGGGTCATTTGGAGATCAATTGAATACTTACCTGAAAGTTTAAGATTTAAATTAGATTATCTTGGTGGTGTTGAAGAGACTTTCTCCTTGAACTTCTCAAGACCTGGGTTCCCAGTTATTCACCAATACTATAACCTTTTAACTTTTGGAATCGATGGTTATACCAAAATATTCGAAAATTGTCACAGAAACGCAAGAATTTTATCTAAATTCTTGGTTGAATCAAGTTATTTTGATGTTTTATCAGTAATTCATGAACCTGCTAAGTCTGGGACTTATTCAGGAACTGGAAAACCTTCTTATAATGAAAAATTCGAACCTGGTTTGCCTGTTGTTTCGTTCAAGTTTTCTGAATCTTTCATTAAAGATTATCCTGAAATTCCTCAAAGTATTTTATCTTTACTTTTGAGAAATAAGGGATTCATTGTTCCAAATTATCATTTACCTCCTAGTGAAAATTCAACTGAAATCTTAAGAGTTGTAGTTAAACAAAATTTAAGTCTCAACTTGTTAGAAAAATTGATGCAAGATATCATCAAAAACACCGAATTGTTGATTGAAAGTTGTAAATCTGTTCGTGATTTTGTTTCTTTACAAAAAACTGGAGATTTAGACCATGAATTGGTTTATGATTTATTATGCTCAATTGCTTCAAATGGTATCGAGGAATTGAAAGAGATCAAATCTAAAATTCTTGACGAAAAGAAGGGAAAGAAAGATAAAAAGACAAGTTACAGAGGTGCTTGTTAGTGTCCAGGTGTGTAATTTTGGTGAAAAATTGAACTTTAAAAAAAATGTATGTCTCGTATTTTCAGTGTGAGCTCTGTTCGTACTTGCAGGGATCTTCATTTTCTTACCTTCCCAAGCTTGGAAGTTAACTCTACCATCAAATGATAGAACTTTGAACATCAACCCATTATCTACGAATTTCTGCTGTTTTACCCACCTCCGTTCACCTACTTCAACTTCGTATATCTTTTTATTGTGTGGTGTACGGAGGCCCCTGCGGGAAATCCATTTCGCAGCAACCTTTAAATTAAATCATTCAAAGTTAATTTCAAGACAACTTATCATGGCAGAAACCAGCTCCCAACAAGCTTATAATTATAAGATCACTACAATTGGATCATTAATTTTATCAATTTATTTCTCCTTCCAATTTATCTTGGATTATTCCAAATTATCAAGTGAAATCAGTACCACCCCATTTTCCAATTTTTTCATTTTTATCTTTATCTACTGGATTTTCTATTATCTTGTTCAAATAGTTTATATTCAAACTTGCTTGAGTGATGATGTTGATAGTTCAGGTACTTCTATCTTAAGTATCACAAATTCAGTCATCAGTTTCAACTTAACTAACGTTGTTTGGGTCATCTTATTCAAAAATAGATGGTATTTGCTCAGTGAAATCTTGGTTATCATTCAATTATTCGTCATCTTGAATAATTATTTGATCAATAAGGTGTACAGTTTCAAGCCATTGAAGAATTATCTCATCATAAATTTAACTGTTGGTTCATTACCATTATCATGGATTTTCATGACCTTATTCTGGAACGGTTCATTAATGATCCATTCTAAAGGATTAGCTGCTAGAATTTTAGCCAATTGTTTCATCTGGGATTTCTTAATCATTGGTTGGGTATTCCTTTTCTGGTTCAATGATTACACCATTGGTTTGAGTTTATCATACTTAGTATTAGGGTTAGCATTGAATCAATTATTCACCAAATTATTTGCTTTACAATGGATTTTTGCTTTCGTCATATCAGGAATCTTATTTGCTAGTTCCATTGTTACCATGACTTTGAAACCTGAATTGAAAGAGTCAATTGTGGTTGAAGAAGAACCTTTATTAGCTAATTAGTTTATATAGTTTATTTGTGATTGCCTGCAATCTTTTGAACCAAAAGGTCCTCCAAATATTGTTATTCGAAATAAAAAGTCTATTCTATTTCTTTTCACATTCTTTGGCAAGTTTCTTCAACATGTTCAATCTCTCTATTTCCATCAATTCTCCCTTAGCAATACTATTATAATACAACAAACTTTTATGTTGGATTATCGAACTATAAGATTCCTTATTGATCATATTGATGAACTCATCTCTTGTAGTATTTTCATCAGTTATACCATATTTGGATCTATACAAATTAAATTGATTGATCTCTTTTACTTTATCGGACATAACTCGAATTTACCTCATCGGTTCGCAAAATCGCATTTTTTGATGTTAGCGGTTAATTTGCCATGCACGCCTGGATTACTATTTTGGGACGACCAGTGCGGGAAAGGTCATAATGGAATCATGATGGATGGATGGTTTAATCATAATAGATTATAAATAGATAGAGGTCATTATAGATGACTATTACTCTAAGGTTCATAATTTCATGGTTCACTCTCACATAAACTGTAAAACAACACAATTCCATTCTAAGTCATGTTTGAAGGCTATGAAATCACAGAAGGCTAAATCTACCAATATGACGAAATGATCCATGTTCACGTGATGAGCCATTCGTTGAGATGACTTTTCTGCGCCATGCACGTTGTGAGAAAATAAAAAAAATCCGAGGTTTTTCATATGAAAACGTTAGATAAAGATAAGGAAAAAGGAAATAGAGAACAATCTCTATCGTAAACTTAATTTTAAAAATTTATGAGTATTTTTTTAACGAGAGAATATTTTACTAGGATTTAAGTATTGATGGAATTAAAAACGCAATTGAATTCAAATAAAATATGTTAGATCACTATTAATGATAACGGTTCATATCAAACAATAGGATTTTAAACATAGATCAAAACGGTGTCTAAAGTTCTAAGTTTAGGATGGAGTAATATTACACCGATATGTTATTGGATTTTTTCGCTTAAGCTGTAAAAGGTTCTGCACATAACCTGTAATTTTCGGGGAATGCTTCGATCGCACAGCAAATATTTCTTTTTTTCACTTCTAACCAACGCTGAGTCAGTAATTTTTTAAGCATTAATTAAAATAGTTTAAAATACCCGTGTAATCGGGGCTCCCGAATATGGAAATCTATAATTATAATTGATTGCAAAAAACTTAACCAACTGTACTTATTACACGTAGCAATTTGAAGATCAAGAATTTTTTTCGAGGTAAGTGATTATAACTAAGGAATTAGTATTTAGAGTTTCCGTCATTAATTGTAAAATTCATGATATCAATGTAATCAACATTTGTAAATCCCTTTGTCATTTAGGCTTCTAAGTATGATCTCTTAAATAGTTGCTACAATTAATTAAGGTTTTTCATTTAATCCGATAGCTTAAATCCTGTGAGGTAATGTTCAATTGTGTCGAAAAAAAAAGTTTAGGGTACTTGATCCGAAGGAAAAAGAAAAGTTTAAGGAAAACGAATAAATATTCTTATCTATAAATTAGCGAATAATAGAACAAATCCCTTAATAGAAAGAATAAAAATACAATAATCTATATTTAGTATCACATTCTTTTCGATTGAATATGACCAGACGGTAATAACAATTGGAAAACGATGAGAATGTAGAGAACAATCAAATAATTCCTAAAACGGTAATGAAAAACTTCGCACAAAAAAATATTTTCCTGCTCTTAGACTTGACCTTAGTTTCTAGAAACGGTAACGGTCTCTCCATCAAAAAATGCCTTTTAGATTTTTCTTCCTATACTAGGGAAACCCGGTAATATACAGGAATTTTCATGTGTATGTCTGACAATTGTTCTTTCCATACATATTTTGTAAATCTAACATAGGGCTATGCTCAAGTCATTGGTTATTACTGTCGTTTCAATCATTAGTTACATGAATGATTTAAAGTTTGGTCAGAGTTTAATTACTTAACAATAGAATTGTAGTTCCGTTAATGTGAGATGACTAGAAAGATCGTCCAATAATCGCGCTCGAAAACAAAAAAAAAAGTCTTCTCTTCGAAAAGCGTTTTTCTTTGATGACCTTCTTTACAAAGAGAACACCTGCTTAAAAAATATTATCTACATTGCTCTGATAGCTCAATAGAGAACGCATTAAATATTTTCAACACAATAGCATCAGGACTCTTAATTGACAATCAGATCTTTCACATGGGTTAAATCCATCAATTGCTTTAAAAATGACCCAACTCTCAAGATAGGTCAAAGTACAATAGACAAATAAACGATTATGATAACTTTATTCTAATCTATTCTTAGTAGTGGCGATGCTTTCGCATTTAGCTCGAATTTAGTGCTTTTGTTTTACTAATTGGGAAAAAGAACATTTTTAATTGTATTCACTTGCATACGGCGAATCACTATGACATAATATTCTCAAAAGTCTTTTGTTCTTGAGATCTATTTATAAATTTTGGTATTTGATGACATTGTTAACATTCTCGACTATATTTATTTTGTAGCTGGATATTATTAGTTGTATATCATTGATTTATTATATTGATTAAAATAAGTAATATTAAAGAATATATCGAATTTATTCAAAGTCAAACAAAATGATGTAATCAGTTAGATCTCAAACACTTTCTTTTTTCCGTGGGCTCAAGCGCCCACTCCTTCGATTCATAACCAAAATATTCCCTGCACATATTCTCACTTCAAACTGTATAGTACTGTATATAAAATTGAAAAAAATAAGTAATTCATTGCTAAAATTATCAATATTAACATTGAAATGATCTAGATTGAACACAATCAGTCCTGATATCATAAACCAATCAGTAACTTTTTTTTCCACTGAAAATTAAATCATAATTGATGATTCCGTGAAATTCGGGAACATTTTTAGTCATTCCTTTGCATTGCCCTTTTAGGAAGGTTGCGAGCCATTAATATTCTATTTCCTATGCGTCGACATAAACTGTAAAACGGATTAAAGAACAAATTAAAAATATTTATAATTTCTAAAATTATAATTTTAAATCCTATAAGTAAAGATTAAATCCCTAGATAAAATCAATATTAACAAAAAATATATCAATAATATTATAACAATTAATAAATTTTATATCAAAACAATTTTAATCATTAGATTGAATTTAAATTTTATATAACATAAATTCCAAGATCAAATATCTGAAGGTTCATGTCTATGTTTGATATATTAGGAGATAAATTCAATTTAAACTACGATAATTTTGAAATGGAAAATAATGATTATTATTATAACGAAGTAGTTGATGATGATTATTTAAATCAATTAAATGATCAAAATCAAAGACAACAATTAAATCAATTCCAACAAACTCAAGTCTCAAATTCAAATCAAACCAATCAAAATTATTATCCAACACCGCAAACAGCCACTACAGCCACCACCAGTCAAATGATTCCTGAACAATATCAATATTCAACCCCTCAATATTCTACTAATAATTTCAACCCACCAACAAATAATAACTATTATAATTATAATTATGACGAATATAATATGGTTAATAATGAAGAGTTACAAGTTAATAATTATTTTGAAGATAAAAACTTTACTCAATATTATTTACAATCAGCTAATGTTGATTTATCAAATTATTCAACACCCAACATTACACCTCATTATAGTCCAAGTTTTGATGATGATCAAAGGAGACCATCGACCAATTCTTTTCAATCATTACCGGTACAGAATATGAGCTCATCATCAATACCATTAACTAATTCAATGGTTAGTGGGATGAATCATCCATTATCAATCAACAATTCAATGAATTCATTACCAGTACAACACAATATGATGAATAATTCCATGACCAATATGAGTCCAATTTCCAACATTCATCCATCAGGTTCCATATCAGCTCCATTATCTCATTCAACCTCATTAAATGCTATGAATGATTTACCCCCAAGTATAATTAACAATTCACCACCTCCAACATCACCAGTTTCAAGAAAGAAAGACGATAATAAAATCATCACATCTAATAAATCCAATTTCAGAATTGTCAGAGGTGTAGCAGCTGGAGGATCAAGTGCCAGACCTCCAAAAGAATCAGCTACTTCAAAATCAACATATATTCCAATTAAATTAAATATCAGCGGTGGTACTTTAGAAGATATTGTTAAACCAACTTGGTCAAAAAGTGAATCAGAAGATCAAAGAAGAATTGTCAGAATTGAAAGATTTCAAAAAAATGAACAAATTTTCATAAATTTTTCCATCATTGGTAGTGCCAATGAAAACCCTACACCATTACCACCAATGGCTAATTCAAATATCGATATTATTGAAGTTAGTTGTTTACAATGTTCCAAGAAATTATCAGAAGAAATCGATTTACCATCACCAATAAATGAAGAGCATGATCTGGATCAAGATGATTTTCAAGATGGTAAAAAATATGATTTTGATTATTATATTACATCAGTTGAAGTTATTGAAATTGTTGAATTATTAATTGGTACATATTCTGAAGAACCAAGTGAAAGAAGAAAAGAAAGAGGAAGAGTTAGAAGTAACTTGGTCCCATTCTGGTCTAAGAAACCAATTAGTTCAAGATTAGATAACAATTTAATCAATCAACCAGATTTTAAAATTGAATTGGCTAAAAGAATTATGAGTTATGAAATTAGAAAACCAAGAGGATTTGATAAAGAAGTTAGAATTTTAAAGTGGGAAAAATTATTACCTGCTTTAAAAAGGGCTTTACAAAGTTATTATTGTGAAATTCCTCCAACTGTGTAGTCATGTATTATATTGTCCAGTACAATTTAGTTCTTGTGTAGTTTTATGTATTATAGATTTATTATTAGTTTTTTTTTATTGTTTTAATAATTTTTGGAGGGCTGGAATGTCTAAAGGCTGGCTCATTTGATAGTTTTACAGTTTAACTACCTTGCATAACTTTTGGCTTATTGTTTGCGCTTCTAATGTAAACATTGATCTGAGATTCTCACTAAAAGGTAAACATCGTATATTGTCAGGCACAACTTTCGGGTAACTTTAGACATGGACAACCTAGTGTTCTATTGTATTACTGCCCGCAACTTTAAAAACTTCTTATTGTTACCATCAATTGATTTGGATCTATTGTTAAGAGAATGAATATTGACTTAACAATCGATTTCATTTGCTATTGTTGATCTGATTCAATTGTGTGTACCAATGCTTGACTGGGCAACATGGTAAGAATTCCCGATTCAATTCATGTTCCCTTTCTGAGTGATTGGTTAAGAACCAAAGAGGTTGGCATGTTAGATTTATGTCCAAGCCATGAGAATTCTAGATTGTTTTTTTTTTTTTGAAATTTTGAAATTTCCTTAGTCTCCAATTACTCCTTAGAAATACATCGTCAAACTTTATCCAGTCAATGCACTCATACTGTCAACCCGGTAGTGTGTTCGTCTAGCATACCCACCCTTACGCAAGAGAAGATAACCTTTTTCTTCGTTTGGAATATTTTTAGCCTATTCACGCTCGATTTATCGACCCATTTGATTTAAGGACCATTATCGTACCATGTCAATAGCAATGTTAACAAACCATGGCAATCGATATAACCATAGCATATAAGTCCCCTAACCATTGCAAAATAAGCTTAAGAGAAAAAACCATAAATAACGAGAGAATTCTACTTCCTATTGTGGGATCATTAAAGATATTTATAACATTTCAAAAATCCTAAAAGGGTCTCGAATACTTTATCCAAGAATCTCACATAATCGTTTATTAACGAGGTGAAAAACGAGGTTAAACGAAGTTTAAATTCCCCAAAAAATTCCCGTATTCGTCATCGACTTCTGTCATCTCGTCTAACATGTACCCTACATAACGCACGGACAGAAGATCTAACTCCATTCAATCTTACGATTTTTCATTATTTGATGGTTCTTAGAGCCATAAACCCGGAAACCTATTAAAAACCTTGTTAAATCCCCCAGTCAATTTTTAACTCCTATAGTTGATTTCCCCTTAAAAGAAATTTAACTTCCCAGGTAATCAGTCGCCTCATGTGCCTCTAGATCTCGTCGAGCATTATCAACCCTGAAAATATTGACGTAACTTTCACCATTTCAGTGTTTAAACCCTAAAAAATTGTTGATTTCCCACTTTACCCATTCCGTCACCTCTTTTAAAAGCCTATATCAAGTCAACCTCATATTCCGAAGCCCTAATTAACCTAAAAAACTATAATTTATTCAGGGTCGTGTGATGTCGAATCTGACGCGACTCATTAATTCTCTAAAAACGGTTAAAAATTTTACTTTGATACATTCTCCTGGATTTCCATTGGAAAAAAAAGGGAATAGAATAAAAACTTGAATTTTTCACCTTCAGAAATCATTCTTCATACTTAATTGTAGGATTCAAACTTTGTATTTATTTATTTAATTATTAATTCCAATAATCTTTCAGGCTGCAAAAAAAAACCCGCTTTCATAAATGATCAAGAATAATTTCGACCAACAATCGATAATTTCCAACAGGAAATCGTCAAGGTTATCTAATTTTAATCCTATGAAAAATAGGACACCAAAACAAGATTTTACTCAACCACCAATTCATGCCCAAAACTCACCTTATTATAATCAATTAACTCCAACTATGACCAACATGACAACCAGTTCAGATGGATCTTCAACTCATGGTAATAATTATCTTTTGACAAAGATGGAAACCAATGATTCTATTGATTCCAATTATTCATTACAGCAACAATTCAAAATCGAGTTAAATTTAAGTAAGAAAGAGATTGAACTTATTAGATTTACTTGGAATAAAATGTTATTAGACGAGCCTGTTGTTAAAACTAACAGTTCATTACCAATCCCTGGAGGATTTAACTTTAACAATGGACATAGTAATAATCAACCAATAATGAATCCACCTAAAAGTGCATCTACAATTGCTTCATCGTTATTTTGTCGTCAATTATATGGAAATTTATTATCAATGGATTCCCAATTAGAACGATTATTCCCATCAATTAAACATCAAGCCGTTGCATTTGCTGGTGTTATGTCATTTACCATCTCACAATTAGAAAATTTAACTGCTTTAAATGATTATTTAGAAAATTTAGGTAAAAGACATTCAAGAATTTTAGGTATTGAACCTGCAATGTTTGAATTAATGGGAGAAGCATTAATTCAAACATTTTATGAAAGATTTGGTACAAAATTTACTCAAGATTTAGAAATTTTATGGATCAAATTATATTTATATTTAAGTAATTCATTATTACAATTCGGTATTGATCCAGTTTTGAAATTAAATAAGAATGATAATTTATCGTCAAATGCCTCCATTAATTCTAATTTATTCAAATTGAACGAAATCAATGATTTTTCATCAAATAATTCAACTATAAGTTCAAGTATTAATACATTGAATTCAAGAAATTTGAAAGATGATTTCTATGACATCAATGAAAAGAAAGTCTCAACTGGTTTGAAAGACAAGAAAGATAAAAGTACAATCAAGAAGAAGAAAAGAGATTGTGTAATTCAATAAGATATTTTATTATTTCCTCACTCTGCAGTAAATATGACAATAATATGTCAAGTTCTCAGTACAAATAATATAGGTTGGGAATTATTTGCTGGTGATAAATTGCCGATAAAGGTGTGAAATTCAACCGAAATATCACCGGCAATTATCAATAACCATTACCCCGATTGCGTTAATTTCTCTCTTAACTCCTCTTCGTCTTTTAACCAAAAATTCCAAAGGCTCATCTCATTTACCTAATTGGGACGGGTTGGCAATTAGTGAAAAATTCATCTTATCGACCAATATGAAATATTGTCTAACTATACTTGATTATCATTACCTAAGGTCTCTTAAACTGTAATACTTCTCTACTACTATCATCAAACCTTACTGCCTCCTCAAATCATAATTTTTACCAGGCTTACACGTCCCCCTGATACACGATTTTAGTTAATCGCGTTTAAAAAAATTTCAGGACAAATCTTATCAAAATTATTCATTTCAATTTACAACTTCATTGAGGATGTCTGACTTCGAAGATATGTTAATGAACAATTCGTTCTATTCGGATAAAAGATTCAACCAACCAACGAATTTTATGAAGAATAGTCCTTCCATCAAGGCATTGGAAAGTATATTGAATGAAAAATCCAAAAGTTTCAGTTATAATTTATCTTCTTTAGCTGAGGAACCCGATAATAAAGTATCTAATTCGATAGTAGGTTCTACCACCAGTTTCCAAACTGCTAACGAATCATTAACAAAGTTAGATTCTTCCAGTTTAAATGATACTGCCGTTGAAGATGATAAATTAACCAATGTCACTGAAGATAATGAAGATACTTTGATCGATGACCAATATTCTCAAAATACTTCAAATGGGAAGAAGTTTGTTAAGATGCCTAGCTTGATTCCTCAAGACTTGAAAGTCGAATCTAATAGAAGGAAATCAATGATTGAATTAAGTGAATTTGAATTCGATTTCCCATCTTCAAACATTCCCAAATTATCTACTCCAAAATATAATCAAAATCTGATTAAGGAAACTCCTGAACCAACCCCAAAACAACCACCAACAAGATCATTATTAGATAATTTATCTACTCCGGTTTTAACTCCAAAAACTCCCCAAAATGTCACTCCTAGAATTAATCAACAAAAATTGGGAGAAATGAATTTTTCAACTCCAAAATTGTTAACTCCATCTCCTAGAAAGTCTCCCCATGTTAGATCTAATTCATCATTCTCAGTAAATTTAAAGAGAGATACACCTAAGCATAAAAGAAGTAACACTGTGGGAGATTTAAGTGATTTCAAAGAAGATAAGAAGAGATTTTCCTTCATGGGATTATTCAAAAAGAAAGAAAAAGAACCCAAGAAAGAAAAGGAAATCAAGAAGGAGTCTAAGAAAGAATCCAAGAAAGAAAGAGAACCCAAAAAGCCAAAAAAGGATATCAAAAAGGAACAACAAGATAAAGCTCCTAAAAAAGAGTCAAAGAAAGACCTTAAAGAGCCAAAGAAAGATTCTGCAGAACCAAAGAAAATGTCCAAATCATTTAAATCTAATACTAATGTCAATTTTATACGAGAAGCTACTGAAACCCCTTTCCAATTGGATGATTCTTTGGATGCTAACTTGGATTCTCAACCTATTCAATTATCCCATAATGTTTATGATGATGAAATGACCTTAGAACCTTTACCTGTTAGTAATTCAGTCAATTCATTATTACCTTCACCTTTGGATACTGAGACATTCTCATTAGGTCCATCATTGGAAACTTTGAAGATTTCAGAAATACCTCAAGTGAAATCTAATAATCCTTTCATCAATTACAATCCTTCACCAAGAAACTTTGAAGGTGATGAAGATGATATTTTTGCATCACCAAAGAAACAACAGAATCATATTGGAGATTCCCTTTTCCCTAGAACTTTAAATGCTCAAGAAGTTGAAAGTATTGTTTCCTTGGAAAGATCAAGATCAATGAAATCAGTCAAATCTAGTAAGAGAACAAGTTTTGTCAATTATGATGGTTCTGATGAAAACATTATTGTCTTCAGTAATTCTATGGGTTCATTATCACCAATCCTGAATGTTTCTCGTTCTAATTCTATTTTGAAAAACAGAAATAGCAATGCCAGTTATCTTGATGATAATTCCATTGGAAATAGAAATAGTATTGGTAACAGAAGTTTCAAGAGCATAAGAAGTGGAAGAAATAGTGGTAGAAATAGTTTCATTCAAGATGATGAAGATTTTAATGATTTAATTGAATTTAGTGATTTCATCGATTTAGATAACTTACAATTTGATGTCAATGTTGATGAAGAGAACAAGGATTCCACTCTCAAAGAAGACGAAGTTCCAGCTGAAATTTCTAAACCATCAATCAAAGAACCTGAAAAATCACAACCAGAAGAACAGAGGATTTCAACTGATTCTTATCAACCACCTCAATTACATGATCAATCTATCCAATCTATTTATGATAAATCTCAATCCACTCATGTAGATGAAGATAATGTAGAATCCCCTATTATAATATCATCATCACCATCGATTGATGAACCAATAGAACCTTTGAATATCAAAGCTAACAAATTACCACCTTCAAGAGTTGTTCCTCCAGTGACAGTTCAACATCAAAATATTGAAGTTACCACCGCCAGACCTTCATCAATATTAAGCAATTCTCATAATGATAATAAAGGCTTGAAAGGACCATCATTTAAAGATTTAAAAGCATCCAATTCTCATCAATCTTTCAATTTATCCATTGATGAAGAATATGGAGTTGGATCAGGATTTGGCTCCAGTTCAGATGACGAAGATTATGACACCGAACAAGAAAATGAATACAGACAAACTTATAAAGAAAATCAATATAACACTTATGAAGACTACGATTATGAAACTGAAGATGAAGAGGAAGAAGAAAAATATTTCCAATCATTACAACAAAATAAAAGATTCACAGCATCAATTCCATCGAATTCTAAAATATTCCAACCACCAGTTATTCCAAGTAATAACTCAACTCCAAGATCAGCTTCATCTCCAGCATCAAGATTTACTCCAAGTCTTAAGAGCACCCCTAAAAGTAATAGAGAAGGAGTTAAGTTCTCCTCAAGAATCATTTTATACGAAACTTATAATGGAGATGAATATGATAGACATCCAGATACTGCTACATGTAATCAAATTACTCCAGCATTAGCTCAACAAATCAGAGATGAAGTTAATGAATTGAAATCCAATTGGGTTGTTCATCAAGAATCCCGTTGTTACACCCACTTTTTATAAATTTAATTGTAATCATTGTAATAATATATTTCTAATTTAATGGATCATATCTCTGAACATCACTATTTCTTATCATGAAGGTCTTTGGCATGTGTTGCATGTGCACTTTGGAAGATTTCATCTAATGTGGCATAATCGGATTGGGGAATTGAAGCAACTATGTGATCAGGATTGGTCATTTCAACAATAACATATTTAGAATCTTTACGATCTATAGCAGTGTCTTTGGCCCAAGGGGCGGTATCATACTCTCTCAATGAAATAATTGGCGGTTGACCATCAACATATTCAGGGTAAACCATAGTTCGCGATTTTATTTTTCAGCGATGAGTAAGGTTATTCCTGGTCAATATATAACACCTATTCATAAGGTGGAAGATGGAGAAGTTAAACGGTATATAAGTGGCAAAGGAACCACGATCAACGAGATTGAAGTTGAAAATGAGAAAATCCCTATAATTGTAGGTACTATATTAGGTAGAGTCATCATCAAACTAACCGGTGATAATGAATATATTGTATCAGTTATACCAAAGAATCAACCCGAAGTTGAAGATTTGAAATCTACGAATAATTTACCAAAAGAGAATGATATAGTTTTGGTAAGAATAACTCGAATAAATCAAAGACAAGCAAATTGTGAAATATTAACTATTGAAGGGTCAGGTAACATAATCAATGATCTGGGTATAGGTACTAATGGAGAATTAGCTCATTTATCTATTGGTTATGGGGGTGGATCTCAAAGTTTATCCAACCATTCAACTATTGCATCATCACAAACTTCAATGATCAATGCCATGTCGATTGATGTTGGGGAAAATTTCAAAGGTATAATAAGATCACAGGATGTTAGACTGACAGAAAGAGATAAGATCAAGATTCAAGAATGTTTCAAACCAGGAGATATCGTCAGAGCTATAATAATATCATTGGGTGATGGATCTAACTATTACTTGAGTACAGCCAATAATGAATTGGGAGTTATCTACAGTAAAAGTGATGGAGGTGCAGGTAACCCGATGTTCCCTATAGACTGGCAACATATGATTACAGAGAATGGTAACATCGAGATGAGAAAATGTGCTAAACCTTTACAATAAAAAAGAAATATCTCTCCTACAATATATATAATTTTTTAAGGTCTCATCTCTTAATGCTGTAAAAATATCTTTACATGTTAAGCATTACGAGTCCATATCAAGGCGATTGCTGTTAGGGCATCTGGAGTTTACTATTTTTTAGATTATTTTTTGATTATTTTTTACAGTTCCTATGTGAGAAAAGGAGTAATGCTCTTATCTTTCCCTTTCGAGTAATGTTAACCATGCATCGAAAATAAAAGTTACGAAGAATATTATTTAACCAAAAAGGGCCAACCGTTAGCAATGTTTGGTGGCAAATCAAAGATTTGCTATATTCAAAATCTGAAGGGGGATTGAAGTCACCCTTGATTCAACATCTAGTGGTTGGTTGATGGTGGAAGGATGAGAGAAGAATTCCGAAGCCTGAATAGGAGATGGAATTTCATGTAATTTAACAAATTAAGTACAATTTTGAATTTAATGGATGTTTTGGGCGTTAAGGTCGTATTACCTAAAGGGATGATTAATACTTTATACATCTATGAATAAACACTATATAAGGTTTTGAATAAATTCACATTTCCGCAGCACGGAATTAAATTTCAGGTAATGGATGAATTAACTCATCGTGATCACCTCTTAAGTCAACTTCACTTAATCCGATCTTACTACCGAATTTTTCAAATCTTTTGACATATTTAGTTTTCTTTTCATCGGCAATTTTAATTAATTCCGGCCAATATTTATCGTGATCATATTCAAAATTGACATTTCCACCAAAATCTTTATCTAATTGATCAACTGGAACATATTCAGGGAATGGTTGGTCGAAGACCAATTTTTCTCTGGTTAATGGATCAATGAAAGGATGAATAATTTTTAAGAAAGTCCAACCCAATAATGGGATGTTAGTTAATAATGCTTTACCTAATCTTTCAGGATAATGTGTTTGTAAGATATGTAACACTTGTCTACCTGTACCGATCGGTGGGATTTTACCTGTGGAGATTCCTACATCACTTGGTTTGAAGTCTATTAATAATGCTAAGGAATCTTGTCCTGATGGCATGAAATCAATAACTCTTTCCAACATATAAACTAAATGTTGGACTTGAGTGATTGAAGGTTTGGTATTTTGTCTTCCAGGCTTTAAATATAAACAAGGTCTAGCATCATTATCATAACCTAAAATAACTTCTTTACCAGTACCATTTTCTGGTGAACACAATTTCCCGTTTACTTTATTATCGTCTTCAAAGTTCCCATTGATACCGAACTCCCTTCTCCAGGCCAATGTTAATTCGATTCTATCAATACAGTCCTTTAAATGCCATTTGGTAGCTCTCAAATATCTGAAGAAACATTCCCGAGTTAACCAATTTTTTTCGCTTTCACTTAATGGGGTGAATGCTTCGGTCTTTTTACTTTTTTGATCATTTTCGTTACTAGCAACCTTCAAATCAGGGTTGACAAAATGTTTGTAAACCTCCAAATACATTTCCTCTTGTTCTTTGGTTAAGACATTAGGTTCCGGTACTTTAGATAACTGACTTGGTGTACCAAAAGGTAAATAGACTTTATCTCCCAAATCCTTCTTTAAATCCGCTTTACTTTCCTTTCCCCTTAAACGACTGAACATCTTTTCCTATTATACCACTAAACAGTAAGATTATAAATGTTTTTCAAACTTTTCAGTTAAAAGCGGTAGTTCCTTGGACGCGCGCGACCCTTCGGCTTCTGGCTTAAAGTTTAAGTTTTAATCCGATGAGATTACGCACTATTCTGTACCTAGTTAAGACATCATCACTATAGCGGTTCACCATTAGATTAATAGCATTGAATTAATAAGAAATGAAGTTGTTGAAGTTATCGGAGATTTCCATCAGAAAATGTGTACGACATTCCAATCAGATGACCGATGTAGGAACTATACCGTATCATCTCGTAAGGCCCATTTTGATGAAGTTGAATAGCAAACAATTAAGATTGATTGAAACTAATAGTCCTCATCTCAAACCTAACACAGATGAATTATGGAAAACTTTAATCATGAAGGATTTCCCTTCCAGACCAAATCGTCCTTTGATTATTACATCGTCTCCCATGCCTAATAAGGAATTATATGATCTATACGAAAACGAACAGGAGAACTTCAGAAAGGATTCCACTGAACGTTTAAAAAGAATGACACAAAAGCTAAAGACAGAAAAAGAAGAGAATAGCGTTATAGAAGTGGAGCAAATATTGAGAGACCCCGTAGTCAAGGGGTATAGAGGACCAAGGAATAGTATTTTGAATAAGGCAAGGAAAGAGTTGATGGGAAGATCTTTGATGTTTCCAGGAAAGAAGAGAGACACTCTGATGATAAGACCGATAAGAGAAAGGCGACCTCAACAAACCCCAGTCGTAGGTGGAAGGTTCTCAAGACCCACGACATCGCCTCAAGTTCATAAGGTTGTGAAGCCTGCGATAACGAGACCTGTAGTCAACAAACCTGTGATTACCAATCCGGTAGCTACCATTAACGAACCCACAATCAAACCAACAGTCAAATCCACAGTTAAGCCCACAGTCAAACCCACAGTCAACCAACCACAAGAAATAGATAGAGAGAAAATAGATCGGATGAAAAAGAAGAAACCTTCTATATTTATGACTTCACCTCGAAAGAGGGTCAAACCAGTTGCTCCTCCACCTAAGAAACGACCTGCCGAACCTACAGAGACTCCTATCAAACGAATAAAATCCCTGGTTTTTAATTAATCTGGTCTATGATTAGCTATATTATACTATTTAATGAATTCACGAATGCAATTTTTTCCTTTGTCCTATATCTTCATCATTTAATCTCTTCTTATAATTGTTGGCCATTACGTTATTCTCTTCGTCTTTGGAGTTATCATACAAATTGACGTTATCATCTATCATTACTGTCTGTTTATAAGAATTGATTCTCAATCTCCCATTAATCAAAGCTTTCTCAGCATTATCATCAAATTTATTTATATGGTTTAACTTTATACCTAAAGTTTGGAAGAAATTCATAATATTATGGAATGATCGAAGATTTATAGGATTTTTTGAACCACTAGAAATTATCAAACCGTTCGATCTTGTGGCTCTTATTAATTGTACGATATTTGATATCATTAATTTTCTAGTTAATGTTGAGGTACTGGAAATCAAAGGACCATAACAGATTTCGAATTTGATGCCCTTTTCCAAGGCTTTACCTACGATCTTATGTTTGATATAGAAGTTTAACTTCGTATCCAAAGGGATGGAAATTAAATCAATATTTAAATTAATGATAGAATTCTGTAAAGATTTTTCAGTTTGAGGCTTTATGGCAATAAGATCAAAATAATTTTGATATTTGTTCAAATTGATTAATTTGGATGAATCATTAACAATCACAGTTAATCTTGTGAACACTTTCAAATCAGGAAATTTGGAAATATCTATGATTTCTTTGATTTTTATAGGATTAAGTTTTGATGGTTCATTGATAGGTAACTTTAAAGATTCAGAAACTTCAAAATTGATTACAACATTATAATACCCCAAATTATATGAAGTTATTATTAAGTTTTTGATATTAGTAATCTCCGAAGGCGTTAAAGCATCGTAATTTGATTTAGGCCATAATAAATTCAAATCACAAGTCATCTCTGCGGAAGATTTGTAATTCGCGCTGTTGCCACTATTTAGGATTATAAAAAGGTTAGAGATTCCGTGTTGTTGAAGGTAAGTGAAGGCAAAATGAGTATCGTTGAAAAAGAATCCATTATGGATATCGGAAAACATTGTTCCAAATGTCAAAGAATAGACTTTCTTCCTTTCCAATGTGAATTCTGTAAATTAATATTTTGTGGGGACCATAGAAAACTAGAACAACATCAATGTCCTGGATTACAAGAGAAACCTATAAGGAGAAGTACCAGTCCAGAAGGTCCTACAGCTGCATCTTTATTTCCAAATAGAGACAATGATAGGGTAAGAATCAATCAACTATTAAAAGACCCAAAACCTACCACACTTAAAGAGAAATCTACCGCAGTTATGAAATTGACTAAATTCTTGCATTTACAGAAATTGAAAAGACAATCTAAAACCACATTATTTTCTAAGAAACCTAACCCCATAGTAGAAATACAATCATTGAAAAAAGTATCGAAAGGTGATATCAAAATAAAACCTGAAGATAGAATATATATATGGTGTCTTTACTTAAAACATGAAGATTTCGAGAAAATAGATAGTTTGAAAGATAGGAAAGGGATTTTCATCAATAAAAATTGGTCAATAGGTAAGATCTTAGATTATTTAAGTGATCAATTGAGTATTATAAATAAGAATAACCAAGTTGATGATATACATGAAAGATTAAATATCTTCAAACTTGTTAAAGAACAACCTGAATTAGTCAAAACCTCATCCAAAGGAAAGGATTTAAAGAACGGTGAAACATTATATTTGGTTAGGGGTATATAGTAAAGATTATATTTACGTTAAAATTGCCAAATCTAGAAATTCTCAGTGTTCAGAGTATCTGATAAGTATCTGATAAGAAAGTTCAATCTGATAAGAGATAAGGAAAAAATCCAACCGAAAATCTCGAAGTTTTAAAAACCTTCGTCAATCAGAAGTTATGTCATATTACACGAACATCAACCTGAAAGATCAACAGTTTTAGTTAAAGACCCCTATTTTGGAGTGTCAATACCGCGAGGCAGATCAAACTTAGTCCGACGCACTTACTCGTATCTAAAGTGGCGATAGGCATTCTTGAAAAGGCGGATTGACGGTTGGGTTATAAAATAGAACCATACAAATCTTTCAACACATGGTAAAATTCATATTTAAAACTTGATGAGCCTCACCCAAATCATAAACATCAATCACCATTAATGATATCTTACAAATATATATATATACCTCCTCAAAACCCTGCTTCTTAACCCCATAACCCTCTCTTCCACCATCCCGTCATTATCCCGTCGCCATCCCGTTACTATGCCGGTGTTACTCCCCGTCAGTTAAACTACTGTTATTTATTTTTGGGGCAGGTGGCGTGTCGCACTCAAAGATTCGTCGTCAAAAGAAAAAAACTTGAGGAAAATTCATCATTAACTTTTGTGAGAAGAGTGGACAAAAAGCCAGTTTAGATTCCATCGTCGATTTTTTTGATTCATTACTTTTAATAGTGTTTTTTTGAATTTCTCGACCCTAACAATTTCCTTTGTCAAAACAAGAAGTCAATCATATCATCAAGGGAATTTTTTTGTTTATAATTCATTGATTGAAATTTAATTGAAAATTCACCCAGATTTCAATCCATTGGTTCCCGATTTCAATATTTTAATTTCAATTCTTTAACGATCTTCATAGTTAACAAGCCCTTTTCGATCATTAAAATCATTCGAATCGATTCAAAATGTCGAGAGCTCAATTATCAACAAATCCTGCTGCTTTAGCAGCTGCAGCAGCTACTTCAAATTCAAATCAAAATATAAGTAACCAACAAATTAGTCAATCGAACACTCAAACTAATATTAATGGGAATTTGAATTCCAATACATCATCTTCATCTTCAAATAATAATAATAACAGTGTAGTTGGATTACATTACAAAATTGGTAAAAAAATTGGTGAAGGATCCTTTGGAGTTATCTTTGAAGGTACTAACATAATAAATGGAGTTGCTGTTGCTATTAAATTTGAACCAAGAAAGACCGATGCTCCACAATTAAGAGATGAATATAGAACTTATAAACATTTACATGGATGTGAAGGTATAGCCAATGCTTATTATTTCGGTCAAGAAGGTTTACATAATATTTTAGTTATTGATTTATTAGGACCTTCTTTGGAAGATTTATTTGATTGGTGTGGTAGAAGATTTTCCATTAAAACCGTGGTACAAATTGCTATTCAAATGATTGATTTAATTGAAACTGTTCATAAACATGATTTAATTTATAGGGATATTAAACCTGATAATTTCTTAATTGGAAGACAAGGATTAATTGATGAAAATAAAGTTCATTTAGTTGATTTTGGTATGGCAAAACAATATAGAGATCCAAGAACTAAAAATCATATACCTTACAGAGAAAAGAAATCATTAAGTGGTACAGCCAGATATATGTCAATTAATACTCATTTAGGTAGAGAACAATCAAGAAGAGATGATTTAGAAGCTTTAGGTCATGTATTTTTCTACTTTTTAAGAGGTCAATTACCTTGGCAAGGTTTAAAAGCTCCAAATAATAAACAAAAATATGAAAAAATTGGTGATAAAAAGAGAACTACTCCTGCTATTACTTTATGTGATGGTTTACCAAGACAATTTGCTGAATATTTGGATAATGTAAGATCATTAAATTTTGATGAAGAACCAGCTTATGAAGAATACAGAATGTCATTATTAAGTGTTTTAGATGATTTAGGACAAACTGCCGATGGAGATTATGATTGGTTGCATTTAAATAACGGTAAAGGTTGGGATGCATCAATTAATAAAAAGCCAAATTTACATGGTTATGGACATCCAAATCCTCCAAATGAAAGAGAAAGAAGACACAGAGACCCTAGAAGAAACAGACATCATCAACAACCAACTAACCAACCTTCAAACCAACAACATTTACAAAACAATAATAATTTATCCAATCAACCAGTTAATAACAATTCCAACAATTCTAATTCTAATCTAAATCAATTTAATAATGGTAGAGAGTTAACTGCTGCTCAATTACATCAACAAAAATTACAACATTTGGTTAATAGACCTTTACCTCCAATTAAACAAGAAATTAATCAATCCAACCAAAACTTATCCAAATATGAACAAAGACAAAATCAATATGACCAACAAAAGGATGAAGAAAAAGGTTTCTGGTCCAAATTCTGTTGTCAATGATCTTTTCTTATTTAATATTTGGATTCAATATAATACTAGTCATTTGTCATTAGATAGAAATATAATGTTACGATTACACCTAATCTTCTTAACAGACCTATAAGAATAGCTTATGAAAAATGTCTCTAAAAAGTCGTCTATTTTGCAGCCTTTGAACATTGCAAAATACGAATTTCGCATTACAAAGTAAAGGTTTCCATCAACAACCTTCACCAGCACAAAAAAGAGCTCTTTGAATGGCCAAATGACGAGCAAAAAGGATACTTATTATATTGGAAGAGCAGCTGAGAGTTTTGATAGAGTTCAATGGTTCCAAAAGTATGAAAGTTTGGAGAAATGTTTCTCTTTTCCAACTGTAGAGTCATTCTTAAAATATGCTAAGAACCACCAGATCGTGGACGTTGAATATGTTGAAGTTATGAATAATGGGTTATCCCTTAAATATTGTCCTTCAATCCTCGAGGATCTTGAATCTTATGTTCTGGAAGCGGAAATCCCGAAACTTAAACTTTACGAATTGGATTTCGACCAACTAAAAAGATTGGAGGCTCTGAATAAGGAAGTTGAGTCCATTGATACATTATTTATCAAATATAAAGACTTTGAACTTGACCTTATTGATAAGTATCACGTTAAGTCCTTGAATTTGAAGGTCACTCAGAATACCGACTTTGCAAAGTTGAAGGATATTGAAATACCCATTTCTTTGATCCTTGGACCCAGCGTCAAGGCTGATGGTTTACCTACCAATTTAGAATCTTTGGAGATTACCACGAAGAAAAATTCTATAAATTTTGATTTTAGTAACTTAGAAGGATTGAAGACACTCAAACTCACAGCTTCGAAGTGCCAAATATCCCTCCCTTCCAATTTGCAGCGTCTCGAAATTAAAGCTTTCCAAATACTTAACGAAGATATTTCGAAAGTTTTCCCGGCGAGTCTCAAGTATCTCTCACTAAGCCTGGTGAGTGTGCCTGAAGGATTTGAGCTTCCACCAGCACTTGAAGAAATTGAATGCCTCGGCACTGATATTCGTTTCAAATACCCAAGTTCAATTAAAAAGGCAAAGTTTGATTTATGTTATGCTTCCATGGGATCCCCAGGAGAGTTACCTGACTCATTAGAGGAGATCATATTCTCTGACCATGGTGCACCTTTACCAACAGTTTCTAGTCTCTCGAATTTGAAGAAACTACGCATAGAATATCTTGGAATGCCAAGCTGTGAAACCGAAGGAACAGAAGTTATTTTACCTGAGAACCTTGAAACTTTCGAATCCAATGATTTTAACGTCAAGTATATCTTCAACGACAAGTTGGTTAGCATTTCTTTGGGTTGTATGCTGAGATCCAAAACAGTGGAAAAGAACAATTTCCCTAGTGACTTGAAGTATCTTCATGTCTCTGATTGTTCTTATATGCAACTTCAAAATCTTCCTCCCAAATTACAACTTCTTGCTATTGAAGATGGTACCCAAAGTGCGAGTTTCACTGTTAATCTCCCCACAAGTTTGAAAATGTTACTTCTTACATCGAGTTATATTGATGACATAGTGCTAAGTGAAGGTTTGAAATACATGTATATAGCAAATGGAGGGAAAACTGATGGGGTGCTTCTCAAAAAGTTGCCAGAGACATTGGAAATTTTGACTTTATACAACATTTTTTTGGATGGAGATTCAATAGACCTTAGTGAAAGTAACATAACTGAGTTGCATTTGAATAGAATGGACAAGTACAGGATCGAACTACCCAAATCCATTCAGCTCATACAAACACCTGTAGATTCTCAAGAATCTTTAGATAATTTGGATTTGACCAACATCCTGGAAATAACAATCGTCAAAGGTAAAAGTCCTTCAAAGGCTCATAGATAATTGTCAATAATGCATCAAGAACTTTGTTCAGGGTGTCAATCACTCTACTTATCATCTCATCATCTGTGCGGCTTTTCCCAGATTGATGCGCGGCTTTGAATTTTTAATTCTTCCCCTATTAATGGATTTGGCTCCCGAGGTGGTGAACCATATCCTACAATTTCTCCCCAGAGCTACGAGGGATGCCGTATACAAGGGTCTTAAAGAGGTCCCGAAGCTATCATACGAGATTATCTATATGACAGATTTTGATTCGAGGGGAGATAGGGTTGAATGGTATTTGGCTCATGGAATGTACGAACCGTTCTTCAGATTTCCCGACATAGACCACTTCATGAATTTCTACAACACTCCACCGTACATAGCTCACGGAAGCGAATTGAGAGTAATGACTATGGGTGATGGGTGATGGTTTATTGAGAGATGCCACGTACAAATTTCCTGAAGTAATCGAAGATATAAGAGGATTTGTTGATTCTTCCGAAGATTTCGAATTAGAGATTCTAAGGATAACTTATGATGACTTGATTCATATGATTGGAAAAGGCTTTACAATAAAGTCAGTCGATTGGTTGATGGTCGAATTGGACGATGTAGATCTTGCTTTTATATCTCGGTATAAAGTCAAAGATTTAGTGTGTAAAATTTCGAAGCCCTGCCTTGAACCAGAAGCCATTAGTAGAGTAAACATACCTGCAAGTTTTGAGATTCGACCACCTTTCAATGACTACACATATCTTCCTCAAAACCTCACTTCCCTTAGTTTGTTTTCATCATGGTTGGACGACGATCTAGATATGAGGTGGTTAAGAAATTTGGAGACACTATTATTCCGAATTTACCAGAAATTGACAAATCAAAAAATCTTCCTTCCCGAAAATCTAGAAATGCTAGACTTAGCCGTCTTAGACCCTCTGTCTAAGTTTTCCATTGATTGCCTACCCTCTAACTTACAATCTTTGAGATTACATCAAGTTGAAATACCTCCTTGTTTTCAACTTCCCCTATCACTTTCGGACATTTTTTTGCTGCTGACCAGAGTTGACTGCAAGTATCCTGAGGGATTGGAGGCAGCGGAATTTTCCTGTGATGCCAATGCAGAAGATTATGGTGCATTTCCAACATCTTTAAGACGTCTCGTGATCAATGACCAACTCATCAGATTACCTGATATCAGTAATCTTGTGAATTTGGAAACTTTTGAGGCCGGTTATAGAAAGATGAACGAAGGTTCTCTTGGATCAGAGCCGATTATTGTGCTTCCTGAGAACGTTATGTACTTACGAACCTTTAACGATAATCATTGTTTCAAATTCAATAAGCATTTGAAACATATGAAAATGTATCTCGGAAGGAACTCAAAAACCATGTCCATGAACTCATTCCCTGAGGGTCTAGAGGCACTTGAATTGGAAGTATTTGATCCCGAAATCTTGGAAAACTTACCATCGACAATCAAAGTTCTCTCAGTTGACCGAGGAGTTCCTTTATCAGACAGAAAATTAAGACTTCCCCCATCATTGGATCTTCTTGAAATTAAACTGTGTGGAATTGAAACCATAATCTTCAATAAGGGGTTGAGATACCTTCATCTCAAACAATGCGACATTCCCCAAGGGTTCGTTGACCAAGTACCCAAATATTTGGTGACATTTGCAATGATAGACTGCAGATGTGATAAGGGAATGGATCTCAGTGGATTCAGATTTAAACACATGAAATTCTATGATTGCCTGGTAGAAGAACAAATAATTTTACCTTCAACCTTGAAAACCCTAGATATCCAAGATATGGGAGTTCCGGAAGTGTATGAAGGTTTGGATTTTACCTTTGTAGGCCCATTTGGTTTATATGGAGAAAACATTGAAACCCCAAGAATCTACATGTAGAATCCGCAGTCTAGTACGACATTTATGCACAATTGTCTAAATGGAATTGGAATATTATCAATATACGAAAAGTTCGTAACTGATCGCGGCCCAGTTGTCATCCATATAGAGTCATAAGGAATTGACACGGGAGTTAAAACTATCATCCTATCAAAGAAGGAAAAATAATGGAAAATGAACCATATAAAATCGAAACAAGAAGAAAGTATAACCACATCGATAACAAAATAAGACTCCTCAAAAAATATGGTGATCTTAATACTGTATTCAACTTCTCCGACATCCAACAATTCGTGGCTAACTATCAGAGAAGTAGTAGCGATGAAGTCTTAGATTTGGTATACGAGAATGAAGAAACAGAATTGAGTTTCGAATGTTACATACCTGAGAATGTTGAAGATGTCCTTGGATACGTTGATCCTCAGAAACCCAGTTTGGTAAGAATCCATGAGATTGATTACACAGAACTAATGGAATATACTCGATTGGACATGAAACTGTTCAACAATGAGATAGAATCTATTAAAACTTTAATCATTGATGAGGAAGGATTTGAAGATTTCGATAAGAAGGTCATTGACCAGTATAAGGTGAAGTCATTAAGATGTGAAGTAAATCCTATGACATCTTTGAAAAACCTAGATGATGTCAAGATCCCAATATCTTTGAAATTATTCGGAGATTTCGAACTTCATAAACCGGTTTGCAAGACTACTGTGTCACTCCAATTTACTTGTGTGGACGAGACTGTAATCCAAGATTTGAGTTATTTGCACGACTTGGAGGAATTGACCATTGACGTAATTCACGAAAAGGTTACTGATTTTGATGTCAAATTCCCTGAAAGCTTGAAAGAGTTACGTATCAGATGTGACCACGAATTTGTATATAAGAAATCACATAACCAACCTAATGTTCTTCGTTTTCCCAAGGGTTTGAAACTTCTAGTCCTTCAAAATATGAAAATCCCTAAGGATACTGATTTGGGTAGTTCTCTTGAAGAATTAGGATTGATCAATTCGACCGATGGGTTGGATTTCCCTCCAAATTTGAAAAAGGGGAAGTTTTGCTATTATCACCCTTCTGAACCCCAAATTCCTCACGATTTGGAAGAGTTGTCTCTCTTTTTGAAAGATACTCTGGCTCCTGACTTGGAGAAGTTTTCAAATTTGAAAAAATTGCTGATTGAAGCTGGAGGAGCTGATCCTTCAAACATAAAATTGCCGGAGAATTTAGAGATTTTGGTCCTCAGAGATAACACGAACATCTACACCTTGAACGATAATTTGATTGATCTTGCTATGAATGCTCCAACCGACAGTAAAACTTTACAAACTAAATCATTCCCCGCTTCATTGAAATATGCTCAATTGACTGATTGTGATTTGAAATGGGTCAATGACTTACCTTCTACCTTAGAATTTCTTGAAATTGAAGGTGGGCATTCGTGGGAAACCGAGTTTACTTTCCCATCGGGTTTAAAGGCTTTGAAACTTCGTGACAAATCGTTGGGAGATGAACTTACTTTACCTGAAAACTTACAATTATTCACTGGATTTGGTTTCAATGTAAGTCAAGGTTTCATTAACAAGTTACCAAAGGGTTTAGATATTCTTAGTCTTTCTAACAGTCCTTGGGGAGACGATGATACGTTCATTTTCGATTTCAGTGATTACCAATTAACTGATCTCGAGTTAGGATTTCCTAGTTCAAGTATTGAAAAACTTATCTTACCAGGTACTTTGAAAACCTTGCTGCTTCCAAACTGTGACCTTAATGATTTGGAATTCTTAGACACATCCAAAGTTACAAAAGTATATGCCACTTTTGAAATGGAAGAAACAAAAGTGTTCTCCAATTGAAGAGCACTCTGAAACTAGAGTGATACGAAAGTATTGAAAGTAGAAATCCTAAAAACATGTATTAAATGAACCTTTTATAATTTTCTTTGATCCCTTCCCATTCTTCTTTACTAACACTCATTTCTTTGTAAGTTTTACCAATATAACTCTCCAAAGCTTTTAATTCATCCATAATTTTTTGCTTATCAAAGTTTTCATTCATTTCCTTTTTGATTAAGTTCAAGTTTTCAATAACTAAATCACTTCTATAATTGACCCAATCCTTGTAGAAATCAGTATATCTTGAACCAAAGTTTAATTCTGGTTTAACAGTGCTTAAAACCGAAGTATCAGGTTTTTTAGGATTTTTAGCTCTATAACTTGTAACCATTGTTATACGTTCATTAACACCAACCGGGTTTGGAGCAATATGTTCGACTAATCTTCCTTGTAAGACACAAGCACTTCCGGAAACTGGACCTGGAACAGCAACAATCTTACCTTCATTACCTTTGCCCATTCTTAAACTAGTTTCACCTCCAATCATATTAGTAGTATCACTTAACATTAAAACACAAACGAATGGGTAACTGTCAAAATGCCAACCAACAGCACAATCTTCTTCAATACTTTTTGGTTTATAGTTTTCTAATTCCTTTTCAACTTGATCCTTTTCTTTCATAGACACATTAGTATGAGCAATTTCATAATCAAACACAACTTCTAAATCAATACCGGCCATGAGACTAACCAATTCCATAGTTTTTGGATGAGTCCAAGCGGCGTGTGTGAATGCATTATCTTTAGAATGCCCTCTAATACAAACATCCTTACCTGAAGAATTATAAGTATATCTAGCATATTTCAAGAAAGTTTCTTTTTTCAAGATTTCTTGTTTCATAATTTGAATAGCTTCAGCTGTAAATAAAGGGAAGGGGTCACTAACACCAATGTGACTAATTTGTTCTGGAGAACTTAAACCTAATTCTTCCAAGGTCAATCTTCTAGTTTTTTCAAATTTGTGCTTCAACATTGGATCAGTATAATATTGTAAATGCTTTTCAGGGTCAAATTCCACATAATCAACTTCAATTGCTTCATAAGTTTCTTTAATGATTTTATCATAAGTTGATTCAGGGATTTTAGTAGAAGCATTATCATTTAAGATGTCATCGTGAATCTTAGTTAAAATATCGGTCATTTTGATAATTATAAATTTGCTAATGATTTAGAGTTGAAAATTTTACATTCCTTTTATAATAAATCTATAAAAAATTTAATATGGGATCTCTACTCATTATTATACCAAACTTGAAACATTATTCCATTTCAGTTGCAAAATCCTCCTTTAATTACCAAATTGAGACTAAAAGTGCGCATCCCTTATCAGTTGATAAGGATCCCGTAACAAAACAGCGAAAATTCGGCCATGGATGAAAAGGTGACTGTCCGGGTGTGTCATACAGGAAAAAGGACAAATAGATTGACCGATTCGGGGTAGAACAACTTATTGCTTAGCGGGTTCATAGTAGGTTGCTTACATTCTGTTTATAGATAAGAAATTTCATAACCATTTGAGGATGCGATATAATTAATATGAGGTTGAATGTAGCGAGACTGTTTTCTTTCACATCGTTGTAAAGGATGAATCTGGATCGGGAAAGTTACTCTTGAATTCCTTCAAAATAACCATTTGTATTTTACTGCTTAAACAATTCCGTTTTGGTTTATCACCTTAGTCTGATGAGAGGAACGTGCTTATGTAATTAAGTATAAATAAGGGGAAAAAATCCATCAGGCGTAGGATTTCGATGTTGATAGGCCGACAGATACCTTAAAAATAGTTTTCAATCCAATCAGAATTTCAAACGTGAGGGGAATACTTCAGCTAGGTATGCTCTCCATGTAATATGTAGGGATTTGCTGTAGTCAAATTATGATATTTGAGAGTTCAGCTGTTTTTTGTGGTCAGAAATATTCCGGGAAAAAATTCCGTATTTTCAAATCCGTACATTTGACCTAATAATAGCGAAATAATAGGTTGGAAATCAAGATACTAAGAAGTGGTAGTTCAAGAGGTGGTACTTCGAAAGGCGGTATCTTTTAAGAAGTGGCAGCTTAATAAGTGGTAGTTCAAGAAGTGACAGCTCAAAAAGTTGTAATTCAGCTTTGGTGTTGTTATTGTCCAAATGAGGCTCTTCTACCAATTGTATGCATATATAGGAATCATGTATCCATTGCAGATGGGTACCGTTGAATTAGAAATAGCTTGTACGATTCTTAGCCATTCTGACCCTATTCTTCTTATCTGGAATTGGATACCCTTCATTATCAATTCTTGCCGAATAATTCTATAGCGACCGGTTTTATCATTTTTGTCCTACTAAAATAATTGAGCATATATCATCACCTAATTGAGAATTTTGACACTGGAACTCCTATCATGTGAGCACCCTGGGAGTTGAGGTTTTTGCATCCAAACCGGTAGATGCGAAAGTTTCTCAACTAATGTCACATCAACAAGCAATTGAAAACAACAAGAAGTACTTCGATAAAATCGCTAACGAGTATGATGCAAAGATCTTGAAAACAGATCTTGCAAAGATCATTCCTGAATTCTTGGAATCACAAAAGTCTAATTTTAAAGGCAGATTATTAGATTTCGCTTGCGGAACTGGTATAATGATTGAAAACCTTGTTGGTTGTTTTGAAGAAGTTGTTGGTGTAGATATCAATGACAATTTATTGAATATATTCTCATCGAGGATCAAAGGAAAGGCTTATAAGATTGATATTCTTCAAGAATCCACTGAAATTCTCGGACTTTTCGATGTAATTGTTTGTACTTTAGCTTATCATCATTTAGATGATTACGAAGCAATTACTGCCAAATTGTCTCAATTACTTGCCCCTGAAGGTACTTTGTATATTGTGGATTTATATAACTCCGATGTTGAGAATCTTAATCCTAGACAAAGTGAATCGGTCCATAATTCCGTCACCCATATGGGAGGATTGAAGAAAGAATCTCTTATGTCTACTTTAGGTAAGGCAGGATTGAAACCGGAATTGAAATTTGCTCTTGAGCAACCAATTTGGCAAATGGGTGATTTTATCATCAACCATGGAACCCAAAAACTCATTGATGATTATAAAAGTGGGAAATTGGAGAGTAAGGAAATTGATGGTGAAACTTTTTACAGCTTTAATACCGATTTAGTCATGGCTATTGGTAAGAAGTAACAGGCCACCAAAATTCCCGCAGGTTAGATTCATGGTATATACAACACTCGCTGTTATAAATAGTTGACCAATATACTTACTTATTACTGTAATCTCTGGCTTTACTCGAGTTACCACAGTGTAAGAGCTCAACACCCCTCGCCGTTTGTCTGAGGTTTTATCTGGGTCGCGTGCCGATAACTCGGAAGCGGTTCCATTTACGTGCGCAACTGTACGGCTCCTTTTATATCCCTTTATTGCCTAATCATTACAAATTTGTTTATATAAGGCCATATTTCCTAATAAAAGCTCAACTATGGAAAACCTGTCTGTATTGGAGGTTGATACCGACCCTTTGATGCCTCAAATAAGGAGTCCTATTGTACAATATGGATCTTCAACCTTAGATACTATCGAAGAAGAACTTGAAGTATTGTCTGATAAATCTTCGAAATGGTACAGTAGACCATCAGTTGTTTTTATTTATGTTACCTATTTTTGTAGTATGGTATCACAAATGACATTTGCTGTTCAAGAAGCTATTTATTTCGAAAAAGCTTGTAACACAAATATGATTAATGGTAGTTGTAGTGCAATTGACAATCAAATGTTAGTTTCCAACTATAATCAGGTTTCTAATGTGATTTTCCAAATAACTGCTGTCATTGGAATGTCAAGGCTTGGGAAATTAAGTGACACTTATGGTAGAAAACCCATGGTGGTTCTTATTTTCCTCGTATATACTGTTGCATCAGTTTTCACCGTTCTTGTTTTATCTAAATCGGATAAGTTCAAATTCAAGACTTTAATCTTGTTGGGGATTATCAAGAATTCGTTCGGTGGACCTGGAGGTTTACTTTCAGTGGGACATGCTTATATTGCTGATATCACACCTAAAGAACGTTTACCCACATCATTGTCATTTGCTATGGCTATGAATAATATCGGTGCTCTTTTAGGCACTTTTGTATCCAAGGTTTTGATTGAAATCGGTAAAACAGCTGGTCTTAGTACTTCCCATGTTAATTATTTACCGTTTTTTGGTCAAATTATCGTTCTCGGATTGTCATTGATATTTTCTTTCTTCATCGTTGAATCAAAGAATTCATTTGTTCCAAGAGATCTGGGATCATCTTTGAATTTTGAGTTCAGTTTATCGTCAATTTCCAATGTATTTTCTCCATTGAAAGTGTTAGGTCTTCCTGATAGTATGATTCCTGAGGAAAGAAAACATGAAGGTAGTAGAATGAGATTCCAAACCAGAATTTTGGTGGTTGCTTTGGCTCTTTCCTCGATCACAGCAGCAGCGTTACCTATTGTATTCCTTCAATATGCCATCTACAAGTTTAGATGGGATGCTAGTGAATTATCCAATGTGATTATGATATTATCATTCTCTTCCGTGATAGCTTTAAGTACGATTCTTCCATGGATGTCATCAGTGTTCTTGCCCAAGAAATTGAAATACGAATTCGATAAACATAATCTTGACAAGATTGATTTCTTTATGTTATTGTTTGGAAGTAGTGTTGATATGTTAAGTTGTGTCGGATTAGCTTTGGCTAATAACCAACTCCAAGTGAATCTTCTTTTGGTATTGTTTGGTTTGGACGGAGGATTTTTAACCACTATTAATTCAGCTATAACTAAGTTCTTCCCTGAGAATAAAATAGGTGAAGCTTATGTAGCTATAAACATGTTATCAGTCATTGTAACATGTGTTGGGCCTGTCTTGTTCTTAGAAATGTTCAAATGTGGATTGAAACACGGATTGGCCAATATTCCATTCCTTATTATGGGACTTATTCAATGTGGAGTGTTTGGATTTTTATTTATCGTCAAAACATTTGTTACTCAACGTTCAGCCATTCATTTGGATTATGAATAAATTATTTAATGAGAGAGAGAGAGAGAGTGTGTGTGTGTGTGTTTGTATGTGTGTTATATAGAGAGTGAATGAATACGGAAAATTATATATATTTATCTATTCTTGATCAGCTAAATAAGCTTCACAATCTAAAGCAGCTTGACAACCAGTACCGGCAGAAGTAATAGCTTGTCTATAAATTTTATCTTGTACATCACCAGCAGCGAAAACACCTGGAACGGAAGTTAAAGTAGTACCTGGTTTAGTCTTTATGTAACCAGTGTCATCAGTTTCGATTTGTTTATCAAAGATAGCAGTGGCAGGAATGTGACCAATAGCGTAGAATAAACCATTTACTGGTAATTCTGAATCTTCTTTAGTTTTATTGTTGAAGATCTTTAAACTTTGTAATAATTTACCGTCACCACAAGCTTCTTTAGCTTCAGTATTCCATAAGATTTCTAATTTATCATTATTTTTGACTCTTTTTTGCATAATAGTTGAAGCTCTTAATTCATCTCTTCTAACTAAAAGATAAACTTTAGAACCATATTTAGTTAAAAATAAAGCTTCTTCACAAGCTGAATCACCACCACCAACAACAGCTAATGGTTTATTTCTGAAAATTGGTACGGCACCATCACAAACAGCACAAGCTGAAATACCTTGTTGCCAATAAGTATCTTCACCTGGTAAATGCATTCTTTTAGCTGAAGCACCAGTAGCAATAATAACAGCATCAGTAGTAACAGGATCAGAATCTTCATTGAATTCAGTCCATAATTTGAATGGTTTTTTAGAAAAATCAACTTTAGAAATGGTTTCAGTAATGATTTCAGTACCGAATCTAGTACTTTGAGCTCTCATTCTGTCCATTAATTCAGTACCATTAATACCTTCTGGGAAACCTGGGAAATTTTCAATATCAGTAGTAGTAGTTAATTGACCACCAGCAGCGAATCCATTAGCTAACATACCTTCGTATAAAGTTGGCTTAATTTCAGCTCTTGATAAATAGATAGCTGCGGTATGAGCAGCTGGTCCTGAACCAATAATTGTAACTTCGTGATGTACCATCCTTCTAAAATTTATACTTTTCAAATTTGATTTAAAAATGATCTTTTTCAAATTATTCATAAATTTGAGATTGTTGGACTTTTTTATACTCGGACCTAACTCGCGAAATTATTAATCACAAGATTCTGGCCGCATTTGTCTAGAATGGTGGATTAGAAATGGCTGATGAGGGATAAATGGAAGGTAATAGAAGGAAAAGGATAGACTGGTGAGGTTCGGGTGATGAAGGGAATGTAAGGTTGGTGGATAAAGAGAGTAGAAGACACTTGAAGTTCGGATAGTTGAAGAGGGATGGAAATGTGAATGAGATGAGATCGAGCTAGAACCGCTGATAAGATTAGTGAGATATTAGTGAGATGAGAATTAGTGAGACATTAGCGAGATGGGAATTAGTGAGATCTAGCGAGCCATGGATTAGTGAGATATTAGTGAGATAGTAGTGGGAGTATTTAGTTAGTGAGAGATCCTATTAATAAGAATGGGCACGTCTCAGGGCTAACAAACGGCCATCAGGGGTAGAGATCTGTAAAGAGTCATTAATCTCTATTAAATATCGTTATTCATGATGATGGGATTTACGGAGTGCTATACGATCCGATGATTCAAATGTTCCATGCATTCTTCTTGTCATTCCTTGCATCTATGTTTTATCTAGGTTATCTAGTTGTTATTCCTAGGTAAAATTCCTAGTCGTTAATCCTAATTGTCATTTCCTGTCCTATTGCTGATCTTTACCTGAAAGATCTTGGAGATAGCAACCATTTGTAGGACTGAGACCTTTAAACATGACAGGACCTATGAAAGTACAAACTCCGTTACTATCTCATTATGCTGTAATTTAGGATTCAACAAAACATTCGTCATAAACCATTGTAATCCCTTACGTCTACTTTCCAACCAGTTACTTGACCATAAATATCTTTGAAAGTTAAGGTTATCTTTTGGTGGTAATCGAGGTATTTCCACTCCCTTATAATTAGCTATTAACTTATTTCTAAAACTCTCTATTTCACTATATCTCTTGTAAATTAAGATCGAAGAATAATTCAAGTCATTGATGATAATCCTTATAGACCAAACAATATATGGTTTACCTATTTCTCCTTCAATAATATGATAATCCCCAACTAAAACATCCGTGATGTGACTAGTGCTATCGAAATGTTGGGCACTCGGAGTCCGGTCCTCCAATGTTATAGGAACCGGTAATATCTTATTCAATCTAGATACTGAATCTTCACGATTCCTCTTAGACATGATTGTTTGCGAATTTTTCCTCATGGATCCATTGATTAATAAGTACTCTGTGTGGAAGAGGTTAGTCCATAAGTTCCAAGCCAGAAGGGACATCCCCTTCAGAAAGAAGTTCTTCATTGGTTATGATCTACATGGTAACACATATTGGGAATTTTCTCCTGATGGTAATTTGCAACGATTGAGAAGGAAGATGGAACCTTTTCAAGAATATATTTTTAAAGCTGATTATTTCAGTACTGTACCTCCTCCATGGTTACAGTGGTTAAGACGAACAAGAAGTACACCCCCAACTTTACAAGAACTCATGGATGAACAATATAGACAACAAAATATCAAAATCTTAGCTAAAGAAGCCGATGAGAAATGGAAACTAGAAAAAATGAAGTTGGAGCAAGAACAACAGTTGAAATTGGACAATGAATTGAAAAAGGTGGAAGAAGCAAAGAAATTGAAGGAACAGGAATTACAAGGGTTTCAGAAAAAAGAGGTAGAGGATCCTTGGGGTGAAGCAGATAAGGCTAAAGACCCGGAATATAATCCTATCGAATCAGCTAATATCAAGATAAGAAAATAATGTAAATAGTATAATAATATAGTGCAATAGTACGCTATTAAGATATTTAGGGCCAAAAAAGGAAGATGTATCAGAGAGTATGTGATCTGTTGCGGTAAACCCTTTCAGCTAGAGCATACCTGTTAGATCAATAGCTTTTTAATTCGTTCTTAATGCTCACTCTCTACATCCTCTTCTCAACCTCTCCAATTGTCCATATATGGGCAACTCCTCTAACCACTATAGCTGATCTACGATCGTCCTTTGGATATCATTGTCCGATCCACCGGGCAAAAATCACCACTTTAATTCCCCGGACATTCGGAGTTTCATCGAACCATAGCAAATAACAATCAACGGCAGAGACAAGAGAATAGTCATTTCAAAATATGTACATTATGCATTTAGTGTTTATTAACTGGACCAGCAGTAAAAACATCATCGTTAGAAAAGATCGTTGGTTCGAAATTCATTTCTTCGTCGTTCTTGATGATAGTGTTGGTAGTGTTATTCAATTCTTGATAGTTTAAAATTTCATCATTGCTGATTAAATTTATATCACTTAAACTGTGTTGGTTTAAATTGATATACCTTTGATTGGATGATAATAATCTTATGTTGTTTGATCTAATAATATTGTTAGTTGGTAACCAACATCTTGAAGCAGTTTGAAAGTTTGATAATCTAATTATTTTACTCATATTTTTTTATTCCTTTTGACAGGGGAGATGTGAAATTTATATACCCCAGATTTTTTGAGTCATTTGAAAAATGATTCAATCCACGGTTAAAAGGGTTTCTGGACATGAGGAAATTTTCTTACCGCGAGCCGTCAGTAAAATTCAGTGACCATTGGCATGACAGTGAAAAAAACTCGCATTGTCAAAAAGGGATGAATGATAACACGAGCGCAATTCGGTCCACTGGAGCGGATCAGAGGATTAAGGATGTAAGGAGATAAACTTTTTTCCACCAATTAAAGGGGATATTTCTTATTTAGACCACTCGACCATAACTATTGCGATTAAAGTTTAACTTATCAACAAAATCACATTCATATTTGAGTCAGACGTCACATGACTCATGTTCGAAAAAAGTGTCCCATTGGCTCTATTGAACCATTATATTCAAATCCTTAACTCAAGCCAGTGTCATTTAAACTTCGAAACAGCCTTACGAATAATCGAACCATAGTAAACATAAGCTTAACTCCTTTTTTTTTCTCATACACTCCGGTTTCTGTTCAACCCACCAAGCTCCCTATCTTTAGTGGTTTTCAGACGCACAAGTTGAGAAAATTCTGGGGAACGAACAAATATTGATTAAACATGGCAGGTTGGGAATTAACTCAATCTTTAAGGGAATCAATATATAAATATGCTTCGTTTAAACAGACATCCATATCATTGAGGCAGATGGTTCAGTTTGGACCTAACCCTTCACCAGGGTCAATATTTTTGGCTTCCCAGTTCATTGTAGAAGAATTACCTATCAGATTAGCTAAGAAAGTTAAAGATCTTGAAAATGCCCCCTTAGGCTTAAGTAAAACCCCTTCAACCGTCATAGTAAAGAACTGGTATGCCCAATCGTTTGAAGAATTAGTAAATTTACCAAAACCAGAGATTTCACCAGAATTAAAGAAACTATTAGAAAATAAGAACAATACTCCTACAATGGATATGGGAGAAAGTCAAATACCCAAAGCACTGGCTGACGAAGGGAAAATCTTACATGAAGATAATACAGTTATCGATGAAAAGCAAAACCCTGTACATAATGAATCAACCAATCCTGCTATAAATAACATATTTAGTGACGATGGGATTATAGTAAGACCTCATCATAGTTTTAGAAAGAAAATTGAAGAAAGTATAAAATCCAAATCTCCTACTTATGGTAAGAATTATTATACACCAACCAATATGAATACTGTATGGCCAAAGGAAGTTTATGATTATAATAAATCAGTATTTGATGCATTATCAAAAATCAAAAGACGTCATGATGCTACAGTTGCAACTATGGCTCAAGGTGTTAAAGAATGGAAAAGTGAACACAAAACCATTCTTGTCAATTCTTCAATTCAAACCTTCTTAGACAGATTTTATATGTCAAGAATTGGTATTAGAATGTTAATTGGTCAACATCTAGCTTTGAATTTAGCACAACAAAAATCCCCCAAATCCAAATTTTCACTATTTGGTAATAGTAAACAAAAATCAAACTATGTAGGAGTTATTTGTACTGATTGTAAAGTCAGTGAAATTGCTGAAGATGCTATTGAAACTGCTAAATATGTTTGTGAGGAATATTATGGATTATATCAATGTCCTGAAATCAAATTGATTTTGACTAATAATGAAATTGAATTCATGTATGTTCCAGGTCATTTGATTCATATGTTATTTGAAACTTTGAAGAATTCCTTAAGAGCAACTATTGAGTTCCATTTACCGATTTTAAAACAAAAAATGATTGATGAAAATCCAAATCTAACTCCTGAAGATATTGATATCAATGATTTGAAATTTCCTCCTATAAAAGTTATTATATCTGAAGGTTCAGAAGATATTGCCATCAAAATCAGTGATGAAGGTGGTGGTATAGCTAGAAGCGAAATACCTTTAATTTGGACTTATTTATATACTACCGTTGAAGAAACTCCAATTTTAGATTCTGATGGTTCAAATTCTTTCAGAGCTCCTATGGCAGGTTTCGGGTATGGTTTACCAATTTCAAGATTATATGCTCAATACTTCGGAGGTGACTTGAAATTAATTTCAATGGAAGGTTATGGGACTGATGTTTACTTACATTTAAATAGATTGAGTAGTTCTAGTGAACCTCTTCCTTAATGTATAAATGAACTATAAATACTATATAAGAAGAATACCTATAGCCAAACAAATGAGGGGATTGTTGGTGGCTATTTTGTAGGCGAATGAATCGGAAGTAGTTGAGCTAGTTGCACTAGTTGAGGAACTAGAGTCTGAACTTGAACTGTCTGAACTTGAACTTGAACTTTCTGAGACTGAAATGTCTGAAGTATCTGAAGTATCTGAGGTGTCAGAATCTGAGGTATCAGAAGAATTGGTGGAATTTCCATGTCCGTGACGAAGTCCAGCAGTACCGGCAGTTCCTGACCCAGTTGTTCCTGATCCAGTACTTCCAGCTCCAGTGGTTCCTGAGTCGGAACTTCCTGAATCTCCAACACTTGAATCAGAGCCATCAGATTCAGAGTCTGAACCTGATTTACCCCCTGAGCCCGAACTTGAATCTGATCCCCATTCTGACCCTGAGTCTGATCCCGAGGAGCCTGAAGATCCTGAAAAGCCTGAGGAGCCTGAAGAGCCTGAACTGGAACCAGCATCACCTCCTCCAGAGGAATCCCCTGTAGATCCTCCAGATTCTCCCCCTCCAGATTCTCCTCCTCCATGGCCATGTCCACCTCCACCACGACGTTTTTCTAACAACAACATCTCTTCACCATTAGTTTCGGTCAATGCCATCTGAGCTACCCCCAAAAGTGCTGACAAAATTTCATACCTCATGTCTGGTACTAAAATCTTTCCACTCGCGTGAGCCTAGTCAACATGAAACCATGCGGCTAAACTGTCAAATATTAATAATAGAAAAAACAAACTCTGTGTATTTAAACTAACATAAAGAGGAAATCACCAAGGCTAAGATACCAGTATAAATAATGTTCTGCTTGTTGATAGCACCACCAGAAACATATTCTGTGGAATAGTCCAGATCGTCCAGAGAATCCGAGTCATCACTGGATGTAGAGTTCAGATGACCATGAGATCCTGAACCATAGTGATGATAAACACCGTTACTCCAATAACCACCGGCGACACCACCAGCGGCACCACCAGCTATTGCTGAACCTGTTCCTGAACTAGAACCTGATCCCCCTCTACTTCCAGAACTGGAACCTGAACTTGAACCTGAACTGGAACCTGAACTGGAACCTGAACTTGATCCACCCCTGCTACCTGAACTAGAACCACCGGAATGAGAACTAGAAGAACCACCTCCAGAATGGGAACTAGAAGAACTTCCTCCTCCTGATGAATGGCCTCCTGATGAATGGCCTCCTGATGAATGGAAACCCCACCTCTTGATCAAATCACCTCCAACAAAATCTCTGATAGTTAATGGAGCACCATTAACTGCAATAAATAACAATAGTATAAAACAAATAACTCTCATGTAATGAATAATTAATAGATGCTAGAGGCCAACTCCTACTTATTTATACTTTTTCCCCGAGAGATTAATGATAGTTGGATGATTGAAACACTACTGGTCGGTCAGGAAAAGTTTTTAATGAGTGAGACAGCCTTATCAGCCCCGTCATCAGAGCGGATTTGCATGAGCCACAAAAGTTTACGAGTGTGCAGATTTTTTGAGCATAGTTTCTTTTAGGGAGCTAGATGAATTGATATTCCTACCATTCACACCCTAAAAGAATCTCAGTGTAGTTTACGTTCAATTCAAGAGGAAGCAGTGTTCACAAATGACAAAAGCGGTGAAATCAATTGGTGGACTAAGGTGAATATTGATTCATGCACGATCTCGTAAATGTGTTTGTGACGGGCATTTTTCTCGGCTCTATTTGCTGATTGTCGGTAATAAAAACAACCTTATGTACAACGGAGTTATAACTCAAGTAGGTCATGACTTCCGAGTGGCGATGCAAGATGGCTGTCAGTTATATCGGAAGATGCTATAGTGAAGAACCTCACCTGTCATTACTGTTCATGACATCAACAATTTAAAGTTTGAATTAGTACGCAACTCTTCTCCTAACATCGTAATAATGAATTCCCCACTCACAGCCTTCGTCATAAACCTCATTGATTTCTCGTAAAGTCATTAACAGTGTTTGATCCAAACCTTTGAGTAAAGTTGCAACCATTTCTCTTACAGTCGCTTTCGGTTCCCCCAATTATTGAGACTCACAGAAAAATTCATCTTCTTGTGATAACGTGATCCCCTCAAAAACACCGAGCGAAAATCTCAGTCATTTAATGTCAGTTCCAAGAAGAAAACCTTGGGAAGTTTCATCAGGTACATCTTCAGCTAGCGTTGATAATATGAGCATCCCAACAAGTACAGGAACCGCTTCCAGCACTGCTGCTCCAGTAACTGCAAATACTGCAACAACGGCAACAGGAGACTTTTCAAGTCTGATCCCTGATAGACCAACATCATTAACATCAGACTTATCCAACATGTCTAATACATCTCCATATGGTAACAGTAGCTACGGTAGTTACGGTTCAAGGTATGGCTCGGGATTAGGGGGATCTAATATGTATGGATCAAGTATGTATGGTAACAGTTATGGAGGTTATGGATCTAGTATGTATGGTATGGGAGGTTATGGATCCAGTATGTATGGTATGGGCGGTTATGGTTCAAGCATGTATGGTATGGGAGGTTATGGTTCAGGTATGATGGGCCAGCAAGGAATGATGGGCCCTGGAGGATTAGGTGAAGGAACTCAAGCTACATTCCAATTAATTGAATCAATTATTGGAGCCGTTGGAGGATTTGCTCAAATGTTGGAAGCTACTTATATGGCCACACATTCATCATTCTTTACTATGGTATCATTAGCTGAACAATTTGGTAACTTAAAGAACGCTTTAGGATCAATCTTGGGGATCTATGCTTTGATAAATTTTACAAAGAAGATCTTCTATAAGTTAACAGGACAAAAGTATAACCATGGAATTAATTTAAAAGAATTCAGTAAGTTTGAAAACAAACAAAAGAAGTTAGAAGATAATTTAAAGAGAAATGGTGGTAAACCAAGAATATCTTTTAAACCTTTACTTATTTTTTTAGCTGCATCCATTGGATTACCATATTTATTAAGTAAAGCCATACAAAAAATCAACGAACAACAACAAAGAAGATCATTAACTCAACAATCGCAACAATCATCATCCATTAATCCATCAAATTTACAATTTGCCAAAGCTATTTATGATTTTAATTCTGAAAATCCTAATATTGAAATTGATTTGAAAAAAGGTGATTTAGTAGCAATTTTATCAAAATTAGATCCTTTAGGCAATGAAAGTAAATGGTGGAAAGTGAGATCAAGAACTGGTAAAATTGGCTACGTACCTTCAAATTTCTTATCATTGATTGAGAGGAAACAAACATTGGAAATACCACTAACACCTTCAATTCCTCCTCAGCAACAACCTCAAGAATTAGTTGAAGAATTTAAGAAATTCAATTAAGAGTTAATGATTAATGTATAGTAAATAAAAATGTGTATTCATAATTTTCGTAATTTTGAGCTTTAAATATTTTGAATGTTTAACAAGTTTTGTGGAACTTATAAACCATCTTCTGGTCTATTTTGTTCACTTTCAGCTTTAGCACCTTTGTCTTGTAAATCCTTGTAACCAGCAGAATTTTTGTCAACTTTCTTCTTTGCTGGATGATCATTGAGACCTGGAGTAGCATCTTCAACTTTTTGCATTCCATCGGCTAAAACTTCACCAGATTTCTTGTTAACTTCACTGGCAGTTTCACTAACTTTTTCAGCAGCTTCTCCTGCTTTTTGAGCTGCATCACTAGCATTGGTTGGGGCAGCTTGCTCAACGGTTTCCATTGTACCAGCTAAGAATTCCCCAGTTTTTTTGTTGGCTTTGTTTAAAACATCTTTTGCAGTATCTACAACTGAGTATCTAACTGGAGTAGTGTGAACTAATCTAATTGGTCTTGAACATCTAATAAAATTGGCACGTAACATTGTTGGTGGTAAGTGAGAAAGATTTTTGCAGCCTTTTATAATGTAAGCAAATCGCAATGGTTGCGATTTTGGTGATCAGAGTTAATTTTGGTAAATTGCTAAAAGAAATTGGTGGAACGTCGTGGGTGTGGTAATGTTGCTTATGTAAGAATAGAGGGACACAAAAGATGAGATACAAGCTAGCAGGAATGTAGAGTGTAGGGGGAGGTATAAGCTTACTGAAACATAGAGCATGGTTCGTGGAATTATTGAGAAGTGAATCCTTTATAGATTTGAGTTCTGGTGCAAGAGTTGAAATCCCCAAGATACTGAACAAGTTTCAAACTTCCACAATACCGGACAATTATTACCAATGACAAGATTTGATGTCTCAAATAAAGTTTGAGGCTTTTGATTATTGGCCTTGCTACTCCTTTACCTTACACAGATGGACCTGAATACCTGAAGAATCGACTTAAGGTGTTATTGGAGAATCTAAATCTTGTTTCGAAACTTTACTTTACGATAACAATTTCTGATTGCAAACTATCCAAACTGATTTTCTTCAATCGTTGGACACCTCTTCTTTGTAACTTGGACCTTATTGATGTTTTCAGCCCTTACAATGTTAGTAACATCATTATTTCTATCAGCCCAAGACCATCTCAATGGATAAGGTATTTTTAGCAGCAACCCTAGTGGTTCTTACACGACTTTATCTTGTTATCTCTATGAAGTTCTTTTGATCGATTTCTAAACCCTGAGTAATTTGTATTACACTGACATACCATTAATACTCCATAATCATACTACCATCTCCCCCCACCTTCACAAAATAAGCCCCCACTCCACTTTTCCTTATCTCGCTTGAATATCGCCAAATCTAAGACGCGAAAATCTGGAAAATTTTTAAATCAACTCCAATGGTTGCAAGAAATCTTCGTTTTTTAATCGCTTTAGTTGCGTTAATCGCCATCGTTGGGATTATTGCCACTTCCCATTCGGATATCTCAAATCAAATCAAGAAAGTTCAAGAAAAGGCCGGAGATTCTATACCATTTTCTGATGAAGAATCCAATTCCAAGGAAAATACTTTCCAAGGTAAACCTTACAAGGGATCTGAAGCTCCTTACTCTTCTGATAAAGTTACTGGTGCTGGAAAAGCTGAAGATAAAGTTGAAGGTGCTAAAGGTGATGTGAAGAAGCCTGATGAAGGTAAATATGCTATCAAACCATCAACTGGTAGTGCTAGTGTTGGTAAAGATGGTAAACCAATTATTGTTGCAGACACCACTGACAGTGAAAAATCCCATGCTGACAAGAACAAACCTGGCTCAAGTGATAATGAATTAAAGGCTGACACCAAAGCTTTAGAAGAAGAAGTCACAGGTAAGAAAACCAGTTCTAAAGGAGCTAATTGTGATGAAAGAAATTACGTTGTAATGATCGATGCAGGTTCTACTGGTTCAAGAGTCCATGTTTATGAATTCAACACTTGTCAAAGTCCACCAGTTTTGATTAAAGAAACTTTTGAAATGTTGAAACCTGGGTTATCATCCTTTGATACCGATACTATTGGTGCTGCCAAATCTTTAGATCCATTATTGCAAGTAGCTTTAGAAGCTGTTCCAAAAGATAAACAAGGATGTACACCTGTTGCTGTTAAAGCTACTGCTGGCTTAAGATTATTAGGAGAAGAAAAATCCGGTAATATCTTGAAAGAAGTTAGAAACCATTTACAAAATGATTTCCCATTCGCTGTAGTAGATGGTGATGGTATTTCTATCATGGAAGGTAAAGATGAAGGTGTTTATGCTTGGATCACTACCAATTACTTATTAGGTAATATTGGATCCTCAGAAAAGACCCCAACTGCAGCTGTCTTCGACTTAGGTGGAGGTTCAACTCAAATTGTTTTCGAACCTGATTTCACCCATGATGAAACTATGGTTAATGGTGATCACAAATATAAGTTAAATTTCGGTAACAGGGAATTCATTTTATATCAATACTCCCATTTAGGTTATGGTTTAATGCAAGGTAGAAATAAGGTTAATTCATTGATTGTTGAATCTGCTTTAAAGAAAAACACTGAATTAGCCAACAGTAAAAAAGCAAACAAAAAGGATTTGAAAGGGGCTAAAGCTACCATTACTTTAAGTAATCCATGTATTCCACCAGGGGTTGTTGCTGAAGATGTTGAAGTTGAATTAAACAATAACGAATTCTATTTAGTTAACATGAAAGGACCATCAAAGGAAAATGGTGTTCATTCAGGTGCTCAATGTAGATTCTTAGCCGAAAAAGTCTTGAATAAAGAAACTGAATGTACTGAAAAACCATGTTCTTTCAATGGTATTTATCAACCATCATTAACTAAATCATTCAAAAAATCTAATGATATGTTTGTTTTCTCATACTTTTATGATAGAACTAATCCATTAGGATTCCCAAATTCTTTCACTGTTGAAGAATTAAGTGAATTAGCTAAATTAGTATGTGGAGGTGAAACTTTCTGGGCAGATGTTTTATTAGATGATCACGTTGATACTTTAACTAAAGAACCTCAATGGTGTTTAGATTTATCATTTATTACTGCCATGTTACATACTGGTTATGATATCCCATTACAAAGAGAATTAAGAACTGCTAAGACCATCAATGATAATGAATTAGGTTGGTGTTTAGGTGCTTCATTACCTTTATTAGATAAATCCTCTGGTTGGACTTGTAGAGTTAAAGAAGTTTCAAAAGATGCTTAATATATACGTTTATTTCTCCGCCCCAGGGGTTCGAATACCCTATTTTACTTTGGCCGCACAACTCTCGGATTACTTTTCGCATTAAAGATTTGCCCTGAAGTTAGTCACAAAGATATAACGACAAGTAAAACATTCCATTGAATAGGAAGTATAACGATAGATTTAAACCTTTGAATTACTAATTGAATCATTTAATCGATCACGTGACCAAGAAAAATCTTATTTTTCAAATCGGAAAATCTATCAATTGAGATTGAAATATAGGAGTCATAACCAGAAGAATCTAACTTTATCATGAGTAGTGATACTTTGGACGATCCATTATCCGTGGATCAGATTAAGGTTCTTGCAGAGGATCTTCAAGTTAAAGAAGTCCCAGAGTCAAATGAAAATACTTTAAAACCTAGAAAATCCATTAATGGTGGGAGAAAGCACAGAAAAGCTTTAAGAGACAGAGATCCAGGACCAAGATCTTCAAGTCCTGATGGAATAAAGAAAATTCCACCAAAAATTCATAACAAGTTATACTGTGAACAAGTTAAGAAAATAAAGAGAACTCCATCAACTGTATTGAGTAAGATTAATAATGATGAATTGAAGTCAGTAAAATCACATACCGAATTGGCAGAAACTGCTAATGGTGTTAGAATGTTAGCCAGAAACTTATCAAGAGCTACTATCCAATTGGATGTCAAAACCATTATGATTGTTACCAAAGCCAGAGATAATGCATTAATCTATTTAACTAAAGAAGTGGTAGAATGGTTTCTTTATCGAAAAAAGAAAATTACCATTTATGTTGATAGTAAATTGGAAAACCTGAAAAGATTCAATTTACCGGGAATAATCGAAAACAATCCAGATGCTCAAAAATACATCAAATTTTGGAATAAAGAATTCACTAGTAGTAATCCCGAAACTTTTGATTTAGTATTGACATTAGGAGGTGATGGTACAGTTTTATATGTATCGAATTTATTTCAACGGATTGTTCCACCAGTTATAAGTTTTGCTCTAGGATCATTAGGATTCTTAACTAATTTTCAATTCGATGATTTCAGACATAGAATGTTGAATGTATTAGAGAGTGGAGTCAAAGCTAACTTAAGAATGAGATTCACGTGTAGAGTTCATAAGGCTGATGGACAATTGGTTTGTGAACAACAAGTATTGAATGAATTAGTTATAGATAGAGGACCAAGTCCGTTTGTAACAAATTTAGAATTATATGGAGATGGATCATTATTAACTATTGCTCAAGCTGATGGATTAATTATTGCAACCCCTACAGGATCAACAGCTTATTCGTTATCAGCAGGAGGATCATTAGTTCATCCTGGTGTTAGTGCTATTAGTGTCACTCCAATTTGTCCTCATACATTATCTTTCAGACCCATTTTATTACCTGATGGAATGTTCTTAAAAGTGAAAGTCCCATTTACTAGTCGATCTACTGCTTGGGCATCATTTGACGGGAAAGTTAGAACCGAATTAAGTCAAGGTGATTATGTAACCATCCAAGCATCTCCTTTCCCCTTCCCAACAGTGATTTCATCCAAAACCGAATATATTGATAGTGTCAGTAGGAATTTACATTGGAATGTCAGAAAACAGCAGAGACCTTTTACTGATTATAAATTAAATGATGTTAGTGATGATCATTTAGAACAAAGATTTGATAAATTGAATCTAGCCAATGAAAATATCGCCATCATTGATGATGATGATGAATTCGATATCAATTATAGTAATGATGAAGATGAATCCCAATATACTAATAATAATTCCTCAGTAAATTTAAGTAAGAGTAATTCCTCAAATGATAATATCACCAGTAATTTAACACAAAAATTGAATGCTATTACTGATAAAGAAAAAGAGATGAACGCGTTAAGTACAACTACCACCCCATCCGATGATGATGATTTCCATTATTTACCTTCGCCTGGAGGTGGTTTAAGTACCCCACCATCACATGCAATTTCATATACCAATCTCGATGATAGGCATTGTTTTGCTCACCCTAACGCCAAAGTTACTTTTAGTTCTTCATCTACATCTTCAGATATGAGTAGTAATTACTAATATGAATATATGACATCTTTACCTCTGCCTTTAAAAAGTCTAAGTCAAAAATTTTCTTTTTCGCGGTTCAGCCACGACTGAAAATTTTTCAGGACCTGGCCCTCAAAGAAATGTGAGAAAAATTTAAATACTATAGAAAAGATGACTGATCTTAATGAAAAAATGAATAACCTTTCAGTTCAAGAGAACACTTCAGGTCAAAAGCAAGGAGGATACGTACCACCTCACATGAGAAATAGACCTCAAGGATCTCAAAACTTCGATAACCAAAGATTTAATTCATTTGGTGGTAGTGGTAATTATAACAACGGAGGTTATAATAAAGGTGGTTACCGTAATAATAATTATGGTGGCGGATACAATAATGGTGGTTATAACAACGGTGGTTTTAACAACCGTCGTGGTGGAGGTTTCGGAGGTAACCGTGGAGGTTCAAGATATAATAAACCAGGTGTTGGTAAATGGGTTGATGGTAAACATGAACCAGCAGCCAAAGATTCAGCTTTAGAAATTGAATTATTTGGTATTGCTGATGATCCAAAATTCCAATCTTCAGGTATTAATTTCGATAATTATGATGAAATTCCAGTTGATGCTTCAGGTGATGATGTTCCTGAACCAATTACTTCATTTACTGCTCCTCCATTGGATGCTTTATTGGTTGAAAATATTACTTTATCAAGGTTTACCAGACCAACTCCAGTTCAAAAATATTCTGTTCCAATTGTTGCTGCTGGTAGAGATTTAATGGCTTGTGCTCAAACAGGTTCTGGTAAAACTGGTGGTTTCTTATTCCCAGTTTTATCTGAATCTTATATGAATGGACCAGCTCCAACTCCTGAACAAACTGGTGCTTTCTCTTCTAATAAAGTTTATCCAACTGCTTTAGTCATGGCTCCAACTAGAGAATTAGTTTCACAAATTTATGATGAAGCTAAAAAATTTAGTTACAGATCATGGGTTAAACCAGTTGTAGTTTATGGAGGTGCTGATATTGGTACTCAAATCAGAAGTTTAGAAAGAGGTTGTGATTTATTAGTTGCTACTCCAGGTAGATTAAAAGATTTATTAGAAAGAGGTAAAGTTTCTTTAGCTAATATTAAATATTTAGTTTTAGATGAAGCTGATAGAATGTTAGATATGGGTTTCGAACCTCAAATTAGACATATCGTTGAACAATGTGATATGCCAGGTGTTCAAGATAGACAAACTTTAATGTTTTCTGCTACTTTCCCAAGAGAAATTCAAATGTTAGCTAAAGATTTCTTGAAAGAATATATTTTCTTATCAGTTGGTAGAGTTGGTTCAACCTCAGAAAACATTACTCAAAAAGTTTTATATGTTGAAGATGAAGAAAAGAAATCTGTTTTATTAGATTTATTAAGTGCTAATGATAATGGATTAACTATTATTTTCACTGAAACTAAAAGAATGGCTGATAATTTAGCTGATTTCTTATATGATCAAGGATTCCCAGCCACTGCTATTCATGGTGATAGATCACAATATGAAAGAGAAAAAGCTTTAGCTGCTTTCAAAAATGGTAAAGCTCCAATTTTAGTTGCTACTGCCGTTGCTGCTAGAGGTTTAGATATTCCAAATGTTTCACATGTTGTTAATTTCGATTTACCAAGTGATATTGATGATTATGTTCATAGAATTGGTAGAACTGGTAGAGCTGGTAATGTTGGTATTGCTACTGCTTTCTTTAACAGAAATAATAAAAATATTGTTAAAGGATTAACTGAATTATTAACTGAAGCTAATCAAGAAGTTCCAGATTTCTTAACTAAAATTGCTAGAGAATCTGCTTTTGGTGGAAAATCTGGTAGAGGTGGTATGGGATCAAGAGGTGGTAGATCAGGACCAACTAGAGATTTTAGAAGAGGTGGAAATTCTTATGGTTCAGGAAGTTCAAATTGGGGTTCAGGAGGTTCAGGAAGTTCCAATTGGGGTTCATCACCTGCTCCTTCAAATGGAGGTTATAGTAATTCTCGTTCAAATGGTAATTATGGTAATTACGGTAACTCTAATGCAAGTTACGGTAATTCTCAATCAGGTAATTCCTGGTGGTAAGAAAAATGTTAACACACTTGGTTTATTGCATTAATAGAAATCTTATTTATTTATTACATCAATGTCTCAATCTGTTTGTTGGGAAGATTTTAGAATGATAGAAGTATTTTATTTTAAAGAGAAAAAAAAAATTAACATTATTAACTTTTGATTATTTCAATTGATTGTGTTGATTTCCTTTTATTTTTGTTTGGTTTAAAGTTTGTATTTTTGGAGTTTTTTGTTTGTTTTACTTTTATTGATAAAGAACTCCTTTTGAAAAAGGAAATTAATTCAGAGTTTTTTATAGTTGAAAATATTTTAAAGTTTTTAATGGGTTTATAGGGAGATATAGATGAAAAGTTTGGATTTAGACATTGGGGTTATTAAAATTATAATGCATCTAAGTGTATATTAGTAATAGTTAGACTTATTTTTAAAAACATTTCTATCTCTATGATAAAAGATCTCGCGTGGATGCGAAAAATGTTTCTTATCAAAATTTCTCGCATCTACGCGAGATTGATATTTAAGGATGCAAAAATCTCTAAATCTCTAAATATACAATGTCAATAGTTCCAAAAATCAGTTTAAAAGATTTCGATAATCGTCGTGAAGAAATCAAGCGTCAATTGTATGATGCTGCCACCAACATTGGGTTTTTCGTTTTAGTTGATCAAGAATCTCCTAGTGTTGATGATATTGAGAAGGCATTTGAATTATCAGCAAAATATTTTGCTTTACCTCAAGAAGTTAAAGAAAAAAGACCATTTGTTAAATTAGAAAATTGTGGTTATGAATTTAAAGCTCAAGTAAGACCTTCAACTGGAACTACAGATTTAAAAGAAAGCGTTCAATTACAATATCATAAAAAAAATCTTTATTGGCCCGAAGCTGAAGATATTTCTCAAGAATGGATTGATTTTATGGAAGGAATTATGAAAAAGAATCAAGATATTTCCATGAAAGTTCTTAGTTGTTTCGCTGAATGTCTTGGATTTGAATCTGATTTCTTTACTAAAGCTCATGATATAAGTAAAACTACTGCTCAAAGTACTCTTAGATTATTACATTATCCTGATATTTCCGGACAAAAAGTTGAACCTGATATGTGGAGAGCTGGTGCTCATACAGATTTTGATTGTATGACATTATTATATCAAAGAACAGGAGATCATGGATTAGAAGTTTGTCCTGGTAGAAAATCTCATACCGAATTTGCCATTGGAGATGAATGGAGTCCAGTTGAAGCTAAAACTGGAGAAATTGTTATTAATATCGGAGATATGCTTATGTCATGGTCCGATGATAAACTTAAATCTAACTTTCATAGAGTTAGAACGCCCCAAATTGACGAAAACCAAAAATCAAGATATTCTATTGGCTGGTTTAATCAAGCTAATAAAGATGTCAACATTCAAGGACCTGAAAAGAAATATCCTCTTACAACTGGTGAAGAATATATCGTCAGTGCTATGAAGAGAAATTATGAAAGGTTATCGGAAAAAATTAATTCCTTATAGAACCCTTCCGCTCCCCCCTTAATTATTATTTTAATATTTAGTCAATTATGCCATAATACTTAACTTGTCACTTTGTCCCTTGATGACATCACCTATTAAACCTATCTAAAAATGTTCTTTCAGGGTAAACGAAGTTTTTTTTCCCACCAAACTCGCCACTTCCTGTTTTCGTATATTTACCCTCTATTGTTCCTTCATCGATCTTTTTGAGAACCCGAAATCTCTCAATTACCAGCTTGATGATAAAAAAACATCGTTTGGTGATATCGATATTAATAATAGTATCGATATATACTTTCATCAATACATTATCGTTACCAAAGCATAGAACGTCAACATTGAATAATCCTAAAGTAAGATTGTTACAAGAACTAGAAAAGAATAAAAATTGGCGTCAAGATGGTTTCAATTTTCAAAGTAATAATATGGCCAAATTACCTGAGTCTTCAACGTTAAGAAATCAATTAGCTTTCCATTTCCCTTATGAACCATCTAAACCTTTTGAGAAGAGTATTTGGCAAACTTGGAAAGTTTCACTTTCAGATGAAAATTTTCCCATTAAATATAAGAGTTACCAAAGAGAATGGGAAAATTTAAATCCTGGTTATCAACATCATATATTAGCAGATGGAGAATGTCATTCATTAATATCACAAATCTATTCAACAGTTCCTGATGTTGCAAAAGCCTATAAATTGATGCCAAAATCAATTTTGAAAGCAGACTTTTTCAGATATTTGATATTATTTGCCAGAGGAGGTGTTTATTCAGATATTGATACTGTAGGAATTAAACCTATTAAAGATTGGATGTCAAGTAAATCTAAAATATATGATAAAGAGAATACTGTGGGTTTAGTTGTAGGTATTGAAGCAGATCCAGATAGACCCGATTGGAATGATTGGTATGCGAGAAGAATTCAATTCTGTCAATGGACCATACAAGCTAAAAAAGGGCATCCAATGTTAAAGAATTTGATAGCCAAAATAACTGAAATCACTTTAGAAAGAGAAGAAAATGGTCAATTAGAAAAAGTTCTAGGTAAAGATGCTGGTGGTGATATTATGGATTGGACAGGTCCAGGTATTTGGACTGATGCTGTATTCCAATATATGAATAACGCTGCCCAGAGTCCTGAAGATTTGAAATCAGGTAAAGTTGAAGATATCATTACTTGGAAAATTTTTACAGGAATTCAATCACCAGTTGTCATTGATGATGTTCTAGTATTACCTATAACCTCATTTAGTCCTGATGTGGGACAAATGGGAGCTAAATCGACTAATGACCCTTATTGTTATGCCAAACATATGTTCCTGGGCTCTTGGAAAGACGATAAACCTAAACATAAACCCAAACCCAAGAAAGATTAATTTTTATAGACCAAATGTATTAACCTGTATTCTATTTACTTTTCATGTTCCTCTTTCTACTCATCTTGTCCCCAAATAGCTAATAAGTTTTCATATGCAATAGCTTCACATCTACTTGTAGCTAATGCTTTATCACTATCAATACATACTGCTAAATTCAATTGATCTGCTCTGATGGTAACTTGATATAAATTATTAAACTCATTTAACGAATAATTGATATTGTAGTCTTTGTTTTGGGATTTTTCTCTGAATTTTTCAGATTTCCTATAAATGTCTTTCAATTCTATCGCTTTAGTCATTGAAGAATTCAAATATTCCAATTTCAAGGTCTTATTATTCAAAAACTCTTTTATGCAATTAATTTTAGCTCCTTCTTCGCTACTATTGGTACCAATAATATCTCCCAATTTCACTACATAAGGATCGGTGTCAACAATTTCAAATTTCAAATCCTTAAAAATGAAATTGAACTCATTCTGATATATTTTTCCTATCAAATTATCCAAACTATCATCAACCAAATTCTCTATATTATTTGGAGGGAAAAAATCTTTGAAAACTCTATAGTATATCTTCTTAATCCATAATTTCAACGTTACTGAACTGTATTCCAAACTTAATCCTCCTAAATATGAATAAAACAAATCTCCTATCAATTTTATCTTAGCTTCATCACTACTTTGTTTAGAAACGTTATATTTTAAGTTATTGGTTAAATTGTAGATTAATGATAATTTGAAAAGTAATTGAATGTTTACCATTTTCTGTATCAACACTTCAACATCTTGATAATAAAGGTTAGGATATACTTCATTAATGATATCAACAAGGATAACATTCAAAAGGTATTTTCCTTTAAGAATTAACTTAGAATTATTGATTTCATTCACACCTTCGACATTTTCCATATAAATTACTGGGTCGATGAATGACTTATCAATGAAAATCTTCTGTATCAACACGTCATCTTTGATCTTTAATAACTGAGGTAAACCGGTATTTTCATCATCAATGATTTGATCAATGGTTTCATTCTTCGGTTCAAAATTCAAAAGATAATCAATTGACTCATCAGGTTTCAATAGTTTCAAATTCACTGCTGTGAACATTTTCAAGAACGGGAGTTGTTCTTTCTCCATTAGCTGTTTGAACTTGACAGCTAATTTGATATGAGGTGAAGATATTAAAAATTTTAACTTATCAATCAATGGTTCGTTAGAATTGCTGATGGCGGTCATCAACGTTTCGATATCTTCTTCATTGGGTGTAGTCTGAAGAATTTTCGATATAGATGCTTGTAACTGGCTTATGCTCTGTTTGACTTGATTTAAGTCATCGGTTAAGTTTATCAAATCTTTCATGTTTGAGACTTTAACTTGCAAGTTTGAGAGTTTGATATTTTGAGTTTGAGATCAGGTGCGCCGGTGCACCAGATTTTCAACAAAAGGCTTCAAAACCACATAGAGGGAGATAGTTGGTAGAAAGGGTTTGCATACTGTCCATTTGAATGGAGACTATTAGATTGATTTATTATTTTTGGGCCGAATATCCATAAGTTGAAAACCTCACATAGTATATATAATTACACATTTTATTGATTCATATAAGCTGTTAATTCAGCATCTAATTGTTCAGCTGTCTTCTTTTCAATCTTTCTTCCTTTAGGTTTAGGTCCTTTGAATCCTCTTTCTTTACCTGCTTTTGGTCTTGATCTAGTACCTTTTGGTCCAACAGATCTAGATCCTCTCCCATTAGTGATAATTCTTTCTTTTAAAGGTTTTGGGTTACTTTCTTCCACGACTAATGTGTTTCCCATAGCTTTTTTTCCATTGAATTGTTTTATGGCTTTATAATTGAATTTATCATCTTCAAACACTAAATATCCAATAGCTCTATCCTCGGGGTGGAACTTGAAGAATTCCACTGGAGAAATCTTGACGAATAAACCAGTGATATCTTCTTCAGTTAAATCACCATGGATGTTTCGAATGATTATGATTGATTTGGTGGTAGACTCTTTGATGTCTGTAGGTATCTCCATGTTAATGATGAACTGTGCGAACTTCTAATACTGAGCTTATGACCGAACTTAGGACCGAACTAGAGGGCTGAACTTTGACGCTGAAGACCCTAACTTTCAAAGGTATTACAGGTAACGTGTCGATAGCTCGTCTTCATCATCTGAAAACCTTCAACGCTGAAAAATCCATTCGTTTTCACACAGTCACACCATAATTTAGAGTTCAGAGTGTAACTCACTATATATTCATATTAATTCTTCTTCTTAGATTGGATTTTAAAGTCTTTGGAATGGTCAAATTTGAAACCAATAACGTTACCATTAGCATCAGTAACTTTGGATTTGACCAAAAATCCTAAACCCATTAAATTTGGCCAATTAACATATTGGTAAGAATTATTCATGATAAATCTAAATGAACTAAATTGGAATAATAAACAACATGTTATAGTTAATAAATTTTTGATAGAAAAAATTGAACCCTTAGGGTAAAAGATTAATGACACTAATATCAATATTGAAGTTGTTAATAAGTAAGGTAATAATTGAATGTAGTTTGGTCTATAATCAATGAAAGGATTTTCTGGTGATTGATAAGGTTTAAAATTACCTAAGAATAAATCAAAAGAATCTTGTCTTGAACCATCACTTAAATTGTTATTGTAATATCTAATAATGGAATTTTGTAAATCATTTAATGAACCACCGAAAGTTCTTTTACCTAATCTGGTAAAATCAGTTTTCAAAGCTGGAGTGGAAGAATATGATTTTGACACCATATCAGCATTATCAGCCCAAATATTTTGGAAAATGAAGTTGAAAGGTTTATCAATATTTTTCCAACTATTCAAAGAATCTTTCAAATAACCTAAAGAAATCAATTGATGTTGTAAAATCCAACGTGAAAACATTGATTGAACAACATTAGTACGATCCAAACAATCCATACAATTGGTTCTAATTACTTTGGATTGTAAATTAAGGACTTTATTATTAGATAAATCATAATGGAAGTAATTATCATAATCAAATCCTTTAGCTTTAATGATATCAATCAATTTTTCAGTATTTTCAAATTTCATATTTTTACATTCATGATGGAAATCAAAGTAAATATAAAACACTTTTTCAGCTAATTTTGGAGGTAAACTATTGACGATGGATTCATAGCTATCCTTAACAGGTAATTCATATCCTTTGTTATTGACTAAATTGATACAATAAACATCACCATAATGATCAACTGATTTTGTAAAATGTTTAACAGTAGCGTCAATGGAATTCTTACTGGAAATAATCAAATTTGGCTTATATCTCAAATTGTTAACCTCAGTCCAATAAATTGGTACTGAACCTCTAATTTGTAAGAAACTCAAAAGTTGATTATTGGAAATGATAATTTGTTCAGTCTCATTGAAATTTGCAACATTACCATTTTCATCAATACCTCTTCTAAAATATCTTGTACCTGATCTATTGATGGATTTTCTAGTAATTAAAATATAAGACATCTTTTGTTGGGAAGATCCGGCGAAATCAATAACTTCACTTCTAACATAACCATTAATAATTGGAGTGACAAAATCTTCAAGTCCACTGGATAATTCATGGAATTTTTCAACCATATAACTATTCCAGAAAAATTCCTTGTTGATACTTGAATTCTTTGTGTATTGGTTTTGGAAATTGTTAGTTAAATCAGTCTTACCATCAATTGAAAAAGAGAAACAATTCTTATTCAAATGTTCCTTGATTAATTTCAAATATTCTTTTTCTTCGCTACTTGAATTGATTTTGTGTAATGGTAAGATCTTATAACCTTTCATTTTACCAATGGAATCACCTAAAATATCTCCGACTTTTTCATATTCATCAATGACAATGATATAACTATTAAGTTTTAATTTCAATAACCCAATTATAAAACATGGCTGAAAATTTAATTGTTTATAGAAAGGAGGAATTTCTGTTTGTTTAGAAGCGATTCCGTTTTCAATCAACAATACTTCTCCTTTAGAGTTGCAGTAGATTTGATTGTCACCAAATGTACTGAATGTTAACATCTTTTTGTATTCTGGATCCTCGCTTGGCTGTTGCTGTTCTCAATTTCACGCGAAGATTTAATATGAGTAGATTTAGCCCCGTTGTAATGATTTTTAACTTTCAGGGAATGCTTTGGGTGCCTGGGTAAGTCGGATACCATAGAGCAGTTCAGGGTTGTTTGATGAGAGGTTAGTTGGAGGTGTCCATTTTTTTTCTAAATTTTGTGATTTTTACAACATAGATTATTGGACTAGATATGAATTCTAGAGCAGGAAATATAGAGTTGTAGAGAAACTGGAAGTGATGCAAACATCTATTGAAGTGACTAATTATGTACACCAGATGCAATCTCATCTGATGACGAGTGTCCTTATCCCCGGTTTGAACGATTTGCAGCCACTATCTACCCAAAGACCTCAATTCCCTTCTGACAAAATTCATCAACCAATCCGATTCAATGATTCCTTAATATCACAGTAATACCCTCTATTTGGCACAATCTAAGAATTTCACTCACCTTGACCAGATTCTCAGGATATTTCTTCCTTATTATGCTTAATCACACCTTCGCACCACATATTTCTCATCCTAATCATAGATAGAGACTAATCTAAACTTGAGTTGAACATTCATCATGGAGAAGGATTGGTCTTTAGAAGGTACTCTAAGAGAGAATCTAAAAGAAGCATATAGTCAGTCATCATCACCATCACCTTATCAAGATTATAGCTGTTTGCAGTTATTACATAGTTGGGATAGTAATGATTCAATCATCTCTTCAATTGTATCCAAAGTACATCAATGGTTGATTTGTGGAACACAAAATGGGAAGATATTAGTGTTTGATTTGAAATCCTACAGACTTATCAAAGTGGTTTTCGAAGATGCTATGCAAGGGTCCAATTTATGCCTTGTCCTTGATAAAAATGAAAGATATTTATTCGTTGGAGGGTCTGAATCTTTGATCAAGGTATATGATTTGAATGCCGAAGAGATCAAATGTATCAAGATTATTTATTCCACCATTGACATTGGTGATATCTTTTCCATTAATTATTGTGATACTTTCAAGATCTTATTCATTGGACCACAAAATGCTAGTTTATTATGGTGTTATTGCAACTTGGATGAAATCATTGAAGACAAGAACATCGAAAAACTTCCCAGACACAATCTCCCTCATTTAAGATATAACAAATTTTTCGATTCCAAAGGGCCAGGTGGCAGAATCAATAATGAAAGTAAGAAAGATTTGAAATTCATGGATTCTATTTCATTATGTGAACTTGATGCTAAAAACAGTATCAAATTCGCTCATTATGGGTACATTTACAATCTTTTGGTGTTTACAAACGAATTCATGGTATTGAAATATTCAAAATTTGAAAAATTCCTTATCAGTTGTGGAGGTGATGGGACAGTTAATATTTGGGGGGTTAAAAGTTTGCAAAAAAACGTTGATTTGATCAAATTGAAATCTTTGCATAACGATGAATCTATTTTATCGATGTTTATTCATAATACTTATTTATATGTTGGATTATCTAATGGTACCATTAATACCTGGGATCTTCTAACATCTCAATTGATTAGATCGGTTAACTCCAAAAATGAAGAAGAAATTAGTTCTTTGGTGGTCCTTGATAATAACGGAATCATCTATGGTAACAAATACGGTTTGAACGTGATTTCTCCTAACAATATAGTGGTGAATATCAATAAGTTATCGACCTTGACGTTATATTTGAGTGATGAAAAGGAAAAAGGCAAAGCCAATTTGATTGCTGGTGGGAAGAATATTATCAACTACTATAATATCTTGGATAAAGGTACTGCTCCTATAAGTTATCAATTTCAAGTATCGGATATGAATAATGACACCTTATTGAAGAACTTATCTAAATTTGTAAGCTTCAAAACTGTTTCAAAATTCAGTGATTTCTATCTTCATGAATTAAGAAACTGTACGAAATTCCTTGTTAAGTTATTCGACAAATACGGTGCTACTAGTCACATCATTCCTGTTGAAGATGGAAATCCTATAATAATTTCATCCTTCCAATGTGAAAAACCTAAGAAGAGAATTCTTTATTACGGACATTATGATGTTGTAGAAGCTAATGAAACCAATGACGACTGGATTTCCAATCCTTTCGAAATGGTCAGCAAAAACGGATTCTTATATGGAAGAGGTGTCTCAGATAACAAGGGGCCAACTTTATCCACCATTCAAGCTGTAGCTGAATTGTATCAAGCAGGTGAATTAAATGTTGACGTGGTATTTGTTATAGAAGGTGAAGAAGAAACAGGGTCTAAGTTGTTCAAAACAAAAATCTTGGATCATTTGAAATATATCGGGGAGATTGATTATATCTTCTCTTCAAACAGTTACTGGTTGGATGATAGAAGGCCATGTTTGAATTATGGTTTAAGAGGAGTTGTCAACGTTTCTATCGACATAGTCAGTGAAAAACCTGATAGACATTCGGGGGTTGATGGTGGTGTCCTGCAAGAACCCATGATGGATTTAATTCAATTATTGAACTCTTTCAAGTCATCCGATAATGAGAAACCTATAGCCATTGAAGGTTTTTACGATGACGTCAAACCCATCAGTGAAGATGAATTGAAAGTCTTCCAAGAGATTGTTGATTATAACCCTGAAGAATTCAATCTTCAAGAGTTGATTACCAAATGGTGTAATCCTTCATTAACTGTCCATAAAATCGAAGTCAGTGGACCTAACAATAACACGGTTATCCCCAAAACAGTCAAAAGTTCAGTGTCTTTGAGAATTGTACCCAACCAAAATATCGAATCCATTAAGAAGCTTTTAATTGAACATTTGAACAAAAATTTCAAGAGTTTGAATTCACCCAATGAAGCAAATTTCAATATCTTCCATGAAGCCGAACCTTGGTTAGGTGATCACAACAGTTCAATCTACCAAATAGCATTCTCTAAGATCAAAGAGAATTGGGGTATTGAACCATTATTAATAAGAGAAGGAGGATCAATTCCAATTATCCGATTCTTAGAAAAAACCTTCGATGCCACAGCATGTCAAATTCCTTGTGGTCAGTCAAGTGATAATGCTCATTTGAAGAACGAACGGTTAAGAATTATCAATTTATTAAAGTTGAAAGATATTTTCAAAGATATTTTAATAGAATTAGGATAATACATACGAAACTAATATACATATTTTACAGATGAACTAGAAAACCATGGCATTGAGCTTCTTTGTCTTTACAGGTTTATTGTTGTAACAAATTCTAGTAAATTTATTTGTTTGTACCAATTTATTGATTTGTTTGATGGATTGGAATTTATCTGTTTGATTAGACAATTTTTGTAATCCACTGGTTAAATCATAGTCCTTTTCATACCATAGCCATGGTTGTTTCGAAGACATCTTATAGTCGGATGCTGGTGAAGGTAACTGGAAAGTTGAATTTGACATTATTGAAGTATTTGAGGATTTGGTAGTTGGAATTGAATTGTTCAAAGATGATATGAAATCAAGAATTTCGATCAAATCAGATTTATTGAACCAATTCAATTTGAACTGAATGACAGTTTTATCGTTGATATTGAAATCATAAATGGAATCTACAGAATCAAAACTTGAAGGATTATACTGATTGAATAGGAAAATATGGAAACGGGCCTTTATAGATGTCAAACCCGTGGATATAAGGGATTTAAATGCAAATTGGATGGATGTTTGATCAAAGTTGAAGAGGAAAACCTCTTGAAATTTCCCATACCATTCATCATGAGGGTTTTCTTCAATAAATTTGGCATCTATTATTGAAAAGTTCTTCTCGTTTAATTTGAGAAGTTTAAGTATTATAAGAATATCATTTAATTCCTTGGTAACGTCATTAAGAATGATAAGTTTCTTACCATTGAAATTGAATTGATGAAAGGTTTCATGGAAATGTTGTTTGATGCAACAATAAAACGGTAACATTAAGTCTATAAGGAAAAGAGCATCATGATTACTAACATTGTAAGGAAGTTTAATTGCAATTTGGGAAAAATTGGCCATCTTAACATAATCTTGGAATCCACCATTCAAATTGACTCCATATTCAAAATTTAAGATACATGGTAACTTTTCTCCATTGAAAATGAATCTATTACAATTATGACAGATGGGTTGATGATTTTGTTGCAAACAATTGGTATAAGGAAACACTAAATACTTACTATCAAAAGATAATGCTTCATAATCCTTGATATTATCACAATTTTCATTGAAAGCATATATCTTACCTATGAATTTATTCCCTGGTACAATATTCCTTTGATAATTCTTGAGTAACTCGAAATCTTTTAAATAATTAATACCTATCAATTTAACTTTAAATAATATGTCATTTCCTTGAAGGTCGAATTCTTTAGGTAATTTAGTAGTTTCTTTAACTTTCCCCTGTTTATAATCGAATAGTCGCTTAATAGGTAACTTATTTATTGGTTCAAGATTGAAATCATCCATTGAAACTTTCTCTTGATAATTTATGCAGAAACTAAACCAAAGTAATGCTTATGATAATTACCGAGCTCTAAAAACTTCAGGCGAAAAGTTAATCCTTAATAAACCTTTAAACGTCAAGACAACTGCACTTGCCGGATTGAGTTAAATTAAAAATCTCGCTTATTCTCATCACTGCGGAAAATAGGTTATAATTGCCTACAGAGAATCCGCGATCTTAACCAACAAAGAGAGGTAAAGGGAAACCCGTACTAAAACGGCAAAGAGGAACCGTACTAAAACGGTAAGGAGGGCACAGAAAATCATGTATTATTGGAAGATTCAGATTGAGGCGTACCTTGTCTCCTAACTCTTTCTTCTTCATCAATTATTGATAATCTTAAAGCTTCTTCAATCATTCTATCTTCAATAGTTTGAAATCTAGTATTACTATTGGAATTTCTTCTTCGGGTGTCATATTCAGCTAAATCTGTTGATGGATTTATAATTAAATTTGATGCATGGATAGCACTAGCAGCTGCAGATTTCCTTGCTAATTTACTTTTAGCACTAGCTAATTTTAATTCCCAGTCGGGTCTAATTTGATCTATAGTTATGACTTTGGGTGAATTTGCAGGAATGGATGATCTTCTTCTTCGTTTTTCTCTAAGTGATTCTTCTTTTTGTGATGCTGGGGTGGGTGATTTAATTGGTGATGCTTTTAATGGCGATGATGAAGGTGATGATGAAAATACTTCAGAACTTTCAATATTTAAATTCTTTAAATCATCTTTAATTTCATTGATATTATCTTGAGTTGGATCATGAATAAGATCATTATGATACGTGCCAGGTTTGATACCAGATATTCCTGTTTTAATATCAAGATCTTTTTCGAATATAACTCCAAAATCATTCATTGCACAATATGGACAGTTTGATGGCTCACTTATAAGTGTATGAGGTAATTCATTACCTTGAGATTGTTCTTGTTGATCATGTGGAGGATGGGGATCTAATCTTTTAATTTGGACAAAACATTCAGTACAAATTGGTTGTAAACAACATCTTGATAGATTTAAATTATTGGGATAATACAAAAAACAAATAGGACATTCGATAGGATTCTTATATAATTTTAATAATAAATCTTTCGAAGGTAAATTATCATCTTTGCCCTCGAGTTTGATATCGAAGAACTTATTTTCTTCATCCTTTTGTAATGATTTAATTTTCTCCATCAATAATTTCAATTTCATCTTTTGTTCTTGTCTTTTATAAAAATTTGAAGATTTATGAATCTTATGATCATCAATATCGTCGATTTCTTCATCGTCATAAGCAATTTCAATTGAGTGTAAAGTTAATTGTGATAAAATCTTAAGTAATTCATCTTCGGTCCAATCATCATCAAAATCCTGTAATGGAGTATAAAATGGAGCCAATTTCCTCTGGATTATTAACTCTCTAACAATATCAACATTGAAATCTAAATTAGATTTATATGTTCCAAAAGGTGCCAAATATCCTCCATCAACAGTTTGATCATATTTGACTATTAATTTACTATAATGGTCTTCTCGTTGTCTATCTCTTTCTTCTTGTTTTCTACTTTTCTTATAATCATTAACATTGCCGAAAATGGTATTCCTTCTATTAATATCATATGAATTTAAGGTACTAGATGTTGATGAATAAGTATTAGATCTTGGTCTAGCTTCTTTCCCTGCTGTGTTCCCCATTGTTGAATCTCTTCTCCTTTAAATATTACCTTGAATATACCTACTTCTATCGCTAAATCCTAGGTTAATTACTATATAAGGTGTATTATTTAAATCTATAATGCGTTGGTAAACCGCTTCTGCCCCTAATTGCTCACTTTTTATGATCAGTGCTCCATCTAATCATCACGTGAGTTTCCCCAGACAATTTTTTAAAGAGATTGAGAAAAATGAATATTTATTGAGTTAACCCGAATCCTACACCTATCATAGCTAATATTATAGCAAACCAGAATAAACCTATGAGAAAACTGATAGTTTTTTGAAATGGTGAAAATTTCACTACTCTACTATGATTTATCAGATATTGTTGTTTATAGTAAATTCCAGTGTAATAGTTCTTCTCATTGGACAATTTATCAAAAATTCCAAGACTTAAAAGGAAATAAACTGGTGGGATAATCAATCCGAGAATCATCATGACAGTAAAATATTTCCAGGTGAAGAATTTGGGACTTTTGAATTTCTCATTAAGAAAAAGTTCTTCATCTGAATAATAATCATTAGTGATATTAGGTGATGAGATAGCACTTCCTGATTTTACAATAGGATATCCTGCTAACAAAGTTGGGGAGTCATTTATCTTTGTAGTTTCTGAACTGGTATAATTATGATGATGCTCTTCAGGTCGGGTGGTATTAAAATGTGGGAATGTGGGATTATAGTTTGCTTTAGGCGATGTATCATACATTTTTTCATGTTGGTTGAATTTGTCGAGACTATCAATGGGTATATTTGGAGGTGGTCTCCTTACTTGAGGTCCAAAAGTTGGTAAAAAGTCATCGCTATATTCTTTAGTCGGCACTTCAATTGAATGTAATGAATTATCCGTACTTATGTCTGAATCATGGAAATGAACTTGCTGTGGTGAACTTATTTCAATTAATTTGGGAGATTGATTATCTCTCACTCTATATAAAACTATTGGTTCGATGGTATTAGCAACTTTGTGGTCATCAAATGACTTCTCCAGTAATTCATTCAATGATTTATGTTCTAATTTATTTAATAATTCTTCGGAATTCAAAGATATCAAAGAATTATGGTATTTGAAAGAATTAAGTATCCTTTCCAGGGTATTATTTGTGTCTGTATGTTCAGAAGTATCAAAAAACTTCTTTCTTTCTGAGCTTGAACTGGTATTTTTATCAGAAGATGCATTTTTTGATGAGCCCGATACATTTGAAGCATCAAAATATCTTCTGGATGTTGATGAATCAGTATAATCATCATCTAGAATATCTTTGGCTAACTTATCCAAAGATTTTTCAAATGATCTACTGAATCTATCAGGTCTATCAATAGTTGATTTAGTTTTATCACCTTCATCAAAATCTTCTTTGAAAACGAAACTCTTATGATCATCGTGGTATTCTTTGAAAATATCTTCAAGAGATTCAGCATCAAGCTCAGCTTGTGATTTACTTCCTTCACTTGAAGTATCCGCAAAATCATTCAGGGATACATTAGATATATCTCTTGCTCTTAAGTCTCTTCCATGATATTCTAATTGTTGTTGAAATTGTTCGGTTGTTATCGAATTGTGGGATCTTGCAAATTTAGGTAATAATACTTGAACCAATGACCTCGTTGGAGATTTGGTTGATCTACTTGGTGATGTTGAAGATAAAATTGATCTGTTGGGTGATAATCCTCTTGATCTGGTCGGTGATTCGATCTCTGAGTTTCTTGATCCAAAGAACTTCTTTGGTGATGTTTTATCCATACTTTTTGTTCTCACCTTCTCCCTTTATCAATATGTTTTATCGGGGTATTAAGGGATTCAAGGGTATAATGAACGATGAGTTACAAAAGGTTATGGACTGTGATTACTACTTTCAATCATTTATAAATTGTCATTCTTTAAAATATTCCTATGTTTACTTTTATTCCTTTTAGGTAATTTAATTAAAAATCTCAATTTTTACTGTATCAAAATTTTTTGCAGCCGCGACATACGACACGCGACATGGACTATTAATTTTCCTCTTTAGGATATTACAATAATTCACTTAATAACGAAGAGAAATTACTTAAATGGGATAAGTAAGTAGAGGAGTAATATAAGCGAATCTTGACGAGTAGAAGGTTTTTAGACGAGTGAAAGTCATATTTTAAGTACATTACAATTTGGTATATAGATCATTTTATCATTAGTAGTTATAATTTCTTCTTCTTCTTCTTCTTCTCTTTTTACAAGGATCAGTAGTTGAACCACTTGAGCCAGAAGATCCAGAAGAACCGGATGAACCACTTGAACCACCTGAAGAACCTCCTGAGGAACCTCCAGATGAAGCACAATCACCAGAAAATGCAGCAAATGCATTGGTAATGACATTATTAAAGGTATTAGCATTAAGAATTGATTTTAATAAGTTTGAAGCTAAAGTAGTATTCTTCAAAGCATCAATGATTTCACTTAAGTCAAGGGCATTAGATGAGATAAGTTGTTGAATTAATTCAGAAGCAAATGGAATATAACTTGAATCAGTAATAATAGATTTAACAACTGATGAAGCTAAACCAGAATTACCTAATGATTCTAACAAGTTAACAACAATGTTTTCAATATCAAGGGCTCTAGCTTCAATATCATCAACTTCTCTAGTAACAATTTCTTGAGATTCAAAAGCTAATAAATCTCTCTTTGATGAATTAATTTTGGCTTGAACTTTATCAACTAATCCACTAATAACATTAGCAGCAGTATTGAATAATGAGACATATAAAGAACAATCTGAAATTAAATCTTGAAGCACAGTAGTAATCAAATTACTCTTATCTAAAGCATCAAATAAAGCATCATAACTGATTAAATTAGATTTTAAAACTGTTACTAAAGTTTTAATAACAATAGGTTGGAATTTTGGATCAGTGGCTAAGTAATGAATAATTCTTTCAGCTAATTGAGTGTTATTCAAAGCAGCTAAAACATCAGTAACAATTTGATATTCTCTTTTATCTAAACTATCATAAATTTCATCTCTTTTAGATTTATAACTATTCAAGCTGTTTAATAATTCGATTAATTCAGCGTCATCTGATTTCTTGACTAATTCATTATGTTCACCTTCTACAGCTGGAGCTGAGTTAACAATCACTAAATTTAATGCTAAAGCATATAAAGTTGCACTACTTAATTTCATAACGAATGTAAATTATTTATCAAAGCCTTTTATAGAAAAAAAATATGAACTTTGGCTTAGCTTTAATCAATTTAATTCCCTTCAGTGGTTGTAACTTGAAATTATATTATTTTTCAAAGCCTTTTTCATCCAATTTATAGTTTTTGCAACCAGAATTAACGAATCTCATTACATTTCTTAAAAAGGAAATTTTTTAAACCTAGGAAAACAGTACGCGCACGACTTTTGTTTCCAACCCTAATTGAGTAAATCATAAGAGGTTATTACTTTACCCTAAACAGTAACTGAACTAAGTTTAAAGAGTGGAGATTTATTAATGAGGAAACTCGTTTATAAATAAATTAAGGCTTTTGTAATATACGATCAGTGTTCACCTGAATATTGGGGCTTTATTTTTTCTTACCGAAGAAACTCATTACCGATGGTTGTTTGGATTTTTTATCTTTAGTTACTTTAACTGCTGATTTAACAGGTTGTTTGATTTCAGTTTTGGTTTCAGTGGTTGTTCTTGGTTTTGGCTTTGGTTTCGATTTAGGTTTTTTGGTATTATAAGTAATTAAATAACCTTCTTCATCATATTGAGGTTCTTGAGGTTCTTGAGTTTCTGACTCCGCTTCTGGTTCAGGTTCAACTTGAGGTTCAACACTGGCTTCCTTCGTTTCAGCCTCAGGCTCCGGAATAGCTTCTTCTTGTTCAGATTCCTGTATTTTGGTGTTCTCTTCCTTTTGACCCTCTGTTATATCCTCTTCGTCATCATCGTCATCATTGAATATATCAGAAAGTTTTGTTTTAGGGGCAGGGACTGATGGAGCAGGTGTATCAACTTCCATATCATCAAATTCATCAAATTCATCGGCTTCTAAATCGTTCGACACAACAACTTTTTCAGGTTTTTTGTTTTCCAATTTCCTTGATTTATATTGATATTTTGGAGGATCGGCAGCTCTTTTGGAACCTGCGGTGTCAGCAGGCTTTTGTTTACGTGATACATAGTTAGACATCAATCCAATAGTTTTCTCTTTCTTGGGTTTGGTAGATACTTCCTTTGTAGTAGTGGATGTTTTAGTTGGTTCAGCAACAGTAAGTTTGGAAGTTTTGAAGGACGTGACAGGAACTAATTCTGGCCCTTTAATCAATCCTAACTTGTGGTAATAGTTCAAATTATCTGTGTTGATGACATTCTTTTGATTATGAATTGCAAAGTCTTTGAGTGAAAATTCAGTTTTAGGCGTTACGGAATAACAATAGATTTCATCTATCTTGTCGAATTTTTCGACTGCCTCCTCAATCAACTTTTCAGATTCAATGAACTTGATAACTGTTGATCCCTCAATAACTCCATTTATTATGAATTGCCCTACAAAGTTAGACTTGTTAGACTTATAGAAATTATATAAAATGACTTTGGATTTCTTGTAAGTAGCACCAAACTGATGGGAAATGTCTTGGTAGGTAACAATTTCTCCAACTTTGAGTTGTCCAGAAATGTATTCTATCTCCTTGACTGATTCATCCATAGTCATTACGCGTCGCACTCTTTGACAATTTCTCAAAATATGGAGATTCGATGAGGGTCAATTTGATCAATATGGAAATAGACCATTGAAGCAGAGTGGGTTGTTGAGTTGCAAACAAGAATGGACAAGTAGTGTTAATAAGATATGCTTGTGGTTTCAAACCAGAACTTGAGCGGTCTCACATTCTTTACATTTGACGGTTCTTACGACGATTCTTACACCTTACATGAAATAAAAAGACACGAAACACAGATCCACGAAACCACCTTCAATCATTCCAAATGATGCTAGGTATTTTGCTAACCAGGTGAAACGTCCGTCTGAAGCAATTAAGGATAGTCTAGAACTGCACCATAAACGTATGCGCGACACGATAAGGTATGTAAGGTGAGATCGAGACATGGAACTCTGATCCTTCTTTTGTACAGTCTCTGATTGCGCTATATCTCCTTTATAACTCAAATTTAAAGTTCCACCCCTTGATCACCACGAGGGCTTGAAGGACCCTTCAAAGTCTTTTTTCCATGTTCATATATTACGTTTTTGCGAATGGCTGCAAAAGATAAAAGAAGAGGCTATATATTACCACGAAACAAAATTGAAATACCGAAACAAAACATTAGTTGGAAAAGATTATAAAGATCCTGTCTTTAATATTCGTTATTACTTAACTTTGATTTGATACCTGATAATTTTTCTTCAATCAAGGCTTTGGAATCATTTAACAATTGGTTGACTTTTTCAAGTTGACTGTCGCTACCTTCTTTTTTGGCTTGCATAACTAAATTATTCAACTTGACTGATAATTCATCTATTAACTCGCTGATATCTGATTTAACCAAACCTTTGTCTATATTATTGGTATAAAGGGAATCTTCAAATCTATCAAGATGTTCCATCATGGCAACATGATTATCACTGAACAATTTAGTAATGGAAAATGAATTGAATGGAATGATTTTCCAATCGTCTTTCTTATCTAAACCTTCGATTGATCTTAATCTCAATTGTAAATCTTCTATAACTTCATCAATTTCATCTAAAGCACCCAAGGAAGCATCTCTCTTGAAATGATGTCCTCCTTTACCTTGGGAGCCAGAATGTTTCCCAGGCTTACCGGGTTTATGAGGCTTATCGGGTTTATCAGGATGATGGGGCCAAGTGAAATTTCCAGGGAATGTATGATTCTTATGACCACCCCATGGGAACCAGTCCCACCATTTATCATGATCATTATGTTTACTAAACCATCTTGGTTCCAAAACATCTCTTTCTGAAAGTTCGTTCAAATCAAGTTCTTCATATTCTTTCTTTACTAATTCAGGTAAATCAGAGAAGATATTATTCAAACTATTATAAACATTTCTTTTAGCCACAGTTTCTTTAAATTTAATGTCACTGATTGGTGAAGCTTGAGATAAAGCTAATAAACTTAATAAACAGGTAGAAAACTTCATTTAATAATTGGCTTCGATAAAGAAGAAATTCCCACTTTTATAGGTAAAAATTTACATTTTGCAACTTTACAGAGTTTGCATTTTGCTATCAAAATGGACATAACTTTCAGGAAATCAGTACAGTTTCTTAATTGTGTATACATGAAAAATAGAAAGGTGAAGTTTTGTAACAATCAGACATTTCCCGAATGAATCAGATAGGAGTTGAATCATAGGGTATATACAGAATTGGTTATGAACTCAGCTCCACACTTACTATATTCAGATTTAACCGTTGAAAAAGTTTAGAATAATTGAACGGCAAATGATACCCACCTGTAACTTTCATGTAATAAACGGGAAAAGATGGTAGGTTTAACCAATGTCAGTGAATATGTTCAATTGGGTCAATTTTATGTACTCTCCGTGATAATTTTATGTTATGTTCCGTAAACAATAAGAATTTATTCAGGTTTGATTGAATAGTAGTTACAGAAAGTTATTGTTTGAATGGATATTGTTGTTAGCCGAACATGAAAACTTATTGGGTTTGAACCTTTGAGTGTATGAAAAAAAGTTTTTAGATGAAACAGAATTATTTATTTTTCGTGATAAGGGATCTTCATGGAATGAACCCCTTGGAGAAAAAAAATATTCTTTGCTTTGGACCTTCCACACCCATGATTTTGATTATTGCTTTGAGAGTGTTCACCGTTAAATCAGTAAAGGGCATTACCTAATAACTTGGAACAATAGAGATGAGGTGATTGTTCTTTTACTGCATTAGTAAAATTTGTGACTAATCAAGTAACATGACTAGGTCCAAAGATAAACCGCTATTGTTCTCTCTTTATATACAATCCCTAACAAATTCTGTGTCCGATAAGTGGTAAAAATTGCTGACGTTCATGTCGAGACATAATTCTTTCTTTTAAGATTAGCCCTTTTGTGGTATTATTTTCCACATCACATCTTACTAGAACCACTTTACCATTCTCGTTTGAAGTATGAATTAGATGTTTTGAAACATTAAAATCGAGGGGCTCACGGAAAATCTCTCACGGAATTGGAGGGGCAACTAAATTATGTGCACCGATTTTGAGACCTCCTTACATAGGAGTGGACAGCAAATCAAAATGAAATATAGACCCGAAAAGAAAATATATTGAGCTAATCAATAGCGAAATCTATAAAGTATACAAAAAATGAGTTTACCAGGAGAATTTAAAAATAAGCTAACAGAAATATTACTTCTAGAATTATGTTCTATGATAATTTGCTGTTTATAAGCTATCAGAGAACTTTCTTAAAGCAGCTTCCTCAGCAAATCTTTTCTTGATCATATTATCAACTTCTAATGGAGTTAATTCTCTTGGTTGGTGGTGAGGTGGATGGTTTGGGTGTGGGTGTGGATGTGAATGAGATGAATTAGTTCCATTGGTTGGGAAAGTATGGTTTGAAGGTAATTCACCAAATCCTCTTTTCTCTATAGTAGGGAAGAATGCAGTAGTGTTGGTGGTATTACATGGAGCGGTATCATTAAAAATTCTAGGTAATAAAGCACTTTGAGCAGTAACAGCTAAAATTGATAAGCAAATAAAGTTAGATAATTGCATTTTAAAGGTATTCAAGTTCTATCAAGGGTATTTGGAATTAATCAAGAATCTCCAAATTATAGTCCATTTATATATCAAATTCAACGTGTCAAAGGTTCTTAATCATTAGTTCATAATTTCATAGATGGTTTTTCAAATAAATGATTATGAGAGTTTATACAATAGAAAGCCATTAAATTAACTACAAAAGGCAAAAATCATCCCCTTGACTCTAATTCCTTTCACAATAGGTCAAACAAAGGAATATTTGCTAAAACATTTGACGAATCTCGAACAATAGAGTGAGATGAGAAATCCATTATAGCCACTATTAATTAGGTTGCCGAATTAGTTCAAGTGATTACCTCATGGTATTTTAGGAATCTTGAAGCAAGCAACATCTTGATATTGTTAAGAGTACTGTGATTGTTCCAAACAATCCATGTTGATCATTATTATGTTCACAACTCCGGCCAAATACCAAAAGGATTGCTTCGACTTTAGATTGAAATTGAGGTTTAAAGCACAGAGCAAAGGTGCGATTAATATGACGTTACTAACCTTTGGCTAGTTGACAGTTGAAATTGATCCATACACGGCGAAAACCGTTTTAAGATCGATAAAAAGTACTTCGGTTATAGCCTCACTAACCCCCGGACATGAAATTTTCTTTGATAAAGTGAATATGGCGTTTGAAAACTCCTTCACGGTTATGATAAATTCTATAACCACTAAACACTCATTTCCTATTCCGATCTTGTAAGAAAAGAATTAAAGTTTGGTAAACTCTTTCCCCTTAAGCTAAGATGGATGATGTTCTACCGAGACGCATGGATTAAAAGTTTCGCAGCCTTTTTTGGACAACTCCATTCTCAATGAAAGCAATTGTCTATCACGGGAAAGAATCCTTGAAATATGAAACTGATTATCCAGAGCCAGAAATCACCAATGAAAATGATGTAAAGATCAAAGTCCATTATTGTGGAATTTGTGGAAGTGACTTGAAAGAATACTTATCAGGTCCTTTTTTCTTCAATGAACCAGGGTCCACCAACCCTATTTCTAACTTAAAATTTCCAATGGTTATGGGACACGAAATTAGTGGGGAGGTGGTTAAAGTTGGTACTAATGTCACCGAATTTACTAAAGGTGACAAAGTTATTGTTGAAGTTACTGGTAGTTGTAAAGATAAATACAAATACTTTGAAGATTCTCCAACTAAAGATAAGGAAAGCTGTCATCCATGTCAAGAAGGATTTTACAATTGTTGTGAATACTTAGCTCTTACGGGTTTAGGGTTTAGTGATGGTGGATGTGCCGAATTCTTGGTAACCACTAAAGAAAAGTTAATTAAATTCGATGAAGATAAGATCCCTATGGATATTGCTGCTTTAATCCAGCCATTGTCAGTTTCATGGCATGCGGTTGAGGTTGGGAAATTTGAACCAGGTCAATCAGCATTGATTCTTGGTGGAGGTCCTATTGGGTTGACTACTATTTTTGCTTTAAAAGGTCATAAAGCTAAGAACATCGTTGTTAGTGAACCTTCTTTAGCCAGAAGACAATTGGCAGAAAAATTGGGTGTTAAGGTTTATGATCCAACAGGAAAATCTACCGAACAATGTATTGAAGATTTAAAGAAAATGACAGATGATGGTTATGGTTATCATCATTCATTTGATTGTTCTGGAGTTTCAGCTACTTTCCAAACTAGTATCAAAACCTTAAGAATTAGAGGTACTGCCACCAATGTCGCTGTTTGGGCTAAAAAGTATATTGAATATTCTCCTATGGAAACCACCATGTCAGAAAAGATTGTCACGGGATCGATTTGTTTTGTTAAATCAGATTTCGAACAAGTGGTTGACTCTATCCAGAAAGGTGATATTTCAACAGATGAATTGAGACTCATGATTAGTAGTAAGATCAAGTTAAGTGATGGTATCGATAAAGGATTTTTAGAGTTGATTCATCATAAAGAAAGACATATAAAAATTCTTTTCACCCCTATGGATGATTTAGCTACAAACTAGACTTATTTTTTTCTAGCCAATGTATAAACTGTTCCCCAAGTGACCACGAACTCTCCATCTCCTACAACGGGTTTTAAATCATTAATAAGTTGGTCAACAATATCTACTTTATTGTCGTTGGCAGAATCCTTTTTCCAACTGTGATAAGCACTCCAACTAGTTAAATAACTTTTCATGTCATTCAAATCAATTGTTTTAGATATCTTCAAAGTTGTAGGTGTTGGATTGTAGGGATCAAATTCATTTCTGATGACATCGACAAAACCGAATTTTGAAGGGTCGTCATCTCTTAACCAGTTTCTCAATCTGTCCTTACCTGGTTGTTCCCAATAAGGTCCCAAATGGTTTGGCCCAAAAGCGAATTCATCATACAATTCATTGGCTTTAGGGAAGGTGAAAATTGGTTCTAAATAGAACCAATAGCTTAGAGTTCCACCAGACTTCAATGCTCTATAAGCTTCAGGGAAAAACTTATTATTGTCGACCCAATGTAAAGCTTCAGCACTGGCAATCAAGTCAACGGATGCATCATCAATTTTAAGTTGTTCAGCAGGACAAACTTTAAATGTAGTATTAGGCTTCTTATTACCTTCACATTGTGAAATCATTACAGGTGAAATATCAGTACCCACAACATTCTTGAAAGAATCAGCTAATTTGAAAGCAACAAATCCAGATCCACAACCTACATCTACGGCAACATTCTTATCTCCTTGATGATAATCTAACAAAGTTTCATAGTAAGAATCAGGATAATTGGGCCTTGCATTGTTGTAATGATCAGTGTTGAATGATGATTCTGAATAGGTAGCCATATTTGAATCAATTGTTGTATAATAGGTGAAAAAAGTGACTAACAGGTATAAACTATGGGGTATTTATAGCTTGACAGATCTGTCATAGATCCGCTACCGGTGCGAAACCGGTGGAGATAAGATCTTTATACATTAAAAAGCTATTAACATTATTCATTGCTTCGTATTCCTATGAAACTAAGATTCATGGAATCAATGACTCACAGAATCTAATTACTTAACACTTCCCACTCACTTATTCTTTTTGATAGTTCTGTCGTTTAAGAATTTTTTATATCTTTCCAAAGTAACCTTGTCTTGTAAGTCTTTGTATTCATTAACGAACTTATACTTGGTACCTAAAGCAGTATCCCACCAAGTGAAGAAAGGTTGACTGAAATTGTGTTTGAAACCCCAAGATTGATGGTGAATGTCGTGATAAACAGAATTGTTAGGGAAAATCATTTGGAATGGATCGTAAGGGAACCTATAACCACAATGGTCATCAATAGTTTTCATGGTTGAGAAACTATATAAAAACAAACTCTCTCTTGCTGTCAATCCCATTATTATGGCCGATAATCCCGTACCACAAGTATCTAACAAGAACCCTTCAACAGGATCATTATATAAAGCCCCATAGGCATAAGGCACTTGTAAACGATGATGACGTGAATGGAATCTGTTGTACATCCATCTATTCATATGCATGTATCTGTGTAAAGTATATTGCCAGGTATCAATAATGGCAAAAGCTATAATGATTCTCAATAAAGGAATTCCATACATATAAATCAAATAGATAACTTCGTTAGGCAAGAAGTGTAACTTTTGTTTTAATTCCCACATCTCCTTCAATTCAAACCCTGTAGTTGGGGTTGGGTCAAGACAATATACACCATAACCTACTATTGTTTGAATGATATGTTGTAAGACCACATCATAAATGACGTCTTTCAAGCTAGCTTTGTTCTTGGCCAACTCTTCTTCTGAAGGATGGATTCTATATTTTTCAGCCAAATGGTAAACATCAATGATGTGAAAGAATGTACAATAACTCCAGTAAAGTATAACTGGAGATATCAAAGCCAAAACACCGTCAGGAATTCCTTGAATTAAGTCAGGTTTTTTGGTTAAATACACCGAAGGTTGTAAATTCGATGATATTACCGTCAAATTTGTATGATAATCCAATTCAATCATTATAAATAGGATTTTTCACGGATTAATGAGTATTTGTATATTTATTATTAATTGCGATGCGGTCTAAAGTATCATCAGACGAAAAAGAAATCATCAGATGACCGCGACTCGTCTCCCAGGGTCGTGCGACGTTTTGTACCGCTTAGTGCCACCAATTTGGGTGCGAAATTTATTGTATATTTCCCCTATTTTAATAACCGGATTTATTTCCTACAAAACTCTGACTCTGTTATCAAACCACTCTTCTAGACCATCTCGTGGTTCTACTATTACACTATCTTCAATGGTATTCTTTTGAGATTTTCTTTCGAAAATCCAATGATTTAGTTTGATATAATCCAATGGACATATTCTAAAGTATATTAATGCAACATGTTGAATTTTAAACCATTCGTCATAAACGTTTGGATGTAATACACTCAAAGCAAAATGTGGAGACCCTCCGGCATTCAATCCAAATACTTCAAGTAATTTAAGTTGAGGTTGATACTTGATGAATTCAAGTGTTTCTTCATTTGAAGCATTAAACCTGCAACTTTGTAGTTGTAAATCACGGAAGAACTTCAATTTGGATAATCTTATGGGCTGATTCATCCAATTAAGATTCTTCTCCTGGATCAACTCTACTGATAATGCGTTCAAGGGGAGTTTGTTGATGATTTGGTAATTGTCCTCATTGAAAGGGAAAGTATCATTGATTCGAATGACTAAGTCGAGCTTGGTGAGCAGCCTATGATTTGAAAGAAACAATGGTACGTAGTCTTGATATCCTTGACGATAATCAATTGCTAGATGTTTCAAATTCTCAAACTTCAACTCTTTCAAGAAACTATCACCTCCAAAGTTGAACTCAGTAGCCTTCAAGACGAATGTTGTCAACAGTTGGAAATTGATCCTGAAACTCTGTATTTGCCTGGAAGAAACTAAAATCCCACTCAAAGATAACTTCTTCAATTCGAATGTGGTTGGGAATATGTACCTCAAATCATTGATTTCTTGTAAGTCATAATCCAAATCTTCATGATGTCGTATAAGCAATTTCTTACTTACTGGTTCTATGAGATCTTTGTAATGTTTAGTCAATTGTAAAACTTCCACTTGAGAAGGAATATATCTCATGATATCTCTAATAACCGTCATTTTAGTATATGGACCAATACAAAGTCTTCTTAAATTATGAAGATTCTTAAAAACTGTGAAATCCAAATTACCTGAAAATATATCTTCGGTTATATCCACATCAAGGGTTTGTAAGTTCAGTAAATTCATATCTAGGAAACTAAGTTTAAAATGGGGTTTCCATGCCAATTGAGTAAGTTGAAGATTCTTGCAAAATTTCACCATCATATCATTGATACTATCAAATGTAAGGGAATCTGGTAACCCTTTGATGATCAATTTATGAATTAGGCTCCCGTCGGTTTGAATAAGATGTTTGATATTATAACTACTTTTGATATACGTCACACCCAGTGTAAATTCTTTCATGAAAGCACTCCACTTGGGTTCTATAACGATTGTATGATATAGCTGGGGTCTTACAACATGGTATAAATGGGAATTGACTTTCATCAACGCTATAATACCGAATTGATCTAAGTAATTCGTTATCTGAATAATGATTTCTAAAGGTAGCGATAATATGGAGAACTTGGGATTTCCCGGTTGTTGAAATTGACTTCTGTTATCTTTGGTACCTTCTGAGCCAGCAGAAGATACCTGATCTAGAAAAGAGACATTTGTCACTGGTAATGGATTCTTACTATAACCTATGGGGCTATTGAAGTTCATATTTCGCGGATCATGACAAAGAGAGGTGATGATATTTGGAAATCAAATGTCGATAAGATAGTATGTATTGTATCATCGCATCAACAGACAGCTAAGTAGTGACCATATGACTACCACGAAGTTCATGTGGCAGTTTTTCCCATCTAATTTGGTATACTAACCTCAGAATTCTGAACTATTTACCTTAACTTATGGGTCTTTAGTTTCCCAATTATGTAAAGATTATAACAACGATTACACACAAGTGAACAATCACTTGGATAAAATGGGATATAATATCGGGTGTAGATTAATTGAAGAGTTTTTATCGAAAACAGGGGTACAAAGATGTCAAACTTTCAAAGAAACAGCGGATGTGATCAGTAAAATAGGGTTCAAGATGTTTTTGAATATTCAACCACTTATTGCCAATTGGTCAAATGATGGTAAAGTTGTTTCCTTAATACTCATAGAGAATCCACTTACGGAGTTCGTTGAATTACCCGAAGATATGAAAACATTATGGTTCTCTCAAATACTTTGTGGTGTATTGAGAGGAGCTTTACAAATGGTCCAAATGGATGTTGATTGTTGGTTCATAAAGGATGTGTTAAGGGGTGATGAACATACAGAAATCAGATTGAAATTAAATAAAATATTGAAAGATGAAGTACCTGCTGGTGAAGAGTAAGTGGGATTTGTCGTTGAAAGTCACATAAAATGGTCCTTATTCTTCAAAACATTTAAGACGATATTTCCGAATTGATACATTTCTAAAATTTAGATTAACGGTAATAAAAGACCGACATTATTTCCTCAAATGGACTCCTAACTTTAGACTTTTCTCTTTACCTTCCCTCATTATTCTTTCCCCACAACTACGACAATTACCCACTATTACATTAAGTCTTAAGTAGCCGTACTTCTCAAATCTTGTTTGTTGGTCGTAATTGTCAGTAACTTAAGTTCACCAGAATATTGAGCTCTGCCCCAGCAATCGCAAAATCTCAGGAACTGATCCAAAAGTTAAAGCTCATATCAACCTTCAATCCCTCCACCTATTAAAGCAAGTTGATTGATTGAACATGCTTGAAATATTTCAAATCATCTTCTATGATTTGGTTATCCTTTTCTGCCAGTCAATTATTCATACTTTCTTCAGAGATATCAAAGTAAGAGGATCATTCAATATCCCATCAAAGGGACCTATCATATTTGTTATTGGACCCCATCATAATCAATTCCTCGATGGAGCCATTGTAATATCCAAAGTTAAGCAATTCACTAACAGAAGAATCTCCTTTTTAATTGCTGATAAATCTTATAAGAGAAGATTCATCGGATTTATGGCACGTTTAACAAGTGCTATCCCAGTACAAAGAGCTCAAGACATGTTGAAGAATGCCAATGGTCGAATCAAATTGAAAGAAGGGACCAAAGATATAATTATTGGTCATAATACTTATTTTACTAAAGATTGTGAAGTGAAAGGACTCATTGGTTTACCTAGATCCAAAGGTAATTTCCAAATCCTTTCCATTGAATCTGATACGGAATTAAAGATCAAACCTGTAGAAAAAGATGATCAAATTGAAGTCCTTACCAAAGGAACAGCCTATAAAATCGCTCCTCATGTCGATAATGATAAATTATTCTCCAACGTGTTCGAATTCTTAAATAGTGGTAAGGTTCTTGGGATGTTCCCAGAAGGGGGGTCTCATGATAGAACTGACTTATTACCTTTGAAACCAGGTGTGGCTATCATGGCTTTAGGGGCCATGGCAAGTAATGACAATTCTCCTCCTGATGACGTTATCAATGTTATACCCGTGGGAATGAATTATTTCCATCCTCATAGATTCAGATCAAGAGCTGTTGTGGAGTTTGGTGAGCCTATTAAGATCACCAAGGAGTTGGGTAAAAAGTATGAGGAGAATAAACGTTTAGAAGTTCAAAAACTTATGGATTATATAACTTTGAGTTTGAAGCAAGTTTGTGTTACTTGTGACGATTATGATACTTTGATTGTTCTTCAAGCAGCCAGAAGATTATTCACCAATGAATCCCGAGAAAAGATCCCTCTTCCATTAGTGGTAGAGATGAATAGAAGATTCATCAAGGGATATCAATTAAATAAGGACAAACCTGATATCATAGATTTGAAAGAAAGTGTTATGGAATATCAAAAGAAACTAATGATGTTGGGATTACATGATTATCAGGTAAATATTATTGATGATGCTAATTTCTTCAAAAACCTTCAAGAATTTTCATGGAGACTTTTCAGAACAGTACTCTTCTTTTGTTTGAGTTTACCAGGAACAATTCTCTTCTCACCAGTATTCATCATCAGTAGTAGAATTTCTAAAGAGAAGCAGGCAGAAGCTTTAGCCAATTCAACTGTTAAAATCAAAGCCAAAGATGTTTTGGGAACCTGGAAAGTCCTTGTGGCCTTGGTTATCGCTCCTTGCTTGTATATCTTTTATTCTGTTTTAGGTACTTTATACTTGAGATCAACAATTATTGGTACGTTCCCAACATGGATAATATTCATCTTTTGTTATTTTTGGTCAGTATTAACCACCTATGCATCCTTAAGAATTGGTGAGAGTGGTATGGATTACTATAAATCTTTAATTCCTTTATTTTACTCCTTATCCAAGAAGAAAGCTAGGAAACAAATAGGTGAATTGAAACAAATGAGATTAGAATTATCAGACAAAGTAACTCAATTTTGTAATAATTATGGGCCAGATATTTTCCAAGATTACGAAGAGTTTTATGATAAGTATAATAATGCCGAAGATGATGACGGAGAACTAAGTCTCAAAGATGTTCAAATTTTCGATGATTCAGAATCTTCAGAGCCTGAACATTCAGATTATGATCATAATGAAGCTGAAGAAACTAAACAAGACGTACGTCTTTTAAGTGAAAAGATAAATAAAGCATATAAAACCAGAATGAAATTGGACTAATGTATAATTTTTATCGGAAAAAGTTTTATCCCTCACACGATAACAAAAATTTCAAGTTTTTCTCTTATCATCACGTGATGCTATTGTAGTGTAAATTTAGTGGCAATTCTCAGTCATTAAAAAGTTCAAGGATTTCATCATGGAAAGACAGATCACTATTAAATTATCAACCGAAGATTCATTAAAATTAACTATTTTAGATACCACCACAGTAGATGATTTGATATCATTAATCAAAACAAGTTCAGATTTAACTAACTTCAAATTAATTAATCAAGGAAAGAAGTTAACCTCACAAGACTCCTTATCAGATATAGACGATTTGATATTGATGAAGGAAGAATCGAAAAAATCCAAGAAGAAATGTTATTTCAAGAACTGTAATGTCAACTATCTCAAATTAGTGGGTGACTGTCAATATTGTCAAGGTAAATACTGTCATAAACATAGATTATTAGAGAATCATGATTGTAACTATTTGAACCAATATAAATTATTAGAACATCAAAAGAATGCTATTAAATTAGAGAACGAGAGAACCATCAGTTCAAGGGTTTAAACATCATGATGTTTATAGAGGGGGGTTTACGATCATTTTAGGATAGGAATGGATATTAGAGATACTGTTTTTTTTTTTTGACTCTCTGTTAACACCTCTATTTTACTTCGACGAACTTCCTCTATCGGATGTATGACGCCTCTATAAGGGGTTCCTTCTAGACTTATGCGTCATAACTTGCATCATTAAAAATAACCATGACTCAACTGCGGGCCGCAACTTCCCCATGGCTGCTGATCAACAATACTCACTTGCATCATGGACTTTCCAAATCGGGCCAAAAACCGCACCTTGGTAGATTTTGGATGCAAAAAACTTATTTCTATATTTACTACATTAATCTTCTTTTAATTGATTCAAGATATCTTTATATTTACCATTGGTGACATTATTGGCTTTAGTAAGGATTTCTTCCGCTTCTTGGTACCATTTTTCTTGATTATCATTATCTACATTACCCAAACTAATTAAAGCTTCTCCTACACCTACCCAAGTTTCGACATCTTCATCGTCCCAACTTTTCCTGAAATAACTCACAGCCTTATTTAATAAATCCAAGGCTTCTTTTTGTGCTTGATCTTTGTCCTTACCATTGATAGTTGGTTCAGGATGATCTTCATACTCTAAAGTAGTATAGATTGTTGATGGTTCTTCTGATGATTGTAAATATAAATTTCCCAAATGTTTGTATACTTTCTTCTTCATGTCTTCATTACAACGTTTGATAAATACTTCAGTATGCTTGAGTAACCAATCTTTGTATTTTTGTAAAGTCTCATCTTCTTCATCCTCTTCAGCATTTTCTTCTTCTTCACCTACATAATGATTCAATATCTCCAAGAATTCATAATTATCGTCATTAAAGTAGTCGAAATTCTTAGTATCTTCACTATGTTTTTCAGCCTTTTCATAAATACTTAATACATCATCTTTGAAATCACCTTCATTAAGATATTTCATAATTGTAACTTTAGCTTTGACGAAATAAAGGTTGATTGATTCAGGAAATTTTTCAATACCAGTGTCGATTCTATCAAGAGCTTCTTCAAAGACTTTCTCTTCTTCTTGATATTTAGATAATTCTGCAATACTTAATCCATAATAGCTATAAAATAAATCATTGACGGTTTCCCCATTTCTTAACATTCTATCACATTCATGAATTATACCGTTCAAAACCAATTCATTCATATCTTTCTTATAAGTTTCCCATAAACCTTTGATAGAATCGATCTCATTTGAGGGATCGATGTCCTTAGGTAATTCGATAACCATACCTCCATCTTTGGGCTCTTCAACTGGTGTTTCTTCTTTCTTAGCCTTCTTGTTCTTATGGGCTTTGGATAAACCTAATTGTCTTTTAGCCATGATAAATGATATTTATCGGCCCACACCATCTCATCGTTTCTGATATATCAAAGTGTCGCGCGCGACACAGATGTCTTGCTCACGTGAGAAATGAGAATTATTGCAAATTCTATAAAACTATTTAATCATTACTTGTAGATAGAACAAACATCAAACATGTTGATTAGTATTGAAGGAGAAGACGTACACTTGGTTATAGGTGTACCATTAAATCACAGGCTTACTCAAATTCTTGAATCAGGAGCAAAACCTGTAATCATCTCCAAACAGCCAATTGATACTGATTTAAAGGTAATCTCAAAAGATTATGATGAAAATGATTTATTCCAAGATGATATAAGAGTTGATAGAGTCTTTGTGACATCCAGCGATCAAGAATTGATTGAAAAGGTATTCAAAGATTGTAAGAAATTGAAAATACCCATAAATGTTACTGACAAACCAGAATTTTCCACATTTACCATACTTAATACCTATGTCAAAGGTTCTTTACAAATAGGTGTTACCACCACTGGTAAAGGATGTAAATTATCATCAAAAATCAAACGTCATTTAATCTCATCATTACCACCAAATATGGAAGATATCATAACTAATGTTTCAAATATAAGGCAGCAGATCAAAGATATTGACAATGAAGACATTGAAGAAGATTTCAAAAATCCTTTAGTGAAAGAATTCGAAATGACTGATGAAGATAAGAAGAAAAGACGTTCCAGATGGTTGAGTCAAATAATTGAATATTATCCATTGGAAAAATTAGCAGATATTTCATTAAATGATTTAGAAAGATCTCCATCACCTCAACCTGAAGAAGGACTAAAGAAAGGTACTATTTCATTAGTTGGTGCAGGACCTGGATCACCAGATTTACTTACCACCAAAGCTGTAAATGAGATTCTTACTGCTGATTTCATTCTTACTGATAAATTAGTACCAGCACAAGTACTCGATTTAATCCCCAAGAAGACCCCAATCTTCGTAGCAAAGAAATATCCAGGAAATGCAGAGCAAGCACAACAAGAACTATTAGAAATAGGGCTTTCAAAAGTATCCCAAGGATTAAAAGTAATAAGATTAAAACAAGGAGATCCATATATCTTTGGTAGAGGAGGAGAAGAATTCAAATATTTCACAGAAAGAGGTTACAAAGTAGATGTCGTGCCTGGAATCACCAGTGCCTTAAGTGCACCAATGGTAGCTGATATTCCAGTCACTCATAGAGATGTTGCTGATCAAGTATTGATTTGTACTGGTACTGGTAGACGTGGAGCTTTACCACAAATTCCTGAATTCGTTAAATCCCGTACCACCATCTTCTTAATGTCATTACATAGATCCAAAGAGTTTGTTGCATGTTTAGAACAAAATGGTTGGCCCATGGATTTACCCAGTTGTATTGTTGAAAGAGCCAATTGTGTAGATGAAAGAGTCACCAGATGTAAATTAGGTGACGTTCATGAAACTATGGAAAGAATTGGTTCCAGACCACCAGGTTTATTAATCACCGGATTTGCTTGTGATATCTTATCCAGCTTATCCCTTAAGTAAAATATATAGAAAAATCGCACCTTCTCTTATATGTTCAGATTCAAATCAGTAGTTCCATCATTAAGATATTTTACCACTGGGAAGTCCGTGGTGTTTGATATAGATGGGGTGTTGATTCATGGAGCTAAAGCCATTCCACAAGCCAAGAAATCCCTTCAATTGTTAGATTCTAATAAAATTCCTTTCATTTTACTCACCAATGGTGGTGGATATAGAGAATCCGATAGAACTAAGTATTTATCCCAACTCATAGATTATCCTTTCAAGTCTGATCATTTGGTACAATCCCATACTCCTATGAAGACATTGAACTATAATAACGTACTCGTGGTTGGAGGACAGAACGATAAATCACGATATGCTGCATTAGATTATGGTTTCAAAAATGTAGTTATGCCCATAGATATAGTCAATGCTAACAGACACATAGCTCCTCATGCTATGTATAAGGAATCGGACTTTCAACAATATTCAAAACCTTGGGATGGTAAACCAATTGATGCTATTATGGTATTTAATGATCCTCGTGATATGGGAGCCGATTTACAAATCATTTTAGACTTATTGAATTCTGAAGGAGGTGAAATAGGAACTCGTAGGTCGACAAAATCATCCAAACCTTCAATACCTATATTTTTCAGTAATAATGATTTCGAATGGTCAAATGAATTCCCTTTACCTAGATTTGGACAAGGAGTGTTTAGACTTGTTGTTGAAACTGTTTATAAAGAAATCAACGGCTATGATTTGGAAAGAACCCTTTATGGGAAACCATTCAAAATCCAATATGATTACATCAAAGATTTGATAGGAGGAAAAGTTTATATGATTGGAGATAATCCTAATAGTGATATTGAAGGAGCTAATTTAGTTGGATGGGAAAGTTGTCTTTTGAGAACTGGTGTTTATAGAGGAGAACAATTAGAACCCAATAAAACCCCAACGATGGGAATCTTCGATAATGTTCTCGGAGCTGTAGAATCAATCATCGATCATAAAATATAGAGTTTTTTAGAATCACACCTTTTTATATAAATTAATAACCTGAAATAACCTTTTCAATGGCAGCAAGAAGAATATCAGCATGTTTTTCTTCGAAGACTAAAGTTGGTCTTAATCTAATAGAAGTTTCAGCACAACTACCCATATTAATACCTGATTGTTTCATATCAGTTAAGAATTTATCTCTAGTTGCACCAGATTCGAAAGACCAAGCAATGAAAGTACCTCTATCTTTACCTCTTAAATCTTGGAAGTAAGTTGGATATTTGGCTTGTAAAGCTTCTAATTTACCATATAAGTATTCACCAACTCTTTTACAAACAGCAGATAAATCATTTGATTTAACTTCTTTACCGATAGCTCCACCTAAGATCATTCTAGCTGGATCTCCACACCAAGTGTTGAATTGTCTATAAGGAACATTTGGAACGATTTCAGGATCATGGAAATAGTAACCAGCAGTTTGGAATTTCTTGGAGAAAGTAACCATATCAGGAGCAGGTGACATGTTGAAATGTTCATGAGCCCAGAAAGTACCAGTAGCACCAACCCCGGTTTGAACTTCATCAATGATTAATAATGAACCATATTTCAAGGTTAAGTCTCTTAAACCTTGGAAGAAGAATGAAGATCCATGATTGTCACCACCTTCAGATTGAATTGGTTCAATTAATAAAGCAGCAATTGGACATTTCCAATTTTTTAATAAATCTTCAACGATATCTAAACATCTTTGATCTTCTTGTTTATTGGCATCTTCATTCTTGTCTAATGGATATTTGTATGAAGGGAATTGAGCTTTTGGCCAATTGAATGAAGGTAAATCTAATTTATGAATTGGTTTAGAACAAGTAGTTGAAGCAGAAGCAAATAATCTACCATGGAAAGATCTTTCAAATGATAAAATAGCTAATTCTGGAGATCCAGGACTTTGATTTTTCATAACTGAATCATTTTCTTCAGTACTGAAAGCAGTAGCATAACCCCTCTTTTTAGCTTGATACCACATAAAGGCAGCTTTAAAAGCTAATTCGTTAGCATCAGCTCCACTTAAACCAGACCAAACTTGATTTTGACCTTTTGGTGCAACAGCTAATAAATCTTGAATAGTTTCTTCTAATTCTTCAGCAGGAAAGTTACCCAGAGCTGGTCTATTAACGATAGCATTTATCATTTTATCTGATTTAGCAACTTCAATTAAAGCTGGGTTGTTGTAACCTAAAGGAATTGAAGCAATTTGTGCGTAAACATCTAAGAATGTGTTACCATCAACATCAACGATATAGTTACCAATTGATTTCTTGTAATCAACAACAAAATAAGTTGCTCTACTATCGAAAACTTTGTGTAAAGATTCCTTTTTAGCAGTGCTGATAGGACCAGGGAATTGAACAACTTTAGGACCAGTTGGTTCGTTTGGAAAGTATTTAGTAGCCATTATACTGAAGAAATTTACTATGAGGATATGGAGTTTTATATTAAGATCTTAGCGCAATCCCATAGATCTCCCGTTTTGGGATATGCGCTACTTCCATTTTCAGTAACCCACTGCGATATGGTAGGGATGCGATTATAATAAAGGCGGAATTGACCCACTACAGGCATACAAGGCTAATATTCCGGCGACAGTGGGAATCTGATTTCAGTCCCGAGATCACATGACAAACTTATCTTTGTCAGATTGCAGCCAAGATAGATTGAGAGTATTTGGATTTTGGTACACTAGAGAGTTTGTTCCGCTTCTTGGTGCTCTTACGAATAACTTGAGCAAACCACCTGGTCATTTCAATACTACCTGTAGTCCTTTGAGCCCACTCTTCCGTGCCATTTCCAAAACACGTACCTCCTACTCATCTCATGATTCTATTATCATCAACATCAAGTCGCACCTCATCTCTGAAAATAAACAAATGAAGGACAAAATAAGTTTTGAGGAACTTGATCAGATCATCAAAAGTTCTATAAATAATGAAGCCATAGATCCTGAATTGGAGAACCAGACTCCAGAACCTGAATCTGAGAAAAGAAAAGCCGAAGAAACTGATGAAGAAAGTAACAAAAGAACCAAATCAATGGACTTATTAGATTTACAATTCCAGAAAGACCAACAATCACAATCACAATCACAATCAGAACAACCGAAATCTCCTGAACCTCAGCCCAAAGAACCCGATACTGATAAAGATAAAACTGTCATACATGAAGGAATTGAAATACCGGCGGATTCTGAATTACTCAATTCAAATTCTGCCTATACTTCATATACTGAAGCAACCAATTTCACTCAAATCCCTGTGACGAGGAATTCACATCTTTCAGCTTTACCTTTACCAATCATATCGCCAGATATATCACCAAGAATTCAATTATTAATTCAAACATTACCAACTTTGGATAATCTTTCAACTCAATTACTTCGAATCTTCACTATTGGTCCATATCAAGAAGTTATAGAATTGGCATCTAATTTGGAAAACCCTAAAGGTGCTACTTTTAGAGATTTGACTTCGATTTTTGAATTCACTAAGAAATTATATTCTGATGATCCTTTCTTATCAGTTACTCATATAATACCCAACTTATCTAATGATGTACAAATGACAAATTTTTTCAAGAACTATCAACAAAGTATTGAATCCACATTAAGGAAAGTTAACTTATCCACTTTCCTTTTAGCTACTTTAGGTATAATTGAAGTAGGGTTTTATTATTTAAATGAATCTTTCTTGAATATCTTTTGTCCCTTGGATAGTATAGATCCTGAAACGACTATTTGTCAAATGAACACTAAGATAATCCAAGGTAATGCAACCATTGAAACGGACAAAATAGGAAAAATCTTCAAACATCAAGCAATTCTTTATTTAGAATTGAAAACTCAAGCCTATATTTCAGCCATTGAAGCAGGAGATAAATCTCGTGAAGAAATTCTTGATGATATTTTACCATCAAATCTAAAAGAAATTTTAGTAGAGAAAAGAGGTACTAAAATATTGAATCAATCAGAACAAGAATTTATTGATAGATGTAAAGCTAGAAGAACACTGTTATTAAATCATCAAGATGATTCAACATTATCACAAGAATTTGAATGGTTCCAATTTTTAAAGAATTTGTTCGAATTCATAAGTAAAAATATGGCATTCTTAATTTGGGGGAATAAGAAAGTTTCAAATATTCAGGATCTCAAAAGTCTCCAAGATGTCACATTATCTTCAACCAATCATCCTACAACCACGTTACCACCACCACAATCTTATAGTCATCCAATACTGAATGAAGTTTATGATCCTCGAGAAGATTTATTACCATCGGAAATCCAACAACGTCAATTACAATTGACTAATGGACCAGGTCCAAAGAGTAGAATATCATCAAGAAGACCATGGACTAGAGATGAAGAAAAAGCTTTAAGACATGCATTAGAATTAGAAGGTCCTCATTGGTCTAATATTCTTGAATTATTTGGTCCTGGAGGTCAAATTAATGAAGCTTTGAAAAATCGTACACAGACTCAACTTAAAGATAAAGCAAGGAATTGGAAAATGTTCTTCTTGAAATCTGGTTTACCTGTACCGCAATATTTGCAAAAAGTAACAGGTGACTTGGAAAGGGATGATAGACATAGGAGGAAGAAGCTCGCGAAAAAATAGTTGTCCAAATGCACTGTCTTGCTGATGTTTGTATCGTACCAATTGGTACCGGGAAGGCTTCAGTATCTGATGAAGTTACCATGATCACTAAATACCTTAGAGAGACTAAGGGAGATTTGACTGTTACTTTACATTCAGCCGGTACTACAATTGAAGGAGAATGGAATGCGGTAATGAAAAAGATTGGTGAATTACATCAATTGTTACATGATAATGGTGTGGTAAGAATCCAAAGTGATATTAGAGTTGGTACAAGAACTGATAAAGTACAAAAAGCTGCAGATAAGGTTAGAGTAGTTGAAGAAAAATTAAACCGTTAATGTATATTAGTTGTGTAAAGATTAATTTGTTGCGATCTCTGATGTGTTGTGTTGCTGACATGTTGTCTTGACCAGTTATCTTTACTTGTTGTCTTGCTGATCTGTTGCCTTGCTGATCTCTACACTATCTGGGTAACTCTCTCATAACAATAACCCGCCTGTGGTGTGATTATGATTTACCCATCACCATAAAGGAGTCATCACCCCACTTTTTTCTCTATCTCCTTCGACCAAGCATCCAATTCATTGACCAAATCATCCAAAATCTTAGACTCTCGATCTATATCATCAATAAACTTTCGATACCTTTCATATTCATCATTTATCCCTTTCAAAAGGTCACTATTCTTCTCTATCTGATTCAAATTATTCTCCAACTTAATATAATTCAATGACTGATTTGTATTCAAATTCTCCAAGAGATTCAAATCAATGGTTGATACCTGGGTATCCGAATCAATCAACTTCGATAAAACATTCAACGAATGGTTCGTTAGTTTGGTGGTATCTTTAGACGTCATTGTATAGGGTGCGAAAATATTATTTATACATATACTACACTACATCGAGGCTTTTACTAATAAAAATATCACTCCAGTTATCTTTCCAAGTATCTAAATCAATTTCTTTGAACAACCAATCATCCGGTTGGACTTTTTTATCATCAAAAAGTAAATCGAGGTCAACATCTTCTTTTTCAGCTTTAGGAGTTTCTTGAGTTTCACAGACTTTTAAAATATCTAAAGATGTGGCTTCTTTAATGATACTAACTTGTTTGAAAGCAGTGACAATGGCTTCAGGTTTAATTTGAGATGTCCAAGAATTCTTTGAATTGGTTGATGCTGGAGTTGGCATACCTTTATCTTCATCTAATTCTAAAAGATTGGATAATGAAGCAAAGAAGAATTTTTCTGGGTCATTGGTTGATAATTCTCTTCTCTTTTTCAATTCTGCATCTTCTGATGAATCATTACCAAAGATATCTCCAATGGTATTTTCATTTAATTTACCTCCAACTATTTTAGTACTATAATTAGGCGATTGATCACTTGGAGTATTCTTATTACTTTGAGTTCCAATAACTTGTGGAGTTGTCATTGAATTAGGTGTTTTTACAGTATTACCCATTGAAGCAGGGGTATTACCACCAGCTGAAGGTGTTGTGGCATTTTTGGTGGATTTTCTTCTACCACCTTGAGCACTATTTGATGGTCTTTTAGCTGGTACTTTAGCCCTATTATTAATAGGTTGACTATTGGGTGCTTGATTAATTAGAGGAGAATTGGCCATTATTGGACTACTCATTCTTTGTTGTTGATTTGGTTGTGACATATTAGGCCATTGAGTTGGTTGTCCCAAATTAACATTAGAATTATTTTGATTGGGGTTGCTGTTGGCAAGTAATCTCATATTATTCTGTGATTGAACTGAAGGTTGTTGACTCATTGGTTGTGATGGTTGATTAACATTATTCAGTTGTCTCTTATTATTGAATTGTTCACGAACATAATCAAAATATTTAGCATATTGAACTCTTAACTTTTCTGTTAAATCTGGAGTAGCTAAAAAGATTCCTCTTTGTAAACTTTCCATAATATTCTTAGTCATGTATTTCATTTGAATTAATCTTTTAGTACCTTCAATATTTTTCGTCAAAATGAAGAAATAACTTATGATACTATCAACAGTAGAATATTGTTGAGATACTTTTTGCATAGTCTCTTTAACAAGATTTTTATCTTGAGGTGAAAGAACGTTAGTAACATCTTTTAAATTAACATGGTTACGAGAAACTTCCTCAATCAATTGTCTTAAACGAATCTTCATATCTTCAGTCAAGGTTGGTAAATTATTAGGTCCTCCACTTCCAGGTCTAATTGGAGCATTTGCTGGTTGAGATGTTGGTCTTTGAGGTTGTGTTTGTTGTACTGGTTGTCTTTGGTTCATTACAGGAGATGTGAGATTCACTTGTCCTTGTTTCATCATAGGACTAGGAATTTGATTATTATTAAGTTGATTATTGTTTAATAATGGCAGTTGTTGAGGTCTCCTAACATTGTTATTATTGGCATTAGCATTAGCAGCATTACCCACTCCATTTTCTTGTTTCCATTGAGCTGTTTTTTGATGAAGAATGAATTTCCTGATAAAGGCATCTTTTTGATTATTATCCAAATTACTCTGAATAGATCCACTTGCTTGTAATCTGTTCAACAATGCCATAGCTTCTGAATTATATTTCAAAATATCTTGAGGAGTAATTTGAAAATTCGGAGGTCTAACATTTGCACCAACTGGCTGTGATGGTTGTTGAGGTTGTGATTGTGGTTGTGATTGTGGTTGTTGAACTGGAGGTTTTGGTTGTTGTTGCTGTTGTTGCTGTTGTTGTTGTCTTTGTAACAATTGTTGCCTTTGTTGAGGAGTTAAATTATTCATATTAAAACTACCTCTTTGATTTTGTTGTTGAGGTTGAGGAGGTTGAGTAGGTTGTTGAGGTATAGTTGGATTTGGTTGACTTTGAGGTTGACCTTGTTGGGAAAGTTTACGTTGTTGATGTTGACGTAAAGCTAATTGTAAATGGGTATTATGGATTTCTTTAACTAATGGCATACTTGATGCAGGTAACATTTTCTTTGAATATAATTCAAAAATTTGATTCCATGTATTAACATTTGGAGGTAAATTAGGTAATTTTGCCAATAAAGCTTGAGGTATTGGAGCACTTCTAATCATAGTAGAAATTTGTTGAATTTGCTGTTGTTGTTGAGGAGATAAATTTTGATTCCTTGGTACAGGTTTTGGTTGATTACCTTGAGGATTTGTTGGTTGGTTTCTCATATAATTGTTATTCATGTTGTTATTCATGTTGTTATTCATATTATTATTCATACCCATATTATTCATATTATTATTCATAGAATTATTATTCATCATATTCATATTACTACTGTTATTCATATTCATATTACTGTTCATATTACTATTCATATTATTATTCATATTATTCATATTATTGTTCATATTCATATTATTCATGTTCATGTTCATGTTATTGTTCATATTATTGTTCATACCATTATTCATATTACCATTGAGATTATTCATTCCCATATTAACATTATTACCAGGATTCATATTATTATTGACATTATTATTCATATTCATACCATTATTCATGCCATTAGTTCTAACATTTGATCTTAATTGATTAATCTTCTGTTTGATAACTCTTAAATATTCATCTCTACTTTGGGATTTCAAAAACGTATACTTTTCAAATTCAGTAGCCATTGAAGATGCTTTTTGTTCGTTATAATTATTTCCTTGAATTTCCTTCAATGCATTAGTTAATATATGAACAACTTTTTGACGATCAGAAATATGATACATTGAATGCCAAGTCCCCGAAGCTGGAGGATTCATATTATTCATTGTGACTTCCTACTGTTTCAATCCGATGTTTCAAAAATAAAAAATTTAAAAGATTTAAAATTTCAGCCCTTTACCGTGTCCGTTCTATGCTCAGGTTTTTGAACTCCGTGAGATAACTGATATTGTTTCGTATAATACCTTTCTTAGTATAACTTCCTGATATTTAATCCACTGAAGATTATAACTATTATGATTCCCTACGTGATACTCTAATCCGGAAGAAAAAGTGGTCAGAATTGACTCAAAATTAAAATTTCAAGATTATTCAATCAAGGATACTTTGGGTAAATTCTATGGTAAAAATCCCCGGGAAAAAAAACTTCAATACTTTTTAAATCCTCCTAATTAATATATCTTCAATTAATTAGTGACTTCCCCCTACTTCAATATTGAATTTTATTGAATAAGTAGTTTAGTCTTTTAGGTGCTTAAAAATAAAGTTGAAAATTTCTCGTTCGTGATCTCAAGTTTTTCTAATAAAATTGTGCCAACTTTAAATCTCCCTAAAAAGAGGAGATAAAGAATTCAATGATAAGGGCAAGAAACCCAAGAAATAATATGATTTTATATATATTGATCATTTAGAACATTCTTATATAGTTACAAAATTACGTTTAATAGCTTTAGAATCTTCATGTTTGACTTGTTCTTGATTGTCAATGAATTCTATGTCATGAGTTAATTTCCATTGATCTTTAATGAATTTTAATCCTTGAATGTTAAAATTGATATCATTTGAACTAGAAGTTAATTGGTGACGGAATTTAGTTTTAATATTAATCAATTGATTCTTTAATAATGGATCCTTTTGACTTATAATCTCTTTTAAGTTACTTTTAATGATAAAATTTAAAATTTTTGAAATAACTTGAAGTTTGGTTAAACTAGTAAATTTATTACTCCAAATCTCAATGAATTTGATTAATTTTAAAGTATATGAAAAGGGTAAAATTAATAAAGCATCTTCTAATTGAGATGGCTTAATCTCATTGATGGTTTTAAATACATATTCTTCACCTGTTAAGTTATAAGCTTTTAAAATAGCATTATAATCAGGTTTTGAAGGTTTTTGACCTTTACCTAATTCAAATTGTTTTAAATCTGCTTCATATTGTAATTGTTTGGTTAAATCTACAAATCCAATATCAATTGATTCTATAAGTTTTTCACCAGCTTTTAAAGATTCGGTTGTTTGTTTATTAACTTTAGAAACTTCGTCAGAATCTTCAGTTTCTTCAGTTTCAATTGGTTGTTCATTCTCCAAACTTTCAAGTAAATTGTCTTCATAAATTTCATCTAATTCTTTTTCTCTTTCTTCTTCTAAGAATACTTGATCATTAGTAGCACTCCATAATCTTATAGAATGATCATGACTAGCAGAAACCATAAATAATCCATCACTACTAACTGCCATACTCCAAACTTCCAGTTGATGTCCTGGTAACTTTTGAATACATTCAAATTTATCACCATCCCAATACTTGATTAATCCATCTTTACCACTGGAGAAGAAGTTATGTGAATCTCCAATAAATCTAACATTCATAATTGAATCTTGATGTCCAAAGATTGATTTGTGACAATCTCCGAAATCAAGCCCCCAAATTTTAATGTTCTTATCAGCTGATGATGTAATAATCATCTTATTATCTTGAGATATATCAATTGATAACACTGGTAATTTATGTCCATATAAAGTTAAGAATAATTTGAAACTGTCAAGATAAATAACTTGGACATTGTTATTCAATAAAGAAATAGCTAAAAGTTTTCCATTTGGTGATACTTTAACAGCTAAAACTTCATCACTTAATTCCATAGTTTGTTTATGATTGAATTTCAATTTATGGATATATTCATTAGTACCTGGAACTTCTTCTTCAACAACCTTGAAATCCCAGAATTTAACCAGTTTATCGTTACCTCCAGTTATTAAAGTTTTCCCATCAGGAGTTAAATCTAATGACCAAATAGCTGCACCATCTTCACTAGAATTATCACCTTTATGAGCTTGTTCAATTTTATCAACTGTTGAACTAATAGCTAAATCAAACAATTCAAGATCTCCGTTTTTATATCCTACAACTACTAATGTTGATCCTGGTAAGAATTTAACACATAAAGCATATCCACTTGATAATTGGAAGTTTCTTAAAACATTGAAAGTTTTCAAGTTCCAAATCTTAAGTTCCCCATTTGATACTGTGACTAACATTTCATTATCTTTGGAAATATCTATAGATCTGATATCATTTCTGTGACCTAAGTTATCAATAACACTTACTTTACTAGTAACAATATCATCAATCTTTCTGATATTTTCAGGTAATTTCATATTATATAATTCAATGGAGTTATTGGTTAATGATATTAATAAGTTGAATGATTTCCCATTCTTAACCCATGAGCAAGATCTTATTTTAGCTAAAGTTCTTAAAGTTGTGAAAGGAGTTATCATCATACCTACTTCATTTTCTTTGATATTTTCAAGAATTTCATCGTCTTCCAAACCTTTCTCTTTCAATCTTTTGGTTCTTGATTTGATCCCTTTTTGTAATTCTGACCAATTTCTTATTCTAAACATTTCAATAGTTCTATCGTTGTTTTGTAAATAGAATATTTCATTGACTTCTCCACTCTTAACAATTTTTTCAAATTTGATTTCTTGACATTTACTTTTACTTTGTTTTTCAAACATCCCCTTCTCTTGTAATTTCGACATATCTGGATTATTCAAGTTTACTGACCATACTTTAACTTGATCTTTATTCCCACTGGTGATTATTAAATTGTTATCATGGTTGATTCCCATTGACCAACATTCATTGGAATGGGCAATATGTGTTTCAATACATTGTTTAGATGTTATTTCCCATAATTTGATTAATCCATCTTTTGACACACTGATAACATAATCATCTAATTCATCAATTTCTTTATCACCATGAGATATAAAGCTTAAATCTGTGATTTCACTCTTATGACCTTTTAATTTGAATAACCCTTCTTCTCCTACTAAATCCCATAAAATAATGCTACAATCTGATGATCCACTTATTAATCTAGTACCTGAAGTATCAAATTTTAATGCAGAGATCTTTGATTTATGACCTTGAAATTTCATTATTACTGATGATGATGCTAAATCCCATACTTTGATGCTACCATCGTTATAACCACTAGCTACAACGTTTGATGCTTCATTATATGTAAGGTATGATACTGCAGATGGTGCTACAGAAGTGGAAGCATTTGAAGCTCCCGGTACTAATCCATCTTGTAATTTTTGTAAGATTTCACCAGTTTTTATATCCCAAACTAAAATCTCTTCAATACCTGAAGTTAAAGCTCTACCAGCAGATTTCTTACTTTGACCATCTGATGGTGGTAACCAGACAATGTTGGACTGTGAAGTTATCACTCCAAACACCTGGTCTTGTTCGTATCTATCATAAGACTTAACCATTGCGATGAGATATAATTTTCGCGAAGAGGTGAGATCTTATATTAACCATAAAAGCATAATGAGAAGTGACATACGTAAGGTTGACGCACTATCGTCTGAGGAGGAACTAGAAGACTCCGGTGAGGACTCTGATGATGTTGATGAAGTTTGTATACTTGAACTCAAAGTTGATTGATTGGAATTTCCTGATCCGGTTTTAGAACTGGTTTTTGATTCAGATTCTGAACTTGATTCTGAACTTGATTCTAAACTAGATTCTGAACTTGATTCCGAGTTGGACTCTGAACTAGATGAACCATCATTGATTTTAGAAGCTGAATCAGCTATAGCTTTCATCCAATCTGCATCCTTGTCGGGGAAATAACAATAATCTTTGAAACATTTTTTACATTCCTCCGTTTGTTCAACACCCAACCTTTCTTGACTTCTTCTAATGATGGCACACCCAACACATGTGGACCAGCTTTGATCATCTGTCAAATTATTCTGGGAAGCTGTTTCGTATCCGTTTTGAATGATCCCATCTCTTTCATCATCATCAAAATCTAATGTGAATGTTGATATATTAGACTCATATGACTTAAAACTGTTAGGGATGTGAATAATTAATGGAACATCAGTTGAATTCAAATCTTTGTTTTCTGCTAATGTGACCAAATCATCTAAATCATCGGCATTACATCCAAAGAATAAAGGTCTCTCGTTGTATCCTTTTTTAAGTACCTCATCTACTAACATAGGGACGAATGGTACGGGGGCACCCTTTCCTTGACTGGAGAATTGTCTGGTAAAAGTATGTATGACTGAAGATCCGTTGGGCCAATTACTTTCAGTGTCACCTGAGTTGTCAAAAGCAAAAATCACATCCACGTCTCTTGATGATTGAATCAATGGATATAATGGTATATTTTGTTGATCTTCTCCTCCATCCACCAAATGTAAGGAATGGGTCTCTTTAAGACTCAGATCACTATATTCACTGTTATAGAAGGGGTTGGGTTCATATACGGCGATATCATTTTCATTGGATCCAATGGACTCTAAAATTCTCTTGACGATACCTTGTAAATAAGTAGGAACCCCATAATCATCTAAACGAGTTAAAAATTGATTAAATATTGATGAAGAGGTCCCCATGATGAACCCTGCGTTGTCAAAGTTTACCACACAGCTATTGGTGGAATTAGCTTCGCCATTATCAAGATAAGTTCCAAGATATTTGGTATCAACAAAAGATTTCAACGTTGGGTCCCATGATCCCACTTCATATGGAGTCATTTCAAATACAGTGGAGTTCAAATCGACAATCCTGGTAAATTCGTATCTTCCATTGGCCAATATAATAGGAAATGGGATATTGTGATCTTTAAAATCGTCTAATTCCCTTATACTTGACCAAGTAACATTCGCCCCACTATCATCACCAGGTAAAAACTGGTTTGAGATGGCACGTCCCCAGATATCAGTAAGGGAAACAGGAAATCCAGCATCGTCTTTGTCATTAATCGCTGTTCCAATGTCTGTGTAATATTGACCAGTCTTAATAATGTTAATACCATTTGGATTGAAAATGGAATCATCCAAATGCCAGATATCAGTTTTTCCATCAATAATATCTGAAATAGAAGTCCAGTTGTTCAAGATAGTGGATCCTATTATCCAACTACCTCCACTCAAACCGGTTATATAGCTTGAACTTTGTAAAATCCCACCTAAAGCGTTATCATTGGCATCAGAAAATCTACTATCAAGAGCTAGTAATTGACCAGCTCCACTCAACATGGCCCGGTATCCTCCTCCGCTGAAGGCCAAGCCAATGGAAATATTATGCTCTTCTGAATAATCATTTATAAAGTCCGATGCATTGAAATCTTTAAGTTTCGCTACATTCTCGAGGAAGTCAATAAGATTAACATTAGTCTTTTCATATCTTTTAGTTATGTACTTCTTTTCATCATCATTAACTCCTTTAGCTTCTCGAAGAAGGGGTCCACTAGGACAATCGGTATAATAAGGTACATAAGGATTTCTCTCTTTGTCTTGCCAGGGCCAAGTTATAGCCCAACAATTGACGAAAAACCATGCCAAAACAATTATTTTCATCATTTTCTTACAGTTAAGTCTACCTTAAGCACTATATACTTGATGGTGATTGCTAGTCTTGGAACCGAATGTGACTGCAAAAATAACTTCGCACAATTGCCTAATTGAGTAATTGGTGGTGTTGCTGCGATGTCTGACTTTTACGAGATCAGAGGAATTCAGCAATTGTCTAGTTTAATTCCCTTGTTGGGGTATTTAAATAAGCGAGGATGTAAAAATGCCACACTCCTTCTATATTTAGTCTATAAAATCAAGAATGTTCTGGGCTAATTTCTAGTACCTTTAACAACAATTGGGATCATACCTCCAGTTGAGATAGTGAAATGTCTATGTCCTGTGACAATGATGAAAGTTCTGATAGTACCAGCATGACTAGTGGTTGAGATAAAGGTGTTTTCAATAGCTTGCAGTTTATCAACTTTTTCGCCATTCAAATCAGCATCGAATAAGGATTGTAAGAAATCATTGGTTCTTAACGCATGGTGATGTAATGATTCTCTTTCGTTAGGGTCAAAGAATTCATCTTCTTCAGTGAATCCAGGTTCAAATTCGAATCCATACTTTCCAAATCTTTCGGTGATAATAGTCTTGGATGATCTTTTATCACAAAGATTAACCCCACAAGTTTCACGAATGTTTTGAGTAACTACTGGGTGGATAGAATCGGGTTTAATACCAGTCCAGGTTTTAACTAAAGTCCAAGAAGATCTTTGTAATGGTGATACAAAGAATTTGCTTGGAATAGGAGCTCCTTTGGCTACTTGATCTTTCCAAACTTGATGGTTTTCTTCAGCTTGTTTGATACCTCTTTCGGTTAACATTGCATCTGGACCAAACTCTATATCCCCATCATGTGTTTGTTTATGCCAATATCTATTCCATTCATCAAATCCATATTTATCCACAATTGTATTATGATAACCTTGACCGTGTCTGGAACAAAAGATCAATTTATAACAAACATTATCATCGGCATTTTCATTCAAGCTTTTCAAATCTTTTTGAATATCTTCCCATGATTTAAGTCTACCTAAATCCTCTAATGCATAGTTGAATTTCAAATCATCAGTTGAATCATCACATTGTTTGAAGAATCCTGGAACAACCTCAAAATCCCACTTATATTTACCTTGGGCTTTTAATTCTTGTAATTTAGTTCTATAAATAGGTTCTTGTCCACCATTATCTTTGTGGGCGTCAATCCAATCTACCTCAGTGGGAATTAAAAGTGACATTATTTGGAAAATTTGCAAACAGCACGTCGGAAAAATAAGGGCTCGGAGATATGAGCCATCACGAGAATCAGAATAATTAAGCCTTAAATTTCGAAATTACTGTTTAAACCAACAATTTTTCTGGTATCTGGTGATATTTCTGATATCAAATACTTGCTTTTGTAGATATACTCTCTTTCTACTGTTAATAACCAAATCAATCAACCCTTGGTTGACTCACCCCCATAATTCAAATCGGGCACGCGCGACATAAAACGGTTTACGTTCTTAAAATAGGAAACTCAATAATTCCGAAAATTGTCCATTGAGAGATCCGACATTTAATATTTATTTCTAATATACATATCATTAAGTCTTTCTGGAAGTACCTTTGAAATCAGGTTTGAAATCAGGTCTTTTAGAATTATTCTTCTTAATTTGGAATTTAGTAACAATTGGAATATGATCTGATGGGAAATAAGCATCAGGGAATCCAATTACTTGATTAGCATAATCTTCATCGACTTTACCTAATAATCCTTTAACTTGTAAAGTACCAGGAGAATACCAAATATAATCAATGGCAGTAGTAAAATCTGGTGTACAATTAGTGAAAGGTAATTCACCAATATTTTTATAAGCAGATTTCATTTTAAAAATATTTTTGAATCCTTCATCAGTAAATCTACCATAATCATGACCATCAAGATCTTTATGAGTTTTAACTGATCCAGTTGAAAATAATTGATAAACTGCACTATCAATGGTTGAATTGAAATCTCCACATAATACTATTGGAGCATTTTTAACTTCTTCAATAGAATTAGTTTCTAAAAACTTCTTTAAAACATCTTTTAATTCTTCTAATAAAACCCCAACTTGTAATGTTTTAACATCATTAAATAATGGATCCCAATGTAAATGTGTTGTGATTACACAAACTTTTTCACCAGTTTTAATATGTTGTAAATAAGCAATAATAGCAACATGATCTTTATTCATGAATCTATTGAATAAATCTTTGGTCTTTTTGTATTTATCTGATCCCATACATGCACTATTATATTCAAAATTCATTTTAGTGATTAATTTAAATTTACTTTCTTTATAAAAGATTGTACAACCATCAACTTTTTTAGCATCATTATCTGACATAGTTTTAGATCTTGTCTTATTATAGAATAATCCTTTATATCCAAGTTTTTGCATATAAGGTACCCAAAATTCATGATAAGTTCTTGTTTCAACTTCTTGCATACAAATAATATCAGTATTTAAATTAGTAATTTCTTCTTGAATTAAAGGTCTTCTATATTCCCAATTTAATGCCCAACTTGGAGTATATTTATGCATTCTTTCAGTAGCATAATGTTGACATAAAGTATTGTATGATAATAATGTAAAAGTGTCATTATCTAAACCTGCTTTATCTTCAGCATAAGCTTGAGGATTTAAAGTTTCATCAATGATTTCACCATCATCTTCTAATAAAATCCAAGGTCTAGCCTTTGGTTTATTCAATGCTGGAGGTTTCAAATCTCTTAAGTATATGATTAAATCTTTGGTACCTTTTTCTGATAAAATATTAGCTAAATTGAAATCTAAAGGATTACCTTCAACACCCAAGAATAATAATTCAATCAAATTTCCAAAACTTCCAGGTAAAGTTTTGATATTATTATCAAAAAGATAAAGATATCTTAAATTATAACATAATCCTAAATCACTAGGAACTTCAGAAATGTTATTTTGTGATAAATCCAATGTTCTTAATCCTCTTAATTTACTAATGATTGGTGGGATGGTAGTTAATTTGTTATTATTGAGGTAAAGACTTTCTAAGAAATCATAACGAAATAATCTTGGTGATAAATTCATAAGTCCTTGACCACTTAAATCTAATTGACACCATAATTGTTGACCACCAGTTTTCAATTTCATTCTTTCTTCTTCATGCAAAGAATCATCCTCATAATTACCAACAGTTTTCTTATTATATAATAAAGCTGCATTGGTAGTAGGGGTAGCATTTGATTTCTTAGTAGATTTTTCTTGTTCATCTAATTGATTAATGATAGTTTTGGTGGCTTCTAATAATCCCACAGATTTTAAATCATTATAAGGATTCTTTTTACGGGAATTAGCAGCATATTGTCTAGCATAATAATGAGGGACATTAGATGATCTTGAAATTTGACATAATTGTTGTTGAGATTGCCAATGTATGGAGTTGGGATTTTCCACATTGATGTTAACTTTTGGTATGGAATATTGGTTAATGATGGGTAATTGAGGAGCTTGTCCTTGAACCGGTGTCTGACCTGGTTGTACAACACCTGGAGGTACGGAATTTGGAGGCTGTCCTTGACCCATTTGTCCTTGAGGTTGTGCTTGTCCGGATATTTGTCCTTGTGTTGGTGGTCCTTGTCCTGGACCTCCTGGACCTCCTTGTCCTGGTGGTCCTTGGCCCGTAGGTCCTTGGCCTGGCATTTCCAGATTTTGATATTGTTGGAAATGTGGCGGAGGTTGGAAAAATTGGTTGGAGTTAGGTCTCCAATGCATACCTTCTATCTCATTGAAATTGGGTGGTGGCTGTTGTTGCTGTTGCTGTGGTGGTTGAGGTTGATTGCCTTGTAATTGTTGTAAAAGAATTTGCTGGGCTTGAATATTTGGTTGTCCAGGGAACTTACCATTTATATTCATGGCTTCAATGCGAGTCTCTCTCTAATTCGTATCACTTACTTTATATGTATATTCTTTGAATCGTATCACTTGGATATCATAAATCTGTCAATGGATTATCCAATCTTCAGATCTTATTTCTATCTATCGTTCACTGTTCCTATGATGAGACTGTTGAGAAAATCTCACATTTTTTTTGCCCACAATAGGTCGGTACACGACTTTTTTTGATTTTGTGTAACATGTCTATATATAGTAAGAGGAAGAGGAATGGTTTGGCCCCCCCTAATGATGTTTATTTATATGTACGGTGATTAAGATATAATTCATATGAAATGTTATTTCTTTTTAGTTAATCTGGAATTGAGGAAGTCTCTGTCAGGAACATTCCAGGGTTCTATTTTCTCAAGGGAAGAGAAATCTTCAGCATTCATACCTATCAATTTAAAGTTCTTTAATATGACATCGATTGATTGGGTTAAAACCTCATTATTGAATCCAAAATGATTATTTAATCCTTCAACCGCAGTTTCATGTGAAATTTCTCCGAAAAAAGCATCAAAAATATTGACTGCAAAATTGTTCAAGAATTGATTTTGAACTTTGAACATCCTCCAAGCGAAGAAATATCTATCAATGGCATTCAATGATAATTTCAAGAAGAAGATTGATGCAAAATATAACAATCTATAGAATTTTAATAAGTTATGCCTTAAGTCTCCTGATAATTTATTAGAATCTAATAAGAATTTGACCCTCATCAATATGGCAAAGTTCACTAACAAACATTTCTGTATGAGAATGATTGAACTTGGAATAATGATAAAGTCAATGCAATTATTAATATCACTTATGCTTTTGTAGAAAATTTCAAATAGTGTTCTTAAAGCTAAACCATAAACTATTTCTAATAAGCTGAGTAAATGTTCCATGGCTTTGGGATAATCCTTCTGTTTGGTGAAGTAGCTATAATAATGGAATATGGTAGAAATATTGAAATTATCAACGGATAAACAAGTTCTTATTTTATAAGTGACAATTGCAATGGAATGCACATTGTCACTACTCGGCCTATCTTTTAATCTTTCATATAGACCATAACTTACAGCTTTGAATTTTTCAATGTTGAATGGTTCATTTCCACACATCTCCTTAACTAACTCACGAGCTGAACCTACGCATTCGCCACAATATCTGGTCAAGATGTTGGAAACTTTATCCACCTCTTCATTGGTATTGTTTCCTGCTTCGATGGGATATTTAGTATCATACTTGAATCTATTCAAGTCATTGGCTGACCCAAGACTATAAAAAGTGATTGAATCATTATGAAGTAAAAGATACCAAATTCTTCTACCCAAATTAAAATTCTTCAGAGCTTTTTCATTTGAGAATAATGCAGGTTCTTTAGTGAATCCAAGTCGATGACACATTGTGAGGAGCATGGAATTTAAAGGTATTGGTTCGATTCTTTCAGTGGCAATTCCAAATTCAGGTCCGAAAATCGTATAGAATCTAATACATACACCCAATTGTAAAACTTCAAAGTCATCCGAATTCAAAGGGTTAAATTCCATAAAACATATCTGAGCCAATCTGAAGAACTTATAAGATATGGGATGATTTGACATCAATTTTACTGATGTTGGTGTATAATATGAATTATTGAGGGCAGTATTAGATGCTTTATTACCTGCCCATAAGGAGTTATAAGTAACTCGAAGAATTATAAGTAAAATTCCCAAATTCACAATATCTGATTTTTTTCGTATGTTAAATAAAGTCACAAAACTCTGACTATGTAAATTCGGCACATGCAAGATTCTTTGAATTTCCAGTATGTATTCCTTCTCATTAAAAATTGGTAGGAATGGGTAAATAGTGTAGAAAAATTTATCCAAATAAATTCCTATGACATTAATAGGAGGTAACATTTCTTTCAATTTAAGAAGCCATTGAGAATGATTGAATGATTCTTTGAAGTTGATGATTCCAATGGGCATCATGGTAGATATGTTAAAATCATTGTGAAATCCTTGAGATGCCGTTAGTCTATTATAAAAGCCATCATCGGAATTGAAGGTGTCGATATTGAAAGTATCAATATTGAAAGTATCCCCCAAGAATGGTTCATCAGAATTCTTTTCCAAATTGATTATCCTGAAGTCCTCAATACCTTCATCATTACAAAACTTTCTTATGAACAATCGTTCCATGTCTTCATCAATATGATAGTTGAACGTATAAGGCTGATAGGTGTAACTATTTAAATAATCCAACTTCTTTAATCCCAGTAATTGATCGAAGTTCTTTCTGAAAAGAATGTTGAACAACGGGTCGGTTTTAACCAAAGCTAATCCATGGAATGGAGGTATTATGCATCGAGAATCTTTATTTATGGAGACGTTATCATACTGTTGAAAAAAATTTATTTCTGTTTCACTGAAAAGAATATCATTAGATGCTTCGTTTGTATTCCTATCAATTAAGTCATTGAATATTTGTGCTATTGTTTGTGAAGTCTGGTCTGTCTGTGGGGTTTGTGAAATCTGGTCAGTCTGTGAAATCTGATCAGTTTGTGAAATCTGGCCAGTCTGTGAAATCTGGCCAGTATTTGACGAAAGTTCGGTTTCTGGATTCCGTAGATCTATTTCTTGGTCTTCTCTCTCCAAAACGTCGGTCGCCCCTCCTGTAAGTGCTTCGAGATCTCTTTTGGTGGTACTCAATTGTAACATTAAATTGTAAACGTTGCTAGCATCTGATGTCACATCGAAAGCCCTTCCTTGGTCCAATTTGGTGAGTTTATCCATCTTCTTTTGAATAGCTCCTATCTTCTTCATTAATTTCTTATGTCGTGCTTTGTTCAGATTATCGTCTTGAAATACACATTCAGTATTACCATACCTAATACAAGTATCGCAAGGTTGACCTCTATTACATTTCACTTTCCGTTTCCTACAGAACGTACAAGTCGTAATTGGTCTTATTCTGGTGATTTTTTCCATGGCATTGCATTCGTGAATTATCAACCTTTGCACAATAGGTCGATTTTTTTAGCCGTTTAAGAAAAATTGGGAGCCTTTTGTTTCAGGTCTTCCCTTGGGATGAAAGTTTATGAAAAGAAAAAATATCGTTCGATCTAAAACAACTTGATTATCCTTTACCCGACTAAGTGTTTATGCAGTAATGACACAGTAATACGACGACTCGTATCAAACTATAAGTATAAACAGTAGATGTTGGTATCGGCCGACAGAATCGATTTAGGTGACACTAGGAAAGATTTTTCAGGGGTTCGTGAGATTTGTATGTAATTATCTTTGGCAAAGCCCCGACGGTGGAGGGGAGGTACGAGGAAATTTGGACCAGAGAAACCGGAAACCTGTATATTAATGGTAGATTATAGCCAGTAAATCATCTGGCTTTAAATTGTAATTAGCCACGTCTAAATTTTTAAACCATTCCATGAACTGTTCATGATAAGAGGCTGATTTAGATATTGATTTTTGAATACCACTGATTAAAGGATTTTTCAAACATTCTTCGTCATCTTCTTTGGTGGCTACGGATGTGAATGGTGGCATCTTACACCATTCCAAAGGATACCAAAAATTTAAAAATTCTCTGAATTTGAAAGATCCTCTTGAAGTTTTCAATGGTTCAAAATATTCATTGGTTAAAATCTCCATATAATCTTTTGGTATATAACCAATAGCATTTTCAAATTTAACCGGTAAAAGTTTATTCAAATTTTCAAATCTATAAATATCTAAATCTTTAGAATATAATAAATTTTCTTTCTTATCCTTATAAATTTCAATCTTCTTATCGACTTTTATCAAATCATTTGAATTCAAACTTTGTAAGATTGGTTTGGCTTTATAATTGAATAATCTTTCGTAAGAGAAATTAACTAATGCAATCAAATCAATGTAAAGACCTGAATCTATATCAATTAATCTCATATCAATGGTATTTTCTTGATTATTACGATCTCTCATCTTGAAAAACGGTGAAATATCTAAAAGGTACAGACCATGGACTTTTTGATTATAATCACTATAATCGAAAATAATTGATTGATTAAATCCCATATCAATAATTTTCATTAAGTCATCAATAGGTAAATGGAAATTAAAGTCTTTTTCCATTGGTAAGTGTAAACCATTCATAGCCCACCCAATTAAATTGTTGTCACTTATAAATGATTTGATGTTATACTTTTCACAGAAATGTAACCAACATCTAATAATACCACTCATTTTAGCCATGTTGAGAGTATCATAATCTTTAGAAATAACTTCCAGACTATTGAAAAATCTCCAATCGAGATTGAAAGTCCCTTGTGCATCTAAAAGATAAGCTTCACTGAAATATTTCCTAGCAACCCTGGTTTCTTTATATTTCTCATGTAATTGTTGAACAGGAGATTCGTCCTTATAACTGTTTAAACATGTTCTATAATTAAATTGTTCATAATCCAATTCAATAGGGGCTTTAGCTGATAAGTCTTGATTATAAGATGTTAATTTTGGAATTTCTTTATCTAAGTTACTGGTTTTGTGTTTCAATTTTTTTGGTTCCTTGTTAACATCAATCTCAATCTTGTTATCGTGGAACAAATAAATCAACTTTGAAGGATTAGGAAATGATTTCAAAAGATGAACTTTGGCAAAGATCTTTCTTTGGGTCTCATCAACATATAATAAAACATTCTCTTGTAAAGAAATAGGGACTTTATGATCAGGATCATCAATACAATTATACCTAGTTTTTTCAGATTTTCTAATCCTATTTCCAAATTCTTCACAATTTAAAGGTTCAATCAATGATTTATACTTTTCAACAAACCCATCGATGTTTAAAAACTGATTCCATTCAAAATCTATAGGTCCTTTAGATCCTGAATTATATAAATTTAACACCTTGGCAGAATAATCGTCAACTGGAATATTGATAGGGAGTTTAGTGTTTTTCAGTGAATTTGAACTGGATGAATTCGATGGTGAGATTAAATGAAAGACTATGAATATAGCCATGATAATAACATAATGAATAGGCTTGACATTCTTCAATTTCAAACGAATATCGTTCTTCAACTTTGACCAACTGGACATATTTGGGGTGAAATTCGGCTTCGCGAAGGGTCTTCGTATTTTACGAACATTAACTTTATTTCAGATTCCGGGGAGATATTGCACGGGAGGGTTTAATATACGTGGTAAAAACAAATTTACTACGATACTGACTGAAAGAGGGGACTTGTAGCTCCATGAGTTTGTGGTTTCTTCTATTTAATTGTTTTCGATTGGTTTTGGATGAATAGTCTCTTTACTGCTTGTTCTTACTCCTTACTCAACATACCAAGTAACAGGTAATAAAAGACGCTTTGAAGGTTTGAAGATTATCGGACCATTTTCTTCCTGTAGACCCGTGCACTTACTCCCAAAGTACCCTGAAAACCCGTTTCCCCCCCTAAAAATGTGTTTAAAACAGGACCACAACTCCTGATTCTGTACCGAACGAGTGGCGACCTTTAATCATGCAATATTCCTTATCTTACCACCTATTGTTCGCCTCCCAACTGCCTTCTTTATTATCCTGGTTGCAAAAGAATTGTCTGGAAAGTCGTGGAAAAACCCAGAAGTTTCTAGAATTTCGCAACCCTTTAGTTAACCCACATTGGTTGCAAATATAAATTGGGGCTGAAATCCTCCTTGTAAATCATCAAATAAAAATGTCAAAAGCTATTGGAATTGATTTAGGTACAACATATTCTTGTGTTGCTCATTTCGCTAATGATAGAGTAGAGATCATTGCTAATGATCAAGGTAATAGAACTACCCCATCTTACGTTGCCTTTAATGATACTGAAAGATTAATTGGTGACGCTGCCAAAAATCAAGCGGCCATGAATCCTGCTAATACAGTATTCGATGCCAAAAGAATGATTGGTAGAAAATTCAACGAAGAACAATTACAATCAGATATCAAACATTACCCATTCAAAGTTTTGAACAAAGGTGAGAAACCAGTGATTGAAGTTGAGTTCAAGGGAGAAAAGAAAACTTTCACCCCTGAAGAGATCAGTTCAATGATTCTTTCTAAAATGAAAGAAACTGCCGAAGGTTACTTGGGTTCTAAAATTAATGATGCTGTTATCACCGTTCCAGCTTATTTTAACGATTCTGAAAGACAAGCTACTAAAGATGCAGGTTTAATCGCTGGATTAAATGTTTTAAGAATCATTAACGAACCTACAGCTGCTGCTATTGCTTATGGTTTAGATAAGAAATCTAATACTTCAGGCGAACAAAATGTTTTAATTTTTGATTTAGGTGGTGGTACATTCGATGTATCATTATTAGCCATTGATGAAGGTATTTTCGAAGTTAAAGCTACTGCTGGTGATACCCATTTAGGTGGTGAAGATTTTGATTCTAGATTAGTAAATCATTTTATTGCTGAATTCAAACGTAAGCATAAGAAAGATTTATCTGGTAATCAAAGAGCTTTAAGAAGATTAAGAACTGCTTGTGAAAGAGCTAAAAGATCATTATCTTCTTCAGCCCAAACTTCAATTGAAATTGATTCTCTTTTCGAAGGTATTGATTTCTACACTTCCATCACTAGAGCTAGATTCGAAGAATTATGTGCTGATTTGTTTAGATCAACTTTAGACCCAGTTGAAAGAGTTTTAAAGGATGCTAAATTAGATAAATCTCAAGTTGATGAAATCGTCTTAGTCGGTGGTTCCACCAGAATTCCAAAGATTCAAAAATTAGTATCAGATTTCTTCAATGGTAAAGAACCTAATAAATCTATTAATCCTGATGAAGCTGTTGCTTATGGTGCTGCTGTCCAAGCTGCCATTTTAACTGGTGATACTTCATCCAAGACTCAAGATTTATTATTATTGGATGTTGCCCCATTATCTTTGGGTATTGAAACTGCTGGTGGTATTATGACTAAGTTAATCCCTAGAAATTCTACCATCCCAACCAAGAAATCAGAAACTTTTTCAACTTATGCTGATAACCAACCAGGTGTTTTGATTCAAGTCTTTGAAGGTGAAAGAGCCAAAACTAAAGATAATAACTTATTAGGTAAGTTTGAATTATCAGGTATTCCTCCAGCTCCAAGAGGTGTTCCACAAATTGAAGTCACATTTGATATCGATGCTAACGGTATCTTGAATGTTTCTGCTATCGAAAAAGGAACAGGTAAACAACAAAAGATTACCATTACCAATGATAAAGGTAGATTATCTAAAGACGATATTGAAAGAATGGTTAATGAAGCTGAAAAATTCAAAGAAGAAGATGAAAAAGAAGCTGCAAGAATTTCCGCTAAGAATGGTTTGGAATCATACGCTTACAACCTTAAGAACACTATCAATGATGGTGAATTGAAAGACAAAATTGTAGGTGATGATAAAGAGAAATTAACTGCAGCCATTGATGAAACAATTTCATGGTTAGATTCATCTCAAGCCGCTACTACTGAAGAATACGCTGATAAACAAAAAGAATTAGAATCAGTTGCTAATCCTATTATGTCATCAGTCTACGGTGCGGCCGGTGGTGCTCCTGGTGGCGCTCCAGGTGCAGCTCCAGGTGGATTCCCAGGTGGTGCCCCACCTAATACTGGTAGTGACGGACCAACCGTTGAAGAAGTTGATTAATTCTTTTAATGATTATGAAATTGTATAGTAATAAAATGTTTTATCATAAATTATATAAGCTCTTAATATCTAAAATAGTGATGAAAAATGCATTTATATTCTTCCTATTAATTTTTTACTAACTCTAATAATACACAAATTCCCGTGACAAGTCCCCAATTGAATAGTAATACATATCCAATTCTTTCATTAATAAGATAATCATTCATATAGACCAAAAAGATCAAAACTATCAAATTTATTAATCCACCTGATGATAATACTATCAATGAAACATTAGAATTGACCAAATATCCAAAATGATTGATATAATCTTTAGAATAATTTTCTGTTCGAAGGAGAATCATCAAAGTGTTGAATCCAAGTGATGTAAGTGATAAAATTGGTGAACCGAAACAAGCAGCAAATGCCATTATTGGCATACCCATTTTAGCAACTGTGAAGTTGGCAATTATATCACCCACAGAGTTACCTATAGCAAATATGGTAAACCCCAAGATTTCTTCACTGAGTTGAAAGATTACCGAAATGGAATTTATATTGTTGATAATCTCGTTAGCAAAAAAGGCTATCCAAGTTATGGATATTATAAAGCCTAAGAAAGAAAGGATTAATTGATGTTGGTATTTCCGTATTAATGCCACCAATCCCACGGAAAGAGGGATTGAAATCACCCATAATTTCCAACTAATAAGGAAATTCAAATAAATGAAACTGATGATCAATTGAAAAAATTCAAATGGTCCATCATTAGGAGTAGTGAATTTTATCATCATGAAGAATGGATGTGTAAGAACAAATCCTACTTTTTCGTACCAAGTCAAAGATTTGAATGAATCGAGTTCTAATATTTTCCAATGAGTATTAAGAAATTCATTATCAAAAGTTTCAAATGGTTGATCAGCTTCTTCGTTGTTTAACAATTCGATTGGGTTATTCAGAAATAGTGGTCTTTCATGAGTTAATTGTATTCCATGATTATTATGGTGAGTTAATTCTTTTATAAGTTGTTTGAGACCATAAGAATGGCTATTGATGTTAATTTCGTTATGGTTGAATCTTCTGAATTCATCATATTCATTGACTAATTCTCTTTGGAAGTCTTCGTCATATTCGTTGATGGAATTCAAATTGATTTCATCAATGGTAGGTAAATCTATTAAATCCAAGTTAGCTTCAATATCTGTTTGACTGTCATTTGCTATATTATTAGAATCGCCAGGACTGGCATATGAATTTCTGATTCTTTCGTCTCGAAGATTCTTTATGACTTTCTGTCTTAAGATATGATGACTTACCACGATATATACGACGTAAATTGTATAACATATGATCAATATAATAGACGCACTGATACTTATATAACCATTACAAAGTGACACGAATATAATGAATAAAATCATCCATAAAAATCCGCTATCTCTTAAGAATATTTTACGTGGTAATTTGAAAGGATGAATTATAGCTATCATACCTATGACAACTGTGGTAATTAAAAAACATGAACCTATCAATTCACTCAATGCTAGATTAGGCTCGCCTATTGACATTGCCTTATATGTAGTTAATATATCAGGTGAACAGTTCCCTAATGCAAGTAACGTTAATCCGGCTAAGTTATCCAGCATCTTCAAACTTCTAGCTATGTAATGCAAATTGGGAGAAAGATAATCTGATGCTACCTTACCTATGAGAATGAAATTTGTAATCAATGAAAGTATGATAATTACAACTGTTAGGGTCTTATAATCATCACAATAATATAGGTGAAGATAATTTAGTATACCTACAGGTTCATGGCATGTCTGTATATACTTGCATTGATCATCCACCTGATATATTTCATGACAATTGTTATCCACAGGTGATATCAAGTCTTTGATAAACAAGCTCATATTGCGAAAAATGGAAGCACCGGGGTTTAATATAACTAGAGGACAAGTAGACAAGCTCATAATTTAACAAAAAAATTTGTACAGGAATGCTTCGGTGAATTGCATAATAATAATCCAATTAATCCGAATTGTTCAGATTACAGACTGGTAAATGTAGCACATGTAGATACTCTTATGGCCCTTCCACTAGCTAAATCGTTGGCGGAGTTAATTCGGATGTTCAGGCGCTCTTCAATTTGAACTTACAAGTTTATATTAACTCTCGGCCAATGATGAAGTTGCATAACTTTCCAAACAAGGGAAGTTCATCCTAGCTTTTTGATATTCAATAGGAAATCTGATTTTGAAGATACTGGATTGCCGTTGATATCATTATACATTGATATAACGAACAAAAGTATCCGGTCACTGAGAGATTAAGATGTAAAGCTAATCATTGCAATCCTCTCCAGACGGACATCACAAAGGATAATCCTAAAACTTTCGTTAAAAGAGCATCGCACCCAAGATTAACATATTGCTCTCACATGTCATTATATATAATAGATCTTAATTGTAATCGACTATAACCCAAAGGTAAAATCATGAATTAAGAAACTTCCTATGACTGTTGAATTTGCGTTAAAGATTTTTTTCACTCTCGATGAGCATTTATATGAGAATCTCGTCCGGGTAAGCTGTGAGAACGATAACAGTTTCATAGCAAATAAGAAGTATATTGATGGGGACATGCAAAGAGTAAAGAAGCTAGATAGAGATGTCAGTAAGTGTATTTCTACTTATGGAATCAGTAGTTTGGAAAACATTATACTAGAATTGGTGGAGAATGCTGTTGATGCAGAATGTGATGCCGTTACAGTGAGATTGAATCTTAATAAGAATACCTTGATTGTTAGTGACAATGGAAGAGGAATGACATCACAAGAACTCGATGATTTGGGATCAGGATGTACTTCGAAGATTCGTAATTTGAATGATATTGGAGAATGTAAAACTTATGGTTTCCGGGGTCAGCTGCTTGCTAACATTGCTAAGATCAGTCATTTGTCAATAGTTCTGCACCCTCGAGGTGAAGTCAGTCATAGAATTGAATTCGGTGGAAATTCAGAAACACACGATCTTGAAGATGAATTAATCAATCCTAAAAATTGCAATTTTTACTATTTGCAACCTCATCACACTCACATAATAGTGAAGGATTTCTTCTATAATTTACCTGTTCGACAGTTGATAGTATACGACAAGTTCTTATTAAGCTTGAAAAAGGGTTTGGCTCATTTGGAGCTTGGTAAACTAAAAGTCTTCATCAATCAAGAGTTGAAATTAGAAGTGTCTCATACTCTTCCACCTATAAATGAAATATTTGGTCTAAAATGTAGATTCAAGAAGGTTACCACATCTATGGGAAAGATTGAACTCACCGCATATATCAGTGAAGATACTAAGCAAGGTTTTCAATTCATGTTGTACAATAATAGGCCGATTGACTTGAAAATTCTGATTAAGAATATTTGTTTGATTCAGTTCAAAGGTCCAGTTGTGATAAACGAGTTATTTCAAGACTCTAGAAAGATGATCTGGTTTTCTAAATACAATGATGATATGATTTATATGTTGGAAAAGATATTCTCCAACAATCTAGTATCTCCAAAGAAAGCATCTCCAAAAAAGGTGACTTTAAAACAACTGTCAATACTTTCGCCGAAAAGACTATTCCCTTCCAAGAGACTAACAAGAAGTACTTCAAGCAGCAATCATGATTTAAAATTAGAAGAACTTCCAAAAAGCATGAATAGACGTGATTTGAAGGAAATGCAGGTCATAAATCAAATCAATAAAGCGTTCATTCTTGTGAGATCTAAGGGCCAGCTATTCATGATAGATCAACATGCAATGGATGAAAGAATTAGAATCGAGAACCTATTTCGATCCTTTTTTGAAGACATGCAGATGATTACGGTATCTATCGGGCTCACTGAAGACCAATCAGAGCTATTCTGCAGGTTCAAAGAGTATCTCAATCAGTTCTTACGCTATCAAGACAATTCCATTATCGAAATTCCGGCAATATTACAGATATTACCGAAAAATAAACTCATGGATGGTATTATGGCATACATAGAGGATATTATCAATTCCGTCAAATTCAGATTGACAGGCAATTGGTTTCAGGATATTAACAATCTACCCACTTTTATCATTGACTCACTCAACTCAAAAGCTTGCAGGACATCGGTAATGTTCGGAGACAAATTGACCAAAAAGGAGATGATGCAGATGATTGCCGATCTCAGCCGTTGCCATTTACCATTTCAATGTGCTCATGGACGTCCATCAATTATTCCCCTACTTGATTTGTAATTTTATTCGTTCATTCAAGTACCGAAGTGGGAAGATATAGCCCATAGTTCATTCCGAGTAATCACCGATTCCCCTCATTATTAGTCGCAAACCATTTCCCTCTACGAGTGCGCGATAGACGTGGTGCCATAGCGGGTTCTAATCGGGTCCAAATCGGGTCAGCGGATGAATTTATTGAGTCATTTGAGTCAACCCCCCAGAATCCACCTCAAAACCTTTATTACAAAGTTCTTTATTGTACCATTAGATCAACAATTGGAAACTAACAATTGAAATGTACAATCAATGTCTTTCTAAGCTTTCCTCTCCTACCAAAATCGTACCACCACCTCTCAGACACAGCTCTGGGGAGTTAAGGTAACTCCATGCAGCTGAAAAATTTATCTCTGAAAAATTAAATTTCCGTTGACGGTGGAGTCAAATATAAATAGGAAATTTTATCAGGAAAAAAAAATATCTCTATCATGTTAAGAAGAAACATTAAAAGTACTAGAAGCTTTTCTATAACTGCTTCCTTAGGTAAATGGACTGAAATCCCATTAGCCCCACCAGATAAAATTTTAGGTATTTCTGAAGCCTATAACAAAGATTCAAACAATAAAAAAATCAACTTGGGTGTTGGAGCTTACAGAGATAATTTTGGTAAACCAATTATTTTCCCAAGTGTTAAGAAAGCTGAAGTTTTATTATTAGAAAAAGAGACTGAAAAGGAATATACTCCAATCATTGGATCAAAGAATTTCCAAAATTTAGTTAAAAATTTCATCTTCAACAACTCAGGTAAAGATCCAAATGGTGAAAAATTAATCAATGAAGGTAGAATTGTCACTTCTCAAACTATCAGTGGTACCGGTTCATTAAGAGTCATTGCTGATTTCTTCAACAGATTCTATTCATCCAAAAAAATCATTGTTCCAAAACCAACTTGGGCTAATCATATTGCTGTTTTAAAAGATGCTGGTTTAGAACCAAGTTTCTATGAATATTACAATACTTCAATCAATGGTTTAGATTACGAAAAATTAATCGAATCAATTAAAAGTGTTGATAACGAAACCATCATCTTATTACATGCCTGTTGTCATAACCCAACTGGTATGGATTTAACTAACGAACAATGGGATGAAGTTTTAAACATCATCATTGAAAAGAACTTATATCCAATGGTCGATATGGCTTATCAAGGTTTCTCTTCAGGTGATCCATACAAAGATATCGAAGTTATCAGAAAATTAAACAAATTAGTTGTTGATGGTAAAATCAAATCATACTCATTGTGTCAATCATTTGCTAAAAATATGGGATTATATGGTGAAAGAACTGGTTCTATTTCAATTATCACTGAAAGTGCTGAACAATCTCAATCAATTGAATCACAATTGAAAAAATTGATTAGACCAATGTATTCATCACCTCCAATTCATGGTTCAAAGATTGTTGAAACTATTTTCTCCAATGAAGAATTATTAAACCAATGGTTAACTGAATTAAATGAAGTTGTTGGTAGATTAAACACCGTCAGAACCAAATTATTTGAAAAATTAGATGGTTCAATCTATAACTGGGATCATTTAAACAAACAAAGAGGTATGTTCATTTACACTGGTTTATCTCAAGAACAAGTTATTAAATTAAGAAACGAATATTCAGTTTATGCTACTGAAGATGGTAGATTTTCCATCTCTGGTGTTAATGATGATAATGTTGATTACTTAGCTGATGCCATGAACAAAGTTATTAAAGAATCTAAATAGATATAAATTTATATATACTGGTTCCTGAAATTTATAATTCCGCTCACTCAATGGTATCCCCTCTAGCGCATAATATCCCCACTGTCCCGCCAGAGCTAGTGCGGGTCTCGTGCAAAAGCAATATAATAGCTATTTCAGATCATCTGGTGATTCGCACAAAACCCCAACAATGATTGTTTCAACAAAACCATTTCAAGATCAAAAACCTGGTACTTCCGGTTTAAGAAAGAAAGTAACTGTATTTCAACAACCAAATTACAGTGAAAATTTCATCCAATCTATTCTTGACTCAATTCCTCAAGGTTCTAAAGATTCAACCTTAGTTATTGGTGGAGATGGAAGATACTATAATGATTACATTATTCAATTAATTGCAAAAATTAGTAGTGCCAATGATGTGAAAAAATTAATCATTGGTCAAGATGGTATCTTATCAACACCTGCAACTTCTCATGTTATTAGAATCAAAAAAGCCACCGGTGGTATTATTTTAACCGCATCCCACAATCCTGGTGGTCCAAAAAATGATTTAGGAATTAAGTATAATTTAGAAAATGGTGGTCCAGCCCCTGAATCCGTCACCAATTTGATTTATGAAAATTCCCTTAAAATTTCTGAAATCAGAATTAACAATGATTTACCAACTATTGATTTAAGTAAAATTGGTACCGTCACTTTAGGTAACTTGGAAATTGAAATTATCGATTCAACCAAAGACTACGTTGAAATGTTGAAAGACATTTTCGATTTCGATTTAATCAAATCTTTCATTAACAAGAATCCGGACTTTACTGTTTTATTCGATGCCTTAAATGGTGTCACTGGTCCTTATGGTTATGAAGTTTTCGTCAGTGAATTAGGTTTACCAGTTTCCAGTATCCAAAACTATAAACCTTTACCTGACTTCGGGGGTTTACATCCTGATCCAAATTTGACCTATGCTAAAACTTTGGTTGATAAAGTCGATAGTAACAACATCAAATTCGGTGCGGCTTCTGATGGTGATGGTGATAGAAATATGATTTATGGTGCTAAAACTTTTGTTTCTCCAGGTGATTCAGTTGCTATTATTTCCGAATATAGCGATTCTATCCCATATTTCAAGAAGCAAGGTGTTTACGGATTGGCCAGATCAATGCCAACTTCAGGTGCTATTGATTTAGTTGCTAAATCTAAAGGTTTAAATGTTTATGAAGTTCCAACAGGATGGAAGTTTTTCTGTTCATTATTTGATTCCAAGAAATTAAGTATTTGTGGTGAAGAAAGTTTTGGAACTGGATCTAACCATATTAGAGAAAAAGATGGTTTATGGGCTATTGTTGCTTGGTTAAATGTTTTAGCTTCATTCAATCAACAATTCCCTGAAGAAGAAACTTCTATCAAATCTGTTCAAGATAAATTCTGGAAGAAATACGGTAGAACTTATTTCACTAGATACGATTTCGAAAATGTCGATAGTGATGGTGCTAATAAAATCATCGATTTATTAACTAAAGTTGTCGAAAGTAAAACTGTTGATTCTCCAGATTATGAAATTAAAGAAGCTGGTAATTTCTCATACACTGATTTAGATGGATCAGTTTCATCAAATCAAGGTTTATTCATTAAATTCACTAATGGATTAAGAATTGTCTTAAGATTATCAGGTACTGGATCATCGGGAGCCACCATTAGATTGTATTTAGAAAAATACTCCAATGAAAAATTATTCGACCAAGTCGATGATTTCTTAGGCGAAGATATTAAATTCGTTGTTGACTTATTGAAATTCAACGAATTCATTGGCAGAGATGAACCTGATGTCAAGACTTAATTTATATACCTTAAGAAAAAACCTCTATATATTGCATTCGTTTTTAGTGAATAAAAAAAAGGAGTTATATTTAAATATATTCTATTATACAATTATTCTAATCTTTGACGTTTATTTTCGTTCATAACTTCATCCAATCTTTTCCTTATGGAATTTTCTCTTAACCTAGCAGCTTGTTCCATTGCTTCCAATTCCATTATTCTTGTTCTGTATAAATCATTGACCAATTCAAGTTCACTGATTCTTGTTTTCAATAAGGTAACTTCGTCACCATTATGATGACCATTGGAGTTATTATCTCCTGGATTTGGTAAATTACTTGGTTGAGGAGGGACAGAATTTGATGATGTATTTGATGAATTTGTCTGAGGAAGTTGTCCACTATTTCCATGTTGAGATGGATTAGATGATGCAGCAGGATGTGGAGGATTTGATGGAATGGATGCACTGGTTGACATAATAGGTTGAGATACATGAGGTTTTGGGAAATTATTTGTTAAACTGACACCATTAATATCAGTTAAATTGGCAATATGAGGTAAATTAGGTTTAACACTATCAAGTTGTTGAATTGGTGGCAAAGTTTCAGGTGTTTTTGAAGCACTATTGTTGGAATTATTAGTCAAATGATATTGTGGACCGAAACTTGGAGAATTTATTGGTCTTGGATAGTTAAGAGCTGACGATGGTGTTGAGAAAATTGGAGAATTTTCCTTTTTGATATTTGCAACTGAGGATGGTGTAGTGGCTGGGGTTGGGTGACTCATTAAAGATATCGGACTGTTGGATTGGAATTTCTTGAAAGTAGCGCTAGGTCCTAAATCTGACGATCCTGACATATTTTCTAATGTACCTGCAGCTTGCATTATATTTGAACTTCTACTGTTTGAGATTGAAGAAGTGTTTGACAACAATAAAGGACTGGTGATTCTTTGTAACCCTGGAGCAAATTGTGTTGGAGTTGATGATGGATAGTGTAAAGGTTGAACAGGATGGTTCCCATTCTGTAAATTATGATTATAATTAAGTTTCTTTAATTTGGGAGATTTCTTATCTTTTGATTCTAATTTTGGAGTATTTGGAGCTGATGATTTTTGGGAATTACTATTCGATTGTTTAATTCTATTTCTTGATTTGATGGTATCAGTTTTCAAAGAAATTGGTCTTGGTCTTCCATGTAATTTGAGGAATAATCCACAAGCATTACAAAGAACTTGTCCAGTTTCATCACGTCTCCATAATGGAGTGGTTTGTGTTTTACAATTATGACAAACTGGACTAGCGATATTAGTCTTGGTGGTTGTTGTGCCATTATTTACTTGAGTGGTGGTCTTAGCATTCGGATGACTTAATCCTTGACTTTGCATTTGAATCTGTCCTTGGCTGTGGATTTGCGAGGAAGATGTTTGCCCTGGTACTCTTGGAGGACCTTGAATTCCAGTTGAATCTGTTGCTGGCCCTTGTGGTCCCTGTTGACCTGGTTGTTCTGCACCTTTTTGAGATTGACTATCAGGTGATTGACTTTGTCCTTGAGGTACTGGTTGTCCCTGATATGAGTTCACTGTCCCGTTCATTTGAATCTTTGGTAATAAATTACTATTCTTTGTATCAATAACTGTTGGTCCTAAATTTCCACCCATTATCAGATAAGATCCTTATCAGATGAATTGAAAATTTTTTCTCAAAAGAAAAATCTCTTCCAATTTTAAGTGTAGTGCGTCAACCATGTTCTTTTTATGGCATTATCTGGGTGTCGGGTCGTGGTTCCACTTATCGGCTATGTGGCTAATCATGTGATTTCTTATCTTATCATTTATCTTATCTCATCATCATGTAGAGTAATTTAAATGTATAGGGGTTAAAATCGGGAGTATTCTAATGGTGTTTCATCTAGTAACTGACCCAAGGTAACTGTATAGGAGTGATTCTTCGACTGTAAACTATACTTATGAGCAAATGGTGCCTTAAGGGGTACGCCCGAATTATGATTATAATTATTCCCCCTATTTTTGCACTAAGCTTTATAAAGAGGTTGAGTTTATATTGAAATCAATGGAGCCATACAATGGTAGGTTCTATATGTCAAATTAGTTCTGCCGTTCAGAATTAAGGTTAATAGTATAACGAAGAAAATATAATCCGAAATTGTCGCTTCCCCCTAACAACCGAGAGTCGAAGCAGTTATTATAAGAGGTCCGGGGACTCTTGAGCTTTCCTCACTAATTCATATCTATCCGATATTAATATCGTCTAACCTTGAGTTACTATGTAGGTTCACGCGTAGCCTGATTCTCATCGCACTATGTCAGTGTTAAGGCCCAAAAACTCCTTTAAATCAATCGTAGGCTTGATCACGGTATCATCGACATTTTCAATGTCATTTTATTTGACTTTCCAGATCCTCAAGTTCAGTAAGTCTTCAAGCGAAAGGAAACTGGTATTTCTACCTTTGTTCATCAACTTGAATTATTTCGGTTACAATATCGAATCATTAAGATATGTTGACAGTTCGAATGATTTACTGGATCTAAAGAAAAGATTGGATTTTAAATTGAAGAACTGTATTGTGAACTTCAAGTTGTTGAACTTGAAAGAGTTCAAAACAGTTGAGAATGACTTGGACTTCAGATTATACCTCAATCGACCAACCATTAGTGGGTTAGAAGTTATCATGAGCCACTCAAAGGACCATGATTTGGATAGTAACAATAAATTCAAGGGCTTCAGTATACTGGGCTTCAATGATGAACTGACTGGGAGTAATAACGATAATGAAAATAATGAAAATAATGACAACGACCATAAAGGTCAACTAACGAGACATAAGATAATAACATCAATCGATGGAGATACAAATAAGGCAAATATGAACATTGATTTCACATGGTCTATTAAATTCTTCAATTTCAATACCAACTTTTTATTAAATCAGCCTCCAATCACTCAAGAAACTGATTACAGGATTCAATTCAATGGAGAATCAGGAATTTTCGATCTAAAACATATTGGTAAAATCAAGTTCAACGGAATTATCGAAGGAAATGACATTAAGTTCGAAAACCTACTCGTAGAGATTGAAAACGATAGGGTATACAAGGTTATATAAAGAATACAAGATTAGTGTGGAGATCAACTCGCATCAGATCAATCTCATCTAGAAATAAGCCACTTAACATAATCTATCAACTCAACGTCCAACCTTCACATACCTCTCCCGCAGAAAGTTGATCTTGAATAGTAGCAACCATGAAAGTGGTTGTTGTTGCATCAAAAGATCATCTACACTAAGCAATTTCACGATTAACCTTTGACCGGTGTGCCGGTCCGCGGGTGATCCAACGGGATTTTTTTGTCGATGTGAGAATACTTAAACATTGGAGCTCCCCCAGATCTTTCATGGAACCTGATACGAAAAAGAAGAAACCTAATAGTAATAGGAAAAATGCTCAAGCCACGAGAACGCTAAGGGCCTGTGAATTGTGTAGGAAGCAAAAAACCAGATGTTTCAAAGTCAATGACGATTCGCCTTCCTGTCTTCGATGTACTTTCCTAAACAAACCATGTTCTTTTGGGACCGGGAATTCAGCGGGATCATCCAGTCTTAATTTGAATAGCAATGAAAAATTAGACATGATATATAAGGGAGTCAATGATATCTTGACGTTGTTGAAAGCTGATCCTTCAATTTTGGCTTCTATTGAGAGAGGTTCTGATGTTGGAAATAATCCACCCCTCTCCACAGTCGGCTTGGGTGCTAATAATCCTATGTTGGGATTGAACACATTCAATGGTGTTAATAAGATCACCAACAACGATGCCAGATTGCTTCTTGAAGCAGCCAATTCCATGAAAAACTCTCCTATAAATGAAGACAAACTTCTTAATCCTGTTGATATTGAGAATCAAACCAATTTCAAGTCTCCCAACAATTCCTTGTCAGTAGCTCCTTTCCAGATCATTCACAACAAGATCCCAGGAAATTTCCTACCCAAATCAATTGAAAATTTACTCCAATTATCAAGTGTCGATAATGAACAACAATCACCAGTTTCTCCTAATATCATCAGTTTGAACATCTTGAATATTAATGATGCTATAAATTTCATGAATGACTTCAGAAGAAACTACGGTAGATGGGTTTCATTCCCTTCAAATTTACCTACTGAAATCCTCGTTGAAAGACTTTTGAAGAAATCACCCCTCTTGTTGACAACATGTTGCACTATGTCCTTGAGATATCTGTTCAATAATTTGAATCCTGGTGATATCAATAACATAACTAGAAAACGAACAACTTTCAATTTGTTGTGCAAACAATTAATCAATGAATTGAATTTCAATTTGATAAAGATCAACTCATTCAAGAACATTAGTGGGAATATTGAATTTTTACAGAGTATGGTGATTTTATCTATTTATTCGTTATCATTAACCTCAATCATATTTTCGAATGATAATGAACTTAAACTATCATCGAATAATCTCAAAGATCTCAATATCAATTTGAATCAAATCAACTTTGATCCTTGGTATTTATCAGGAACTGCTTTAACAATATTTATTTCAAAAATATCTTTGGGGAACTTATTGCCCAAAAATAACACATTGACTTCACCAACAAACTTCAACAATTCACCCTTTACCATTCTTTATGATGAAGAGTTAGATTCAAATGAATATCAAACTTTGACCATCATGAGAATCTACAACCATTTGATCCTTGTTCATCTTATGAGTTGTATATTTAGTGGGAGAATGTGTTTGGTGGATGAAATTAGATTAAATTACTGTAATATTACCTTAGGACTCCCATCTTCTACCAATTTTGATGGTAGAATGGTGAGCGAAATTTCAATTCTTCTAGTGACTTATAATTATATTCAAACTAACCTCAACTTTAAAAATAACCTCAAAGGTTTAAATGACAATTTCAACAATACTTTGCAAGAAATCAAATCATGGTACGAACAATGGGAATATTTGTTCCAGCAACCTGCTTTGCAGTTTGTGGAATTATGTTATAACTTCTGTTATCTCATTATTTACTACAGTTACAATTTCCAAAAGTATTTGGTGATGAATAATTTTGAAGATTTACACGATCATAATTTATTCAACAAAGACAATATCAAATTCATCTTATCCCAATGTGATGAAGTCAGTTTGAAAAAACTATTTGAGTTTTCAAACATCTTGATTAACTTCATAACTTTGATCAATAATGATTCGTATTTCGCTTATTTGTCTGATCAATTGTTATTCTGTTTTTACTTCGGAGGTATTTTCCTCTTGAATTATTTGAAATTTATTGACGAAAGTGACAACTTCCAACTTTTGGGCTTAACCAACGCCAATGATTTAAATTCTTTGAACAACATTAAATTGTTGATAGACAAATTTGATAGAATCTCAGGTGATTCGAATGATGATATTCTTGTCAAATATAAATTGGGTTTGAAACACGAACTTTTGAACACATTTCCGAGCTTTGCTTAAGTAGTATATGTATATTAGGGAACTCTTGTCATTGCACTACCCAATTGATCAATTAAATGTATGTCAAAATTGTAGCTATGAGTGCTGCGGCGGGTGCAAAATAATCCTCCACTTCAACTTGTCTCGCGATATTGGCACTAACCTACGCATTTCCCATACTCAATGACCATCAACTTTATCCCCGGAGATGTTAATCAAAACTCCAATTCTGTGGTTCATGGGAAATGGAAAAATCACTATATAATAATTTATGGGTCAGGGAACAATCTTATAATATCGACAATTACCTACAGAAACAATCAATACCTAAAGAACCTCCAGACTATTTATCTAGAGATTGATCCAACTGCCATTGATTTCAATGATTCCAATGGTTTCATAAGTATTTCCATTCTGAACAAGGTGATTTTGTATAAGCCAATGAATGAATTCATGGTCAAACCTCAATGGGAAGAATTGATGGTGATAGCCGAAAATTCATCTTTCATTCACTGTTTGCAATTTGCTCCATTAGAGAATGAATTGATCATAGGGACAGATGATTCCATAGTCTTGTACAAATTATTCCGGGATAATGAAGTAAATGTTGGGCAATGGACTTTCGCCAGGATCTGGTATCAAGATCAACCTTTACCTGTTAAAACAATTAAGATCACTTACAATGCCAATCGTATTTTGGTCAAAAACGACTTATTTGACGGGATATTAAAGCTATGGAATAGAATCAACTACGGTTTTGATAACACTCTTTTTGAATTGAATTATATCCCTTGTAAACTAGGAGATTTTGTTGTTAATTTCAAATGGAAATTTAAAGAATATAATACCAAGCCACTCAAAATAACAGACAAATCAATAACGAAAATTAAAGACTTCAGAAACTTCATTGATCTTGATAATTATGATTGTGATACATTCTTCACCTTTTCTCAGGAGCAAATTTTCAAGATCTGGGCCACTTTCGAATTCAGTGGCCATGATCATGTCAAATGCTGGGGTGAACTTCATCTTCCCGGGGTAGCGAACATTCTTTTGGTTGATAATGTGTTCATTAAAGATTTCGTTAAAGAAGATTATGATTTGTTGTTGGCCTTCACCAATGATACGATTAAACAGTATAAAGTGAAAAATATCGCCAAGATACCCCATGACAATGTTTCTTTCGAATTGATTAATGAAATACCCATGGATTCCAACATTTTCCTGCCTGTGAACCTCAATACTGGTACAAAGAATGCAGAGAATGTAACAACCCTCGAAGAATATAATGACGATAAATTGAGTAATGACCTTGATTTGGGCTTCATTCCCACTATCATTCCCTCTGTTTCCAAGTTCAGTGAAGATCAGATAGTATTCCCTATACATAATAGGGTAAAGTCGACTGTTAAAGTAAATGTCATCAATCTCAGAAACCTCAAGATCACTTTGATGGATAAATTCCAAGGACACGAAAAGTCTATACGAAAACTCATCAAGTCCAATCCATTTTACAATAAAGAGAACATCTTACTCTCAATACTGAATTTCCCCAAAAATAACTACATATGGCAACCTTTGGTGATGAATGATCCCAATAAGACGATCATCACCAAAAAATTTCAAATTGATTTGACACTAATGGATGACAACAGATCGCTGATGAAAGTAGAAAATGGTCATATTGATGAGAACTTCCACGATAATAGAATAATTGATGGGGTTATAATAAATGACATCGATGAATCTGCAAGAAGACACCACCTTGTGTTGATATTCGATAAATTGAGCTATTTATCTTTATGGCATTGTGGTGTGAAGGACGAAGTTAGTGAAATGTTGAAAAAAGAGAAAATTGAAGGACATGAAGACAAACCTCCCCTCGTATTTCAGCTAATTGAAATCACACAGAATGAAATGTTCAAAGAGTATTTATTAATAGCTATCTTCCAACTTAATGATATTAAAGGTTGGAGGTTAAAAATATTCAAGAACAAATTGAAAATTGAGTTGAAAAAATGCAAAATAGGCTCTTTACCGGAGACTCAAAACTTGAGGATCATAAACAGAATTGAAACTATCGTTAATCAACCTGAAAAAAGCATAATATCCACTATTGATGATTTGGGTGAATTGAGATTGTACCGTATCAAAGTTACCAATGAATGCATTGAGTGGGTTGAAACATTCAAGCTAAACACCAATATCAAGAATAGTAGAAAAATTGTCGGATCTTCAGTTACAAACAAGTTAGCTATCATCGATGATAGTGGTAAAAGATTATTCATTTGGGACCTCAAGTCAGAAATTTTAGAATTTCAACAAGAATTTGAGGAAGTAGTCAAAGATATCGACTGGTGTTTAATTGAATCTAAAAATCATGGGGATAATTTATTATTATCCATTGGGTTCCAAAGACATGTATTGCTTTTCACGGAATTACGTTATGATTATACCAATAATTTGCCCACATACTCCGTTTTGAAAAGGATCGACATTAGTGACTACACAACTCATGAAATAGGAGATAGCATTTGGATCAATAACGGATATCTAGTGATAGGTTGTGGTAATCAATTTTTCATTGATGATAGGTGGTTTAAATTGGGTTCGCTGAGTAGCAATTTATTGAACTCACAAATAAATCAATTGTTGAAGGGGGTTGAGGGTGAAATCTTCGATATCAGTGATATAATTAAAATCGTCAATGGTCCCTTACCGATATACCATCCTCAATTTCTAATCCAACTTTTATATATGAACGAGTTCAATCTAGTCAAGAAAATTTTGGTTAATTTGTTTAAGACTTTAAGGCAAGATTTGCCTATCACATGGAATTTAAATATCAACTTCATCAAAGACATTGTTTTGAACAAAGTTGAAGAAAGCCATGATGAAGGTGACATTTTTGAAACTTTTAACCACAATTTGATTGAATTATTGATAAATTATTTAACAAAAGATCCCTTACCATTCATCACAAGACATCAACAGATTACATTGATTTCAATTATCAAAATTATTGTTATCATCAACAAATATCATAAATCCATAGACGAAAACGGTATACGGTTTATTATAGGGTTCAAATTATTCGAACTCAGTAGGCAAACAAAATTGAACATGAGGGATATAGATTTTGCGTTACACAGTAGAAATCAAGACATGCTATTTGGCTTCATTGAAGAAACCTATCCCAAATTCAACTGGGAAAGCATAAAAAGTTTAAAGTTGATGTACTGGATAGAGGATATTAAGTTGAAACAAATCGTTGAGGAGATGGTAAGAAATGAGTTTAACGAAAAAAGAGATCCTTCCGGGATGATCTCTTTGTTTTATATCGCTCTAAACAGAAAGAAAATTTTGATCAACTTGTGGAAAACCGTTAGTCACAAAGAAAAAAACAAGATGATCAGTTTTCTTTCAAACAATTTCAATGAAAATCGATGGAAAGTTGCAGCTATGAAGAATGCTTTCGTGTTGTTGGGTCAGCATAGGTATTTGGATGCAGCATATTTCTTCCTTTTGGGTGACAAGCTAGATGATTGTCTAAACATAATCAATTCTAAGCTCAATGATTTTGAATTAGCTTTAACTGTTTCTAAATTATACCAACATAGTAGGGATTTCAACGTCAAAACTGATAACAAACCATTGATCGAAAAATACCTCATTGGTCCAGCACTTGAAAAGGGAGATAAGTGGATCAATAGTTGGATTTACTGGGAGATTGGCGAATTCAAAATTTCTGTTGATTCGTTGATAAATCCCCCTCTAGCTATTGCTGAAAAGTACAATGTTTTCAATCTTCCTAAAGACTTAGATTTCAAGAATTCATCCAACAAATTCTTGAATGATGATCCAGCTTTGATCCTTCTTTATAAATCGATGCCATCAAAATACAAAAGTGACGTACTGGACGAAAATAATTTCTTGATGAAAATTTGTAAAATTTATGATAAATTGGGTTGTAACTACTTGTCCTTGTTGTTACTCCATAAATGGCAATTCAATTACCCATTAGCTGAGGAAAGAGCGGAGTTCAACGTAAAGGTTGATAAGTTGCCTCCTCAGATTGCATTCGAAGAACCTGACATGAGTTCTTTTGACTTTGGTTTTTAATATACTAAATGCACATTTTATTGATTCAAACCTCGTGCCATATTCCATTTTAATGGCGAATGTATGGAATCATTGCTCTTGAGTGTTTTAATGTTTCACCATCAAGGCCTGTTAAATTTTTACTCTTTTTTCTGATATTATTTTTTCATTTTTGTTATCAGTTCTGTAAAATTCACAAAAAACTGGAGGAATTAAAAATATTAATAAGTGAAAAAAATAAAAGACACATCATAGTGCATTCAAGAACCACCGTTATTTACATACCTTCTATGAGTTCCTCTAAATCGCCAATGAAAAGATTTCATGGAAGAGGAGCTACGTAATCTAAATATCACGTGACTTTGATGAGAAGTATATCTCAAGGAAAAGATGAGACGCGAAGTAAGATGGATTATGACAAGCAGATAGAAACTCTTACTAAGACTAGAGGGTTATTGCAATTGATTAACAATTCTACAAATTCTATATACAATGATTTGTTGACCATTAAGCAAAATAATCAGAAGCTTTCAAGTATGTCGAAGGATTCCATAGAGTTACTCACTAAACTCGAGAAGTAGTTACTTGAAATTTGGAAAATAAGGATTGTATCCCTCAGTTAATGATCGAAGTTCCTGGTCCAGATTCAAATGCAAAAGATACATCAAACTAGATTTTACCAAAGACCTCATCCATTCCAATTGATTTTGGTTCTCAACCCCTTCGAACTTATAATCCTGTTTGATTGATTCCAAATCTTTAATTACAGCGTCCAAGGACACAGGTTCTTTCAACGATATCAAATATTCATCAAATGTTAGACTTTTAGGGACCCCGATTGATTCGAACGGTTTGAATCTCAATCTGAACATTTTTTCAAAATTGATCAAAAAGTCTTTTGGCACTTCGCTAAAGTTGGCTCTTCCTTCGATGTGATGATTTCTTAAAATCTTGGTTACATTATCAGTCAATCTGTACAACAATTGATAATGGGCCAATTGCTGCTGATTATGTTTGATCACATCTATTAATTGCTGGCGCTTCATATCGATTTGAATCTTTTGACTGGCATTCTTCAATTTTTTTCTTTTGTTATTCAATCTGACCAACTTGTTGTTATTGAAGGTAATAATTCTGGTAGAAAAATGGTTCAATAAATGTTTTAACAAATAATTAGAATACCAATAAATAGAATAAATCTCTACAAGATTGTATAATTCTAATTCAATTCCAAGCAAAAGGAAATCAATCATGAGCTGCAATTTCTTGAAGTAGACGAAGGAAGTCAAAGGCAAACTCAACTCTTCAGTGTCGCTGAGTTTATCGTTAATCTTGAATTGGTTGTAGTTGGAAATCTCGAAATTTTCACAATTAACTTGCAAGGAATCTAACAATATTAAATTCTTGTTTATCAATTGTCTTTGTCTACATCTGTTATTACACTTTATTATGATAAGTTGGTATGCTATTATGTCCAAATCATTCAAAATCTTATTGTAGTCTTCGTCAAGTTTTTTACAATCATTTATGTTAATGTTCCAGTTTCTACTAGAATAAACGGTGTTTGCAAGTGTGCAGTTATTCATCAATTCGAGACTTAGATGGCTCAACTTGAAAGTTGGAGATCCAAGTATCAGCTGATCATCTCTTATAAGATATAATTGAAGGAAACCTCTTGTGATAACGTGATATTTGTTAATTTGTAATTGGACGTCATAGTCTAGCCAATTCTCCAAGCATGCAATGTTTTTCAAGCTTGTCAGTTTGATGAGTATACTCTTAAGTTGTTGGAAGATATCCTCTAAATTTTTCATGGTACTTTCCTGTGAAATCATGTATAATTCTCCTGGAATATTATGGTTGTTTAACTTCTTCTGACAGTATTTCAGGAAACAGCCAACAGGAACTTCCTTCTCGAATTCTTCGAAATTGATTTTATTTAGATATTTTACGGTGTCGATAGCATTTTCTAAGATGATATTGAAGAATTCGTAGGGATTTCCTTGGAAAAGTTCGATCTGTAAATTGAACAAAATTGGTGATTGAACAATAGATAAAATCAATTTCAATTGATGGGTCAATATAAGCTTGTGAGAATCATCAGCACTAACAAGGTCATTAGTGATCTTGATGCTTCTTTCTAAGTTTTCAATCACTTCATCAATGAGGATCTCATTCAAAAAATTCATGTCTAGGGCCCTTGTGGTGATATCCTCTTCTTCATACAATACAGTATTACCAACGGTGATCATGATTCCAATGAATTTGACCACCCCATTAACGGCACTGGATAAAATCCTTGAAAATCCATCATCACCGAATTCTGTCATTTTGGAAGTTTTCAAATATTGTTCGACCACTTCCTGAACATATCTACAACTTAAAAGTGTTACTGGTATGGACAGGTGATCTAACCAACTCATCAAACTTCTAAGAAGTTTATTTAAAATACCAATACATTGCTTGATATTGACTTTTCCGTAACAATTGAAATTTAGTTCTTCTTCAGTTAACTCAATGAGACCAGTATCTAACTTCTTGTTACTCACTTCTATGGCCCTGGCACCCTCGAGCAAATCAAACAAAGGACTTTGGACTACCTTGTTGTTGGCTATCTGATTGACAGAGTCGAATATTTCACTCGTGATGTCAATAAATCCTTCCATTAAAACCAAGATTCTCTTTGTTTCCCGCACCGCCGTTCTTTTGGCACTGCGATCTCTTGTAGTACTGAAAATCTTGCACCAAACACAACCAGTGGACCTAACAGAGAGATAAAGAGCAAGAAGTAACAAAATTATCTATTATTTATACATGATTAATGTGTTTCATTTGTTTCGTTATCATTAGCTTCTAAATCTGGTTGCTTTTTCTTCTTTAAGAAATTGAAACCAACATAATATATGAATGCATTGAATGCTCTGGTAGGGAAGATCTTGACTACCCAAGTGTTTGGAATAATTCTAATGATTAAACCTGCTGGGATAGAAATGAAACCACATAAAATTGAAGTGGCCCACATATTTCCTGGCATTCTGGTGACAGAGAATGCTGCACCTCCAACAAACATAATTAATACTTGAACTCCACTGATCAATAAAGCGATACCAATGAAGTACCAGTTTCTGAATAAATGCAGGAAAAAATTTAAATTGTAAGCAGTAAGTCTTCCTCTAATGGTAGTAACATCAGAAGCTTCATCTAATTTTCTAGTAACAACCAATTTCCAAACTTGTAACCAAACAAAAGCGTTGAAAGTCATGGAATTCAATTCTTTCTGTTGATGAGAGGAAACTGCTTGTCCATTGAAGAAAAGCTTTTTACCTCCAAAATGTAAAGTAAAAGTAACAATCAATTGTGTGATTGATTGACCTAAAATCATTTTCCACATTGAAATAGAAATCAAAGGAGACTTTCTTCCAGCCGGTTTTTGCTTCAAGAATGAATCATCAGGTTTATCGGTGGCCAAGGCCAAGGCAGCTAAAGTATCCATAATCAAGTTAACCCACAACAATTGAACTGCAGTCAAAACGGAATGGTTATCACTCGAAGCCACAGCTGACACGAAAGTTAATACAACAGCAGTAATGTTAACCGTAAGTTGGAATTGGATGAATTTCTTGATGGAGACGGCAACAGTTCTACCCCATTTGATGGCTTGAACAATATCAGTAAAGTCATCGGTCATCAAGATGATATCAGAAGCTTCACGAGCAACTTCAGTACCACTGATACCCATAGAAAAACCAACATCAGCTAATTTCAATGCTGAAGCATCATTAGTACCATCACCAGTGACGGCAACAACTTCATCTAATGATCTCAAAGTTTCAACTAAAATTCTCTTATCTTCAGGACTCGATCTAGCTAAAACTCTCAATTGAGGTACGAGTTCTCTTCTTTGTTGTTTGGTTAATTTTCTGAATTCAGGTCCTTCCATTGAAGCATATTCACTAGTTAAGTCTTCTGGAGTTAAAATGTAACAACTTTGGGAAATGGCTTTTGCGGTACGTAAATTATCACCGGTAACCATTCTAACAGAAACACCAGCTTCTTTACATTTCAAAACAGCTTCAGGAACACCTTCTTTCAAAGGATCTTGAATACCAACTAAAATATCCAAAACAACTTGAGGTTTATTTTCATCATAAACAGAGCCATTGACATCAATTAATTTTTCGGTGGCAGCTTCGGCTGGACTTTCAGGATTAGCAATTTCAGCAGGTGGCCAAGAAGTGATTCCATTGAAATCTTTATGTCCAATGGCAATAGCTCTCAATGCTTCATTTGCAAATTCATCAATTTTACTCAAGACAACGTCTCTGGCATCACGGTCAATAGGAATGATATCACTAGTCTCAGGATCGTACTTATAACCACAATTCTTGACAACAATTTCAGCAGCACCCTTGAACATGAATCTGAAACCTTCTTTGGTTTTTAAAACGATTCCTGACCATTTTCTTGAACTTTCAAAGGGAATAACTTGAACAATTTCAGAAGCTCTCCTTTCTCTGATGGCCTCCAATGATTCATCATCGAAAACGCCAAGAGTATCTTTGGATAAAATCAATAAAGCGGATTCAGTCTTGTTACCCAAGAAAGGTTCACTAATATTTTCATATTTGACGGTTCTTCTAAGCTTTTCGAGTTCAGTTTCTCCCAGGAACATTCTTTGGAAAATGTTCTTATGTGGAGGTTTAGACTTTAACTTTTTGGATAATTCTTCGTCGTATTCAGTGTTGAAAAAGGCTGTAGAATTCAAGACGACATTATCAATGAACACACCCTTCAAAAAGGCTGGAATTCTTGAAGCTATGTCTTTGGATTTTGCTTCATACTTGTTGGAAACCATATCATTGAATTCTAAACCGTTACTGAAGTATCCTCTTACAATTCTCATTCTATTTTCGGTCAAAGTACCAGTCTTGTCAGAACAAATAGCGGTAGCACCTCCCATTGTTTCACAGGATTTTAAGACTCTAACTAAATTACCATTTTGAGCCATTCTAGTAGTAGCAAATGCCAAAGCCAAAGTGACAGCCAAAGGTAAACCTTCTGGAACAGCAACAACAACAATAGTGATGGCAGTGATCAAAATATCCAAGAACCTTTTACCTTTTTCAGCAGCTTCAATGTCATGATATTTACCATTTGGTGCTATACTCACACAAAATCTAATGAATAAGACAAAGAATAAAACCAAAGCAGCCAAAAAACCATATTTGGAAATACCTTCAGCCAAATCGTCCAATCTAGCTTGTAATGGAGTAACTTCACTTTCGTGATTCAAACTCAACATAGTTCTACCATGGATGGAGTTTTCACCAACAGCTGTTACTAACGCATTACCTAAACCACTCAAAACCTTGGCACCTGAGATCAAGAAAGGATCTTTGAATTTAACATCACTATTTCCTAAATCAATATTGACACTACTTACATTCTCATCATAAAATTTAAGGGCTTCGGCGACAGGCTTTTTCTTGATAGTTTGACTTTCACCGGTTAAAGCACTTTCATCACATTCAACCTCTCCGCTGATTAAGACACAATCACCTGGAATGACATCACCAGTTTGTAAGTTTAAGACATCACCAACGACCAAATCATAAATTGAAATCATTTTTTGGTTACCATTTCTAATTACAATTAATTCCCTATCTTCTTTTTTGGCATTCAATTTAGCAAATTGTCTTTCCTTTTGGTAATCATTGGCAGCTCCTACAACCACCACAATTATAACAGCGACTAAGATAGCCACACCTTCGACCCAGTCCAACTTTGGTAAAGGAGTTCCGTCCACGTCATACATGGTGTCAGTACCAAACGTTTCATAAAGTCCTAAAGCTAAAGAAATTACAGCAGCAACGGACAATAAAATTAAAACCTTATCCTTCATAGCCTCCCAACATAATTGGAAAAAGTTCTTTTGAGTCTTGATTGGTAATTTATTTTCACCGTAGAAGTGGATTCTCTGAGGATGGTCATCTTCGTCTTGATCATTAATACCCTTGTGAATATTGGTATTCAAAGTGTGAGCTAAAGATTCAATACCACCTAAAGAATCTAAAAATTTCAATGACTTTGGATCATGCAATTTTGATAAATCTTCAGGCTTTAAAGAATATTCAGGAGACAAGGGAGTAGATGAGTTGATACTATTAGCATCGGCTGGATATTCTGGTAACTGTAATTTGTCAAAAGTATCCTTCTCATCTATCTTGCTACCATTATGCACGTCAAGATCATGGTTTTCACCATTTGGACCATGATGATTCTTACTCTCACCGATCTTACTAGCATTCATTTCAAATGACTTCTCATTTGAATTTGCCGTCATTGTCAAAGATCCGTTCCAATCAGTAATCTGAAGATTTTACTAATATATATAAAATTGGTTATCAGCTGCAGGTGCGAGAAGACAGGGCTATGCTGATTTCTCGGTCAAATTTGAAACTGACGCTGTCACTTGAGTTTAAAAGAAATAGAAAGCTGTGTTTTTTTTTGCGTTACAATTCTTTAGGTCATTTCAATTACATGAGGCGGTGATTACTGTTCGTTAATTCTTAGTAGTCTATGGGTAGACGTCTGAGATCAAGTTTCGCTTAATATTTTTTTTGCAGTCAAACAGAGTCGCAATGAGAGCCATTTGCATGAATGGGTGAGACATTTTCACGGGGCAGATGCTGCTATTAAGCGGTGTCCAAAACGCAACAAACACCACCTCCAAGACAAATCTTATTGATATCGAGGCTTGAGTAAAGAGATTAAACTTCCTATAGGGGAAGTAGGCTTTTGTTGAAATTCCTCTTACTCTGTACGAGATGGCTTATAACTTTGAGAAGGCTCATCAGGAGGATTTTCCAATATGCATTATTTGCGCGTCTTCTCGGAGTTATCAGCTGGTAGCAGGTATTTGATGATTGGACGATGTAATCCTATCATCAATGATTGTGGAAATTCCAGTTCTTTATAAGGCTGCCATTATTAAAGAAATAATTTGTAAATTTCGTCTACATCCGCAGTAAAGCCGAATGTTTCCAATTGCAGAATCAAGAAATTGAGGGCACAGCCTGCCATGGAGATAACCATCTAAAAAGGGTATTGTTATAGCTTGCGTAATCGATCCTGGGTAGCAACGATCTTCAACACTCAGTCAGAAGGCGATATTGAATGATTATTGAACCCGAATAACATGCGCCATAGCGACATAATTTAGGGGTCTACATAGTGGTGATAAGATTTCTCACATTCAGCATCTAAAACAAGGCAAGGTAGCACAGGAATTTGCCAGGAATTTGGACCGCAATTTGCATAAATCTTTGAAGCTTGGGTTGGTCTTTCAAGGAGATAAACGGTGAAGAGGAAAATTTGCATTTTGCTTTGTGCTCAACTTTTATATAGCTGACTAGAGATATTAGGAAACATTGTACATAGACTAGATATTCAACTAACTAAAAAATCATGGTTTCTCCATTTTCATCAAAAAAACCACCAGTATGAGCTACGGTGAAAACATTAAGAAGTTTAACTAACTTAATTGCACATTCCTCAGTGGAAACGAATTTTTCATCACCAACGATAGCAGCAACATCAGCACCCATTTCCAGTAAAACGTGACCTGGATGTTGTAAGATAGTAATTGAATTCTTGACTAATTCATTACCACTACTTTTGTTGTCTTCAGCAATTTGCTTACCAAGATGATTGACAGCAGCTTTTGATGCACCATAAGCATTGGCACCTAAAACAAATCCACCAGTAGTTCCGGCAACACTTGACATAATAATGAATTTCTTAGAAACACCGTTGTCTGTTTTGAATAAATACGGGAAACCTGCCTTATATGTTTTAGCAACTCCTCCAACATTAATATTCATAACATCTAAATATTGGTCAACATCATAAAGCTGAGACTCAAATAATGCATCTTCGCCTAAAACACCAGCATTGGCGATAAGACAATCGATACCATGAGGAGTAAATTGGTCAATAAGTTTGAAAGCAGATTCAAATTTAGCGTACGAGTCAGCCATATTGATAACGATGGTTTTAACTCTTGGATATTGTTTTTCGAGATTTTCAGCTGTTGATTGATTTCTAACAGTTGCAATGATTAAATTTTTTTCATCTTTGTATAATTGTTCGATGATAGCTAAACCGATTCCTCTGTTAGCACCAGTGATTAAATAAGCAGCCATTTTTGTTAGTTTTACTTGGAAAGATTCTAGATTTTTAAGTTTGTGATTAAACAACTAATGAATCAAACATGAGAGAACCAACACCTTTTATAGATAATTCCCTATTGCCCATCTTACTATGAAGTTTTATTGATATCGGAGATGTTTGTAATGTAAATTAGGAGCACGCGACGAAGATGAATAATATAATTGAATTTGAGCCGCAAAAAAAAGGGAAACCGGATAACTTGGTGATTAGTAATTGAGCAGGTTGGTGATGGATTCAGGTTTTACTGCAACTAAAACTCATATCTGTCATCATCACATACCCCTCATATTTTGATGATTCACACCAGGGTCTTGATTATGCTATACATTCAATCACAGAATAATTCCGTCCACTGAGTGAAAAAGAGGGGGACTAAAATTATTGCCTGATAATAGGACTAGGAGCCTAAATCACCTTGTAAAAAGGTATAAATAGTGTTCTTTAATATTTTTCGTCTCATCGATTAATTAAAATTCGCTGAATAGATTGATTTCATGGTGTATTTCATGATTTATGTCAAAGACCCAAATTATTATCCTCATGAACCGATTCGCCCCTATTCCGGTGTTTAGATTCGCCCTGCTGGCCAAACGGTTAAGGCATCCGCCTCCTAGTGCGGTAAGCGGAAGACTCCGGGTTCGAGTCCCGGGTAGGGTTAAATTTGTTTTTTTGTTTATTGGACTAAAAGTTTGATAAATATCTTTATTTATTGATAGATAACTACAACCAATCCAAGTAAAGGACACCTCAATACAGGCGTTTCATTTCAGAAGGAATCAGAACTTTAAACATCATGGAATGAACAACGCATCATAAAGTTCCACAGGGATCAAAATACATAACATTGGGGACCTTAGATCGAAGGTATAGAGTAAAACTTTAATAGAGTTTCGTTTCACAAGAGCGTCAGAGTTCAGTCACCACGCAATATTGAAAGCGCAGACCATGTGAAGTAAATAATGTCAGATTATTTTTCAGGGATAGGCTTACCTCAAGCCACTCTTAAACATAATGCTCAATAAGCAAGGGTGATAACTCTAATGATATAAAGTGAATAAACTCCTAACATGTAAGAGCAAGGTACAATTGAAAGGAATGCCAACCAAACGACTTGTCAAATAAAACAATTGCCCAATTAAAATCGGGTTTAAATCATCTTCCAACATCTTGAAAATCAAAACAAACTTTACTCCCATTGCATGAGAAGATTTTTCGAAATGGTTTTTTTGTTTTATATAAAACTTTACTATCATTAGCATACATTTTATGACCTATATATCATGACATTCCAATGAATCGATACTCAAAACACGGAGAACCCTTAGTGGAAAACTTCTCCAGTATCAAGAAGCCTCAAAAAAATTAGATTTTAATCAGGGGAATTTAACTCTTCTAAGAAAAGTTCGCAAATTTGAAACTTGGAAATTTTATCTGTATTTACTCAATCCTCACTGTTTATCATTGTTTATTTGTACATTGAACTAGATATATAGAGAAGAAGTAGGCTTTAATAATTTTGGATAATTCTAAGAAACGTATAGTTGATTATTTAGTTCTGGTGGTAGTGTTTTAATTTTTTTTGATACTGATTTTCATTTCATTTTAACGTGTTTACCTAAAATAATAGCTAAATATGCTGGTTAAAAATAAAAAGATATCTCATCCACGTATGATTGAGTTCACCAACAGTGATGTGAACGTCATATTGGTGTCTAATTATAAGTTTGTGGCTGAAGATGACAATGAATTATCAATAAATAAAGGTGATTTGTTGAAATTCATTGATAGAAAAGATAAAGGATGGATTTTGGTAAAGTTTTTGGACAGGCTTGATTCAGCTGGGTTAATACCGGCAAGCTATGTTGATATTGTTATTAATGATATTAAGAAACCTATAAATTTGAATTGGTTAAAAGGTGAAGATAATAATGGGATAACAAAAGATATTAGAGATTTAAGTGACCCTGTACCTTTACGAAGCAGCCAGAGAAGTCAAAGGAGTAAAGAAAGTACTAGTTCAACACCAAGTCCCATTAAGAAGAGTTATTCTTTACATTCATCCCAATCATCACAACATTCAAGTAATTCTTATCCCAAAAAACTGGTCCCTAGCTTTCCTGTTCCAAATTTACCACAAAATTCTTCAGGTTGGAATAATAAATTTGAATATCAACGATCAAAAAGTTCTCCTTTATTAATGCAAGAAGGGATGCAATTTAAAAGATCGAATAGTGAAAAGAAACCTTTGAGGGTTAATACTGAATTCAATCAATTTCAAATACCCCCTAGTCCTATAAGTCCAGAAATGTTTAAGATGCAAGCTAAGTTTAATAATTTCAACCTTAAAGAAACAGATTCTACCACTGACAATTCAAATGAAATAGACTTTAATATGAATGAAATCACCTCGGTTACAATAACCAATTGTCTTACTCACGACAGTAGATATTGGTATAGAGTTGATGTCAAAAGTGCAACTCGAAAAATATCTCTAGGGAAATTTTATCAAGACTTTTATAATCTACAACTCGATTTATTACAATATAAGGGGAATAATTTACCTAAATTACCCGATCCAATATCGATAAATGAGACTGAAGATGAAATTTTGTTGATTAAAACCTTAATTAAAAGATGTCAGGAGCTTAATGTGTACGTGAATAAACTACATATGTTGAGATTCCCTGAATTTTTAGATTGGCTTAAAATTTCCAATAATAAACTTTTTTTAATCCAGAATGGTGAAACTAACGATGAGATAAATCAGAAAATTTTACCAGGATCGATAAATTTGATTTATAAGAAAATCTTAGTGAAGATTATCTTGTACAACAATGATTTGATGACATTGAATATGAATAAGCAAGAGTTATTTACTATCAATGATTTAAAATTCAAGGTCAAACAAACAGTAAATTTTAAGAATTTATTATATAAGACAAATGAGAAGTTTGAACCGATTGAAAACATCAATATTGATACTATTAGAAAGAGTGAAAAGATCTTGTTAAGACTTTCTTAGAAGATTCTTATAGGGGCAATGCAGATTAGAGGAACAAGGCTCATTGCACATCCAACAGTCATGTCCCTTATCTGTGCGTTTCAAGAGACCTCTTTGTATATTAATGTAATAATAGAGTATATCTACGTAATTAACAAGCGTAATCGCAACATAATTGAAAAAGGTATAACCAAAACCTCTTTGGGATTTAATGGTAAACATTGAAAATCCAGAACACTTTTACGAAGATAAACATTTTGATAGTGCAACCGAGAAAAGTGATAATAACCACAGGAACAATACATCTAGTTTTTATAATTGTGATTGTATTGTTTTTAAGTGAAACAAACTACTATCATCCGCCTAATTATTTTAGCCTATTCATTAGTGTATAGGGGTCTTTTGACCAAGTTTGTAAGAGAAAAGAGTCTCTATTCAAAAGCAATTTGTCGATCTATCGCAAGTTTGGTAGATACATCGTTATTTTCTCTCTACATTAAAGGATTTCTATATTTTTGTTTGAACCCAAATCTTTGTTGTGCATGGCGCGGAAATAACTTATTACCTAAATGAGATATCATTTTACCCAATGGGGAAGGTGAGTCGTGCGCATTTCCCTACATAAAAATTTCATAAAAGAAAATTACAGGTTACATCTTTAAACCCTTTCAAGAGAATTTGCAGGTTGCGAAAAAGTTTGGTATACTTTTTAACCTTAGTAATTTCTAAATTTATCAGCTGTTGATTATATATAAGGGCTGTAGAAAGTTATTTAAGGACACTTAGTAATTTAACTACATCTGGAATTTCATTCTTTTAATTATAATACGTGAATATCAGTACCTAACAATCTCTGAAATCTTAGCATTGTTGCATATATAAAGGAAGTATTGTTAGCGAAAGGGTTGCTTATTGTTAAACAAAACTATTGCAAGAATTTGAGTATTTTATTCACATTTGGAAATATATTGTTACCAATTTGTTGAAGTTCTATATTAGATTATGTAAAGAAAGGAAACCCCTAAATTATTATTTAAATCAACTTTTTTTTACACTAAGAATCTAATAATTGAAAAATGTTTAAGAAACAACAGAAAGACAAGAAGTTATCCATCTCATCACCAATAGCATCGCCGATATCCACAGAATTCCCATTAAAAGATTTAGAACCAAGAACTGCTGAACCTTTCAACCAATTCAAACAAATAAATTGGAAATCATCTGATTCAATTCCTAAAACTCCAGATTCTGATACTTTTGATAGAACTTCAGATACAAAATTCGATAACTTTAGCACAGTTATCTTAATGTGTAAGTATGAATTTGTTGGAGAAAGTAATCATGAATTATCAATCAAACCAAATGAATATGTCAAATTACTTGATAGAATTGGTGATGGATGGTTAAGAGTTAAACAGGTCAACAAAGATAAAATCGGACTCATTCCAGCATCTTATGTCAAAATTGCTGTTAATGATTTGATAAATCCAATCACTTCACAATGGTTGAACGAAATCACATATAACTACAATTCTGAATACACTTATAGTTCACCTGTAGATGATCTTTTCGATTTTGAAAAGACTTATCCTGTCAAAGTTTCAGTTTCAAATGTTTTGGAGAATAACGAAAAGTTTTGGTATAGAATCGATATAAAGTTGAACAATGGTGATTCTGTTTATATATCAAAATTCTATCAAGACTTTTATAACTTACACATATTATTATCATTACTTAATTATCCTAACTTACCCAAATTACCTCAACCTATCAAATCTTTATATAGAGATAGGAATTATTATGAAAACCTTTTGATTAGGTGTAATGAATTAAATGTTTATCTTAACAAATTAATCAAATTATCAGATTATCAAAAATCCCAAGAATTTTATACTTGGATTGTAAATGCTAATAAGATAACAAATCCAGAAGAAACAACAAATGAATTTATAAATGAAAAATTATTCAAAAATTCTATCAACTTGATAGATTTGGTTAAAACTAAAGTAACATCATCTTTACCAAAAGTTAATACTATGGTAAATAGTCCAAGTTTACAAAGTATTGGATCATTAATTAGCAGGTATAATGACAATGATTCGGAAATTTCAACTAGTGGAACTATCAAATCAACCAATTCATCACCTTCTTCACCAAGGGACTCTATTTCATCAAGAAGTTCACCTAAAACTCCATCGCAATTTGATGAAATTCCCCCATTGGGATCGCCAATAACTCCGGTTTATGAGAATTTCCAAATCAATGACAATTTTGTTGAAGGATTTGTTAAAATCAAAGTGAAATTGAATAACAAAGAGAATGATATAATAGTATTAAAGATAAAGAATACAAATTTGAATTCAATGATTTATTTGAAGAAACTTGTTTCCCATAAAATCTACAAAGATTATGATTTGATTAATCATTATAAATTAACTGTTTCTGGTAAACATTTTAATGATGATGAATTATTACACTATATCAAATCAAATAGTAAAGTATGTTTGAATCTAGTTCGTGTTAGGGGTTCTATTTAATTTATGACTTTTCATGTAAGAATATTTTTTGTCAAACTCTATCTCTATTTAGCGCATTACATTCGGAAAACGAAAATCTTATTGCCTTTGATTACATAAGCAGCGATGCGGCACCCTCCTATTGTTGAGAGTATTGTTTTCGTAATTAGAACAAAACAGAATACAATTCATAACAACAAACCATTGGGGGATTATCATTGACAAAAAATAGTCATCAATCAAAGAACATATACGTAATACTTAAGAGAATTTACAAAATCATCGGTTTAACTTGTAAATCTGGCCACCCATGCATGGTGAAAACGTTCAGTTAAACTGCAAAAAAATCAAACTTAAAATGTAAAAAGAAAATCCTGTACGCAATTTTTTGAAGGTTAACACCTCATTCAATATTTAAGTTGTTTAATTTCCATAATTTCTTCAGTCCTTCATTTCAACACTATCTTTTATACTATGACAGACGTAGAATCAGTATTTTCACATAAGAATTCAATCTTTTCCAATTCTACCTATTCAACTGAATCCAGTTTCCATATCAATGATACAAAACCTTTAAATTACGACAGAAAATCCGTTAAAATAGATGCCACTAGACCAAATAAAGTCAATTCTATTTCTAGAACTTCAAGTAATATACCAAATTATAAGAGTTTCAATATCATCAATTCCGATAACAAATATTTAAAAATTAAGATACTTTATAACAGAGATTACTTGATTATAAAATTAAGGAAAGATAAATTAAACAATTTACAAGATTTGGAGAACGTTATCAAAATGAAGATATCAAGATATTCATCATTGATGTTATATTTCCAAAATAAATCACTTAAACCTATACCTTTGAATGAATTGTTTAATGACTTGATTCTAGATTATGTTTTGACTAAAGATAAAATTTATATCAAGGCCATATAAATTTCACCAATCACACTTCAATATCCCCCCATTCACTTCTTGGTGGTAGTTTACCACAACTTTAATTCAGGTTTTTTTTGTACTTTAGAATAGATAAACTTTTTGACTCTCTTCTAATTCCGCCTTCCACATGATTTACAGGGTTCTGATTACATAATTATAACTTGGTAATCATTTTAGTCCAGACATGCAGATGATTAGACATGTTGATTACAAAGTTTAAAAAGCAGAGTCAATTGAAAGAGCTCTAATTGTATGAGAGTTTGAGTAAGTTTGAACAGTGTATTTCACTTAAGGCGGGAGATAAGTAGAGATGCATGGATCTCGATTTATGCGACGAAGGAGTGAAGGGGGAAGGGGGTGAATAATGGAGCGAGAAAGGGGGAATAACTTTGGAGACCTTACATAGAAGGGTTTAACGGTTGACATGTACTAATGACATGGTTTGTTAATTGGTAGTTTAATTCACTTCTTATCAGAATCAGAGTATTGGGGGTGGGGATGGTTACAGAGACAACCCAAGTAGTGTCTATGTACGCGATATGGTAAATAGGGTTAAATAATTTCGAATACTTCGGTATTCCATCGATTTGATGATTTACAGGGGACTTTCATTATTTATTCCAAATTCGTGCTTAATTAACTTCTTCTCTGCCAGTTCGAAAATTTGATCGAAAAATGCACGAGACCGGGTAACCTTACGATAATTATCTCAATTGAGAAGAAACGTTTAATATGAGTGTTTTCAACTTTGATGATTTCAATGATAAGATAGATCAGTTGAACTACCGTGTAGTTGATGACGAAGTACTCAACGATAACTTCGCTCTTGAGGAGGAAGAATTCGATGATGAAGAACACGAAGCAGATGCAGATGATGAGGTGATTGAATTCAATGGAACTTCAGGTAACAAATTCAAAGCTAGAAGAGGAAGTCTTAGTGTTGATCTTAATATGCAATCTCCGTTCATCTCAAGGTCAGTAAAAGGTGACAATGATTCGTTTTATAAACCAACATTAGAAGATTTCCAACCCATCAAGGTTCTAGGGAAAGGTAGTTATGGTAAAGTACTTCTCGTTCAACAGATATCTACTGGGAAGCTATTCGCTCAAAAGCAATTGAAAAAGATCAGTTTGTTAATGAACGAAGAAAAGAACTTAGAAAGAACTTTGAATGAAAGAAAAATCTTGGAGAAAGTTAACCATGTAAATATTGTAAGATTATTCTATGCTTTCCAGGATTTTAATAAAGTTTACCTTATATTGGAATATCTCGATGGGGGAGAACTTTTCTACCATTTGTCACAAGAACAGTATTTATCGGAGACTTCAGCATCATTTTATATTGCTCAATTAATATTGGCTTTAAGATACCTTCATTTAGAATTAAACGTTATTTATAGAGATTTAAAACCAGAAAATTGCATGTTGAATTCTGAAGGTAACTTGGTATTGACAGACTTTGGATTATCGAAAGTCATTGAAGAAGATGAAAGAAATCATTCGTTTATTGGTACTATTCAATATATGGCACCTGAAATTTTAAAAAATGAAGCTTATAGTTATGAAGTAGATTGGTGGTCTTTGGGATGTATTGCTTTTGATTTACTTACAGGTTCTCCACCTTTCACCGGTAATAACAATAAGAAAATCACAGAAAAGATTTTGGCTTCAAAGAAAAATTTGAAATTCCCTTTCTATCTTTCATTAGATGCTAAAAACTTCTTAAGGAAGTTATTAGTAGTGAATATCGATAAGAGATTGAACTTAGATGATGATGAAATTTTTGAAAAGATAAAGAAAGACCGATTTTTCCGTAAAGTTGATTGGAATCTAATAAATGATAATAGATCATTACCACCAATATTACCCATTATCACTAATCCGATTTTAGCTGAAAATTTTGATAAGCAATTCACTGAAATGGAATTCACACCACCAAATAAATTCAATGACGATATCCTTCACGTAAAAGACTTCACCTTTACTAATGACAAATTTTTAAATAATTACTATGAGATGAAGAAATGATACAACATATTTCACATTAAAGTATATATAATACAGATAGAGATTACCAAGAAATTGATAATTAACTTAATAAATAATTTGTTCAACAAATTTAATTTTAGATTATTCAAATAATTAATATTGAACAATTTCAAAATTATTAAAAACCATACTAAATGAAATGATTTGGAAAAATTCAACGACAATGAAATCAAACAACCGAAATTCCAAGCCATTCGATTCATCATAAGTAAGAACACTTCCAAGGAATTAAGGTTTCGAATCAATTTATTGAATTTATCGAAAATAGGATCAAATATAATGGTTTTCTTGATGCCTAAAGATAAATTCAAATAGTTACTGAATTCATCTTTGGTAATTTCAATATCATCATTGATAGAACTGTAGTTTTCTTGATCTTCCGAAAGTAATTTGGATGTTTCAAAATTGAATTCTGATAATTTTTTAGACAAACTTTTCTTAGATTTGTATGGAATTAACCAACCCCACACTTTTTTATTGGACTGAGATTGATTTGGTTGAGACTGACTTGATTGAGAATGATGTGATTTCTGGGAATGTTCTGAATGTCTACGATCATAATGATGATATCCAAAACCTCCACCACCTCCGAAACTTATCTTGGAACCATCAGGCATTTTATATTTGAATCCTCCACCACCACCTCCACCCCAGTCAGTATCACAAGTATGTATAGAACTCGAATCGTCTTGTAATCCATCCATTGTCATTGCAGTCGCTGACGCCGTGACTAAATGGAAAGTGTTTTTAGGTGATACGGAGTATAATTTATCAACTAATTTATAATAATTCTTCTCTTTTTGATTCAATATTGGCATCGATTGAAAATATCTTAAAGTTTTAGGTTTGAGACTCTCTGGATCATACTTTTTGATAGGATGATCGTTGAATATATCTTTAAAGTTTGGAACAATGGTCTTTGGTAAGACTTCTGCTAAGGTTTCATCACTACTGGCAGAATCAACACTGAACCTTTTAAATGATTCACTGATGGTTCTCGAAACATCTATCCTAGAGTCCCGATAATTTAAACTCGTGAATTCATCATAATATTTCAAGAAATCATGATAAACAATTTTATATGTAAAATCCCAATAATTCATGAAATAATCAAATGTCATAAACAATGTGAAAAGACCTAAAACAATTGATATTTGAGGAAAAGTTAATTCGAAATGTCCATGGTCCATTGATATAAAGCTTAGAAGTCCATATTGTAATAAAATCTTCATAACGGGTAATATATGAGTCAAGAATACTGAAGTATCCCGGATCTTGAAAAGATTCTTCAAGCTATTGAGAATGATAAGTAAAAGGATCATGAAGTTGGTGAAAATAAAAGTCTTGGAAACTTGTCTCTTGGATGTAGATTGGTCATTCCAAGGTAGTTGTGAAACCCCTAAGAAGATTGTAACATTAACGACGAGAATTATCGTCGTTAGTATTAAGAAGTTTAGGGACTTCATGACAGTTTCATAACAGTGCGATGATTCTGTTTTGATGACATTGGTGTACGGGTGCGAGATCACCTATCCTAATTGGGACCATGGGGCCAGAGTTAATATATTCATTTTTATTATAGTACTAAGATTCTAATCATAATAATCATCATCTTCTTCATCATCATCCGCTATGACGACTTCTTCTTCCTCATAATCTTCATCTTCATTATCATCTATCACCACATTTTCAAGGTCTTCCTCACTCCTATATTTAGTCATATCGTAATCGACTTTCTTCTTTTTCAAATTTCTATCGGGAAGTTTTGGATTGGCAGTGGAAAGATTCTCTTCTTGGAGTTGTAAAAGTGGTAAGTTATTCGATAAGATCTCTAAAAGATTTCTCATTGGTTGATAAATGATCGAATCTATTTCGGTTTTGGATATCTTGCTTGATAAATGATTTATGAATGCTTCAAGTTCTTTACAGTTGGAAGCCACTTCATACATGAAAGAATTAATTCCTTCAGGACGTTCATGTATCACATCATTACCCTCACTATCAAATTCAACACCTTCATCTTTAAATTGTTCGGTTAACATACCATGGACATCTTGCACATACAATTTGAACCTGGAGGAAGTGACGTTCTTATAATCTCTATTCCAAGCACTTTGCATTTTCTTTGTTGATGATAATTTACCGGATTTTTCGTCTGCCATCTTCAAGAGATAGAATCGTCCAATTTTGAAACCCAAATCTCCAATAACCATTTCCTCTACTCTGAACTTCAACCCGTGGTCCAAAGGATTCGATATTGGTTCAACATACTTGGCGACCATTTCATTATCTTCTTTGTAATTCTTTTTCGAAATTTTGTCGTTAGTTTCTCTGGTCAATGTCTCAGAATGCTTAAACCCATTCAATATTGATCTTGACCCATAATATGTTTCTTTGTCTCCTGGAATATCTTGTTTCTGGACAGTTTCATTAATTGAAGATTTGATTTCATTTGATGAGGTCAAAGTCCATGTTGCCAAAGAACTCAAGATGATTAATCTGTCATTAGGATCACTTATACCAGGAAATCCTATCTTCTCAAAACCCAATTTATCATTAAAAGGCGTAACATAATGCTGTAATAGCCTTGGCTTATAGTACTCTTCTATCAAGATTTCAGGATTATTGGAATCCACTGGTTCGAACAATTCTTTATCCAATTGAAACTTTTCATAAGGTTCATTCAAATCTCTCCATTCTTTAGGAATTCCAAGACTATTGAAAACAGCTTTCAATTCACTGACAGCTTTACCTTGGTATTTTGGATTGACTTCAGTTTTTCTGTTGAGCACCAATGTCACCAATCTACTGAATAATTCATTCATTTTGTCAGAAACAGGAGGCACTTCCTCATCATCATCATTTTCTCTGATCAATCCAATTCCTTCTTCAATGTCCTGAGGCCCAATATATCCTAAGCCAATAATGTCTTGGAACCTCAATAAATAAGACATCAAGAACACAAGATCCTCTCCGTAGTAAATTTTCTTGGTTTCAAATCCAAAGGCAAGAGGTTCTTCTATCTTTTCCTTGGTCATCAATGTATCATCATATAAGTCATATGTGAGGGGAACTAACGGACCAGGAAATTGTCTAGAAATCTTACTTCGGTTGGATGTGACTGTGGTTCGTGAAGCAGAACCATCAAATGTAGGCTCCACTGATTCGGGTTCTGAAGATTTTGGCACTTTAATTTCTGATGAAATTTCCAGCTTCAAAGGTGTAGGACTTTGTGAGACTTTCATCTTCTTTGTTTTTGGTTGATCAGAATCCCCTGATTCATCTTTAATTTCCTTCTCTATGTCAGGAGTTTCGGAGTTGTTTAAGCCAAGACCATTCTTACTGAACACTAATTGTGATTGTTTCTTGTCGTCCTTCATTTTCTTTAATTTCTCTCCCGTGATAGTTCCCTTCTTCACCTTATTATCTATCTTTCCACCCCTCGAACCAGGTCCTTCAACCGGGTTATCATTTAATCTATACCTCATATATTTAGACTCCACCTCATTTTTGGAAGAATCCTTTTCACCACTCTTGATATGACTTAGGCCATGATTCCTTGGTCTTCCCAATCTTTGGGTTTTACCTTCATGATCATATTCCACTAATTGGATGTCCTTTTTGTCGTCAACATTAGTTACACCGGAATTATCGTTGTCAATAGAATTTTCAATATATAAATCGTTATCAAAAATCATCAAATCATCAGATTGACCTTGTCCTTCTTTCATATACTGATTTATGAACTGCTGGTCAATATTCTGATTAGTATTATTATACACTTCACCCATGGAGTTATCTTGGATGGTAGGATCAATCGAGTCCATTGCTGATATTTACCGCGTTTATCGACACTCTCCCATTTGGACTCACAGCCAGTTTAGTACCGCTAGGGCAAGAGCGAGTGGGTTGGACATTCCACAGAGTTTGAAGGAATTTACTCATTTAAAGAGGAAAGAATAAAACTCACAATATTTATACAAGTACTATACAGTTAACCAGCAACTAATTGCCATACTTTACCTTTGAAATCTTTTGGAGGATTATAAGGGTGAGCGGCTTCTTCAGCTTCGATTTCATCTAAACCAGTGACTAAATCAACTTCTTCAGCTGGAATGTACCATCTGGTATATCCATGAACAACTCTATTATAGATTTTGTGTCCAAAGTAAAGAATAAAGAATAATGGTAAGGTGATATAAGCAGCAACGAAATCTGAACCATTGAAATCAAAGAAAACAGCATAACCATTAGTTAAAGTAAGAATTGAAACAAAAATTAAGATGAAATAAGCACCATATGGTTGGAAAGGTGCTTTGTAAGGTAAAGTATCATAAATACCTTGGACTTGAACAGCTTTTCTAAATCTAAGGTAACAAATACTAATAGTAATCCAAGAAAAGAAACCTGAAATGGTACAAATATTGGAAAACCAAGTGAAAGCATCAGCAGCATTACTTGAAACATTCAAGTAAGCTAATAAACTGAATAAACCACAAGGAATGATAGTTAAAGGAACACCCCAGTTGGTGGTTTTTTTGAAGAATTTTGGAGCATGTCCATCATCAGCTAAACTCAATAAAGCTCTAGTGGAAGCATATAAATAGGAATTACCTGAACTCCAAGCTGAAGTTAAGATAACAGCATTAATGATATGATCTAAGACTGGAATTCCTACTAATTTGATACCAATGACGAAAGGTGAAGATGCAGCATTACCAGTACCTGTTAAAAGATTTGGATTGTTATAAGGAACCATGATACCAATGACTAATGATCCACAGATGTAGAAAGTTAAAACACGATAGACGAAAGTTTTAGCAGCAGTTGGTAAAGATCTTCTGGCTTGTTTAGCTTCACCACTTCCAATAACGACTAATTCTGAACCCAAAACGAAAGCGAAAGCACTCTTAACTAATGAGGTCCAAACGTCTAAGAATTTTGCAGTATTACCTGTGGCTAAATGCTGGGCAAAAGCACCTGGAGTTTTCCAATAATGGAACCCTTGAACTCCATGTTGATTTGGGGCACCTCCGAAGAAAATAACGATACCTAAAATAATTAACCCGACGATGGCAATGACTTTAATAGAAGCAAACCAAAATTCAGTTTCACCATAAATTCTGACAGGCATACAATTAAGGGCAATAACAACAAAAAGGAAAATAGTGATCCAAGCAGCAACAGGTACAGAACTTGTCCAATATTCAACAACAATAGCAGCTGCAGTAATTTCAGTTGGGACTAAAATATTATAAGCATACCAATAATTCCAACCCATAGCAAAAGCTAAACTTTCATCAACATAACGAGATCCCATAGTAGCAATGGATTTACCTTTCAAAGGTAAGAATGTAGCCATTTCAGTTAACATCACCATGACAAGATAAACTACTAAAGAAATAATTAAATAAGCAGTGAAAAAAGCAGCTGGTCCACCAGTAGCTAAAGCACTACCTGAACCAACGAATAAACCAGTACCAATAACCCCACCGATTGAAATTAAAATAATATGACGAGGTAATAAACCTCTTTTTAATCCATCATTCTGGATATGACCAGTAACATTATTAGATTCAAGATCATTGGAATAATGTTCAACGTTTGATGTAACAACATCAACTTTAGTTTCTTTTGACATTTTCCTTTTGTTGAATGATTTAATTACAATTAGGTTTTTCCAACACTATTTAAACCTTTGGCATTCGTTATCAAAAATGATTTTTACACGGCTTTTAGAACTGATAAGACAAATTTTTTACAACGACGAAAAAAGAAAACTTTTGGGGTTCTACGGCCAATTAGAAACAGGAAAAAGAAACAGGGACGATAATAGATACGAATAACGTAATCTTAAATGGAAAATCGGGTGGCTTTGAAACACAAGAATGGTACATAGCGATGAAATTATGTAATTCCGAAACTGCTTTAAGTAACTTTCAATAACACAATAATAATGACTTTATTGTAGTTTATGTGTTTAGGGTGTTAGATTTAATGATAATTGATTTACATATGGTTATCACCGATGATGATGGCGAAATCAGTTCATGTAGATTTGATGTCAATCCGCCAATCAAAATTCTATCAAAATGCCAAAAAACCTATCAAAATGCCTTGGGTGAAAGTTCTAGCGAGAGACATTTTCAATCTTAGCGGGACTTAACTAATTAGGCAATTGGGCAGTAACCGCGTCGCTTACGATTTCATTTATTTTTGATTATAAACTTTATAATTGATACGATTTATTGATACAGGATAAGATTATGTTATACAGATCTACATATTGTTTGATAACGAATTTGAGTTTATAGAGGCGAGCTCAGGTTATGAGATAATTTTCAGATAAGTTTGAATCTTTCATCAACCATAAGTCGGAAGATGCCTAATGTATTAAGGCACGGTAGTTTCCTTGATCATTATTAGCCCCTTGGACAGCATTATTCAGACACATAGACATTTGTCAAGAAAACTGTTTGAAGACATGGAGATTAATGCCCACCCGCAATCGGATACGCTAAGGCCGGTATGCTTAACCTACATATCCGTTAATGGCGGATGTGGACCATTTAGGTTGTTTAGAGCAACCTTAGAATACATTTTTTATATTACATCTAATATTTAATACTAATAATGAGTTGACCCTAATAATAAATCGATCTTTTCCTTTAATAAATCTTCATTCTCTTCGAAGAATTGAGATCTTCTGACAATTTCTTCATCATAACCTTCATCACTTTTTAAGCTCTTTAAAGTTTCCAGTTGAACTTTGGTCCAATTCTTTATAAACTCAACAGGATCTTCATTTAATTGTTTGAAAAAATTGTATTTGAAATTTAAATTATTTAATTGATTAATTCCCAAGGCGATCTTTGAATTCAAGCTTGAGATATTACTTAAGGTAGATGAAGCATCGCTGAAGATTGCCTTATTTCTATCGTTAACTTCTTTCTGTAAGAAATTCAAATCAATAGGTAATTCAATTGGTAAATCAATAATAGTCTCACCTAAAGTTGATGATTTTTTAGTATTAATTTCATAATTTAAAACTATTGGATCCTTTGGTTTAAAATGTTTATTTATTAATTGGTATAATTCAGTGAATTTGAATTGTTCAACTTCCAATAAATCTTTCAATACATCATCACATTTTATAATAGTTAAATCTTTTTCAGCAGAATCTTTTAAAGAATTAATTTCATTGATACCTGGAGTATTATTAGTTATAGCATCAATTTTGTTGATATCTTTCTTGATGATTAAATCTTTGAAAAGAATATATTGCCAGATTGAATAAATTAAATCTTGTTGAGTGGACTCGGTTTTACCAACAAATAAACTCATTTTATCACTTAATTTCAATTTGGATGAAGCATCATTTTTGACATTAATTAAGATTTTGGCATGTAAGTTGAATATCCCAAATCTTTTGACATTAAATCCATCAAATGAATTGACATTTTTGGAAAATTGTTGATATTCATCTCTCCATTCAATTATATTGGAATTATTTTCATTTATATTAGGATAGTTTTCATTAGCAACCAAATCAATAGAAACATTGTTCAAAAATGAACTGAATTTCAATTTACTTCCATCACTGATAGTTTCAGGTTGTGATTGTTGTTTTTCTGAGTTTAAACTTTGATCAGAGATGAACTTTCCTTCGATTTTCAAAGTCCATGATCCTTCTTCACTCATATTAACATTTTTACCTTGTTGTTGGTCCAATTGTTTCTGCCATGGTTGGTTTTCACTAATATTATAGATGAACATTCTCAAAATACCTTGTTGTTTCTTGAAATTACTTGGTTGTAAGGACTTAGCATGTAAAACATGGAAATCCAATTCTTTTCTTGTGGCGACCAAATCAACATCTCTTTCTGCTTCCACGAGCTTCTTGTATAAGTCCAAGTTGGGGATTTTGTCATATAAAGTTTCTGGGATAGTTAATTCATTTGGAGCATAACTACTTACTGGACCTGCTGATGGATTGGTTCTTGGTTTAGTAACGTGTCCTCCGTTTACATTACCATTACCAACACCTGCACCGCCAATACCAGCACCATTCATATTGGCACCGTTGACATTACCTCCATTTACCATTCCAACTGGTTGTCTGTAACTTGACATTGTTGTTGAATTTTTTTCTGCGCGCTACAAGTGCGAAGTGAACTGTAAGTTTGACAGAAACCTACCAGAGGGAGACGTGTTGAACGATGTTTGAGTTGTTGACTTGAATATTGATTTCTAGAGATGATGATCATAGGATGATTCTGCTAGGATGTGGTGCTAATTTAGAGAGCTGAAAACCAAAAAGATCCACGCGTTTCGACCTTAATAGATTTTACATGAGCTTACATACATATGAGCATCTTTATTCCTGAGAGTCTCCCTTCCCAAACACCCCCCTTCACCTCCGATATCACAAATCTATCTCCATACTTCTAAACCATTAGTTCTATCCACAAAAGCTTTTTTTTTTCAAAATCCATTCACGTGATCAATCGGTAACAAAACTCGCATCAGACTGGGAATCTCACTTTCAGGTGATAGATCTGTCAAAATCTTCTGATAGTCTATTAATTATGGCGGAAGTAAGGTATAGGGTGAAGAAGAAGAAGGATGATCGATTTAACAATGCCAATCAACTAAAGAATTCCAAAATTAAGGAAATGGGAAAGAGAAAGCGGGATTTCTTGAAAAGGATCAATTATAAGCACTTTTTCACTGTTTTAATTTGTCCCTTGTTTGCTATTATCTATTTGATTAAATACAGTGAGTCCATATTACCCAAGAATACTCAGACATTCTGGTTTTCAGTGTTTTATTTCAATTTCACCATTCTAGCCTTTACATCAGGTTATCATAAGTTTTTCACTCACAATGCATTTGTCACCAAGAATAATTTATTGATTGACTATTTCACCATTTTCGGCAGTAGCATGGGTTTAGGGTCCATTAAATGGTGGGGTAGTCTTCATAGGGCGCACCACCAGTTTACTGATGATGTTGAAAAAGATCCATACTCTATAAAAAGAGGGTTCTTATATTCACATTTCGGGTGGATCATAATGAGACCTAAAGTGTTATCATTTTACAATGAGTTGTTTGATGAATTCTGTAAGATAACCATAGAAAACGAAGTCGAAACGGAAATCTTTGATAATGAAATCGATAAGGAATTTATTCAAGAGAAACAAGAAAGACTTGAGTATTCCAATAATATCAAACTTCTAATGCAATGGCAAGATAAATGGTATTTTGTGCTTTTCGTACTTACGACTTTGGTGATTCCTGCATTAGTGACGAAATTTTATTGTGAAGACTCCTTAATCAATGGTATTATTTATCCTGGAATACTAAGAATGTTCCTATGTCAGCAAAGTTTGTTAAGTACAGAATCGATTTGTCATTTCAAAGAAATTCAAATAACCATTCCATCTCAACCTTTCAATGATTCCAACTCCTCCATCAATTGCAATAACCCTTTGATGGCAATCATAACTTATGGACAATCAAAACAGAACTTTCATCATGAATTCCCTCATGATTATAGGAACGATTCTTCCAAAGTTTCTTTCGATCCAACGAAATGGTTTTTGAATGTGCTTGAGAAGTTGAGAGTCATAACCGATGTCAGTATTACACCTAAGGATCTTGTGACACAATTAAGAATTCAACAACGTCAAAAAGTATTGAATAAATTGAAATCTCAATTAAATTGGGGAACACCCATTTCCAAATTACCTTTGATAAAACCTGACGAGTTCAAGAGATTGATCTCAACATCAGCTCACAAAGATAGAATTTATATCGTTATATCCAATATAATTCATGACATAACACCTTTCATGGATCAACATCCTGGTGGAGTTCCTTTATTAAAAGCTAGCCACGGTAAAGATGCTACCAAAGCATTTTTTGGTGGAGTTTATAGTCACCTGACAGCTGCTTCTAATTTGTTAGCTACTATGAGAATCGGGTATTTGGATTTAGGTAATGAAGAAGAAGTTTGGGATAAAATAGTGGTCGAAGAAGGTGAAGATACTACTCAAAATCAACGTCAATATGAATCGGCGGAAGCTGCCTAATTTTACTTCCACTTCCGCGACAATTCCACCGCCAAGTTGTCGCTCCATTTACCTCCATTTTGTAAATAGTTTTTTTAATCTATAATCTCATTATTGTTCGCATCATGACTAACCCAGTATTGTTTCACGTTAGGGACTATAGAGGAGCCACTATCGAGGATTTGGATATCAAGCCCGCCTTGTCAATAAACCCTACTACTAATATCAACATAGCATTAGAAATAGCATTCGAAAATGAGTTCACTTACTTACCTGTGATCCATGAAGAGAATAAAAGATTATTAGGGGTCTTAAATGTGGGATTATTAAGAGATAACCCTAATAAATTGAACACCAGTTTCTTAAAACCAATAGTTAAGAATTATATGATATGGTTCAATCAAAAATCAAGAGAATTCTATGAAAAGCAAGATATAAAACCTGTTGAACCTGTTAGAAACAGAACCATCATGAAACCAAGAGCCAAAAAATATAAAGTTTTAACTCCCTGGACTCCTTTGGAACAATTAGCAGATTTCTTCAATAATGGAATTTACTTCGCTATAATAACAAATGATGAAGGTAACTTTGTTTATGGTGTTGCAACACCAGAAGATTTAACCAAATACGAGAATTCTAGACCAAGGTTGTAGATAGAATTGGATAAATATCCGATTAAATAGTTAGAAATTCAGATTATAGAGAACCAAATCATCGTATCGTTCATTAAATCTACGTTCATCACTCACTTCTGTCTCCTGCCACCTTTATCTTTTCTGTTTCTTGGTGGGTTGAGTGGAAGAATCTAACATCTTATGTTTTTTGGCGTTCGTAGCCAACAATCTCTCAACTTTATCACCGTGCTTGGTCTTTTGTTTGTCGTCTTTATAAGCATAAGTAACAACTACCTTGGAGTTCATTAATATCTTACCATTGATGTTTTTGATAGCATTATCACTACTAGTGAAATCATTGAATACTACAAATCCTTGACCTTTGGACTCACCATTAGCTTCCCTATCAACGGAGGTACTGATAATTTCCCCAAAAGTAGAAAATGTATCTTCCAAGTACTTTTCATCGATCAAAGGATTCAAATTTTTGATGAAAAGTTTGGCTCCAATATCCACTGTTCTTGGTTTATTAGATACAGATTTCGTGTCATTGGATTTGTTCTCTGCTTGTTTGACTCTCAACAACTTCCCATACAATCGTATCCCTTTCATGATCTGAACCACATATTTTAAATCAGCTTCTGTTTTGAATTCTATGAATCCAAACCCTTGATGAGTTTTCAGTATTCTATCTTTTGGTAAATTCAATGACTTTATCTTTCCAAACTGTATAAACAATTCATAAAGCATGATTTCATTCACTTTGGGATCGATGTTACCCACGAATATTGTGGCTTTAGTGTTTCTTTCCGATTCACTTACTTTCTTAAATATGGACATAAAGATGAGATGTGCGAAGATGCGAAGATAAGAGATTATACATACACCTATACTTGGTTTGGGTCTTTAGATAAGTGTTCCTCTGGAGGTCCATCAGAATCACTATCATTATCATCACTTTCGTCACTGTCGTTGCTTTCGTCACTGATATCATCGCTGCTACTGTCACTGTCACTATCACTCTCAGAACTATCGTTGGTCATTTGATAAGCTTTATTCAAGGTTATCGATTCAATTTCATCTAATCGTACATGTATGGTGGGATATTCCAAAACTATGGTATCTTTAAGACACTCACTTATTGAGGTGTCCCCATTCAATTGGATATATTTATCATTGATTGTAATGACGTTCTCAAGATAAAATTTCAAATCTTCTTTCTTTAATTCAACGTGTAACACATTCACGGGGAAGGCGTCTACTAATTTCAAATTTTCACTTATTCTATAACTAATGAAATCTTTCTTCAAATCTTGTCCTTCGAATATCCATTGAATGGTCCAAGTGAAATTTTGCAGCTTTTTATCATAACCTGTTTTATTACTGATGGATCTCGACATCCCATCAGGTAAGTTTATAACCAAAACATTCTCCCTTTTTATTACTGTTTGAGGATTGGGATAAATTTGTTGAACAATGTCTAATCTTGGATCATCAGGAACTTTCAATCTCTTATTATTTCTATTTCTATTGTATGAATTGTTGTTTCTTTTGAACATATTTTTTGCATTGGCTCTCAAGTCAGTCTTATTCACAGTTATATCTCTATTTAACTTCATGAGGAAATTATAATCACGATTTAAGTGTAATGTGCTATCACTCAATTCCTTTTTTGGTACGAATTTTGTATTATCGATTTTCCCATCACAATCATTTTGAAGTTTATGACGTTTAATACACTCTAAAGAGCATGTTCGTATGGAACACTTCGGACACTTATACTTAAACTCATGATCAAAACATACAGAACATAATTTATCAGTTGACATAGATGAGATTTTTCGCAGCTTGAAAAATTTTAATGTTGATGAAAAACGTTAACTTCAGTGCTAACTGTAAGAGTATTTACAGTAGCAGTTTCAGAAGATTCATATCCAAAAGACCTGACAATTTAATCGATGTTCAATTATTGAAAGATCATGAGAACTTAGGAGTTGCAGGAAATATTGTAACTGTCAAAGCAGGTTACATGAGACAAAAATTACATTCAACAAAGATCGCTTGTTATTTGAATGATGGACCAAGAATCCCTGTAGTTGAAACCAAGATTGTCAAGAAAGTCAAAATATCCACACCTAAACCAGTCAAAGAAGAAAAAGTCGAAGATTTCAAACCTTTATCATTATCTGAATTATCTAGTATTTTCAATAATAAATCCAATAATACATCAGCACCAATATCTTTGAATGCTGAAACTGAAGTTTCATTCAGTTCTCATGATATTAATGATTCCATTCCAGAAACCAATATTTTCGACTCAGGTGACAAAATAACTAAAGATTTCTTGAAAACTTATAGTTTCGATATTTCAGGGATCGAGATACCTACTACTTCAATGAAGATTCAAGGTGAAAAGAAAGAACCTTTAGAAGATATAAATACCCCAGGTACTTATACCTGGTCCATATCCACCTCAGATGGAAAAACTGTAAAGAAAGTCATCATCATTCAATAGTGTAAATAGTAAATGTATCGACCAATTCTTAGAGTATTAAAACCGTTAAAAAGGCTTGAAAATGGTGCAGTATTATGTTCTCTATTGATTTCAAATCTCACTCTTTAAATCGCACTATAGAGATGCCTTCAAACTTCAGGTATAGTGCTGCTAAGACGTCAAATTTGAATAAGATCTTCAAATCACCCACTAAGAAGAAGAACACTTTAAAGGGAATACTACCTTCACAAGTGAAATACAAGCAAAACTTGAATAAATCAGATGAAGGGGAACAATTACAAATCAGTGATTATGATGTAAAACTTGATTACCAATTATCCCGAAATAACGACATAATTACCGCTATAGATACCATTGTAGATAACCAATGGACAGAATCATCGAGTTTGGATAGATTTATAGACGAAACAGAGACGATGGAACAACGAGTCTTCAAATTATCAGGTTTATCTATGGCTGTTAAAGCCGAGATTATGAAATATAGATTACAGTTACCTCAAGGGTTGATAACTACCAATCAACTTTATTCAATATTCGAGAATGAAGGAAATACCTTCGTAGATAAGAGTGTTGAGCTTGCTATACGACAAGGAAAAGTTCGGAAATTTATCATTACTAATGCATCCCCTATAATATCCAATATAAACAAGAAAACCACAGGTAAGATGACTTATGGATACGAGAATGTTGAGATTTTGACTAAATCTGAGACATATTTCCACTGCATAGACAAATTGTTACTGAAGTATAAAGACAAACCTCAAGAAGAGATTTTGCAAAAGTTTCTCCAATTTGTCAAGACCAACCCTAATGCATTGTATGTCTCTATGAACAATGGGTTTGCTCATAATGAATTATCAATGTTGATTGATTTGGGGTTTCTTACTTTGACGTCAAATCATTTAAATGAGATTGAATCTCAACAGTATTCAATTTCATACCCTAATTGTGGGATTTACTTGAAATTGATCAATACCGGAAGATCTTGGATTGTTAAAACCCTTAGTAAATCCAAGTTCAAAGAGTACTTGGAAGATCAACTCATCTCTAAATGGGAAGGATCAGATCTTAATGGGAGTAAAATGAACAATTATAGGAAACCTTTTTATGGATTTGAATTGAATTGGATTTTAGCTGATTGTTTGGGATCAGGGATATTGGAAGTATTCAACACTCCTGTAGGTAGAGGTTGGAAACTTACTGGTAAGAGATAAAAACAGAAATGGGAATTGATAAGAGATAACGAAATGCGACATTTCACAGTTCCGCGACATGTTAAAAGTCAATATATATTAGGAACGTACGTTACATTCTAACTCTTTGTTTCTTTTGGAGTTTCTTTTGCTTTCTTTCTTGCTCTTTCTTTTCCAATTTAGCTTGTTCAGCAGGAGATAAGTTTCTTATTCTATCTCTTTCTTCCCTTTTCAATTTAGCTTTTTCTTCAGCTTCGATTTCTTGCTTTTCTAATTCCATAGCTTTTTGAACTTTTTCAATTTCATTTTCTCTGGTTTTAAGAACTTTTTTCAATGATTCTGGTTTGAAAGAAATTTCTTTTGAAGCTAATTTATCAATAATATCGAAAATTGATTCTAATAATTTACAAACTTGTTCATAATCTTTCTTTGAACTTGGGATTTGTAAAGAAACAACAACTCTTCTTAATGGAGCAAAACCTTCAATTGACTCTGGTCTTTCAGTTGATTGATCAGTGAAAGCAAAGTATCTAATGAAATTGGCAGCTTGAATATCTAAACTTGATAATAATTTTTCAGTTAAAATCTTTTCTTGGAATTCATTTCCTTCACTCATGAAAACAAAAGATTCTGGGATTTTAGCAGAATCGGAAGTTTTAGTTAATGATAAGAAATAGTTAAATTTTCTATAATCGTTCATACCAAGTTTTGAAACAATAGCAGAAATGAAATTGTCATAAGCGAAAGATGGGTAAATAACAATATCAACTTTATCAATTGGTTTTTTAACAGCTTCAGTAAAGAATGAAATAACACCTTCTAAGAACCAAACAAAGATATTGTGTCTTGGTCTTAATTTAATATCAATATTAACTCTTGAAATGTTATCTCTACCAGTGGCATAAGATGAATAATTTTCACTTGAATCCTTGATGTATAATTCATCTTTAGAAACACCTACTTGATAAAAGTTCTGTTTCAAAGTATCATTGATTCCATTCAAGAAACCTGTAACTAAACTTTTGTTATAGAAATCACCAATAAAGAATAAGATAACGAAAACACCAGTGAAACCTAAAGTGACCAATTCTAATCTCCAATCTTGAAGTTTGGCTCTTTCGAAGAAAGTCATGGAATTCAATTCATCTAAACCATATTGAGCATAAGCTTTAGGTTGATTTGGGGTTGATCCAAATAAATTACCAATGATATTTACTAAGGACATGATTGAAAAATTTTCGACGATAGTGAGGCACCAGAAAAGCGGTATTGGGAGGTGGGGGTGCGGCGTTGGGACCAGAGATAGAAATGGGGCCAGAGATAGTGGCAACGGGTTGCGGAATAATTTCCCTGTAAAATGCATTATTTTCTTATTTAATCTTTTCTTCTTTTAGTATCACGATATTCTGCCATACCTTCATGAACAGCTTTAGTGACTAATTCTCTTAAGGCTTCTTCAGGATTATCACCATTTATGATAGCTTCGATTTGTTTACGTTTTTCTTCATCTATTTCACCATCTTCTTCATTTTGTATGGAATACCTTATATCATGACCATCAACATTACCAGGAGATGGTAAGTGATCGACTATGGAATCTTCAGTTGGTTGAGATTCTGTTTCTACAGGTTCACCATCACCAATCTTGATTGATTTCAAGTATGCTATTAATTCTGGGAACTCATCATCCTCTTCTTTATAATCTAATGCAGTTTGTCCATCTTCATTTTTGATTTTCCAATCACCTTTTAATTCTTCAATTATACATTTGGCAGTTTTAACATCTTCACAATGATGTAATGGAGTATCACCTTCATTATCCTGTATATTTATATCACCACCACTAGCGATTAATTTTTTCAATAATCCAATATGCCCATAAGATGCAGCAGCATGAATAGGTGTATAACCATTAGGATCTTTAGAATTAGCAGTAAATCCTGAACTTAAATAGTCTTCAACTATCTTGACTTGGTTGTCAGCAGCAGCTACCCAAATGTTCGATACCATAGTGAAGAGATGTGTTTTTCAGATGAGATCGCACTGAGATTTTCGTAGACTTAATGAGTGAAATTGACTTAAAAGGTGATGTATCACCACCAGAAAAACTCCAAGGATTTGAATGGTGGAGGCGTTCACTTTCATATAGAACTGGTTTGGGATTGACTCCTGAAGAAAAAAAACAATTTGAAATCGATTTTTTCCATAAACAAGTACCTAAGAAATGTGAAGATTGTGTGAAGAATAGAAATTGGGTTTTGAATTATTCACCTTCTGTAAGATTTATGATGGATCATGTGAATAAGTTGGGAGGAAACATAAATATCAATAACATTAAATGTGAACCTTGTGATGATTTGAAAGGAGGAGGTTTCCATCCTGAATTAGGTATATTATTATGTGCTAATTGGATTAAAGATAAGTATAACTTAGAAGATATTTTGACTCATGAATTAATCCATGCCTATGATCATTTGAAATTCAATGTTGACTTGAATAATCTTAAACATCATGCTTGTACAGAAATCAGAGCTTCAATGTTGAGTGGAGAATGTAGAATATTCAGTGAGATTAAAAGAACAGGATTGTCAAATTTCGATAAAAAGTTTCAATCTTGTATAAAAAGAAGAGCTATATTGAGTGTGACAGCTAATCCTAACTGTAAAGATAAAGAAGAAGCTGAAAGAGTGGTAAATTCAGTATGGACTTCATGTTTTAATGATACCAGACCATTTGAAAGAGTTTATCGATAATGGACCTTATTCTTTTGACAAGACTAAAGAGTTTACCGACTTTCCAGAAGTCTGGGAGAATTATAATGACTAAGAAAGACATTTCTGTCAATGTATATAGAAATAAAAGCCAGAACTAACAATCTCTGTAACAATGAAGAATGGGTTCAATAACGCGAACATTCCCAATCGAGCAATCTTTTACCATGTCAGATATTGAAGATAGATTGACTGAAGAGATTACTCTGTTAAGTACTAAGCTCGTGACAGCCGTCAGTAAACAATCAGAGTTAGAAGAGAAGCTTTTACATTATCATCGAGAGAACAGCCAATTGAAAACCAAATTATCCAATTCAACAGATTTTGAGACCAAGTATGATGAAATCGATAGACGATTTAATGATTTAACCTTAAAATATAATGAAAGTGAAAAGGTAAAGAACGAAGCTCAACAAGAGAATAAGAAATTACAAGCTGAAGTAGAAGATTTGACAGCTTCATTATTTGATGAAGCCAATAAGATGGTAAGTGATGCTTCAAGAGAGACTTATAATTTCAAGATTAAGAACAAAAAGTTGTATGAGGAATTAGAAGAAAAGGATCACATTATTTCAAGTTTACAAAATGAATTGATTGACTTAAAGAAGATGTTGGAAAATTCTACCAAGACTGTGAATACTAATGATGATGATTACTTAAAAGAAGAGGAGAGTTATTTCAATGCCAGTTTATTCTCACCCAAAGCCAAGTCAATCAGATATGACACAGAGAATTATGTAGATTTCAAAGAATTCTTGAAGTTCATCATTCAACCAACTTTTCAGTTCGATTTACCTAATTTAAAACTTTCAAAGTTCTTTAAGAAGATTTGGGTAGAAGAGATTGAGAACAGTATTACTGTCCCTTCCACCAATTTCTTAAATCGTTGGCAAAAGGGAAGATTATTCTGGAATCTTGTTGTTGAAGGGAAAGTCACCATTGAACCAGTAAAAGGTATTAATGAAACTTTGAAAATAGATTATCAAAAACCAACCAGTACTGGTGAACCTATAATACCAATTGCTATAGATCAGCCATGTGAATTCTGTCAAGAACAAAGGAACGATAATTTAGAACATTCAAGATTACACATTGTGAAATTATCCAATCCCGATAATTTGAATGATTCTATAGGATACCCTATTTGTAATTTCTGTCTTATAAAGTTAAGAAATATTTGTGAATTCTTTGCTAAGTTGAGATTAATCAATAAGAATATCTATAAATTAACTTTTGATAATGATGAATATCAAATTATCAAGCTTTATTTGATTTTGAATATCATCAGATCTAAGATATTCTGGAGTAAGATTGGATATTGGGATAATGTCAATGAGATAAATGTTTTGAATGTTGATGAGATTGATGTGGAGCATTTCAAGTTATTGTTTAATGACACGGGGTCCATAAAGTCCAATGAAGCTATAAAGTCTAAGAAGTCAGTGGATTTTGGCGATCAAGAACCAGTGATTGAGACAGAGATTGACCCAGAAAATGAGTCAAAAGTCATAGAGCCGGAAGTCGAAGAGCCAGAAGTCGAAGAGCCAGAAGTCAAAGAACCAGAAGTCAAAGAGCCAGAAAATGAACCAGATATCGAAGAACCAGAAGTCAAAGTGTCAGAAGCCGTTACAGAAATAGAGAACAAGAACACAACAGAATCACAATCTTCCCCAGAAAAGGTGGATCAAGCACCAGAAACAGCAGAGCAAAAAGAGCCAACTGATGTCTCCTCAGAACCCATTCCAAGTAAAGCAGAAAAGAAAAAGAAAAAGAAGAAGAAATCCAAAGTCGCCAGTATTGCTAACACTTTTGAACCTGTAGACCTCACTAAAGAAGAATCAGATAAAAGTTCCGGTAAAGAAGAAGACTTTGCTGATACAGTTGAAGAATTCAGTGAACCTCAATTAACCAGAAAGAACTCCACATCCAAACAATTCTCTGAGAAAGTTAACAATGATTTAGATAACACTTTAAAGATGTTACAAGAAAGTTTAGATGAAAAATAATGCATATTTTAATAACTCTGAAAATTCACTCTTATAAAGTTCAAACATCTCGCCCTTCTCGCCCTAAATTTAGCACTGTTCGCGTAAGCTTTAGTGACAAATTAGTGAAACCTCATTATTGTCGCATTTTGTTGAAAACCTACGCGTTGAGAATCAAACGAATCCTGATACTGATCGGTTTCAGGTTTAATTTTAAAAGATCAAACCTTAACAGTTCAACAAACAAACTAACTCATAGATAATTGTTGGAAGATCAATTAAATAATCGATAAGGATGAGAAGGCGTCCTACAGATTCATCATTAAATCCTCAATTAGATGAAGAACTAAAGAATTCACGAGCTTACTCATCATATAGATCAAATTCTACTAATTCCAATAACAATTCTAATACTAATAATTTGAATAGAGCATCTTCTGGATCCATTTTCAGTTTAAGGAAAAACAGGGAGAAAAAAGATGATAAAGAAAAGGATAAAGATAGTGGGAGTGAATTATCATCAATGGATTCAGCTAGTATCTTAAGTGGAGGAAGTAATGGAAGAAGAAATGCATCCTTTTCCTCAACTAATATCATTCCTAGCTCACAAGTAACAAATTCCAATCATAATAGACAAGCATCAACATATTCAATATCAACAGTTAACCCTTATGATACCAAAACTTCGAGATCATCATCAATTTTGCATAATTCCAATAATAATGGCAGTAATGGAAACCAAGGACCTTACCTTGGAGGAGCTTCATTATCAAGAAAATCCACTGCTACATCAATAATATCTCGTCCTTCATTATCATTATCATCCAATGAAACTCTAACTACCACCACGGGATTTAATTTAGAGAAACCCACATCAGTTTATGAGATTGATAGAATGTTTCGAGAATTAATGGATAAAAGAGATTTCAAATCGTTACCACCTCAAGCTAAACAAGAGATGATAAATTATAATCCTGATAAAAAATGGATGTTAATTTATCAAGATGCATTAACTGAATATAAACGTCAAGAAAGAGTTACAAAGAACCAAGGTGAAAGTGCTACTCCAGAATTTTATACTAAACAATTATTATCGAAGACCATTACATCAAATCAATTGAAGAATTTATGGGTTTCTTTAAGAACTGAACCTATTGATTGGGTGAGAAGCTTCATTTTTGATTGTCAAGGAGATGCTTTATTATCATCATTTTTAATTAAAGTTCAAGATTCAATTAATCAGAATGAAACTAATGATATCAATGATGAACTTTTTGATAAAGAATTCAATACTTTAAAAGCATTAAAATCTATGATGAATCAAAAATTGGGGGCTGAAAGAGTGAAAACTGATGTAAATTTATATGTAAGTGCAGTTTCAGGATCTTTATTGTCACCCAGGATTTTAACCAGGAAAATAGCTGCAGAATCTTTAACTTTTATGATTGCTTATCATACTAATTCATCAGTTGATGATTCTCAAGGTAAATATCATAAAGTCTTGAAATCTTTAGATGCTATACCCACCAAACCATATTTTGAATTTGACAGTAATGCCCCTAAGAAGAATCTTGTAAGGAAACCTCCTGTTAAAGATAAATATAAGAGATTTGAATTATGGTTAAAATTAGTTGAAAAAACTATTGATGGAAGAGGGAAATATTTAAATTCATTGGTAGGTGCTAGTGAAGAATTAAAATCGGCTCATGCTGGATCTAATGGAGGTAATGTTGAGAATCATTTACTAGAATATTGTCTTAGTACCATGTTATTGATAAATACTATAATTCATTTTGGTGTTGATATAAGGGTAAGGATTCACCTTAGAGCTCAATTCATGGCATCAGGTTTAGATCGACTCTTGGAAAAATTCAAAGAATTGAATTATGATAATTTAACTCAACAATGTGATAAATACATTGAAATGTTTGATCAAGATAACCAAGATTTGAAAGCTAACGATGAGATTGATGAAGATTTAGATTTTAATAATCCTGTTGATTTAGTCAAATCATTATGGAACAAAGTTAAAGATAATGAAGGTCAAGGATTTTTCGTTAGTGCTTTACAACATTTATATTTAAATCAAATTGAAAAACGTGATAATAGTGAAGAAATGACTAGAAGTTTAAGATTATTAGATGGATTGATTCAAAATGTTACTTTGGCTCATACTTCTGATAATGAATCAGCTGTAGGGATTGCTATCAATAGATTATATTCCAGTTTAAGTACTGATGAAATGTATAGAAAAGCTATCAATGAAGCTAAGTTATATAAAAAGATAGCTGAAGAAGCAACAGCTGAAAGAGATGATATGTCTAGACAATTATCAATGGGAGCTGATGGTTTAATAACGAATCTTTCTAATGAAGTCAAAGAACAAGAAGCTGTTTTGATACGTTCTAGAAGAATGAATGAAGCTTTAACCAAAGAATTAGAAGATTTAAAACGTAAGCATATTGTTGAAAAGCAAGAACAAGAATTGGAAATGAGAGAATTATTGATTATGTTGAACAATGCCCAATTTGAAAGTAAGAAAACTGATGGTAAAACTACTTTGTCAGTTCAAACTACCAATGAAGATTTAATCAAGAAACTTCTGAAACAAATTCATCGTAAGAAAGCTGAATACAAATTAGAAAATCGTTCTTTAGGTACACAAATTGAACCAAGTTCAAGATTAAGAGCTTTAAGAGATCAAATGGCTGATATCGAAACTATGGCAAGAGAATTAGAAATGACAGAATTCGAAAATTATACTGAACCAAAGACTCCAGTTGAAGAACCAGAATTAATCGATGAAGAAGAAAGTGAAGATGAAATAAGTGAACCTGAACCTGAATTCATTCCACCTTCTCCTAAACCTTTACCAAAAGGTCCTCCAAGAGCTGCCAGAACGGATGATTTGGAAAAATTGGATTCTTTACGAAAGAAATTATCTTCTTTACAAAATGAATCAAATGATATAATGAAATTCAATAATAATGCCATGTTAAGTAGACAAAAGTATTTGGCAATGGAAAGGTTGAGAGAATTGGAAAACAACTTCAAAGATTTCAATATCGATTTCAGTTTAAAAGATGGAGAATCAACCCCTATGGATTTTGATGTTGATTCTTCTATTAAATCAAAGATTCAAGAAGAATTGGAAGAAGTTCAAAACTTAAAAGCTCAACTAGAAGCTAAATTACAATCTATGAATCAAGCCAAATCACCTAAATCACCTAAATCTCCAAGAAAGAGATCAAGTGTCAAATCTGATTTGTTTAGTAAGATTGAAGCTAAATATGCTACTGGTAAAGTTTCTAGTGGAGTTGATGAATCAGATATAGTTCACGAAACCAAACCCAATTATAAAGCCAATAGGAATACTACCATTGGTGGTATGGATCCTAAGTTCTTGAGTGAATTGAGCTCAAAAGTTGGGAAAACTGCTGCCATCGATGAAGATAACGATAGTGATGATAAATTTGAAGATGCGGTTGAGACTAAAGAAAAATCAATTCCACCACCTCCTCCATTACCACCTTCATCTGGAAGTGCACCACCTCCACCTCCACCTCCACCACCTCCATTACCGCCATCTTTGGGAGGAGCACCACCACCGCCACCACCACCATTACCACCTTCATTAGGAGGAGCACCAC